TGGCGGGGGTGGAGAACGGCAACGAGTGCTACTGCGGGAACAGCATCGCCGGTGGAACACCCGCGTCGGCGCCCGTGTCCGACTGCAGTGTAGCCTGCGCGGGGAACACTGGGACCAAGTGTGGTGGTGGGTGGCGGATGCAGATTTACACAGCGTCGACGTCGACTTCGACCGCGACAACAACTACAGCCACGACATCGACATCGACATCGACATCGAGTACAACATCGTCCACTGCCACTACGACGACCACGACGACCACGACCGGCGCCGCATCGTCCACCACGAGCAGCTGGGTGTTGTCGAATGCCTGTGTCGTGGACACCAACCCCCGGGTCCTACAGCCCTACGCCACGACGTTACCAGATTTGACTCCGACGTCGTGTCAGTCGCGGTGCGCTGCCAACGGATACACGATGGCGGGAGTCGAGAATGGCAACGAATGCTACTGCGGAAACTCGTTCACGGGGGGCAAGCCCGCGGTTGCCGCGGCGTCGGACTGCAGCACCGCGTGCAATGGAAACACCGGATTGAAATGCGGAGGAGGATGGAGAATTCAGGTCTACACCCTCACGGCTGGTGGGACTGCGACTGCGACCACGACCACGACGGCCGCTGCTGGATCCACGGCCACCAGCTGGAGTCTCGCCAACGCATGCCTAGTGGACACGTCGGCCCGCATCCTCAGCTCGCCACAGGGCGGCTCGACCTTCCTCACACCGGCGTCGTGCCAGTCCACGTGCGCCTCCCAGGGCTTCTCCATGGCCGGCGTCGAAAACGGCAACGAATGCTACTGCGGCAATTCTTTCTCGGGGGGGACGCCCGCGGCTGCGCCCGTTTCTGAATGCTCTGCGCTGTGCACGGGCAACTCTGCGCTCACCTGTGGAGGAGGATGGCGGATTCAGGTCTACACCGCCGGAACCAGCAGTGCCACTACTTCAGCCACGACCACCATGGCCACGACCACGACCACGACAACAAGTACCGCCACGTCAACTGGCTGGGTGCTCTCGAACGCGTGTGTTGTCGACACCTCGTCGCGCATCATGCAGGGCTACCAGCAGACCACCAGCTCCCTCACCCCGACATCCTGCCAGAACACGTGCGCCAGTCAGGGCTTCTCCATGGCGGGCGTGCAGGACGGCAACGAGTGCTACTGCGCCAACGCGTTTTCGGGGGGCGCACCTGCTGTTGCGCCTGCATCCGATTGCAACATGGCCTGCAAAGGCAACTCGGCGCTGAAATGCGGTGCAGCTTGGAGGATGCAGGTCTATGCGCTCACTGCGAGCACCAGCACCAGCACCAGCACCAGCACCACGAGTACCACGAGCACGACCACAGCGACCTCGACCGCAGCTGTCCCCACCATCACCGAGATCGTAAGCGTTTCTTACATCGATCACACAGGCTCTGACCTTGACACCAGTGGGAAACGACGTACGATCTCAGCAAAAGACTCAGTAAGTTTGTCTCTACTTTTTGTTCGACTTCAGCTGATCTCTTGTCCTCAGCTCTCTCGAACGCTGCTCCGATCAGCTTTGGTGCACCGGCAACAACGGGTGTTTGCGATATCAATGTAGACGAGACCACGACGTATCAGACCATGGACGGATTCGGAGCTTCTCTGAGTGGGTGGACAGTGACTCAAAACTCGAGTCAGTTCTCGGCTAACGACCCGTTGCAGCTGAATCGTCCGCATCGATGTTTGTGAACTTGAAGAACGCCAATTATGGAAACTACCAGGCGCTGTTGCACCAGCTATTTGACAGTTCGTGTCCAGCCCCGCTGATAACTGGATCTAACCTCGATTTCTAGTGGCGGATGGCTCGTATTCGGCCATGAGCAGCGTGATTCGAGTCCCGCTCGGCGCATCCGACTTTAGCAGCTCCGGTATGTTAGATTACGTTAGAGTAATCTCTTCTCTCTCTGAGGAGTATTCCAGTCTGGTCGTACTGTGATAGCGGTATCGACACGTCTCTGTCGTGCTTCAACATCGAAAAGACCCCCTCCGCGATCTGGACGGTGCTGTACGATATCCTGGCGATCAACCCACTGATCAAGATCCACCTCGTGCCCTGGAGTCCGCCAGGATGGATGAAGGACAGCGGGACCATGCTTGGGGGCACTCTGCTGTCCAACTACTATGATTTGTGTACGTGATGAGATGCTGCTCTCCTGTTTCGTGTAATCTGACATCCGGACAGACGCCAACTACCTGCTCAAGGCCGCTCGCGGGTTCCAAAATAAGGGCATCCCTGTCTACGCGCTGGCGATCCAAAATGAGCCCGAGTATTCGGACGCGACGTATCCGTCCTGTAAGCTTCCGCCTTGATTAGTTCCCAAGCGTGGTTTCTGAAGCACGTGCAGGTTTGATCTCGGCCTCTGCCGAAGCCTACATCGGGACGAGTCTGCGCGCCCTGTTGAACAACAACGGGATGAATGGCGTCAAGATTCTGGGCTACGAGCACAACTACAACGACGCCGCGGGGTACCCGGTGCAGCTGATGCAGCAGGCGCCGGATGCGTTCGCCGGGGCCGCCTTCCATTGCTACGGCGGCACAGTCAGCCAAGTTGGCAGCTTCCGCAGTGCATTCCCGGGGAAGGAGGTGCATCTCACGGAGTGCTCGGGGACGATCGGCAGCGACTGGTGGTCGGACGTCAAGTGGTACATGGACAACCTGTACATCGGCGGCCCGCAGCGCTACGCCAAGACCGCGCTCATGTGGAACCTCGCGCTCGACGGCGCGGGGAACCCGAAGCTGCCGGGGTCGCGCAGCTGCAGCGCCAGCGGCTGCCGCGGCGTCGTCACGATCAACTACGACGGCACGTGGGCGCCCAACCAGGAGTTCTGGGCCATCGCACAGACCGGCAAGGCCGTCGCGCCCAAGGACCCCGCCGGCAGCCCCGCCACGCGCATCGCCGCCAGCGTCGCCGGCACCTACGCCTGGGCCCTGCGCGTCAGCGCGTACGCCACCAAGACCAGGGCCGGCACTGCCACGCGCTACAGCCTCGTCGTGCTCAACTGGCGCGACTACGCCAGCTCGACGTGGAACCCCACCCCGCAGCCCGCGACCATCAACTTCAGGGGCATGCAGGTCGCGTATACGTTTCCGGTTGGCATCACCACGCTTTCGTGGTACGCTTAAGTAGATAGCTAGACAGATAGACACATGAACACACACACTCTTTTGGGGAACAGGACTCTGGTAGACACATTCATGCCATGTACTTACGCTCTGTTGAGTAACTATTCACGGACATTTCGTGGACCCAAATATGTGCAATATCAATTATTCGTTGAGGGTCGCGTTCAGTGGCATAACGGAGAGCGCGGGATCGTGCGGCAGTCGGACCACGTGCTGCTTGTTGATACGAAGAGCACTTGCAGGAGGCGCAAGGAACACCGTAATCACTTGCCACCGGCGATTGAAGGGATTTTCCATCTCTACAACAGGCGCATGTTCGAGGTCCTGAGATGTGCTCGAACGGACATAGAACTGCCACTGGAAGGCGAAGTGGGCATAAGCGGCAGTGTTGGGAACGATCATTTTATGGAAAAGAATGCGGAATTCGGTTTTAGGAATGTCGTAGTGGTGGAGTTCGACGCCAGGGGGAGGGTCGCGGTACTGTAGGTTGCTTTGTGTTTGCTTTGTGTTTGCAAGGGAGAATGATTGAACACGCACGACAAGCTGGGGGAGTTTGGTGTGCGCGCTCTCCTTCATCATGCTGTAGCAGCCCTCGAGGAAAGAAAGGCGATTGGTAGGACAAACTCGTAGGAATTCTTCGAGCTCTGCAATATTCTCCGGGGTTGCAGACCCACTTGTGCGCAGGGAATCCCGGATTGACTAGGCTTGGACGTGAGCGAGTTGATGCGGATGAACTGTGACGGAGGCGCACCTCGCGAAGCTCATCGGCATACTCAGATGAGATCACAGCTGGGTATCCCCGGGAGAACGTGTGGGGGGGTTCATGGTGGTTTGGTGGGAGTGCGTCACAGTCACCGTGGTTGAAAACCTGGGTGTTTATACTGTACTAATTCGACCAAAGCGTCAAGTGGTTTGGCCAGAGACACCCGTCAACCAAACGCGTCCGCCGTCATGATGCCCGGTCACCGGTGACAGTGTTCGGAAACCGTCACGTCTTTTTTTTGTGGGGACGTTTGTATATTGGTAGAAAGTAATCAAGATAGTCGTCTATATTTGAGGCCTTGGAATGTGAAACCCAGCCAACTAGAGGATCTATCACACGAGGAAATGTACTGTGTGACCTAATGGTCACCCGCATTGATATGGAATTGAATTGGGCATTTCTGACGCTCCCGTTGGCTCAGCGGTCCCGGGAAATTGACTGATATTTGACTGGCCCTATATCTAACTCGAAATTAAACAGATAGATGCATAAACACACACTCTCTTTTGGGGAACGGTACTCTGGTAGACACATCTATGCAATGTACTTTCAACATTTCGAGCAGACGTGACACCTAATTACGCGTTCAAGTCACGGGATCTGTGACCTGTCGCGTACCACGTCGGACGCGCAGCTCAATCGAGCTCAAGGCCTGTTCGTGAAGCTCCCAAACATGCCATGCCACTCGGGATCATCTTGGCCGCTTATCCGAATGACTGAGTGCGCCAGGCTTCTCCATGCTGCATCTCGACAAAGCGGTGGAGATCAACACCCGGCTCAGCAAGTGAGCATACAGCCACGGCCGCCGGATTGGGACTCGTTCCACGTGAAGAAGATCGCGGAGAGGCAGCAGTCTGACACGGCTACTGCGCATTCCGGAGCTCTGGGGCACGAATGGGGAGGAGGAGGAGAGCGGATGCCGACGCGCGGAGGAAGCGGGAAACGCGTGGGTGCTGATCATCGCTTCGCATCGAGTTTCGTTGGTGAGCAGCGCGTGTGGGCGCCTGAGAGACCTGGACTAGGCTGCGAGCACGAAATGCAATATCTGAACGAACATCGAGTGGACTTTTGGAGGGATCCCACTGATTTCTTTTACGTAGTTATTGTTCGATGTTCAGGGGTATGCGCAACGAAACGATACCGCTTTTCTCAAGACCGGGGATCAACATAAGTAATGGGAGAACATCAAGCCTCGGCTCATGGGTCTGATGGAGAAACCGAAAGAAAAACTGCAACAGGAGAGGCGCAGGACTTCAGTCAATAACCGACAGCGACTGCTGCTCGGCGTTTTCCACGCATCCACATTCCATCAGCGAGAGTCAACCCGCGAATCGGCGACCCCTGGGTTCTTCCAGCTATGGAACCAGTGATCCCGGACTACACGAAAGCAGACGACCTCCGGCACCCGCTGATCACGCTTCCCACAGCCAGATCTGCAAGGGCCGGCGAACCGAAAAGCGACGAGCGCTCGGCACATTATGCCCCGATCCAGCCTACGACCTGGCCCGGCCGACGACCACTCTCCCGGTGCCCGGACTGCAGCGAGATTCTCGGGTCCGTGTGTGCGCTCGCGCACTCGTGCTTCTGCGAGCTGCATTTCGGTTACTTGGGATAGAAAAGTCTACTTGGTCGGCGTCCTATGTGCTAAATTGAAAACCCAGTTATAAAACAGCACTAGAAATCCGTATTTGGGGCGTCTGCGCTCTCACACTACCTACCGCAAGAGTTACTCAGAGTCTACGGTAGCGGCAAAGATGATTAGCTCTATGCGCTACCGTGAGCTTTACTCGGGGTGTTAGGCGGTAGCACATACATACCTAACAATACGTGACTCTCGGCTGCAGTCTGGATCCACCTTATTTTACTTCCTTCGTGAACCAGACACGGAGAGAAATAGCCGCGGCGAGGATTTTCCGTAAATGGACGAAGGCGACGTGCCTGGTAAGCATAGCCGCGTCAATGAATTAGCCATCGCTCTCAATAGTGCTGCCTGCCACACGCTCCAACGCCGAAAACGGACTGAGATTCGAGACAAGTTACATTGTGGTCGATTGACCGTCGACTTTACTTACTTCGAGCGTTCCATTTGGTTGTAATTACGTCCAGGTATCTGCAGCTGACAAAGGATATGAATGGTAATACGAATATTTAGATTAGAAATGAGAGTGAGAAGGGAGAGATCATCAGTGGCATGAAGGCATGCTTCGATTCGTCCTGGTCAGTTCTGCGTTGCGTTGCTTTGCGTGTGGGTGGGTGGGTTTCTTCTCGCTATCGTTCTTGGCGCGGGTCGTCCTCCCGAACTTCTTCCCGAGGCGGCTCGCGGTAGCCAAGGTCAGAAATAGACGGGAACGTGAATTCCGTGGGTATCTCCTTGGATTTTCTCTTCTTCAGCGGCATCCGGATGCTCTCCGGCCGCTTCAGTATGGCATCAGCCAGCATCTCGCTGAAGCCACTGTCCTCCTCCTCGTGCCCGTCATCGTCCATCTCGCCAAGGACCATCTCGTCGGTCTCAAGATGATCACCATCAACCCCACCTTCTTCTCCTCCGCCCAGTCGCGCATCAGCAGTCTGCGTGCGTGTTCGCCGCCGGCCGCGAGAGAATGATGCCGGAGATCCAACCAGGTCCGGTGAGCCAGACCCCGATCCGGATGATCCGCCGGACGACCCAGACACGGACGACGCAGGCCGGGGGAAGGACATCGAGAATATCTGCTGCTGCTGAGCATTGGGAAGCGAGCCCGGCTGAGGCTGGTGCTGGTGCGGATGGGGATACGGGTAAAAGGGATACATCGCCGGGGGAAACGGCATTGGATAACCACTGGCTGCCGGCAGCGGGGGACTAGCTGGGGTTGACGAGGTGTGTGGTGCCTGTCCCGAAGCGGCAAACATCGCAGCGTAGCCTTGTAATTGATGCATCATGTGGCTGATCTGGGCTTGCATCTGGAACGAATGATCAGAAATGCAGCGGACAGACCACAGGCAGGCCAGCTCACCTCCGCTTCTCGACGGCGCCATGCGTTATTTTCCCAGCGCATGATCTCCATATCCTTCGAGTATCGCTCTAGCTCCGACCTCGCCTTCTCTTCTCGCAATCGTGCGGCCTCCAGAGCACCGCGCATAGATGCAAGTTGAGTCTGCACGTTCAGTGATGGCGGCGGCGTCCCGGCCGGAGTGGGACTTCGCCGCGGCGAAGATGTGTGACGGGGACTTCCGAGCGTTCGGCTAGCCTCAAACGCCGAAAGCGGCTCGACAAGTGGTGCAGATGACGAATGAAATAGTGGCGGCGGCAATACCGTTGCGGATCCAGCGACTGTCGGAAGCGAAACGGATGCGCGCATGGGTCCCTCCTCAGACTGGGACCCCAAACGCGGTGGTGATGCTGGTGAAGGGTTGAACGTGCATGCGGAGTTGGAGGATGCGCCGTGCCCATGCCCGTGCCCGTCCCATTCCCAACCCGACGAGGAAGACGCCGGCTGAATCGTTGAATTTGATGATGTCTTACGCTGGGCAGGGGACGCCAAGACACCGGCCCCACTCGATCCCGAGGGCTCACAGTCCGAGAAGTCGCCTGGTGTATTCCCGGTGTCAAACTGCGAGTCGCTCATTCGTTCTCCACGTCCATCATGCTTTCTGTCGTCCGAAGCGAATATGGCTGGCGAGTCATCGTCGATGTTGTGGGATGTAGTCGACGATGCCACAGAGCGGGAGGACGTCGAGGCTGAGCGTTTGGAAGAAGACGATGCGGTGGGCGATTCAGGAACATGCGGCAACTGGGTGAGATGACAGGAAGCAGTATTCTCGTCGCGCTCATGTTCTCTCGAGACAACGGTGAGCATCTTCAACTTCTTGCCGTTCTTCAAGATCTCCTTCATTGGATCTTTGCCTCGCCGTCGCCGTTCCTTGGAACGCGCCACTTTGGACTGCTTGTTGTCGCCAGGTCCACCGACCCCCAGAGGATGCTGGGCACCATGTGAATCTGCCACCGATGAGAGCTGAGAAGAGAGCCCGAGGCGTTTGCTGCCCGAGCGGCATATATACGCCCCACCTGCTAGGAGCAGGGTGGCAAGCGTGGTCGCGACCAAGACAGTGCTTGAAGGGTCGCCGTGCAGAACACTTGGCAGAGAGTCCTGCTCGTGGTTAACCATCCTGTCGCAGAGAAGGGAATGCGGGTCCGCCTGGCTTGCACTCGACGCGCGTACGCTTCAGGACCAGGAAGCAAGGAGGTGGAACTTAAGTTACAGGTGCTGTTGTTTACACGTGAGTTGCTGTGCCTTGTCTATTTCGGGACTTATTTGGTCTCCCAAGACCTGGGTAATCCCTTTCTGCTGCTCTTCCTCGTTTAGATCTCTGATAGTCCGACATACTTCCATGTGCTAGGGTATGTACGGCACGTTGTTTTCGAGAACTCATCTCCCTGAATGCCTGCAACGGGACCAGTTCGACCCAGTCGCCTGATGTGTCTATTTTGATTATCGCGCTCCATTACCAATATTCACATGGCACACCTGCCCGTGCTTCGGCGTGTACCGACGAACATGCGCGCTGCCGCCGCCCAGCGCGGAAACCCCACTTGCCCAGCGCTCGCAGCGCTGCTCGGCAGCGCACAGAACCCCCATCTTTCCACGGCCTCTGTGTAGTCTCTCTGCCACGCCTGCTGTGCGTGGGAAGTGAATCCAAGATGGGAGCGGGTCCGTTGTCGGGGAACTGCAGCAGCACAGTCCCGTGTCGATGCCTGATCAGCCGGTGCTTATGACCTGGGAATAGCGAAACCATTTCCGTCGGCTCGTCAGCATGTCGGAAAATCTAGCTTGGCGAGAACAATGTGCAAAGAGCGTCGATGTCATCCTGCCGGCACGCCGGATAATTGCGATGCATCCTCTGAGCGCAGATTCTGGATCATCTTGGCACTAAAGATGGATCCACCATCTCGCTATAGTCGCGGGCCTGTCGTCGCACCGAATTATCGGCGCAAAGCCGGATGTCGGTTGGCACAAGCTTGCGTCCAATGGTCCTTGGATCGTGTTCTATCCGCACTTCAGCCTGTTGCCACGGCCCGTCTTCGGGAGAGCGACTGAGTAGTCAACATCCGAGGCTGCGACGGCTGCGTTGCACAACTTATTTTCGTTCGCGCGCGCCATGAGCGCTATTACTGGCCAGCGCCTATTTTTGCACTTTCATTTATCTTCGCCGAAATGCAGCGTCTGGCGATCCTTAGCACACCTGAATGAATCCGCGACGTCATGCGGCTAGAATCTCTGTGATACCTTGCTGTGACCTCACTTCTGAAGCATGTCATTGACATTAGACTAGGTATGTGCGTCAGGCTGTAAGCTACATACTGTACATAGCCTGGCGAAACCGGTAGCAATAGATAAGCACCCTAATGTTTTGTTGATTTCGCTTTGCAGAACAGATGAAACGCACAACACAAACTTGCCCTTGAATCGACAGTCATTGTGAACCCCATGGATTGGGCACGCGAGCGTTCGATTGTAAATATAATCAACACCGGAAGTCCCCGTGTACTTGATCAAGATGCCGACGGGCACCGCCACTCGACTATTGCCTGCCCAACCCGAACACGCGACGTCATAGTAGTCACACCATCCCCGTCTTCTCCCACCTTGACCACCATGGTCGTGCGAGGGCTGCCATGTCCGCGATACACTGGCCTCTCAACGCGTAGAATAACTGTTCCTCGATATATCCATCCCGCTCGCCCTTTCTCATCCACCGCGCGGCGCCCTAATGCCTACAAAACTACACTAACATTCGCAAAGTACTCCGGCTACTTCTGCCTTTCGTCCATTTTCGGGGTATTTGCTATTGGCGCGGGCTTCTTCATCCACGATGCATTCACCTACAATGACAAGCACATCGAGCGTGTGCCCATATCACCCTTAGCGCTCCATCCCGAGACCGGTGGCCCCAAGAACCTCCCTGTTGTTCGCGCCTTGATGGATGACGACGAAGATGAAGAGAACAAGAAGATTTCATCCAAGCCACGTCTGGTCGTGGTTGGCGGTGGATGGGGTGTCAGTACACTTGTCTCCGAGAATCGCGGCCCAATGCTGACTTGCATAGGCAATGGCTACACTGGACGGTTTGCATGTTGGGGATTACCATGTAACAGTGGTCTCTTCCGAAACCTTTACGACTTTCACGCCACTACTGCCTTGTAAGTTATCCGCCCTGCCCTGCACGTGAGAGCTCATTCATTCCTCGATTAGCCGCCGCTGTCGGCACTGTTCAAGTTCGGTCACTCATCGAACCCATACGAAAGGTTATCGCGCGTCTGCGAGGACACTTCGTTTACGGGAAAGCTGTCGACGTTGTCTTCAACGAAAAGCTTCTGGAGGTTGAAACGGAAACGGCCGATGGCAAGAAGAGTCACCTATACATTCCGTACGTTCACTTTGGATACATGACGTTTTCTTCTAACGGTTCTCAGATACGACAAACTTGTCATTGCTGTGGGCTCGACATCGAGCACTCACGGTGTTCCAGGCCTCGAACACTGTTTCCAACTCAAAACTATATCCGATGCGCAGAAAATTCGCAGGAGAATAATGGGTTCGGCATGTTCGGACTTACCTTTTCGAGTCTCACAAAATTTGTAGACAACTTCGAGCAGGCCAGTCTGCCCACGACAACTCCGGAAGAACGCAAGCGTCTGCTCAGTTTCGTCGTATGCGGAGGTGGACCTACTGGTGAGCCCATTTACGCCTTGGAAAACACTATTTATAAAACCTAAAAGGTGTCGAAACTGCTGCCGAGATCTACGACTTCTGCCAGGAAGATATCATGAACTACGTATGCCTTCTCACATACACCGAACATTGCCGATCTGATTTTTTTTTCAGTATCCCAAGCTGTGCAGGGAGGAAGTGTCTATCCATGTCATCCAATCACGAGAACACATCCTGAACACATACTCTGAGGCCATTTCCAACTACGCTGAGTCCAAATTCGAGCGGGACGATGTAGACCTGGTCACGTCTGCCAGGTTTGTGCTATCTTACACTGATCCTTTGGCGTATTGACAACGGAGCGACAGAGTTGGAGCGGTGACCCCTACGCACGTGATTTACACAACGAAGGATGCAAATGGAGAAACGGTACAGCACTCTATCCCAACGAACTTTGTTCTTTGGTCGACTGGCATTGCAATGAATCCCTTCTCTCGCCGCGTGACGGACTTGCTGCCCAATCAGGTGCATAAGAAAGCGATCGAAGTGGATGCCCAGCTGCGTGTCAAGGGCACTGCACCCGGATCGGTGTACGCGATCGGTGACTGCTCGACAGTGCGTGTTTCCGCATTCTCTGTGCACCACAAGTGCTGATGTAATCGAACAGATTGAAACATCCATCGTCAGCCACCTGCTCGAGCTCGTCCAGGAAGCCGACAGGGATGGAAATGGGATGATTGATTACAGCGAATGGGAGATCATGGGTGCGTACAACTTATTTCCCTTGTCGATATAGTTTGCTTACTGCTCATACCAGTTCCCCGCATCATGCAACATGTTCCCATGGCTGCGGATCATCTCTCCGAGGTCCGGGAGCTGTTCCAGCTGTACGATTCGGACGCAGACGACAGTCTGTCACTGAACGAGCTGACTCAACTCCTCATCGAGCTGGGAAACAAGATAACGACTTTGCCTGCCGTGTGTCCCCCTGTTATCTCGCATTGGGTTCTGGCTTCTGACAGCTTTGCAGACGGCCCAGGTTGCAGCGCAACAGGGTAAGTACATTGGCAAAAAGCTGCACAAGGTAGCTCGCAAGCGAGAAAGTGCCGTCGCCCCTGTTGCACAAGGCCAGGATCCCCATGTCGCTCTTGCTGCTGAGAATGCTGCGGCGGCAGATATCACCGACGAAAGTGTCTCGAAGCCTTTCAAGTATCTGCATCTGGGAAGTCTTGCCTACATCGGCAATGCGGCCGTATTCGATTTCGGCGGACGATCGTTCATGGGTGGTTTGGTAGCGATGTATGCGTGGCGCAGTGTGTACTGGAATGAGCAAGTCTCGCTGAGGACTCGGGCCCTGCTCATGATCGATTGGGTCATTCGGTGAGTGGTCTCCTGCCTTTGCCACCGGGCGGGCTTACCAAACTTCTCGTCACAAGTGGCATCTGGGGTCGGGACCTTAGTAAACTCTAAACGATCCTAAAGTGAGATGGACAGTGGTTCCGTTTCTAGAACAGACGATACATGTCGACGTAATACATCCGTAGAGCCTAGATCCCGAATTACTCCTGCCACTCGAACGAGCCAGTGATTGCTGTTCGACCTGTAATCGACCCGTGGTTGGGGGAAAGAACAGTCAATTTGCGTTGGGGAATGTCCACATTCGTGCTAGTTGCGGAGTCAGCACGATAGAAGCGGGGATCACCGAAATCAGAGACGGACATGACAAGGTAGCCGGATATGGGCTGGTCCAGCAGCTCTTCGTCGTACCGTTCCGACTCATCTGTACTCAAAGGAGCCACAATGGCAAGCACAGCGTTGAGCAGACCGGAACCGGGAGAGGCCGGGTCAATCGGCACCGACTGCGTTTCAGAGACCGTCCGGGCTGCTCCGATGGGCAGGGCAGAGGATGGGGCCATGGTTTCTGCGAACTTTCGTCAGCCCGAGAAGGAGGGTCGAGCGCGATGGTCAACAACCTGCTCCGATCCGGAATATCGATAGGTCGTCAAAGTTGATGATGGTCGAGGACGGAGACAGGATCAGATCCGAGACCGTTTCGCCGCCGAGCGAGGCGGAGGTGATGCCCGCAGGCAGAGGTAGCTTTTGGCCGTACATGTAGGTGTGGAGCTGATACATGTGCACTCGCTGCCGATAGAGGTGGTCCAATTCAACGACCTGCAATGCCTGAGGACGTTATCCCTGAGACAGCCAGCGAAGCACTCACACCCCCCGACTTCGGTATTTTGACGACGGTAATTCGGTTGCCGTACGCTCGCTGTAGCTCGACATTGAGCTTTTCGTGACCGACGACAAGAATGACGTTGACTGCGAAGGCGCTCAGCTTATGACAAGAGGAAGTGGATGCGACAGCGGACTTTTGAACGCTTCCACGCAAGAGCTGATCAGCTTCTGCCGGGAGTCGTTGTTGCCAGGGCCTGGGGCAAAGCTGGATGGCGTGTCGACGACGAGCCCAGCCGTTCTGCCTAGAAGGCCTCGTCGTGAGAAGAGTCGTGCATGGCGGCGGGAACCTGACACTTGCCTTCGGCATCGACTTGATATCGGTCCTCAATGGCTTGTCCCAGATTACGAATTATCCGCTCCATCAGCAGCGGGTTGCGCTTGATTTCCGGGTGCCCGTACCAGTAAGCGAGCGGAACGAGGGCATTAGAAGACAGTGCGGTCGGTGCCGACGTCGCTGCTGAGCCCAACGGACTGCCCGGAGAAGAAGTCGGTAGAGGGGTTTGTATAGGAGCAACAGATAGCGTCCCGGGGGCAGCCCATCCACCCTAGAGATAGTGTAAAACAGACAGAGTATCAGAAAACGGCGGCACTGCACCTCTGAGGGATCGACGTTGACGAGAAGAGGTGACCATCCTTGCCCAGCCCTAACAGCATAGTTTATGAGAATCTTGCATAGGGATGTTTTACCCGAGTTCTCTGGTCCAACGACCAGTACACGAGGGGGGTCACTGGGCTTGTCACGCTCAAAGTCGGGAACAGGCGATCCTCGAAGGTCCCTCAACGCGCGGACGCGCATCTGCTCAAATGCGATATGCACATTCGCATAGGCCGTCATTGGCGTCTCCTCCGATACGTATTCTGTTGAAGCATGACCTGTAACGTGTCGCCCCGCAGGTAAGGATTCCTAGGCGGACCCCATCGTAGACAAGACTCATCTCGATCGTGCATCCCCTCCAAGTGAAGATCGCAGCTTTACATTCCTGCCCAAACAGATAATGCTTGTTAGGCGCCAGCTCAGCGCCGAAGACTTCAGCGTTACCGCGAATGAGCTATTTCCGAGTCTTCATGCGGAAGGATGGATAGAAGGTATATCGGGAAAGAACGCACCTTGATAGCTAACGATGTCCCTGGATCCAATTCAAACCTGTATTCTGTTTCGGGGTCAAGTGTCCACTCTCGGGTCTCATGGTGACTCTCTTCCGACGCCATTGGACGAATATATTGGGGCAAAGAAACACGTCGTGAAAGGACAAACCAAGCCGGCAAAGCCGAGGAGGAGATGACTGTTGACAGTTTCCTTTTTCAGGTACATACCCATCAATGTCTTTTCCTTGGTAGCCCTGAGCCCGCATCGTCCAGATCCGTCCTCGTCCACTCGGAGGCCCGCACCGTTTACCTAAATACTTCAGGCACTATCCTCGAATCCTCCCGCTCCATTTCATAATCCCAGGGTCCAGTCGCAGCCTGAGAAGCACGGTGAAACCTTATAGCTTCCGACGCCGCTGTTAAGCAATCCTCGACATCAACGGATGAAGCCACGAAGGACATGCGGCTACTTACTACGCAAAGTTCAATGAATACACGCAAATCTTAATCACAGATTATTCATATTACGGCACTCCCTTGGCTTCCTTAAAACCCGCCTATCTTTCCTGCATACTTTCTTCGCTTTCGTCCTCTCCCCCTCCCCATGGATTCCAGCAGCGACAAAAGCTCAGTCAAACGTGCGCATCCGGGATCGGTGGCGGTCAGGGTGGATGAAGTCGACGTTGCGGCCCAGCTGGCTAGTTCAAACGTTACCTTGGATCCTGTAGTTGCCGCGAAACTGAGGTTCGTGTTGCTCGGATCCATGCCCTGCATCAGCCCACAAGATCCCTCTACAGACGCAAAATCGACTGGTATCTCATGCCGCTGATGTGCCGTGCGTGAATGTATTGCTTGTTCCGTGAAGCTTTCTCATGCGTTCCCAGTCATGTACTTGTGCGTCTTCCCGAAATAGTTTGCTTTCAGATGCAGTTTCCGACGCGCTCCGCCAGGATGACGTTCGCGGATAAAACCACGTTGGGTCAATCGGCTGTTCTCGGCATCCAGTGAGGGCAATGAACTGTGTGCTAGAAACAAAGTTGACGCGTCGTAACAGGCAGGGTGCCCACCTTACGCAGAATCAGTTCAACTGGCTCGGATCGATATTCTACTTTGCGTATCTGTTTTTCGAGGTCTGCGTCTTACGTTTGCGCGTAACTCTATTCGCGGGACTGATGGACCCGCACAGTACCCTCAAAACCTCGTACGACTTTGGATTCGCCCGCGCTAACCTGCCACCTGACCATTGAGCGTAGGCGCTACAGCGCTTTCCGGTCGGAAAATGGATGAGCATCAACATCTTCATCTGGGCTGTGGCCTTGATGAGCCATGCTGCCTGCAAGTCTTTCGGCGGATTGTTTGTTGCGCGCCTGGTTCTGGGGGCCTGCGAAGGTGCGTCGATGACATTCATCCCGTGAAAGCCGTGGTAGACGTTTGGAGCCAGGTGCAATCACGCCAGGCTTCATGATTGTAACGCACTTCCTGCCCGCCGAAGATGTATTCTAAGCGCATGGACAGGTCACCTCTATGTTTTACACCCGTGATGAACAGGTGAAATCTCCCACGCAGTCTGTTTTTGGATATTGACTTTTTTTGGCGACAGAACAAACGAGTCGGTTATTGGTGTAAAGCTTCTTTCTCCCGGTTGCTCAGCGTGTCATGAACAATCTTCCAGTCCTTATGAATGGTTTTGCTGTGATCTTCCTCGGGTTCGTCGCCTTCGGGGTTTTGCATACCAAGGTAGATTGCATGTCCGGTCAGACAAGCTCGAATCTCACCGGGCCTACAGACACATGACTTCATGCCATGGCAATGGTCAGCCGTTGTTGGCCCGCGTTCCGTACTTCGCTTACTGATGGGACCCACCAGGCTTATGATTATCACCGGCCTCATCACCCTCGTGACAGCTGTCCTATTTTGGTAAGGCTTCGCGCCCTCTCGCTCTATGCATTCACAAACCTGTGCTCAGGTTCTTCTTCCCCGATTCGCCCACGAGTGCATATTTCTTGACGCCCGAAGAGCGCGTGCTTGCGGTCGCACGCATCAAGGTCAACCAAGCCGGTGTGGAGAACAAACACTGGAAACGATCGCAGTGCGTTTCAATCAGCGGTCTTTTTTCCAGCTTGTTTTCCAGGCTGACTAAATCTCAGGTTCATCGCAACTATCAAAGATCCGAAGATTTGGCTTATGGCGCTCTTTGCCGCGTTCTCGTTCGTCCTTGCTCTGCTTCTGTCCTTCTTCGTCTCATAAACTCCCCAGGAACATTATCAATTCGGTCTGTCTCGGTTAATTGACCCGAACTCAAGACCTGACCCTCGCGCAGCTCATCGTTCAGCGCCAAATCATCGTTAGAATGTTTGGCTTCAGTCCGATCAACACTACACTTCTCGGCTGTGTCGATGGTACAAATCGCCTCCTTATATACATTCTACGGCGACTGACTGGCAATTCTACTCGTTTCTAGGTGTCGTTGAAAGTAAGCACCATCTCGCCAAGTCACCTGTACTGATCTGATCATCGTTCCATCAGTTCTTACCATCTGGGCTGGCGTCGTTCTTGCTGGGTACAAACCCATTGGACGTGCTTATGCCGGCGTTATCATGTTTATTCCTGCCATCCTTGGCTCCATTCTGGTTAATGTATTGCCAAGCCACAACAAAGTAGGGTTGCTGTTTTCCTACTGGCTTACCAGTGCGTGCACTTCCGTTCCGTCCACTCCTTTCATTGACATTCACTTTCAGTCTTTGCGATCACTCCGTTTGCGATCTCTCTCGGGTGGCTCAGCTCGCTGACAGCTGGTCATACTCGGCGTGAGTCCGTCATCGAGTCGCACGATTGGACAAACAAACTTTCACAGGGACGACTGCGAACGCACTCACCCTTATCTTCTATGGGATCGGCAATGCGGTTGGCCCATTCATGTGGAAGAAGCAGTACCAGCCCAGGTCCGTGCGCTGCCCCAACTCTCGTGCACGCCGCTGACTGAGGCGCAGGAACCACATCCCTTGGGCGATCATCACTGCGTGCTCAGTCATCTCTGCCATCCTGCTGCTTGTCCTCCGCTACGTTTACGCTGCCGAAAACAAGCGCCGTGACACTCAGGGCGACCAAGACAACCTGGACGACTTCTATATCGCGGAGACGCAGCCTGATGGCACCACTATCGAGAAGAAAGTCGATCGGGTACGGTTTCGTCCCCATCGGCCATGCGTCTTTGCTGACTGTCCTCGCCCTTCAGGAATTCCTTGATCTGACGGATATCGAGAACAAAGAGTTCCGTTATGTCTTATGAAAAACGAACTGGTACTTGTATCGGTGATGAATACCCGATTGATTGGATTCCCTTACGTATAGCATATTTCCGAAAGCCTGTAATTGTCCATCCAATGGTCAAACTCGGTAACTTTGCAATGAAGATGAAGTACATTATCGAAACGGCATATGTCTTGCCCAACTGAGATATCCCCATCTGACCCACCGACATCTGGGGTATAGTAGGTTGAGGGGGTTACAAATCCTGTAATGGAACTGGACACCGATGTGACCTTCAGCTCATAGCTGGGCCGCGAGTGTTTTTTGGCCCCTCTGGGTAGGATTCAGCTGGGGGGCTGCAGAGATCATAGGTCGTTGAGATGGGATCCACGGGATAAGATCCTGGCGTCATCTCGCTCAGATCCCCGGACGCCAACAACCCCTTGAGCCGAGTGCACTCCTCTGCGAGACGATGGAGCGCTACCTTCATTTCAGGGCGAGCGGTAGGTTCCACAGCCTTCATATCTCGAATCAGTTCCTCGAAGACAAGTAAGTCTAATTGAGAGTCCTTCAAGTTCGGGAACAGCGGGCGGGAGCCATCCATATATCCTCTGGAATGATAAACCAAACATCAATGCGACGTCCATAGCTTGGTGGCGAGCATCTTGCTGCTCCTCTGGAGATACATCGCCTGGAAACCTTGAGTAATTGCCCACATATTGAGGGAGAAAGTACGGAATGGCGTTCGGACCAGTGTTCAGTGTCTCCTTCAAGCATACGACCCGTTCGAGTACAAACGTCTTAACCCATAGAGTCCCAAGCGAGATGAGCAAAGCCGAATGCTCACTTCTGTGCGTGAACCAGGTGGCCCCAACGCGTCTAGAACTCCTATGAATGACGCTCTGACTGTGATACAGTCCACAGATTGTTATTGTACAGCACCAGAGCGAAATATTCCCAAAGTTCCCCCATGATCGATTCGGAGATTTCGCAACGAGCAGAATGGCTGATTCGAAATTAAAAATCTGCGGTCAGTCTCGCACGATGAGTGGATGTGCGGATCAGGAGTGCCTAGTAGACACGTCCCGATGCCGCAGTAGTGTGGCACCGCGGATAGATGTGGTGGACTAAAATTTTGAACAACGACATGCTTGATATTCACACATCATAACTAGAATATCAACGAACGAAGCCTCTCGTATAGGTAGCCTACTACTCCTGCAAACGAGGTTACAGTCAGAGCCACGGCATAGGGGTCACGGGGATCCTCCGATTTGTCGAGGATGAATCCAGACATTGATGGGACAGTGATGGCTTGGTCGCAAGTATCGTTCGGCTGCTCTGGAGAGATTTCGGCTGGCAACCCAGAGAGATCATAAGGGATGTTAACGGGATCCACTGGATACGATCCTGACGCCAATTCGCTCAGTTGCCCGGACGCTAACAGTCCTCTGAGTCGGGTACACTCCTCTGTCAAACGTTGGAGCACAACTTGGATCACGGGGCGAGCGGTAGGTTCCATAGCCGTCATATCTCGTATCAATTCCTCAATCACGGGCAACTCTAATTGGGAGTCCTACGACCTCGCGTCAGACGTTTCCGCAGCACGATCAGAAACCGAACCTTGTGCACTGCCTCCATGGTTAGACCCCAACTGCACACATCAAAGAAGAAAGGGTCAAACGGCTTTCCAATCACGTATTCAGGACAGACACGACAAGCCGTTCGGTGGGTACCATCGATGAGCGGCTTCGTCGCAGAGGGATCGTTGATATCGTACGAGACGGAGGAGCCCAAGTCCATCAAGTACCATCGGCGGGGTATAGTCGGAGGATACTGCGTAATGACATTGAGCGGATAGATATCACAATGAGCGATCCCTTGCGAGTGCAGAAACTCGATCCCCTGCACAGGAGATAAGTGCGGCGAATTCTCAGCGATCCACACAAACCTCAGTAATCTGCTCATAGAAACCTAGAAAGTCTTCAGTGGATATCAACTTGGGAGCATGCGGAACACTAGATCCAAAAGTCTGCAGCGTGGCACAGAGAGGGCTGATTATCAGCCATGCTGGCCCAATATCAAGCACTTCAACGTAAGGTGTTTTGTTTCGAGAATCAGACCGGAGCGATGGGGAGAGAAGCCGTTGAACGATATCTCCTTCTCGGGGAAACTTGTCCTTGCCCACATATTTGAGGAGAAAATGCTCCCCGTCCTCGTTACGGCGAAGCAGCGCATGTCGTTTCGGCGGATCAACCTAGTCTATATGAGAAATAGGAGAGATTTAACACAGAAAAGAGAAGATACCCAAGTTCGTCCGCAGAGAACAGGTACAAAGTTGAAAGTGTATCCTTTCTCGCCAATTACTCCGGCCCATCGAAGCCAAGCCCATTGTGGAAATACCTCCCCGTCCTCGTCGAGATCATAACTTTCATAGTAATCCTCAGTGGTGCCTTCAAGCTTGATGAACTCCGAATCAGCTGTGTCGATGCAATTAAAAGGATACGTAGATGGGACGCCCGAATGTTTCCTGGAGCGAAGACACCTTCGTAATGCCGAGCATTCGTCTCGAATGAGGGGAAGGATGACCGAGGATGGGGGACGCAGTTTTGGATCAGTGTGCAGCATTCTATTGCAAAGTCCTTGGATCGTTGCAAAACCCAAGGAAGTAGACTGCCATCAAGATCAGATTCGACAACGTTGCAGTTCGTCCCAAACGCTCACAGTGCAGATTTGGGACATGCAAAATCCCCAACAATAGATATCGAATGATATAGGATCAAAAGGGGCCCCATTCTTATACTCTGGTGCATTTCTCCCCGGATTTGGGTTCACGCGCTCTTCGACGAAAATAACGGACGTATCGGAGTCAAGGCAGGCGGCAGAGTTAGTTGCAAGACGCCAATCGAACGGACGTTTATAGGGCATGGAAACCCGAATTTCCCCCAAGGACAGATTGCAGTGGGCGATGCCATTGGAGTGCAGAAAGTGGAGGCACTAGTCAATGAAAGTTGAGCGGGTCGTCGCGCCAAGTGAGGATTACTCACTCCCGTGATTTGGTCGAAAAGATCCAAAAAGTCGTCGGTGTACTCGAGTCGAGGTGCGGGAAAGAGACCCTCTGATATCCCTCCACATAAAGGACTGAGTAACAAGCCACCATCCATCTCCACGTCAATGACATCAGTATACAATATTTTATTGAGGGAGTGGGACCGAAGGGGTTCGGAACTAAGATTTCTAGTGAGAGAGATCATCCGCGCATCTTGCGTGTGCTCTGCCATGAGCAGGTGAGCCTGAGAAACCGACCCCTCGGGCGATCGAGAGACAAGGATGTGTGAGATGGACGGCAAGGGGATCTGTTTCACTTTTAGTGACACACTAGGGTTTTATCTCAGAATTTCTTCACCCGAAGAGAGCCATAAGAATAGTGACCGAAATTGAATGTGCAATTGTAAGGGTGAAGCAGGTGGTCCCAGCGCGTCCAGAACTCAGATGGATGACGCGAAGGGTCTGGTTCAGTCCATGTGTTGTTCTTGGACGAAAGTGTGGCGAAAAATGCCCGGAACTCATCAACCGTCAGCGAAGGGTTCGAAGACATGAGGTGGGCGGTGGACTGAGAGTGACCTGGACCATTGATGTCGGGGTGGTGGTATTTATCTAAGCCTTCATGATCAGAGTTCGAAGATCGTCACGTGAGAGACATGTGACTATCCGTGTGTTTTGCCGCCGCTAACCTCTGTTACATCTTCCTCCGTGACTTCGAGCACACAAGGGCCGAAACAGTGCACTAATTCCCGGATAGAACATATATAAGTGGGATACTTCGTTTGGTATCCTCATGTACTCGTAGACACCTCAACTGAATAATGTCCAGACCAATGATATTCGGAGTAGAGAATGTATTCGCACGAATCTACGCAAGGGGCCGAGTCAAGTCTACCCGGACCGAATTTTTTCGACTGCATCCGAGACTTTGTATGGTGACACAGAATTGAAATTCACAGCGTTCACACCACCTAACTGTGCTTGTCATGCTTCTCATCTCACGCTCATGACTCACTGAATGGGCTATGTCTCGACTGTCCAACAAGCAATAACGGGCGCTGAACCAAGGTAGCGGTACAGTAATGAATCACGCTTCTTCCCCTTCTGTCTGACTCTCCGAGTGACTCAAAGCACACCTACAATCGCACGCCAGTGCCTTCTGTCGCCCACAACATCTGATTATCTTCCCTAAAAGTCACTTCAGACCAGGCACCCTTGTGCTTTCGGGCTATTTTCATCTTTCCCAGCTGTGGAAGCTAGTTCCTCGAGGCAGATTAATGCGCCAGAAGGTCTCCGCGACTGTGTGATCATATTATTATGATTCGTCAAGCACAATCAGAGTACTTTAAAAGTCTGCTGTTCCACTGGGCTGTCTCCATCAGCTCAGTGATGAACACTCCTTTGGGATTTCCTCCCCCTCCTCCTGTCCCGGAGGAGATTCCTCCGTACATCGTTGAGCGGCTCCTGGCCACTCTTGCAACCAGTCCATCTGGCGACCAAATGGCGGCAGACCTAGCCATATGGCGCGCTGGGCCAGCTCCCCATGTGTCATCGGGGATCTGGAATGCAGCTACCCTCCAGGTCTCCTTGAACGAGTTCGGCCCGGCCATCACACAGACTGCTCTATGCCGCTGGGGACGCATGTGCGACACTTCTTTCGAAAGTCGGTTCCAGCTGGAATTCAGTGGGTTTTGTGCTTCGAGTCTGTTTTCTGCAACACTAATACAGGCGTTGTCAGCAATCTCTGGCGCCGGGGTGAATGATCTGCTGCGTAGAAGCTGCGAAATTCGGTTCGGAAACGTTGGGACTGAGCACCGTCTGCCAGCAGGGTCGACCATCATGTCCCTCCTCCTTCATCTTTGCTCCAGGTCCAGACTTTCGATGTTGAAGGTCCAGATGAAGGGATGGCAGTCCGAAGCCTATCCCACTGCCGATACCTGCTTGATGGTCCCCGTCTATTGCCATGATCTTCGAGGCGTCAGACGTGGTCTCTCCAACCCTGCGGCTGTTTCAGAACGACTCGGATTTTTCGAGCGGTACTTCGTTCTGTACGATCGGTCCACGAGTGCAGTGACCCATCTTGCTTGAATAACAATGCCCTTGTATATCTTTGCTACTTTGTACTCTCTGATCTGGAACTGCTATTTTGTTTGGTTGCCACTGCGTGGAATCCGGTGTCTGAGGATCCACCGATGTCATAACTGAAAAAATCAAACCAGAGTCCGACTCGCGGAGCTGTTCATGGGTTGGCGAGGGCGTGACCGCGTCACCGGCAGGTCTGCTCAACAATTAGTGGTCAAGCCGTGGTGATGGTCAAACTCGACGGATGATGCTAACGGTCAGACTCTCGGACGATGTGGTAAGGAGGCAGGCAGATGAGCGATGCGGTACTAATGAGGCACATGTATGTATCGAGAAACTCGACGTCAAGTCACTGGGCAGAGTTCAGTGCTCTGACTCTCGTATCGGTGGGCACTTGCTCTAGAATTCGCAGATATGATTGAACAGAATCTCTCACGGCCATGACTCGAAAGAGTTATCCAGCTGTCAGCTACCGAATTAAGAAGTGTTCCCTCAGTTTGACTGTGGGACTGAGACGCACAACCAATTGCAGAGTGCGATCTTGTTCGCTCAAGACATCTGCTTCGATCTAATGGAATGTACAATAGGCCACGCGGGCAATGAGTGTGACGGTTTGCCGGATGATTAACAGCAACGCGATCCAGTTTCGAGGCTAGCCGTCAACTAGCCACTGCAGCGTCCGACCAAGCCTCCGTGGATGACCCTCGCTTTATAAGACCTGTTCAAATGAATGAAAATCGTTGTCAGTAGAAAAGCTAGAACCAAAATACTCTTTTGCCATCAACTCTGAACGCCAGTTGATAGCGAGAACTGCATGACCATAATACAGATCGGTGGTCGTGCGATATCAGAGTGTACTTGGGGTTGAGATTGATTGAAGGCTGTTGTAAGACTACTCGACTGTTCAGTGTCATTTGCCATGCATATGGTGTGTAACCTGAGCTTTATAATACACGTCATACAATCAACGGGCGGAACATCGAGCTATCGCTGTTTGCATCAAAGACATCCAGGCTGTTGTAGGTTGGCCTTGAGTTGTTTTGGACGGAGCCCTGGAACAAATTCAACCTCTTGGTCACTGTCCTCGTAGCAGAACAGACAGATGACAAGAGCTGCCCCGGTCGGGTTCGACTGGACACGAACCTAGCGCCTTCTCCCGATGTCGACATTCTCTATGAATTCCCTCAGTCGAGTGCATTCCTCTGTCAGTCGTTGGAGCACAGCCTTCATCGAGAAGCGGTGGGTTCAAAAGCCGTCACGGCTCGTGCCAATGCTCCCAGCACAAGCAAATGCAATCGCGATGCACGCCCACCAGACGATCCCGCAACCTGATGAGAAAATGCACCTCAGAGACTCCTAGCATGATCATACCCCACATCAAAGGCAAAGGGATCGAATCGCTTGCTAATTCATTATAAGCTGTTCCCTGAGTCTCGTCGATGGGTGGTCTGGCCGCGGAAGGATTGTCGATGTTGAACGAGACGGGTGATTCCAAGTCCATCCGATGCCGTCGTCGGGGTTGAGTCGTGGGATGCTGCATAATGATGCACAGCACGGAGAGATCGAAGTGCGCAATCGTTTGCGAGTAACTTGCCTGCCTACACTGCAAATAAGGTACGTCTGATGACATCTCAGATAACAAACAACCGTTACTTATCTGCTCATCAAAGCCGAAGAAATCCTCAGTGGATACTAGATTCGGGATAGGCAGTGTTTGAGATCCTGGGGAGTCGAAGGTTGCGTTGAGCGGGCTGATCATGAGCCACACATTCGGTCTGATGTCCCGTACTTCTACGGAGGGCATCTTGTTCCGACGATCAGACCGGGGCGGCTTAGAAAGCAAACGGTGCACCAGATGTCCCTCCCGTGGAAAGTCGGACGTGCCGGAGCATTTGACGACAAAGTGTGCACCGTCTCCAATGCGGCGAAGAAATGAAAGCTTTTCAGGTGGCCCAGGCCGGAGGATATCAGAAGGAGAAAGTAGCTCCACGCCCGAAAGTAACATCATCAGGTTGTGTCGCAAAGCGCAGTCGTGAAGTCAAAGCTGGACACCGTCTCCTCAATTGCTCCAGCTTGCTGTAGCCAAAATAACTCCGAGAACTGCTCCTCGTCCGTATCCAAGACAGTTGTGGCATGGAAGTCATCGGTGGTGCCCTTGAATTAGATTATCTTAGATCAAGTGTCGATAACCAGATGGGAAAATCCTGGCCAAATGCCTGTTAAGAACAGATCCCGTGATCTCCCGCATTCGCGTCGGATGAGGGAAGCATGTCGCCAGACGAGGGGCACGGGCTCGCAAGCTCAAGGAAGCCGAGTGTAGAGGGATTTGTATCGGAACGAGAGTTCGAAGCTCCTGCGAATAAGCTTGCATTGCGTAGCTCGAAGATACACCAACCTCAGCAATGAATATCGAGAGCCATCGGATCGCAAGCAGAGCCGGTCTAGTATTCCGGCGCTATTCTTCCCGGATTTAGCTGAACGTGCTCTTCAGTAAACAGCAGGCATGGATTTGATGCGATGAAGATGGCGGACGCGAGAGTTGAACGACGTTAATGAAAGGGCTGATTGTGCGGCGGTGCAGTCCATAGCTTTTCCCAAGAGATATCGCAATGTGCTACGCTATTCCATTCCAGGAAGTTGGGGCACTGGACGAAATTGGATTGAGACCGAATCACGCCGGCTTGGGATCGATACTTACTCTACTGATCTACTTGAAAAGTTGCAGGAAGTCTTCATGTCTTCCAGTCCAAGTTCGTGCAGCAAAGCGCCGGAAATCTATCCTTGCGACGGAACGAGCACCATGAATTCGTCGACATTGGGGTTCATAGCATCAATGCACAGTCTTTCATGGAAAGGCTCGGATCGAGGAGGTTCAATGTTGAGTTTTTTGGCAAGGGAGATAACACGCGCGTCTTGAGTATGTTTTGCCACCAGCAGCTCATCCGATTGCGCCCGTTCCATGGATCCAGAGAGAAAAGGATATGCGCGATGGACGGCAAGGGGATCTGCATGCAAATACGAGTCGCATGGGTCATCCAAACAAGAAGCCTTTAATTCGCAGAGAGCGCTAAGCGTAGATGAGTAAAGTCAAAGATGTAGCTGTGAGTACAAAGGATGGGGTCCCATCGGTTCCAAAACTCCGACGGGTGACGAAATACCGGGAGAGGTTCCCCGTGAATTTGGAAGTCGTCGAGAGGGCGGCAATAAAGCAAGCAAGGTCTGAATGGCTTCCAATGACCCCGCAGGGATGGCGGAAGCGGAATGGGATGTCTAGGAACGTCCAAATGCTTCGATATGTACCCTTATGTACCGCGTGATTCGGAAGAGCCTGGCGTCAAGGATGCTGAGGTAGAAGAACAGCAATCTAAGCTCACGTGAATGTTTCGCGTGCTGCCAAACCGCGCCATGTCACATCATGCCTAGCTTGCGTCACACCGGACACCCGTCACCACTCCAGTCTCTCTCCCTCTGATCAATTCTGGAACGAATCCCACGCGTCAAATGGCCACTTCGATCTTTGGTACTTCCTCTATCGGCGTGGACTCTCCTACAACCAATGAAGAACCCAACACAACATCCGCCATGTTCTCATTCACGCTGAAGCCTGATCTGCTCGGAACCAGCGGGCTGGGGAATGCAGTTCAAACGACCTCCGCTGGTGCACTATTTGTGGCCAACGGACTCTTATCAGGGGGTGGAATCGGTGCGAGTTCTCAGTGTCAGCTGGAGGGCGCTGGTGCTCACCCTCTCTCAGGTCCCACCGCGAGCGCGAGCTCCAGTTCTCATAAGCGACGTATGTCTCATGGATTTGGAGCGTGTCAGAGGCTAAATCAAGTCCTGAAAAGCTGTCTCGCCTCCATCTTGGCTCGACGAACCCGAACCCGCGCAACCTGGACCGACTGCGTCAATCTTCGCGTCGTCTTCTTATCCCTCTGGTTCCGATATACAAACGCACAGTTTCGATGGGAAGACTGTTGTATTCAAAAAGAAGAAGACCAAAGCTTCTACTGAAGCGCGTGATGTCAGTGCACGTTGAAGCGTCTGAAACTGATCTCTTGAATATATTTACAGAGAGTTACGAGAGCAACCAAGACCTTCACTGAGCGAATGGGGAATCTGCTGGACGTACCAATTCACCGGATGCTGGAAACTCTCTCCTTGGAGAAGGCGCAGGCATTACAGGCCAGGTGCGCATGCCTTACCACTATATCTTCGCAACTTTTGACGAATTTTGTGTGCAAGTGATCTTGCACAGCCCTCTGGACCTTTGAACGAGGACGCTGAGCCAGAGCACACGCTATGGGTAGATCGGTATCGACCTCGACAGTTCTCGGACCTCACGGGCAACGAGCGGGTTGCGCGAGAAGTTATGACCTGGGTCAAACAGTGGGATTGGTGTGTATTTGGCAAGGGCAAGGGGAAGAAACGCGCGCGTCCGGACGATGAAGAGAGGTTCGATATAGCGGACGAGTATCGGAGACCGAAGGAGAAGGTGTGTGTTCTCTTCTCTGCTCTCATCGGACCCGCTCATATGCACAATCCACCAGCTCCTCCTGCTATCTGGGCCTCCGGGATTGGGAAAAACTTCACTAGCGCATGTGATTGCGCGGCAGGCTGGGTACGAAGTTATGGAGATCAACGCCAGTGATGCCCGGTCCGGTTCGATTGTCGACGACCGGATACGACCCGCGCTGGAATCGGGCTCTGCCGTCGGTAGTACGAAACCAGTACTATTAGTGATAGACGAGATCGACGGGGCAACTGGGTCTGGCGATAATGTGAGTTGTTATGTAGTCAGAATGGACCATACTCATATGCCTTGCAGTCGAGCACTTTTATAGCAAAGCTGATCCAATTGACGCAAGGTAAACCGACAAAGAAAGGTATATCAAATGTTCAGTTTTACTATGTTCACTGATCGAATCGACACGCAGGACGTAATGGTAAAGGGCGAGACCCGAACGCGAAACGGCCGATCCTGCGGCCGATCATCTGTATCTGTAATGACCAGAACGCGTCAGCACTGGCCAAGCTGCGAACCCAGGCACTCCAGGTTCGATTCGTGCGACCGGCGGATATCCATACTGTGAAGCGGTTGCGAGAGGTCTGCGAAATTGAGGGTCTGAGAGCAGACAGCCGAGCTCTGAGCACTTTGGTCGGAGTTGCCAAGGGCGACCTGCGAGGATGTTTGAACACTCTTCAGGTGTGTATTTTTCAGATGAATCATATCCCTGCTGACACCAATGCGCAGTTCATCAAGTCGCGCAATCTGGAAGTGTCGGAGATAGTCATACGCAAAGCGACTGTGGGCATGAAGGAAGCTGATTCTTCGCTCATCACCGTTGTGAACAATCTGTTCATTCCATTGACGCGGAAGAGGGTCAAAGAGTTGGGCCTGACAGAAGCCGAGGAGAACAAGTATGTCGGCCGACTTGCGCGAGAAGTGGAGGCTTGCGGGAGAGAGAGCAGCGTCGCAGTGGGTGAGAATAATTGGCATCCCTTGATTGCCCCTCACTTTGCTGACTACCCGTAAGGATGCTTTGCGCACTATGCGACGGTGCATCAACACGATGCCAATTTCTCGCGCCAGGAGAAAGCGAATGAGTGGCTGGTTACGTTCGATCTGCTTTCGACGTCGATGTACTCCGACGGAGACTTTGCGCTGCACCCCTATATCTCATACAGTCTCGTTCCGTTCTTCCCTCTATTCAAAGACCGGATGGGACAGCGCGTCGAACGTAGTCAGGTCGATTGGGAGGTGGGTTCGTTCATGTGATGGTCATGCAGGATTTGACCTTTCCATTAGAGCCAAGTTCAAGCCCGCGCCAATGAGGAGATCTACAAATCTCTGGCTCGCTGCTTACGTACCGCCAGCACTCGACACGGGGGTGACTTTCGGCATTTCGTGCACTCGCCCATTCTGCAGCTCGAGTTCTCGCCGTATATCAATCGAATTATCTCGCCGCCGCTGAGGCCAGTGAACGCGCAAGTGATCAAACCAGAGGAGCGGGCCGTGTTGTCCCGACTGGTGGACGTAATGTCCACGTTGGAACTCCAGTTCTTCCAGGAGAGAGCTGAGGATGGGCAGCTCAGTTATCGGCTTGACCCGTGAGTGGTTTACCCCAGTGTGCTTATGTTGTCTGACCCCCGACAGCCCCATCGATGTGTTCGTCACCTACGACGGGAAGCGGGCTGCTGATATGCCGGTGTCGAGATATGCTGTACGCCATCTCGTTGCTGGAGAGGTAAACAAAGAACCCAATTTCGGTTTCTCATCTTAATCGGTCGCATAGATCGAGGCACAGCTCATCGCCAAACGAGTTGACATCGTCGAGCGGGAAAGACAAGGTAAGAAACGGTTCTTAAACGCAGATTCCTCTGCCCCGAAAGCGCCAGAGGACAAGGCACCGTCCAACAAACGAGCACGAACCGACGGCCCTGTGATCGACATCGCCGATAAGCCACCGACGGACTTTTTCGGCCGACCCATCACAGTTCAGTCGGCGTCCTCAGCTAAAAGTGCTGCAAGGAAGAACGTGGCAAAAGAGTTTCGGGTTAGTTATAAGTTCAAAGAGGGGAACTCGAGTGCAGTCCGCAAGCCAGTCAAGATATCGGCGTTCATGTAGTCTCGGTGTAGAGCAAGTTTCTATTCCAGCTTGTGATTGACGCTGGCATCACACCAAAGACAGAGATCTGAGCGGGCGCAGTCCTTGCGCCGTCTACAGCGAATAAAGATGTTACGAGTACATATGTATGTCATGTAAAGTGAAAGATAAAAAGACTAGACAGTATTCCTCCGCGGGCGGCTGATGCGTGACCAAGCCTCTCTCCATGGTGAGGGTGGTCCGAATCGGTAGGCGGGTAGTTGGAATCGACCCCGGCGCAAAATGTCCAACATCAAGAGCGAGACGAGAAGCTCGACATCCGAGGCGAGTCCGTGCGGGTGTGAAGTGAGAGAAACGAAGGGGGTGCCACGAGGAAGTAGTGTGCTGTCGGCACTGGTGCTGGTGGCCGATAAAGAGGTCACAGATGAGCCGAGCGAAGACTGCTTCGGTTTGGCTGTCCGCAAAGGAAAGGTGAGAGATGGGAGAGAAGACCTCGGTGGGTGAAGTTCGGCCATCCTGTTGCCAGAGTCAATATCCAACAACTGAGGTTTCTGGTCAAACTGGAGCCTCATCACGAAGAAACAACTCACAAAGACTTCCTCGGGTGTGGCCGTCCATACGAACTCGGTGTCAAAGCGTGTAGATAGCGATAGCTCTCGCGGTCTGCTTGCAAGTCAGTGCACTGAGGCAGTAGTGTGTCAAGCTACGAACATGAGTGCGATGGTTTTTGCTGCAAAGAGGTCAACCAGTCCCCCAACTGCCTCATCAAGCAGGACGATGTGCTGGGGAACATGGCCCTCCCAGTCGATTGTGCCGACGATATCACCGGACGCATCATGAATCTCGGTGCGACGGCGGACCGGGCCCTTCGAAGGTCCTGCGACAATAGTGGTTGACAGATGGAAAGAGGGTTGGCTTGTCGCGTTATCGACGAGTGTGGTATTGAAGAGGTCTTGAGAGGTCAAGCGAAGTAACATCTTGCGAATAGTGGCCACAACGAGGGCTCGTTCTTTCTTTCGTTCTTTATGAAGTGCACGGGCGGTAAACTACTTGCCCAATTTGGATGTTCGTTTGTTATCGGCAAATTTGAATGGGCTGGCACGTACCCACAAAACAGTGATACACCGGTGGTCGAGAAACGTCAGCGGAAGATGGATTCAGGAAGCAGGCACCCTTGTAACTCGGCTGGGTTATATATCCTCTCTCGACAGAGAACGTGGTTCCCCCCGGCCCATTGTCCTCAGTTGCATTATGAGTCATACTGGTTTGTCGCTGGCTCGGATACCACGATCCCAGAGATTCTCTATGCATGTAAGACCTCGGATCGAGAATGAAAAGACGGCAGAGTAGTCGCCGTTTCTTGAGCTTCTTCCGTGTGCATCTTCTCCAAGAGAAGGGCCAGTGTTTCACAGGTTGATGTGAAGGTTCGGGTCCGATAAGTTGAAGGGGAGTTACAAAATGAGAACAACGGTCTCCTGGCAGAAAGATCTATGCAAGCTGTCGCGAACGTTCAGGCTGGCGGGCGGCGCAATTTCATTTGTCATCTAAGCTGGTGGTCTGATGGGGCGAGCTCAAAGACGACCAAAGAGCGGCTCACAGCCACCAAGGGGTTACAGAGTGAAAGCAAGATCTTTATCGACCATACCGTGTTTTTGCTGTGTCTAAAAAGCCGAGCGTGCGAGCCCATCAGTTTTATGATTTGAATTTCTTGTCGCTGCGATTGAGGAGAGGGATCGTCAGTTCAACTCCTACGAAGTCTCAGCTTAGTAAGGTGGATTTCGTGATACGTGGCTGTGTCGTAGGGTTTCCCATAGAGGACATGGACTAATATGGTATGTGCGAACATGATCCGATGCTTGGGGTCCCCAGTGATGGACATGTCACAGTGTGACTCGGCCCAGACCGACTATCAGTCGTCATTATGAACACGAAATACTCTTTGCTGTCACATGTTAAACCCTCATCAACGCGACGCGCAATCTCAGCCAAGTACTTTGGGAAGGGATGATCCAAGCACATGAGATACGCATATAATATTTAACGCTTGTATCTTCAAAATGAAGCTGCGTACTTCAAAATGTACGTGAATGTGAATGATCGATGCTTATGTACAAAATAGAATCCGCGCAAGAGCGCCGGGTGCTCGCTTCGAAGACTACATAGTCATATTTTCGCACTAAACTCAGATCTATTGGGGATATCTATGTGTAAAAACAAACGATATAGAGCTCCATATTCGTACTGATCCCAATATCCCACGTGACTGGTTAGTGGGAAGGTGGCAGCCTCGAGTTCCAGCGACAGACAGAGTGCTCAGTGCAACACCTCTGTCAAAGTCTAGGATTGTAGGTATACAACACGCAGCATCTTTTCATGCAACTCCCAAGGAAAACGGAGCGGAACTTGCTGGGTGCAGGCTGGTGCTCAGTGTACAGTTTGACCAGGCTCGATTCTTCACTATTTTGGATGGGACCTGAGATTCTGTAGGTTACATAGTATTCAAACTCGTTTGCCAAGTTTCAGAGAGAAATATGGACAATTGAACGAGTTTGAGACGACTTGGATTCCATTTTCTGATGCGTACGGAGAATTTGTTCTTGTTTGATGCGAGCTCCAGCCCTTAGTTGATGATGCTCGCTTCGCTCGCAACAAGGACATGGTCTGGCAAATACTTGATGCCTGCGCTTCACAGTCCGCGCCGCTGTGACACGTTGATCTCGAGAGTGCGCAGAGAGAGAGAGGTAAGAAACGCAATAAGAGTGCAGGCCAAAGAAGAATCGTCGAATTCAATTTACATCACGGCGTCGAGGGGAGTGCGTCCTCGACAAAGTCCACTGGCATAGCTGTGCTATTGCTGTTGCAAGGCGGCGCTTGCAACAGTTTATCAACACGTGACTGCCTCTCAGGAGACTCAAGTCTCTGCTATCAAGTATTCATAAAGGAAACTAAAGCACTACAAAATTCACTTGGGAATCAAATCCCGACGCAGGGCGCCCCTGTTGCCGCCGATCAGGAGCGCGTCAAGTCCGACAGCAAAAACTGACTACCTGTGTATAAGTCATTACGGGCTGTTCTAGTAAGCCTTTATGAGCCACAGAGTCACGGAGTGCCAGGACCCCGAGCACAAGATGATCGTGATCTCGGCTACAGACCATGTCCTCTATGGTCAACGGTATGTGTCGAGGTGTCGAAATTAACTCCTTGAATATCTGCATAGTAGTCTTCAGATCCGGATTGTCGTCAGCCTTCACCTCGGGGCTCAAAGTCGAGGTTCTCATCATAGAGAGACCAGCCGCCGGCTGAGTCGCTCTGCAGACGGTAAATTTGGACAATGGCATATTTTGATTTGTTGATGAAATTCCCACGGGCTGTTTGTATCCCCCATGTTTGTTCGCTCTCGTTCCCTGTAGTTGGTTGCGGCCCACGACTATGGCTAATCGTCGTTCGCCTATTACACACGCATTCCATCCTAGAAAGTATCACCTCCGCCGTTCATCGTCCTCTTCCCGCTCCCGCCGTTTTCAATCCAGTCCCGAATTCGGCCTTGGGCGCCCAGTTCTCGTTCCCCTCCATACCAATCTCAAGCGTCGTACATCGCGCCGCACGCTGTCAGAGAAGGTCAAAGACGAGCCCATGCCAGCGAATGAGTCAGGTTCGAAGCGAAAACGCGTCCTCAGTATCAACGAGAACGCGCATGCTGGCGGCCGGTCCACTCGGGGTTCAGGACGGCTCAAGCGCCTCCGTCTAGCCCGTTACCACGCTGAGAGTGACGGAGAAGCGAGTGGGATGGATGTGGATATGAACTCTTCTGCACGCTGGTCGTCCTCTGGCTCGGAGGATGATTCGGTGGCGAGCGGCTCTGATGACGACGAGCAGCACCGTGAAAGCAGTGCGTGCACTTCATCATACCTTCCTTGGCTTTTCCTTATCCGTTTCAGCCGACGACTACCTGATATGTACTGCTTCCGCGAAAGAATTGAATCGCCTGCGAAAAGAACACCTCGTGCGACTGTACGCTGTTGCCGGTCTTGACGACGACGACGAAACCTGTACGAAGACTGGAATCATCAATGCTATCATCGACGCTCGCGACGACCTCGCCGACCTTCCCCCTTCCTCCCCGCGCGGCGCCTCTTCGGATGAGCAGGATCACGGCATCATTGAAGATGAAGACATTCCGTCACCTACGCCAGCTGGCCGTTCGCGGTACACCAATGGCCTGCGTCGCAGAGCTACTGTGGCAGATACGCCGGGAGCGTTCTCCCGACCGAACAAGGGTGGCCGTAGCTACTCCATGGGAAATCTCACCAATTCCCCAGCTGAATCCAATGCCGTCGGGTCGGGTTCGAACACAAATGGCGAGTCTGTTTCCAGCCCTCGGTCAGTATCAGGTGCTTCTTTGGCCTCTTTCCTCGCTGACTCGCTTTTCTGTGTCTAGAAACCGAAAACCCGTGCGCGCGCTACCAACACCCTCTCTACGTACATCCTTTCCCCCTTCAGTTTCCTCCCCACCTGCCACTCGCTTGCGATCTCGAAAAACGAGTGCCACATCGTCAAGCACTTCTCTGTCAGCACCGCTTTCGTCAGCATCCGGCTCCTCGCCGATGAACGGCATCACTTTCCCAGGCTTGACTGTCACACGTGCCACTGCGGCAATTGCCAGGAGCCATTCTAAGGCCAAAGGAAGACAGGTTTTGGTGGGCGAGAGCGTCACGGAAGAGAAAAAGGAGCGAGATCGGAATGCTGCACTGCTAGCTCTCGCTGAGGAAAGTGATCTGACTGAAATCGAAACGGAGGTGGAAGCCGAGACCAACCTGAATCCAAGTCCCCGTCGACTTCGAAGCAAAGACAAGGAGCGGGAGCTCATTACCATCAAAGGGAAGGAGAACATCGACGTCAAACAGACTGCTTCGTCCGACCGGGGTGGAAGCGAGGGCGATGACGGCGATGACGAGGCAGATCAGCTGGCCACCCCAACGAGAAGTCGCGCCCGCTCCTCCCGACCTCGACCTCGGATTTCCGCCGAAGAAGTCGAGCGGACACCTCTTGTCCGCAGGCTTCGGCCCCGTACTCGTCTTGGCGACAGTCCACCGTCACCCTCACCGGCGGAGGATGGCGATGATGAGCAAGAAGAGGAGCAGATCGCCGAGGAGGAAGAGAACGAGGAGGAGCCCAGCATTCACGTCGAACCTCGCAAACTGCGTAACGGCAAGATCGTTGGTGACGACATAGAGATGGCCAATGAGGACGTTGAAATTGAGGACGATGCTGTCGAGGAGGACACTGAACCTTCTGTTGAAGGCGAGGAGGAGGACGAGGACGGACTTGAAGGAGACGAGGACGAGGGTGAGGACGGTGATGATGCAATGGTTGAAGTAGATGGTGGGTGGTTGCATGCTGCTCATCCTTGTCTAACTGCTTGTAGTCGATCTGACCATTGCCACCTCAAAGACTCTCGTTAGGCTACGTCGTGACCGACTGGTCAGTCTCTGTCAAAATCGCTCCTTGGAAGCCATCGGCACCAAGCCTCAATTGGCCGAAACGTTACTCCAATGGCGGGATCGTGTCACCGAAGCATCTTCACCTTCCTCTGCTGGGACAGTGACTGGCCGGCCTCCCGACACAGTCAAAGGTCACCGCAAGGGGTCGCAACCTGGAACACCGATCCTCTTCCGCTCTCAGCGAGTCCATATTGACGAACCACTCACTCCTGTGCCCGTCGAAGCCTCCGTTGGCGAACCGGAGCTGGAGTTGGATCTTGAAAGTCTTGGACTCGACGACCGTGAAATTCCACCAGACAAATTGCAGAAGCTGGAGAAGATTGGTAGCGGAGGCTTCAAGGATGTCTTCATAGGCAAATTCAAGAATCGAAAGATTGCGATTTCAGAGTTCAGAGGCCAATTGAATGCTAGTGCGTGCTGTTTTCACTCTCGATCAGCAATGGCTGATCTTCTTGTTAGTGGATATCAAAGAGCTCAAGCTTCTGGGTGGATTTGATCATCCCAACATCGTTCGCTTCGTGAGTGTTTCTGAGGTCCCCATGCCTGCCCGGCGTTGATTGTTATCCAGCTTGGAGTCAGTGTTCCAGAAAATCCTAAAAACACTAAAGAGTCTTCCGTCATGATCGTCAGCGAGCTGTGCTCGAATGGAGATCTCTTCGATTACATTCGCACCGTCGCAGCACCCTCGTATAACAAAGTTGTGAGTGACTCGTTACTGGTTTGCTGTCCCCAGTTGACGATCCGTTACAGATTTCGATTATGCTGGACATTGCACTAGGCTTGGAGTATTTGCATCTTCGGAAACCATCAGTCATCCACCGCGACTGCAAGTCTTCTAACATCCTGATCACCGCTAAGGGTGTTGCAAAGATTGCCGACTTTGGCCTAGCGAAGGTCAAACAATCGACACGATCCATGGTTCGGAGTCTTGTCGGCACTGTCAACTGGCAAGCACCGGAGCTTTGGCACGCCCATCCCAAGTACAACCACAAAGTGGATGTGTTCAGTTGTGCGATGGTCTTCTGGGAAATGCTCCAGTGGCACCAGAAGGAGAAGAGATTTCCCTGGGAGCACATGAATGAGCATGCCATCTACGAAGCCGTTGGAACCAAGAAACAGAGGTCTCTCTGCTGTCTTCTTCCCGGATCCGAAACTGACATTACTCTCAGACCTTCTACCGCTGGTCTCAAAAAGCAATGGTCCCCGGCCATTGTAGAGCTAATGGAACGGATGTGGGCCCACCAACCAGATGACCGCCCCACCATGTCGGAGGTCGTCGCTGCGTTGCGGGAGATGAAGACCTAAAGCTCACAAATATCTATCCCTCTGCCGACACAGTTGTGCTCCAGTAGACTTCTTGACCTTGCATTTACATCCATACAACATTCTATACATCCACTGTATCATCACAACACAATCAAGCCCAGCGTTTATGCATTTACTTGCTGCTTTTCGCGGAAGTTGCCTCGAGATTGTACTGGACGTTCCGCCTATACTTCATCGACAAATCAGCCGCGATCTTGACCTGTGAGTTTTGGCGCGCGATATTCTGCCCACATGGTGTCACATCCTCGCTCCGTCGCGCAAGGTCGCGTACCTCCAGACTGTGATTTAACTCTTTAAGGGTTTCCGTGCATTTAGACTGTGGCGGAGGCATTTGAGAAAGGGAGCTTTGCATACACACAACCAGGGCGCACCACATTGTTGAGTATACGCCCAAGGAGAACAGCTTGCTGCTCAGCATGCGGATTCTCCATTGTGGGCCCAAGTCAAGTTCCACGCGCTTGGTCACTGTGACAAGGCGTGTTCAGCAGCCGCTTGTTGCACGCTTGTTCGGCCAGCCTCGGATGCGATCGGAGCACATGTTTGGCTGCATCACCTTTTCCAAACATTCTTCCGCCGTCTCTCACAACAACCACTTCTGTATGTCTACCTCACGCTCCCCGTGCACCAAGTTCTCTGACTGACCTGACGTTAGTTTGATATAATGGCTTTCCTTGGCTGGCGCAAATGGCCGACTCCCGCAAGTGACTTCACCGGACTCTCCCGACTGCGTCTCAATTTCTCTTGTGCTCTAGGTTGTTAAGCCCTACTGGCCGTTCATGGTTGCTGCTACGGTCTCTCTGTATGGAATTTCGAAGTTGCAGGATATGGCAGTCCGAGGTGCGTCTGCCGTGCTTTACCTCTTGGGCGCATTCATCCGTACTAACCGTACTCCGTTTTCTACCCGTGCAGCGCCCGCCTACGCTAACGACCCGAAGAACCCGTACGCCGCAGAAATTGCTGCGGAGTCTCATCACTAGAGAGAAGAAGAGGAGAGGCTGGTCCGAGACGATTAGACAAAAGTAATCATTCCCGAGCGCTTGCAGTGAATGGACTCTTGTTGTGGTGGAATTTCTGTGTGTGTGTGATGTGAGCTCCGCAGCATGTTCTGCGCAGTTGTTCCCAACGTGGGATTGGTAAAACTGTCCTGGACGTCACGAACGTCGACGCTGTGCAGTGTCAGGCAGGTGCATATCTTCCCTCGGCTTGCCTTGACGGCTCATCCTTGAGCAGACTATGGGCTACCAGAGATGACATTGCGTTGAATGAGAGTACGTGGACGCCTCAACCTGTCGCGTTTTTGAGCCCAGAAAACGAAGAGTTTCTTGACGACCAGGGCTTCTCTTCCTATTCTCTCTCAAGATCTTCGATGAGCTGGTCGTATCCGGCTTCAGAAGAGATGATGCCGGACGGTCCGGCTTGTAAGGTCAGTGCCTTTATGCCTGCACTATACCGATGTGATTTGTTCCCATGATCTCGCAGTCGGGCCCTGCTCAGCTCCCGATCCACTAGCCGCGCAATTCTTGATGGATATTGCGGAAGCTTGCCTCTTCGGGGAATTTTGCGCATATTCTACGCGCAACCGACAAGGGATTATCCAGATTATCCTCTGCGCATGTAGAGCGCGGCTATTTCTCCGTGCATGGATGACCACGATATGCGCCTGCTGACCACGGAGTGCCGAAGAACGCGACACATCTCGTTCGATCCTGTGGCCTATTTATGGACCCCCAGACCAGCCATTAACGGTCCTTGAGTGCGACGAGTGAGTCGATTGATTCGAGGAAGGGAGATCGGTCACAGCCTAGCTGGGATGTAACGTCCGTTGGGTGAAAGGTAGGCCATATGCGAAATTTGTTGTCTAATGCGATCATCCGAACGACTGGTTGCTCGTCCCAAGCAAGTCGAGAATTCACGCTTCTGTAGGTTGATAACTTGGAACGCTGCGCCTTAGGGAGTATCGCTAACCACGGACCAGACGCATTCCTACTCTCGGGGACCTTGTCGCCTCGTCCAAGCCTCACCGGTGCGAGGATGCTATTGCCGGCAATGTGTTCAAGGGCCTCATGTTGGTCCTCTGGTGTGTTAATCTTGGTTCCGATGTCGTGGATATCGTGGCTACTTACTCATGTTCCTCCACGTCTGTAGGCAGAGAGTGCCTAGTGCCCGGATAAACCCGGCACGGGCGAACCGCTGAATTGTGCAATAGCTCAATGTCGACTGCAGGCACTGACCAGATCCCTCAATAGCTTGTTTTAGCGTGGTGGGACATGCCCGTGATTAGTCACAGGCACCGCAAACTGCACCAGTCTCAGTCTAGACTAGACTAGGACATGGCTGTGACTCGAGAACACTAACTGGACGCAGACGACTTGCGGGCCCAGAATATCATGAATTCCTTCGTCATTCCTGGGTTCTCTTCCCATTCTTTATCCAGGCCATCAAGAAGCTCGTCGAATTCTGCCTCCGAGGAAACGATTCCGAATCCTCCGGCCTGCAAGACAGGTGTCTTGATGCCGCGCAAGACTCCGACGTGGTTCAGCCTCATGACCTCCCCATCAGGTCCTCCCCAGCTGCCCATGCACTGATCTCTGGTTTCCTTCTGAATGTCGACAAAGCCCGCTTCGTGGAGCAACTTGGGCATATCGTAGGCGCAGTCCACGTAGAGGCTGCGCAATTCGCAGATCCGCCGATAGAGTGTGACGACTTTTTCCATGCATGGCCGCCCAGGATACGACCCCTCCGCCCACAGTGTGGCCTCTGCGATCTGGACCCATCCCCCGGGTCTGAGCACCCGATGCATCTCTGCCAATGCTGTTGGCCATTCGGGGATTTGGAGACCGAGAATCAAAAGACGTTGGTGCACGAGCGAGAAAGTATTAGACCATTCTTCGGGCAGTTTGGTCACGGAGCCAAGCTGAAACTTGACGTTCTCAGGATGGGATGCGGGCCAGAGGCGAGATTCGATATCGAGCCCGATCATATGGGTCGCCGGGTTGGTCGTCCCGGCCAGTTCGAGAATCCATAGACCTGCAAGACTCGTTTTGTGAATGTCGGACGCTCATGAGTAGCCTTGCGCACCAGGCCCAGTACCACTCTCGAGGACCTTGTCATCTGGCCCAAGGGCGACTGGGGCAAACAGGACTTTGTTGTCGAACAGGCGTTTCAGATAATCATGCTGGGTTCGCAGTCTTGCCGGCCGATGAGATATTAGAATAGAATTCCTGACATAACGGAGGTTTCTACCTCAGTTTTTCGACCTCGTCTGTAGGTAAAATGTATTCAGAGCCGGGATAGTTCTGATACGGACGGAATTGAGCTATGGGCAACGATGCGACGGGAGCTTCACTCATTGGGCAGAGATGTGTTCGGCTGCTACAATGCAATTCAGCGATCTTCTTATAAGCCCGTTCAAATGACGAACCGATGACAGAATGATGTTCGTTCGCGAGCCAGCACACTGGCAATGAGAACTTGAGATGTAGGTTACAGGAAGGAGATCCAAAAGGAAGTGGCGCCTCGTGGAGGCGAAAGAGGTCAGATACCGGCAGAGAGATTACCCCGTCAGCACTCTCGTAGATTGCGGTGGCTATATCAGTTGACAAGTCCTAGAATGCTTTGACCGAGCAGGCCACCTGGGATGAACGTCTCCATCAACTATTCCTAACCCGATGACCGGCCCAAGGCGGCCGGTTGCAGTCGGGAAGCAGATTGAAGTGCGTAGAGACGAAAACGGAATTCGGTATAGCTCAAACCAGCTCCAGACAGCGCTGCTACACAGACTTTCAAGTGTCAATCTGGATGATCCACTGGGTACCGAGTAAGGAGCGTGATAGGAGCTGTTGTGACGTCACGACTTGGTCCGTATAGCATGTGTCTTCGGACCTCTGATCCGGATGCGCACAGAGTCGGTCCCCCAAATTGGCTCGAGGTTAAGGTACACTAGGGGAAGTCAAACATCTCCCCACAGATGTGATTTGAACTGTGATTCAGTGGTGATTCAAGTGGTGATTCAAGTGGTGATTCAAGTCTGATTTGACACACAGAATCACCATGAATCACTCTAGAATCACTGCAAAATCACCTCATGTTTGACCACCCTGCTTTTACAAGTACATGTCTGTATGTAGAGTAGCCTATGAATCCAAATTGCGATGTCTCCATTGAGATGTCATCACCTGACCTTGCCTCTCTGCCTACTAATAGTACAGTACCACCATTTACACTTATCTTCCTCGAGGCTGGAACTTGACATACTTAGTGTGAAAGACTAGATTTAAATGGTAGGCTTATGCGCCCAGAAAATCATGAATTCCTTCGTCATTCCTGGGTTCTCTTCCCATTCTTTATCCAGGCAATCGAGAAGCTCGTCGTATTCTGCCTCCGAGGAAACGATTCCAAATCCTCCGGCCTGCAAGACAGGTGTCTTGATGCCGCGCAAGACTCCGACGTGGTTCAGCCTCATGACCTCCCCATCAGGTCCTCCCCAGCTGCCCATGCACTGATCTCTGATTTCCTTTTGAATGCTGACAAAACCCGCTTCCTCGAGCAACTTGGGCATATCGTAGGCGCAGTCAACATACAGGTTGCGCAATTCGCCGATCCGCCGATACAGTGCGACTAGCTTCTCCATGCACGGCCGGTCAGGATACGAGTCCTCTACCCAAGGTGTGCTCTCCGCAATCTGGACCCATCCCCCGGGTCGAAGCACCCGATACATCTCTGACAAAGCCGTCGGCCATTCGGGGATTTGGAGACCGAGAATCAAAAGACGTTGGTGCACGAGGGAGAAAGTATCGGTCCACTCTTCGGGCAGCTTGGTCACGGAACCAAGCTGAAACTTAACGTTCTCGGGATGGGATGCGGGCCAGAGGCGAGATTCGATATCGAGCCCAATCATATGAGTCGCTGGGTTGGTCGTCCCAGCCAAGTCGAGGATCCAAAGACCTGCAAGACGATTTGAGAATGTCGGACGCTCGGAATCAGCATCGCGCACCAGGCCCAGTACCACTATCGAGGACTCTGTCATCTGGCCCGAGATCGACTGGGGCAAACAAAATCTTGTTGTCGAATATGCGCTTCAAGGAGTCATGTTGAGTTTGCAATCTTTTTTGCCGATTAGAAATCAGAATAGAGTCCTTGACTTGAGAGAGGTCTACTATACCTTAGTTTTTCGACCTCGTCTGTAGGCAAGATGTATTCAGAGCCGGGATAGCTCTGATACGGGCGGACTTGGGTTATGGGTAACGATGTGACGGAAGCTTCACTCATCGGGGAGAGAGGTGTTCAGCCGTCGCGAAGAAATTCCCCGATGTTTTTATAAGCACTTCTGAAGTTGACATATAGATGACAGGTCCAATGTTCATCTGTGGGCTAGATACATGGGCAATGTGAACACAAGTTCCCGGTAATCTAGAGAGAAGAAAAGGGTACCCGGATTACGGCGACGGAACCGAATATGGAGGGGAGCTTGCCACGTAACCACTCTCATGGATAGCGATGACGGCCTTGGCAACATAGCGCCGACATGGCTGCTGAGACTCGGAGCGGACAACAGTAAACGTCCTTGGTGAGATCGCCTGATTAGATGACGGCTCGAATAAAAACGATCGAAGTCCAGGGCAGGCTGATGCGCTTAGAAATGGAAGCAGATTTGCATACAGCTTTAGCTTTGGCCTTCACTCGGAATGGCGGAATGCGACATCAGACTCATCATGAGGCAGGAAAGGTGACAATAGTCTGTGACATCACAGATCACTTTCCTGTCTTCGCGTCCTTAGCTTTCGACTTCGTACCTCTCACCTCGTGTGCTATCAAGCTGCTGCAGGCTCGTTGCTAGGCCTCACCTCCAAAAGTCGGCTCATTAAAACTAACTGCAGCAGTGAGACCTAGAACGTGTCTGTTCGACGTGTTCGACGTGCACAAACTTTCTCATTGTGTAGCAAAAGTGAAACGAGCCCTTTGACTGACTCTCGTCCTCGCGATGTCTGAATACGAACCTGATCCTAACGTCAAGATTGAATCTGTCTCATCCTCCCCTCTTTCCTCCGAGTTTGACGAGCTGTTGTCGCGACTACGAAAGTCTCCACATGATCCCCAAGGCTGGAGTCGGTTGCGCGAGCTTGCAGACGCCAGCGAGAATACGGAACAATTCAACGAGGCATACGAAGCGTTGTTAAAAAACTACCCGCACACGGCCGAAGCGGAAATCGCGTTTATCAATCGGTTCTTCAACATCCCAGACTTGCGTCGTGGAGAGGAGCTCCTGAACAGATTCCTTCGCCCGTCGCCGTTTGTAGATCTGTGGAGGTTCTATCTGAACTTTGTCCGGCGCGTGAATCAAAACTCCACGACGCGCGAAACGGTACGCAAGGCGTATGAATTCGCTCTTACCCACATTGGCCAGGATCGCGACAGCGGTTCCATCTGGGCCGAGTACATCCAGTTCCTCCACTCTGCCGAGACGACCACGACTTGGGAAACACAACAGAAGATGGACGCTTTGCGCAAGGTCTATCAACGAGCTGTCCAAATCCCGCTTGACAACGTCGAGAAACTGTGGAGTGACATGGAAGCGTTTGAGACCGGCCTCAACAAGCTCACCGCGAAGAAGTTCATGACGGACTTGTCGGCAGCCCACACCCAAGCTCGTTCAGTCCTGCGACGGCTAACGGAGCATCTTAACGGTCTCATACCCCCCTCTTCGGGAATGTATCTCCCCGTTCCCTCGCAGATTCAAGATCGGACCTTCGTGGGCCGTTGGAAAGCATATCTCAAATGGGAGGAAAGCAATCCTCTTATGCTCGAAGAGAAAGATCAAGCAAGCCTCAATGCCCGTATCAAGCTAGCTTATCGCAAAGCCGTCGTTCGCATGCGATATTATCCAGAAATTTGGTCCGTGGGTCTATGTCGAGGGATTTATATTCTCATCGTCGACTAGGTTTATGGCATACTCATGGACTGCATCTGTCGCTGCATTCAAGCCCGACGAAGCTATGACGATCCTAAAAGCTGGACTGGAGGCCAATCCAGACAGGTGCGCTCGACCTCACTTGCCGTCCCCCATCTTCCTTATTTGCCCCAAGTTTCGCGCTGACTTACGCTTATGTCGAGCTGCTTGAGAAAGCTGAGATGAAAAAAGACACGAAGAACTTTGCTGAAGTAGACGGCGTCTATGACCGATTTTTCAAAACTCTGCGGCCTGAGCTTGCACGGTTGACGGTGGCGATATCTGCAGCCTCTGCTCCAGAAGAACCGAAGGAGGAGCCCGCATTTGACCCGAACGGAATGGACTTTGCTCCTGGCATGGGCGTCGCGGCCGAAGTTGAACAGAGGAAACTGTCAGATCACAAGCAACAGCAAATCAAGCAACTGAAGGAGGAACTCGAGGAAAAGAGGAAGCAATTCGGAAACGTCTGGATCAACTATATGCGATTCGCCCGTCGTTCACAAGGCCAACTCGCCCATCGTGAAGCATTCGGAAAAGCACGGAAGGACGAATACATTCCCTTTGAGGTGTTCGAGGCAGCTGGTGGGTGAACCCCCGCGGATGGAGCGGTGTCTTTTCTAATGGGGCTGTGTCAGCTATGACGGAGCATCGATGTAATCAAGAGGACGGCACGGCGGTGGCCACACGTATCTTCGAAGCTGGTATGAAGAGGTTCGGAACAGATGCGCAATACGTTGACTGTCATTTGGCGTTTCTCATCAACATCAACGACGAAAACAGTGCGTGGGTTTTCTTCTCTTCAGATACCAAATGAGACATCTGTTACCAGACGCCAGAGCACTCTTCGAGCGGGTGATTGGCACGTTTCCCCCAAAGGACGCCAAACCAATCTGGGAGCGATGGACGAGAGCACGTTATCAGTTCGATGATTTGGAAGCCGTGATGGAGCTCGAGCGACGAATGGCAGAGGTTTATCCTGCTGGTGCGTTCAAGCGAGAATCCCTTCTCCAGCAGCACCTCATGGCCATTAGACGCTCCCATCAAACGGTTCGCTCAAAGGTATACCTACTACGGCATTGACGCCATTGCGGACCACGACCTGGGCTTTTCCAAAACTCGAAAGCTGGGCAATGCGAACAGCCAGTCGACGTCCTCTATTCCATCATCTACGGTCTCGGCTCCAGCGCCGTTGAATCCCGTATCTCAGATCTCCAACAAGCGTCCCCCTCCAGTTGCGGAGCGCGCAGAGCACAAACGTCCTCGGCAGGATGATCGAGATCGCAACCGCCGATTTCCGTCACCTCCAGCGCAGAAACAGCCTCCGACGCGTCAGGAGGTGAAGCTGCCGTCGGTTCTGCATGATTTCGTGATGATGTTGCCGGGCCCCGAGACGTTTGACGGTGTGTTCACCAACGCTATCCCGGAGAAACTCCTGCTGATCTCGCAAGCAGGACCTGTCTTCAACACTGAGAATTTCTTGATGACGTTGAAGAATGTGAGGATCCCCAGTTTGAAGCCAATACCACCGTCTCCTCCGCCGGTCAAGTCAGGCGGCCGCCCCCCGCCAGACTACTCCCCATATCAGGGTCCGCACAGCAATCCGAGGGGACGACGATACTAGTCATGATCTAAAAACCTGCAACGTGGGATACAACAAATGCGACAAACAATTCATATATATCTATAATTACAGCTTCGCGCATTCTATTCATGTCATGATTTCCAAGTGTTGTGTAGTCCCACCGTGTCATCTGATCTGTTGGCAGTGGGCTGTACATTTGAGCCCAAAGAAACGTCGCTGGCTACCCCGGTTACTTGGATGCCGTTAGCGTCGGTACCGTTCACTCGGGGCGCAGGTGATACGTGGTTGGCCATCGACTTCTCCCGGACGTTGTCAGCGCGGAGGCTCTCCAGATGGGATAGATAATCTTCATCTACACCGCCCGTGACATACTGGCCCGTAAATACGGAGCAGTCGAATGCCGTGATGGACGGGTTAAACTGTCGCACAGAGTCGACGAGGTCATTTAACGTCTGGAAGATGACCAGATCGGCGCCGATGGTGTTTGCGATCGTGGTCGTGTCTCGTCCATAGGCTACCAGTTCTTGCCGCGAGGGCATGTCGATCCCATAGACATTAGAATACCTGTTATAGCATCGGACTCTGATGCACTCCCCAGACTGATAATGGGGGCGTACCGAATCGGCGGCGCGCAACTAGCCACGATGACCTTCTTAGCCCCGACATCTTTCGCCATTTGGATGATCTCCTTGGACGTTGTCCCTCGCACGATGGAATCTGGCATCGCATCGGGTCAGTGGGGCAGAAGCCTGACATAGCCTGGCAAACGAACCATCCACGAGCAGCACGTTTTTTCCTGCGAACTCAAGAGCCATCGCATTCAGCTTTCGGCGCACGTTTTTCTTCCTGATGGACCTTATCAGATAACTCCGTTGTATGATCACTGGAACCTCACCGCATCTCCTGGCCTGGCATGATGAAGGTTCGACCAACGTAGCGGTTCTTGACGAACCCTTCCCGATACGGTAACTTGAGCTTTTGTGCCAGGTTCAACGCAGCCACTCGTGAGGTGTCAGGGACCTATATTCGATAGTGTTATAAGCACCGAACACCCGCAGTCTAAAACACTCACAGGAATGACAACGTCAACAGTGAGGTCGTTTTCATCCAGCACGCGCTTCACTTCGTCAGCCAGAGCATCACCCATAGCCATCCGACTTCGGTAGACGCTGATTCCGTCGAGAACGGAATCTGGACGGGCGAAATACACATATTCGAAGATGTCCGGCGCGAACGTAGCCGGAGCTGCAACTTGACGGCGGGAAACGCCACTGCGAGTGATGATCACCGCTTCGCCTATGAAGTGTGAGGGGAGGAAATGGGGCGAGGCACTCAAAACGCACCCGGACGGACATCTTCCCAGTCCCCAAACCCACCGGCATCGGCAACCACGCTTTCGCTGGCGAACAGATAATCGTTGCCGGTGCCTGACTTCCGGACTGCCATACCCACGGGACGGATCCCGTTAGGATCTCGAAAGGCCATGATTCCAAAGCCGGCGAGCATGGCGACACAGGCGTAGGCGCCCTTGACTTGGGTCATCATCCCTCCCAACGCCGTGAAGATATCCTCCTCGTTGATACGGAACTTGCCCGTCTGCTGCAGATTGTTGGCGAAGATGTTGAGCAGAAGTTCCGAGTCAGAAGAAGTGTTGATGTGGCGGTGGGCAGTCGCATCCATGTACTGCAGCAGGGAGCTAGTGTTGATAAGGTTCCCATTCTGTGGATGCGGTTGGATGACGGGCAGGATATGAGGGTGGGAAGACGACTCGCGTGAGCAAAGACGATTCCATACGGAGAGTTGACATAGAATGGTTGTGCCTCGGCATTGTTGAAGCTTCCAGCAGTAGGGTAACGAACTAGAAGGGTTGTTAACGGCATCTTCCCACCACAAGACGACTCTATTGACCATGTCCAACGCCCATGCCTCCAATCAGTTTTGATATCGAGTTCGTATCGAAAATATCGCGGACCATGCCGTTGGCCTTGCATTGGTAGAAACGACCTTTGGGTCCACAAGTCACGATCCCGCATGCGTCTTGTCCCCGATGTTGCAATAACGAGAGTCCTTCACAGATTTCGGTCGCGGCATCGATATTTGGATCATGAAGGAGAAGACCAAGGATTCCGCACACTATGGGTAGTGATGAGGCGGGGGAGGTCAGCAAGTTGCAAGAGAAGACGCACTGTTGAAAGGTGGGTGGTGTTACAACAGACGGATACAATTACAAAGGCACGGTAGCAGACTCGGATGTTGCAGGGAGCAAAAATTTCACTAAGCAGGCCGACGCACGTGGTGGACAGATAGGGGCTTGTGATTATCGTAATCTGAATCTGTTCTGCTAGGATCATTTCCGGCGCTGGGATTGGTTGCTAGAGGATGGTTGTACAATATATTGACGGCAATCCCTCCAAGTAACAAGAGATCTAAGAGAACAAGGTCTGTCGACGCCAAGGCGCCGGACGCCGATATCTGACACGACCAATCTGGATCCCGGGGACAAGACCAGCCAAATAAAATTGTGTATGACAGCTAGCATTTATTTCCCGAAAAATTTCCTGTCAAGTATCCGGATGACGCGATTATCCTCTGCGATACGGGATGAAGAGCCAACTTCGGCCGCCGGTGGGATAGAGGGGAGGGTGCGGGCGGTCCAGTCCACTGGCGGGGAGGAGGACACAGACTGGGCATATTCGACTGACTCGTCCCGCTTCACTCTGTCTCCGTGCTGAGAGTACACGCCGTCCGGAACGACGATTTTCTGCAAGCAAGGGTCAACATCGGCCGTCGGCAGCAGAGGAAGGTCATCGTATGTGAAGTAGGCTACATATAGAGAATCAATGACTTGGTGCCAAGTTCGTTGTTCCACGCACCGACAATGTGCCACTTACAAGCACTAGAACCAGGCCCAGAGTAGACCCAGGTAGAGTAGGCTTGCTTGACGAGTCCCACATGTGACTGTCCCCGTTCTCGGTGAGCCAGTGCTGAGGAAGACTGGCGACCGAAAGTTGCCCCTTGCACAAAACGAAATCCGGGAGAGCTGGAGGACTCGCTGAAATCCTCAGCTTGCTTCTCGTCGTAGAAGAGATAAGGCTGTGGAGAGCTCGTCTGTCCGGTCCGTCACAACTACAGGATGCAGAAAAACCTCTCTCAACCGAGATTGGCCCCAAATCCTTCCATCTGAGAGCGGTAAGTAGGGCTATAACAGTCACTAATTCCGGAGGCGCACCAGTCCATCGCTTGAGTCCAGACGGCAAACAGGACTCATGCCAAACGAACACGGCGCCAGAGTGAATAAGCAAGGCCCTCTCCTGTTTGTTCAAGCGTCGAGTTATGGGTTGCAGAAGGCCTGGGAAGGTCAGGACAGTGCACGACGTCAGGCGCGGTGTTGCGACCTAGTCGTGTAGCTTCAAAGACGACGTGCGCGTCGTGAGCATCCCGAACGTGGAGACGCGGCAGAGTGGCGCTTTGCATAGCGGAAAGACAGGACTATCAGCTCAGCTGCTTGGTCTGCCGTTGGCCAGCGAGCATTGGCACCGGTTAAAAGAGGCGAACAGCCAGATAGATCGGGGCATCTCTCCGAATTCTAGTTGCCGAGAGCAGTGAGAGATTATGGTCGAGTTTGGTAAAACTTGAAGGAGCTATCGATCTCGAGAAGCCTGACAGGCCGGGGTTGACGCATTTAGTCAGGGATATCCTCGTATTGCACTATGTGAAATGTTGCCCAATAGCATAGTCGACCATGCCAAGTTCATGGTCAAAGAAACAAAGGCGGCAGGCCAGGGCAGGCCCTTTCCTCATTCGAACTGATCCGACACCCATCAACTTATCAGCGATCAGCGGAACGCTTCCCTGATCACAATCATCGTGTTCTCGAGTCTCGACTGCAGGCTGTAACGCAGCAGTCCTATTCCGTCCTCTTCACCCACACGATGACTTTACCGGACGACAAGTTCAAAGTTCCTTCGCTAGTGCAATATTGCCAGCGAGTCGCTACAGCCCACGTCGACTGTACGCCCCCATATCGAAACCCTAGCCACCTGAACTCAACGATGGATACTTTTCAGCAATCAGCAGCGTCGGCGACGAGCTACGTTATGATCTACTGAAACCGATACTACAGCGCTGCACTGTAGAACAACTTTCCCGATTCGAGGAAGCATCGCCTGTGTGTCCAACCCACTGTTGTCGGAACACCGCATTCATCCTTCGCAGCGTCTGGTAAACGAAACACCCGGTCCGTTTCGTACTCTCGGTAACACCTCGGAGTGCTAATACTTCGATAGAAATTTGGAAAGATCTATGTTTGCAGAAGTATTCTGCGGCAGCTGAGCGATACCAGAGCGCGTCGCTGGAGGAGCCAGTATCATGGAAGGAGCAATACTTCGTGAGCCCAACCAGCATCCCATCGGATTATTTCTCTTATGACAACTTACCTAGTTTTGGTCGAGGAAGATGCTCGGCGATTTGAGGAAGTTAGTTCTAAGCTTCGGCGGCAAAAACAGGAAGCCCATGAACGAAAGAAGGAGTCCGAAATCAAACTCACGACGCAGCGCCCCCCAGGCAGGAAGCCGTGTGCGAATACTCTTAATCTTATTGAGGAACGAGCCATGCTGACCCGCTCGGCAGGGGGCATGCCAGCTAGGGTTGAACCTAAGACGCTGTTCCAAAAGACGAGATCAGAAGCCTCTCGTCTTCATAAGAACAAATATTCCCGGCCGATGATACCGCCGATGCCCGGGAGCAAAACCTTCCGAGTGCTTTCATCCAGCCACACAGACTTACTTCCCGCAGCCCGGCCGGAGACAAGGCGGGTCACCGTGACCACCGTCACCCAACGTGTTCCAGCAACGGGCGCCACGTTACAGACAGCATCACCCATGCCACGAAGATCACTGCCTGCCAATGGCGCATTTATCTCGTCCGCTGGGAGCCAGAACGGGGGGAAGCAATCCGTGCCGGTCAAAGTCCCGCTGCCGTCAATATCAAGAGCCTTGCCTGCGCCTACAGATACTTCGTCACAGCCTTCTCCTGCCAAACGTAGGAAGGCAAGCCCTAGCCCCGCGCCAGCCGACTTGCCCAAAGCGATATCGCCTGTCAAGCGGGATCCCATGGCTGCGTTGTTTATGCCCAAGCATCGAGCGTACTCGCAGCGGGCCAAGTAGTGTAATTACATACATTTCGTATTTCTTGCCGTGTATTTTCATTATCGGAATTGTACTAAAATGGATTAATTCTGGAAATTGAAATGATGATAAGTACATGCCGTTCTATTCAGTTATATACAACAGGATGGTGAGATGGTCATTACGGCGAGAATAATGCGAGTAAGTAGATGGAGGGCACATTCAAGCCCCAGCTATGAGTGCTCAATGCTGTCGTCGTATTGACGTGTCTTGCCTTTCCCATTAACAGGGATCGGCGACTCTGGCGTGAGATCCAAAGACGACGATTCCCATATGCGAATGGTCTGGTCATCAGAGCACGATGCGAACATGCTCTCGTTTCGAGGATTCCATGCAACACAATTGACACTTCCTTGCGGACTGTGCCCTGTCAGCACTTCGAGCAGAGCCCCTGAGTCCCGGTGCCAAACATAGATATTCCCATCCTCGCTGCCGCTGACCACGAAATTGCTCTCCGAGCCCCCAAAGCAGCTGTGGATGATGTCTCTGCTCTGCTTGTGACCAGCATACTTCCGGACCATTTTCCCTGACCGGATGTCCCATAATTGGATGTCCTGCTCACGATTAGAGCCCCACCTGACCCCCAAGTGGGATATAACTCACGTCAGGCGAGCGACTGATCAGCGCATACACAGAGTTATGCGATATGCTCAGACTCGTCAGTTCACCCTCGAACAGCGTCGTTCTATGACCTGTCAGTCCCATGCATGGTCATGGTAAAAGTAAAGACAGACGATAAGGCCCGCTTGGTCGCCAGATCATACACAAGCATCCGATGTTCTTCCTTGGGAGGCGGGTTCCCACCGGTTCCGGTGTCTCCTTCACCGCGCGAATCTACCACAGGAGGCTCCCGAAGCCCGATAGCCACCAGGCGGGTGAGATCTGGTGTCAGTGCCATACGAGTGAGCCGGATCGGCAAGACGTCCCACACTTCGCTCCGCAATCCATCCTTGCTCTGGAAGGAGATGCCAGTCAGATCTTTTTCCTCTAAAGAATCTTCCATACCCAGGAAATGATGGTGAAATCCATCCCTGCCGAGAGAAATCCTGAGTCGTCTGGTAGCCAAACAAGGGATGTGACCGGTTCCGTGTGTTTTTCCATAGTGCGTATACAAACACCCGTCTTCGGTAAGACTCAGCCTCAAAGTATGGGTCAAAGGCCGAGGTACAAACCTTGGTATTCCACATTTTGATGTAGTGCTCCGTCCCAGTCAGCAGAATAGAGTCGTCCGAAGACCAAGCCATGCAGATGACAGAGTAAGGATGCCCCAAAATGGATCGCTGCAGCCAGTTTCGGTCCGCCTGTTTTGTCGATCAGTAGGGCTCTCGAGGAAAAGAAAAACGCGCACTCCGAGTTCCCAGATAATGACATTGGTGTCGTTGCTCGAGCTAGCAAGCCTGGCTCCGTCTCTGCTCCACTCTAGTATCCACACTTCGCTCGTATGGACATGTAATATGGTTGTGGTAAGGCCAGGGAATGAGTCTCGATCGCACTGGTGGTCTTCAAAGAGCGAAGGCCTAGTGATAATCGTAGGGGTATTGTGATAAGTACATCGCTGTTGTTGGAAAGCGATAGCCTGGTCAATTAATGTAGTGAAACGCCGTGGGGGTATCAAAATGGATGCAGGGATAAACTCTGCAGTGAGCTTTAGCATCGAGACCAGGAGCCTAGAACGCGCTACGCACTGTGTAGCTCTGTCAACAATAATCGCCTCGAGTTCCCCGACACGCCATCCCATGCTGCCCTTCTGCGCAGATCGTCCGGTTCAGAACACATCATCAGACTGACCTAGATCAAACACATGAACAGATATTGTTGGGGATACATACCTCGAGAGAAAGTGCAGGTGATCAGAGTCGTCGTCCAGTGGCGCCAGTTCGTCGCGCAATACACGCAAAGCATCCGTTATGTTCTGAGTCTCGAGAAATTCCAAGTATTTCTGTTCACTGATCATGAAGCGAGCACCCTGCACTCGCGAGTTCGACAATACAACGCTCCGAATAGGCGCACAACGTACCCAGTAAGCGCTTGTGGTTTTGAAAGTGAGCGTCTGTAGAACAGCCTCTGCCTCGGCCCAATGTCCCTCCAGTATGGAACGCCGAAAGTCGGCAATCTCAGGAGACTCCATCGCATATCCCGACTCTGCTTCCAATGTTGCGGCACTCTCCCTGACCGCGCATTATAAGAGTTCAGTTGTCTGAATAGAGTTCTGACTCACACGTAGCCAACATCTCGCAGAGTTTGCACAACCAGACGAACGAACTCCTCCCTGTCCACCTCCGAACCCTCGTAAAGTGATGTGCCTGGTAAAGTGACACGGGAGACAGTCGCAGGGCGGGCCTGTGGTGTTCGCTTCGAGTGCCCATTGCTCTTCTGTATCCCATTCCCCATGATGCCTGACCCGCCATTAGCCAAGGGTGAGAATCCGTTAACGCTCGTGTGTCCGTTCGATGAGCCGGAGTGATCGAGTCCCTGAGACGAAGGGCCGGCAACGAGGTCCTCAGCATTCGACTCGTCCACTTCTTCTGCGCCTGGGTATCGCATGTTAGGATAGGTTCGAATGGGAAGATAATCGATCGGGGCGTTAGGGACGGTAGAGATACGCTGCCGCTTGTGAGGTCGGAGCGTTTCAGATTCTGAATTGCTCGAAGGAGCATACAGTGAGAGGTGCTCAGCGAGCTATGAAGAGATTATCCTTACCGGAGAGTGTAGGGGCGGCCGAAGCGAGGTTGTCAGACGGACTGTCAAGCTCAGAGTGAGTGCGGGTGGAGGGAAGGAGCGATGCCACCGCGGGATCCGCAGACTCCCGCAAGCGACGTTGGCTGGAAGGATTGGCAATTGTGACGAGCTGCGCGCAGAGTGGTTGGTGGTAGAAGACAGACAAAGAAGGATATTTCCGGTCATGGCCAGAATTCCAATCACAAATATTAGCTGACTCTACAGTCTCTACTGATACATTCACGGACATGTTCCTACGTTCACCGCGTGTCATAAAAAGGGTAGGGCACGACTCATGGAGCGGCTGGTCAGACGGCAATGAGGCCTGCTTCTTGACCGTCTCCATCAATGATACTCGGTGGTGCAGGCAGGCAGCGTCGAGGCAACAGGTTGACCTGACTGGGAACGCACTCAGCCTGTTATTGAGCAAACATAGCCGGCATTGAAGCGCAGCCATTGAATCAAACATGGCGCAATAGACTCGTATTCACTGCGACGGATGCGGAGACTCCGCCGAGTTCACACGAGACCCTTACGACCGCGGGCCGACTGACAGACGGAAGGACGCTTGCGTGAGAGACAAAAATATGGCGACACCCATATCGGCGGTTCCTATGTTCCCTCTACCGTGCGCCTCTCAGATAGCGTACAAGTCTGGATCCGTACCGAAAGGGACGGTGGCTACTGATCTCTTCAATGCCCGCGATGGAGCAGCAACTTCGTTGATTCATTTGTACAGGGGAACAGATCTCATTTCAAGAGCGATTTGAGCGATAGAGAGGTTTGCCCAACGGGTAGCGAGCGGACTTTAGACAGAACATCCGAGTGTGAATCGTCGGAAACGATAAGGTGAGGAAGGTGGCGGTGCACGTCAGACGCGGTCACTTGCTCAACCATTTGTGATGCATTGATATCTGATCACCTGATCACCGATCGCGACAGTACTTTTGCATATTCGAAAGTTCAAATACTCACATCTCCCCCGAGAGAGATAAACAATTACGACGCGTCAGTGCATACTTAAGACATAAAATTGCTTCCTCTGGGATGTAGGATAAAGTCTGAAGAAGCCAAAACATCACTCAGCGACATCCAGCCCAGCGTCACGCTTCCGTGACAGTAGGTCAAATTATTGTGGAGATGTCATAGCTTCACTTGTCAGGGTAAGTAAAACGCGAGCATCAGAGGATATCTGGCGTAAAATTAATTTTGTTTCGTCCGCGGGAGCAGTCACGATTGGCGGCTGAAAATTGAAGCTGTAGAGAAATAGGTTGCAGCATATGTCCAAAATTTCCTTTTATATCGCACGGGAGTTGACCTGGAGATCACGTGCCTGATGAAAGCTTGACCTGCGGACCCTGGGTTTGGTAGAATTGCTAGTGAATGTAACGAGGACAGTCTAGGGGAGCGGAAAGAGGCCACATGATGTACGTGTGTAATTAACGATTTTATAAGATTGGGTCTGTAAAAGCAGATCCGACGACGCCTCTAACTCTAAGCTCCCATGCAACTAGATTGACCCGTCTTGTGACTTCTGTCCGGATTATATGGCTGGAGAAGTTGAGTATGCAATGTAGATATGCAAACACAAGTGCGTCCAATGGGGTAGGTTCGCTGGACAACGAGCGCTATGAGTAAGTACATCGTAGAGCCTCGCCAGAGCGCACCTAGAACCCAAAAACCATTTGTCCGTGTTCAAACGATCGGCTAGAGCAGAAATTGCCGCTCGATACTTACTTTGTATATCTTTGACTGATATCCGCGTCCCGTAGGGTGGTATGAGAGAGCTGAGCCCAGACAATGGAGATGGTGAAGGCGTGAGTATAGACTCAAGAGAGCGAGATGACTTTTCAGTGAAGAATATGAGGGATTGAAGATAGGATACGGCGGGTTGGGAAACAATCTGGAGTGTGAATGCAAATGAGATGCAGCAGAACACGGGACCGGCGGCGACGCACCAGAGCAGCATGTACATCTCCCTCCAACAGAGAGACCCAAGCCCTGCTCTCATCCAACGCATTTTGATCCCTGTAACCTTCCAGCAATCGCTCCTCTTCGTTCAAGACTTCGTCGGCCCAGGAAGGAATGTGTTGCGCAGGAAGCAGTTGTCCGTCAGCCAAGTGCAGATTAGGCAAACGGCCTCCAACTGCGCCTTGCGGAGACACATCCCAACGAACAGAAACTTTCTTGAGGCCACGAAGAGCAAGATAAGCCTGCCATTTCAGACATTCTACGTCCGAACTTAAACATAGCGCTCGCGGCGGATGAATCCAAAGCGTAGGCGAATCTGGAGTTTTCCCTGAGCGAGTTTCTACAGCGGGGTATGTGACGATTGGAAAGAAAGAAAAGAGGTGTGCAAGTGGCTTGGGGATTTCCATAGCGGTACGGTATTGAGCAAGTTCACGAATCACGTAGCTTGTTTTGACAACAAACAGAAACATTTCGGCAACTTCGGTCGTTGGCGCTGACTGCTGGCGCATACCGTTCGGACTGGATCGACTCCATGTCTGAACACTCTTCTTCGGATCCATCGCGGGCTCCTTCGCCTGTATCGCCTCTTCCTCCCACTGCGCGCCCGTATAGATTCAATTGGGACTCGACACCGAAGGGGCCTGAAAGTGTTTCTGGAACTACCGAAGGCCGAGACTACTTCGCAGGACCGTCGCGTCTCAACCTGCTCAATAGTTCTACTACTAGTCTTGCCATCGGAGCATTGCCGGGACAGTGGAGTAGTTCTACTCATGGGTTCAACGGTACGTGTGTGTACACGCGCAATGGACCACTCAACCTACGCTGCGCAGCTATATCTACGGTCCTTAACAATCCCCACAAACGCCAGGCGCCTCCCAAGGCACATTCGTCACTTCCAGCCGTTCCTCCAACGGACCTACCTCGCGTTCGCAGAAAAGACTTCGACTCGTACCTGCGCGCTATCACTCCGGAATGGGAGAATCTCGAACGGAACAACCAGTTAGACCTGGAAGCGGAGATGCAGTTGGAAGGTTCAAGCACGCCTCGGGCCTCTTCCTCTCAAACGCCGTTTGTGCAGACACCGGGACGCCCATTACCGTCGTTGGACATCGTGCCGTCCGTTTTCTTCCAACCCAAGTTCAACCTCGGAGATCCTCGCACGTTCAACGCTGTTACAGAACAAGACTCGCTCCAGGCGGACCCTGTCTTCGATCCCATCGCGCTCTCGTACTCCCTCCCTCTTCTGGAGAAGTTCTCCCACTACGCAGATACCGTCGAGCAACACCTCGTTCGCGAAATATCTCTGCGCTCTGCCTCGTTCTTTGCGGCACTCACGAATCTGAATGAACTGCAAAGCGAATCTGAAGAGTGCTTGGATCGAATATCCAAGCTACGCACACTCTTGAAGGATGTCGATGAGAAGACGGCCAAGAAAGGATTAGAAGTGGTGCGGACAGAAAGCAGGGTGCGAAATTTGGGCAAGGTGCGCGAGAGCGTCAAGTTTGTTGGTGGTGTGGTGGAGAAGACAGGTGTTGCCCGGAGTTTGGTGGCTTCGGGTCAATGGGACAGTGCACTAGATGTCTTGAGGGAGATGGAGGAAATGTGGGACGGTTCCTCGACTTCAGAGGCGCGCGGGCTGGTCGCACCTGCGCTAAGCAGGTCTTCCTCCTCTCGGAAATCGCCTGGTTTTCGCAGCACGGGAAGTCTCGTCTCGACGCCAGAAGAACGGCCATTACCGCCGCCGCCGTCGCCACCACCTATACCTCTATCGTCGCTCAGCGCATTCGCTGCTTTGCCCGAACACTTGCGTGTCCTGACCATGGAGATCACGACCTCGCTCACGAATGATGTGATGGCGGTTCTGAGAGTGGATCTGTTGGAACGAATCGGTGGAGACGTCCCATCCACAGAATCGCCAGAACGAAATGAAGTTCTCAAAGGTCGATTGCGACCTCTTTTGCAGGCCCTGAACCGAACGAAGGGTTTACGGGAAGCTATGCTCTCCTGGAGAGAAGTCGTCATGGATGAGACACGCAATGTGATAAAGCAGGTGCGTGTCCGTGTATGCCTTCAAGCTGTTGCTCATGCGGTGTCTGTTTCTTCCAGAGGCTTCCTGCGTTCGATCTTGGGAGGAAGAAGCTTCAGGGGAAGCTTCCAAGTGAGCACAGCATCGACATCTTCGAGACATGGATCATGACATCACGCAGGACCGGCCTCGCGAATCATCTACGAACAATGGGACACTCTGATTTTCTCGCTCTGCTACAGGGGATCTACAAGAGTTTCCTGAATGGAATCGAGGGGCTGAGCAGCCAGATTGCTGCGCTACTAGAGGTAGTCGGGTCCGGCGCAGATGCGGGATCGGACAGGAGCAGTCTACAGGACGACTTGTCAGATATGCTAGGCTCTGCTGCAGAACTGGCAAATACACAGGCAGCTAAGCTGGTTGTCATGCGAGCTGAGCAGCACTCGGCCCTGCCCCTATCGGACTTCATTGCCTTCTTCGACGACTCCTGGTCCTTTGTCATCAAGTGCGAGGTCATCTGTCGCAAGATGTTTGTCGGGCTTCGCGGTGTCATCATCAGCCAGGTGCGGATATCGTCCCATTTCAGACGAAGGATTGACCCCGCATTGTATTACAGTCCAAGACATTCCTGCAGGCATTCCATCAAGCTCGGTTGATGCAGTCAGGGAGCCTGGTCGAGAACGAGCAGTGGGAGCAGATTGATGTCACACCCGCCATGCAAAGCGTCGTCAACATACTGATCGATTCCGCCGTACAAGATGTGCCTTCGCTGTTACTTGCTAAAGGCTCCGACGGGACACTACCGTCCGTGGGCCTCGTTGCACCCTCCGCTGATGGTGCGAACGGTCGCACACCAACATCCCCTTCTGCACCGGTGATGAAGCGGTCCAACGGGTCATCGTCTGCCAAAAATGCCAAGACGCGACTGCGGATCGAGGAGCGCACGTTCTCGCTGGTCTCGGCCACAGCTGAGACGCTGACGTTGCTGCTGGACTACTTGCGCATTATAATGAATCTCTCGATGCTGACAACCGACACGATGAGTCGAGTCATCGAGTTTCTGAAGGCTTTCAACTCTCGTACGTGTCAAGTCGTGCTGGGTGCCGGTGCGATGCGGTCCGCGGGTCTTAAGAACATCACCGCCAAACATCTGGGTAGGCGCTTTCAAATCTTGTATCCATGACCACTCTTACAGCGATAACAGCGTTGGCTTCCCAGTCGTTATCCATTGCGATTGGCCTCATTCCGTACGTTCGGGAGACATTTCGGCGACACCTCAGCCAGAAGCAGGCTGTGATGCTAATCGAGTTCGATAAACTCAAGCGAGTAAGGGTCGATTCCTCACTTTCACAGTCGACTGACGAACTTTCCCACAGGATTACCAAGAACATCAATACGAGATTCATGCGAAGCTCATTGCTATTATGGGAGACCGCCTTTCGACCCATATCCGGGCCTTCCAGGTTAAAACTTCGGTTGGTCGAGAAGACATTGCTTACGCAATTTCATACAGGCCGTGGACTGGACAATGCCAGGAGAAGGCGTCAACAGTTACATGTCTGTTCTGGTCAAAGAAACTACTACATTGCATAAAGTATTGTCACGACATCTCTCCGCCGCCGTGATCGAGGTATTGATACTCTCTTTTGGCCTCACCCTCGATGAACCCTGTTTTAGGAAGTGATGTCCCAGGTGTTCGCCGCCATCAACCACCGACTGTCGGAAGAATATGGACAGCTCGTGCTGCCGAGTGAAGAGGCTAGGCAGAGGTTAGTGGGACTGAGACAACTGGTCCGAAAGCCGTTGACTAATTCGATGCGTCTAGACTGCTCGCCGATGTACGATATCTACACCAAGAGCTCTCGAAGCTCAAAAACGTTGGAGCTCCAAGTGGAATGCTGGAGCTTGTGATCGCAGAACTGCGCATCCCGCAAGCGACCTCACCGGCTGCTAATGCGACCAAGTTTGCTGCCAATGGCAACTCCAATGCCAATGCCCCAGCTTCAAATTCTCGGCTTCTTGCGAACCGACTTCGATGGAATTCTCTCACTCCCAATGCGGCAAATCCGACTTCAAATCCGCCACAGGCTCAGAACGGACCAGCTCCCAATCCAAATGAATCATCTCTGCCAGTCACGCCTGTGACGATCACCGCACCGTCAAGGAAGGCCTCTTCTTCTGGGTTCAGGCAGATGGATCCGACGAGTCCCGTGCCAGAGGGTGTCGGGCAGGACCCTTTGCGCGTCACCACGCCAATACAGCCTGTTCCGTCGCCTGTTGAGCCGGTGGCAACACGAAGCGAGTCTCCGGTGCCCATCGATCAGGAGGCCCGTCCCCCAGATGCTGGGTGAAATGGAGGGCATTTTACTTGAGGACTACGTGTAGAATCAGCTAATATGGAATGCGATGGTGCGGATTGCGCAAATTATGCTTTGGGGGGTTATCCATGGGTTCCATTCTTCACGAAGAGCGTCCCAGAATAAGTGACAAGGCGATGATGGACAGCCTGTTGACGATCTTCTTCCACATAACAATGGGAGATCCAGCGTGCACGATCTCGAGAGCCGGGGATACCAAACGAGTGCCCGAGCGAAAGGGCTGGTCACCCGACAGCATCCGGTGAGTGGGAGGGATGTCGGGTGATCTGATCACCCGAGCCTTCCGCCGCACTGAGGTCGGGTCCGGCGGGTCTTGGGCCCTTGGGACTCGACCACCATTCACGAGAGCGTAAGTATGCTCAATTTCCCGTGATGGCAAAACCTGGACCCCCTTCCGACACATGCGGCGAGTCCAGATCCGGGAAACCGGTGCTTTGGCGCCAGTAACGTTGAGCTCTTGCGATCATCGAACTTTTCCGTCAATCACCCATTGTCCTTACCTCGCCACAATTGGACCCACGACGACTCCTCTTTCGGCTCTGAACAATGGGCGCGCTTAGCTCCCGCCGTTTCCAATTGCTCTTTGCCGGGCTGTGATATGGACTACCCTGCACATCAATCTTCGTCTGCCACTCCTGCAGCTGCCTGTGCCAGTTTCCATCTAGTTCTCCGTCTCGGGACGTCAAACACGTTGGTGGTGAGCTGGTGGTCTCCGCTGCAGCTGATGTGAAGACCAAGCCCTCACTAAAACCATGATTTTACCTCTCTCGGTCCGCCGTCCCGGTCCCAGCTCTCGGCTGCGCTCTTGCCTTTCGCGCTCAGAAATAGGCTCTGGGTGTGCCTGTCTGCGAAGGTACTCAATCCACTCTGGGAATGATCTAGAGCATGCATCATCACGTCGATTGCACCATTCCCTCCGGCTTTTGAACGGTTCTGCCAACGTGGACCAAGGGGGCCCGAGCTTCTGGAACAATTCATCCAAGCTCAATCCGCGTCCAGGCCGCTGCTCGCGTGTAGGCAATACTTTCCGGTGCCGCAGTCGAGGCCACAATCAGTTTTACACCACACACATTGCTATACTCCACGCTAGTGCTTGCTTGACGAACTGCTCGGACCCGATAGCGGACGCACTAGCGGAAATAGGAAAGTCTCTCTCTACTTACAGGACGATCAAAGTGCAAGCAGTCCGGTTCGTCCTACCTGGCCTGTTTTGTCTTCTCCGAGGTGTTTTCTGATTTCTCTCTGCGTAATGCCCGGTCTTCGCGGCCGATCCTCTTCGCGTTACATATTCTGCCAGCGCGAACTCGCGTGTTTGGAGTGAGCGGGGAGCATCTCCTCCTCGGTCTCACCCCCACCCTTGCTCCGATTTTGTCTCGGATCCGCCGTTCTTCGGCCTATCGATAACAAAGGCTCCAGAAGGCTACTGCTGTTCTCCGAATCTGCGCCTATATGACCTTCATGTACTGGGTTCTATCGAGACATTAATGGATTCTCCCAGACTAGCCCTAGTGCGGTGGGCAGTCAAGTCAATGAGATATTCATGGCCCTGCTCGGTTTCGATCACTGGCACGCCACGACTGTGCATGCTGGGTCCACTCGCCTTAATATAATATATGATGTTAGCCCCGCCGTGATATGACTCGAATGCATCGTTGGGCCGTGTTCTCTTCCATTTCACTGGCTGCGATCTGTCCATTTGAGCTGTCAAGCCTGCGCCGCTGCAAAAGCGGGTGGACTCCGCCGCCCACAAATCAGTGATTTTTATTTATTCAGAGAACAATTGCAAAACCTAGAGGTACCGATCTGCTCTGCGGTACTGCCGATGATAGAGAGGGCGCTGATTTTTTTTGCGTATGGTTTCAAACCCCGACAGTCTCTAGCCTCCACTTCGGCTCTCCGCGGTGCGCAAAGAAACTTTCTCGTTCGTACATTTGCTATTCCGAATACTCTTGTGTTGGCCGCCGGCAGAGGCATTTAGTGCGCTTCTTGCACGGGGAAGATGTGATCCCACAGCTGTTGGAAGGACACGTAGCCTGTGCCATCCGTCCAATTGATACTGTGAGCACTGATAACGCGTGCTGAGCCGACGGGGACCTGCCTTTTGAGGCCTGTGAGCCTCGTTGCCCATCAAGACAGATCGTTTGCGCTGTCACATGGGGCTGACCTCCGGTGACTTGCACATCGTCGAAACAACGTCGGGGATGTGATAGAAAATTCCGCCCGCCATATTTGGACCGAGATCCCTCCGCGAGGGCTGTGTCACCGCCCAGAATCGTTGTTTGGGGCAATAACAACATCTGGACGGGCCTAGCCACATTGCCGGCATCGGGCTGGGATCAAATACTCACTCGGGGCGAGAAAAAATTGCGCTGGACTTGCGGCCGATCTCCGCGGTTTTTCTGTGCGGGAGTGTTATTTTGAGAGTTGATTTTCTTCCTCGGTATCAGATGGACAGCTCTCACAATCATTCTTCGCCTTCGAAGCGGAAGCAGAGGTGGGATGATCAGGCTTTATGCCAACCGGCTCTCCAGAAACTGGGACGGTGCCGGTCAAGACTTGATCGGACGCGCTGACTACTCGTGACGCGCGAAATCTTGAATTAACTTGGCATAGCAGTGAGTACCCGTCCCGTGATCGCGTGATGCAGCAACGTTTTCCGATTTCATTTAATAATAATACTATGGTCCTGCATAGAAACAGGGGATTTGGCTGCTACGAATTTCATTTATCAAGCACACGGTGGCCCTCGAAAGGGACGCGCATATTGGACTCAGATTTTCGAGGATGGGAATGCTGCAGAGCATGGAAAAAAAGCACGGGTAACTATGACGCGAGATGACGGCGGTCTTTTGGTCTCGAGCAAACATGCCTTGCAACGGTAAACGTTCCTCGGACTTTGCGCTCCACCCCGCAATGCGATCGTGAGACTCTCAAATGACGTGTAATACATCATCACGTGAGGCATCCCAATTGGGATACCGCCTCCGTCGGCGGGCGATGCCGTGTCATGAGCGCGTCACCAGGCAGGAAAAAGTGAAATAAGTGCGAAATACGGCGGAAGGATCACATGTTCTTGTTATGTATGTTGTGCTCTAGAACGTTGGGGCAACAAAAGCTACATGACAGGAGAAGTGTGAACGTTCCAGGGATAACAGGGAGACACAAAATACAACAAGGACAGGAATGGAATGAGGCGGCTTGTTGTTCTCTGTGACTCGGCGGTAATGGTAACTGCTGTATAGAGTCAGATACTCGTTCGTTTGGTTTTCTAGGATTGCACCACTGCTTCAAGAAAAAGCGAATGCCGCAGCAGCATTCTCAGCTCAGCACGTTCTCTCACCATAAACGTGCCGACCGGCACGAGAAGAATTTTCAAGATCGGGGACCTAATCCCATTTGGGAACGCCGATCGGGTACCCCCTTGGTCAGATCGAGATTTGCCGAGCAAGGAGTCACAATTTTTGTGGGAATGGTCATCAAGGGTATTTAACCAAAACGTGCGGGCGGTCTCATTCTCTCAAAGCCCCGCCTTCTCGATTGCGACTTCGACGCTCACCGCCTTCCGCTCATGTTCGAAGACTACTGCCTTGCCTGTGGGAAGGAGCTCGTCGACGGGTATGTCTCATGCTCCTCCCTCCAGCTATGTTCTCACCGTCTCAGGCGCGCATACTGCAATGACGATTGCCAGGCGGGCGACTCGCTATCACTCTCATCCCCTTCGATAAGCTCTACAAGCAGCGCCGTCTCGTCGCCCTATCTCCAATATACGCAGAGCCAAAACGACGTCCCTCCCTTAGTCCTCTCACTCGGCCGAGCGCTGCGAAAGCACTCTGCATCCAGCTCTTCCAGCGCTTGGTCAGAGACCGACGATGACGACACCAGCGCGAGTGAATTCGACTCGGCGGACGTCGATGCAAAAGCCTCAGCGTTGTTGTACACCCGCAAGCCATCGGTGGGTTTTTCGAGCAATATCTCTTTCTCTCGCTTACCTCTTCCGTAGGGTACCAACAATCGCTCTGGATTTCTTTACGCATGTGCTTCCATTAGCGGCCACTCGCGCACCACCTCTACATCGGCTTCCTCGTCGTCGGCATATATCGAGCTGCCGGCCTCCACTTCAAACTTACATCTGAGTTTGAGTGCCCCGGCATCCACTCTTCTCTACGAGTCTCATGATCTGCCATCTTCCGACACGGAGGAGTTCGAAGATAGCGCACAGCCAGCCACGATCACGTCCATTTCCACTTCTGGAGGCAAGAGGAGGAGGAACCGAGCCAGTCTACCAGCCTGCTTTTCGCTCTTGCAGATCGGGTCGAGCTCACCTTCTAACGCGAACGCTCCTGGCATCTCCCCCATCTCATCTTCCTCTGAGCACACTCTAAGTGCCGCTCCGATCTCTTTGAATGCGAGCACCCGGCCTTCGCCCCCCACTCCGAAGATGAGTTTGCTCGCGTCTGCTGCGATACATGTGGTCCAGCAGAAGGACAAGCACCATACACCCCGTGGACGGCGTCAGCTGTCATCATCCCCTTCGTCGTCAGCCCGATCATCGCTGTCGCGATCCCCTTCTCCCAGCCGCCGGCGCGACTCGGATGAAAAAGTTTCGGACTGGTCAACGACAGTCGCGCTCGAACGAGGGCGGGCAACGCGACGGAACAGTACGCCTCCGACCAAATTTTTCGCTTACGCGGGGAGCCCGCGTGTGCGGCTGAGCATATCTCCTCGGCTGATCTCAATGGAGCGGCAGAGCCGGTCTCGTGCCCGCAGTCGTTCCCATCGCCACCTCCAGGAGCGAGGTCATCGACGCGAGGTCGAGCCCGGGTTGATGAGTTGGATGGTACCCGGAACAGTCCAGACCACCCTGGGCTCGGTAACGGTCGGACTGGGCTGGTGGGTCGTGGGTTTGTGATGCAGAAGCGTGGAGGATGGTAGCGCGAACGTCGAACAAGGAATTTTCTCCGACACGACTCAAAACGACCCTGCATTGACGAAACCCACTGGCCTCGCGTCTATTTTCTTTCCGGAACCCCATTCAATCCATCGCAACGCAACGCAACGCAACCGACAAGCCAAAAATGTACACCCACCCACCGCCATGACCACCACCACTTCTTCTCTTCACCTTGGGATCTGCTGCCTTTCCACATACCGCCGCTCGCATAGTTATATCCGGTCGCATTACAGTACACGAATTTCGCATACATCCACCATCCATCGCATTGCATTACAGCCACGCTCTCAACCACAACTCTAGTAGTCGCACCTATCTTACAAAAACAAGCAATAAAAGCAACCTTTTTGGGACTGCCTAATTGTATTATGTGCATGTGAAATCTGTGAAGAATGTGAAGTGCGCTTGTGTGTGGCACTAGACTGCAATGGAAGACTGCCTTACGCCAAACGGTGGATGATGGGACAGCGTGTTCGCCAACTGGTTTGGGAATGCTCCAACTGCTCTCGCGAGGGTTCGAGAGATCTCGGGCAAGCCTGCTCCGTCTCGCGCGACGAATCGATGGGATGCGCATGCAGTAACGAACAATATCGCAGCGACACCCGGATGGGGTGAAACGTGGCCCACGCCCAGCCGTCCTGGTTCTCCGGAGCAATGACACGGAAGCTGTGGAACGTGCACAGCGCGACAACAGGACGCGTTGTGGCTGAGCGCGATTTCAACGCGTTTGGCTATCAAAAAATATGCTTGTCACGAATAAGGCGTCTAATTCTGATACTTTATCAGCTTGTTGGTGGCGGCAGTCGACGCGCCCTGGCGTGGCATACACACCGGCGCATCGGGCGCACTTTCTGGCTCAATGCACGAACGTGCCAGACATCACTCACTAGGCTGGCAGAAGTAAGCAGGGCTGCCTTCTCATGCGCGCGGCGTGTGTGTAAATTCTAGCCGTGCATACATACTATGATATAGACACGTACACATTCGTGCTCAGCCCCCGGGTCCACGACCTGCGGATCTGCCCCAAAACATCCCGGCGCCTGTCGATCTCTCCGTCCCGCCCAGAGCAATGATGAGCGCCACTAGATCGGTCATGTAGTCGCCAGGTGGCAATCTAGAGAGATCCACTGGTATTTCACGGAAACAACAACAGAGTCTAATTGGTCCAAGAACGGCCGTCATGAGATCCGTATTGCAAGTTCTGCAACTCCCGAGCAACTTGCGTCATCGGAACTCGGTCCGATCTTCTCCTTGTCTGTCGGAGTATGAGAGGACTGCACAGAGCGTGCAGACAGCGGCCTGATTTCCGTACCCTTCTTGATCGAACACACCCAGTGCACCTTGGCTGACGAGCATTGGATAACACGGCTGTAAGTGCAGCGCACCCTGAGAGTAATGCGAGGCCAGCTGCAATCATAGATCCGATGTCGAAAAGAGAGGGAGACGAGGACGGAGATTCCAGGGTCCGGCGGTTGTGTAGTACCATGCCACTGCCAGAAATCCACCAGACTAGTAGCAACGGTGTCTGAGTGGCACGACATACGGCGGCGTCAAGATAGACATCCGATACTTGGAGGAATTCAATTTTAGCCAAGATTGAGACCTAGCAACCCACATAGATGGCGGTGTATTAACTTGGTGCCACAAAAGCGCAGCGAGAGTGTACCTCCGATTACGTAAGTGACGATCTGGCAGCATCAATGCGGCTTTGATCAAAACGGAAAAGGCGAGCGGCGATTTCCCTGGTCACACTCCAGAATGAGCACCAAATATCTCAGATTGACGGAAATTCGGCTGAACGGAGCTTTTCCGCAGAACACCGCCTCGATAAAAGCAGCTCAAGGTCACAAGGGTAAGAAACCAAGTATTCACCCAGCGGATCAGGCATCGAGCACTGACGTAATGATCAGGTAGCACGTTGATGACAGAGACCGCATCACGAAGTCTGCCGCTGGAACCCGATCTCGGTCCAACACGATGTGTACAACGGAGACGAGCGTCCCACGTTTTACTCAACCCTCGTTATGGATTTTTTTGACCTAGACCGCACGTTCCCAAAACTACGCCCGCACCTCCCTGTCTTTCTGGCATCATATGCGCTGTTCAATGTCATCCACCTATTCCTTGTCCCGCTCATAGGCAATTTGCTTTTTCCTGCGCAATGGAACAAAATGAACAGACGGGCACGGAATAATTGGTGTGTGTGTGATTTTTTTCCGGTAGGGATCGCCAATAAATGAACTTTTCAGGGCTATCCACGTCTGTTCTCAGGCTCACGCGTTGATCATCGTGCCTCTCGCGTTGCGTCGTCTGCAGCTACCGGAGCTAGATGCGAACCGCGCCTTCGGCTGGAACGAACAGAGTGGGACCCTGCAGGCTATCGCAGTCGCGTGCGTTAACCTCTCCTCCCCCTTCGCGCCATAACCTTGGTCGTCAGATACTTTTTGTGGGATGCAATCGACGCGATATACAACTTTGAAAGCGTCGGGTTCGTGCTCCATGGTGTCGCCTGCACGGCTATCTATCTGTGTGCTTTCGTGCGTCCTTCAGAGCAGCATCCCTGATCTGAAATTGACGTCCTCACGTAAAGAAACCATTTCTTGCATACTATGCCGCACGATGCTTGCTCTGGGAAACGTACGTATTCTTCCATCCCTGTGCGTTGTTGCTGACATTCGAGCAGGAGCACGATATTCCTCAACAATCACTGGTAGGTTCTCACACCTCGCCGTCCTCACAGAAGTCATGACGTTGCGCAGGGCCCTAGACAAAATGAATCGCACAGGGGGGACTATGCAGCTCCTCAACGGCGTCTTCCTGATCTCAAGCTTCTTCCTGGTCCGGTTGATGTACGGTGGTTACACCGTACGTGCTCCGTTCTCAGTGTCGAGCTACGCTAACACGCCGTCGTTGCCGCCAGTCGTACCACTTCTTCGTGACTCTCCATCGCTACCGCGATCAAATTCCACTCGCCGGGGCGATAGCCATTGGATCTGGGAATATTCTCCTCCAGGGGCTGAACTGGTTCTGGTGCGCAAAACGCTTCACCCTTGCCTATATCGTTTCTCACTCGGCCCTAGGTTCACCAAAATGATATCATCCCTCCGGAAGCGGTTCGAGCCTGAAAAAGCGGCGAATGGCTCGGCGAATGGCCGCAGTCACGGCGCAACCAATGGCTTCAAGAGAGACTGAAGCAATGTTGTATGTACCTGATTATCTTATCTTGAAATTAGATATCCTCATCTCAATCGCACGTGACTGTACTTGCACACTCTGCCGAGTATCTTGCTCCGATGTAATGCATGAAAGGCTACCGGTTAGAACTCCTCTACCGCCCCTACGCAAGAACGGGACCAGCTCCTCTCTGTCTGACGGTCATGCACTCACATGACCCATCTCAGAGATGTGACGAGCTAGATGAGCTTGATTTTCTTCCATGGGGTGTTCGGTGACGGTGCGGCCGACCCTCGCCTCGACTTTCCCCCGATGGTACAATACAATGTGCGCTGCAACACAGATTGGGGGGATCTCTTCCTCGCGTCCCTCATCCACTGCGTGCCATTGGCACATTGCCCTCTCTGTTGACGTGTGGAACGACGGGATCATCTGTATCAGGCAGTGCAAATCCGCCTCCCGGGCGGATCGCACCGGGTGGTTCTTGCGCAGATGCTGTACCGCGCGGCGCGTTTTCGATGCGTTGCCGTCAGGATGGCAGATCGGAGGGTGTATGTTGTTCGCGCTCTTCTTGCCATCGAGATGACAGCAGTAATACAGCAGGACATGACTGGGGCGAACTATCCTTCCGGGGTGCCTCTTCAGTACATCTCCGCCGGAGGAAAAGGCTGCCTATGTCCACTGACGGGGTTCGCGCGGGAGGAACGAAGGTGTCTTGGAGCGGCGCGCAGCAATCAACGTCCAGCACGTCCGTTTCGAAGAGTCACGCTGCATCGACCGGATTGGCAGTCGTCGTGCACACGATTGGGTGTTTTAGCCATGCATGTCAGTCGATGATCATACGTTATCCGCCCGATTCTCATCGTTGCGTCAATGGACGGCTTGGATCTACATCTTGCCACGTGGCAAGAGGATACTTGCGAGAATTCGAGCTTGTGGTGTATTGTTGCGAACTCGTCTCTAGACTCTACCGCATTGACGATCTCTGACTGGGTTGATCGCATTGACGACATCCTGATCTTCAGATATGACTGTTCGCTAGAGGTTTCCGTTCGCGGGAACAAGTTGTTTATGTTCAATTAAGGGATCGCATTTAATTTGGATTCCAAGCGGCAGAAAAAGCGGGTCGAGCAAGCGTTGAAAGTCACGATTCATGATGAGGTCTTGGCATGAGGCGCCATAATGCCCTAACAAACACAAATCCAGCTCGGATGGCTGAATCATCCGATCGTACCAAAGATTGATTCAACGTCTCGACTCTTCGGCGACATCCCTCTCCCTGGTATGGCGACCGGGAAAGCTCAAGATTTGGGGGACGGAAGTGCCCAAGGTTGCCGCCGCTTTTGAGATGACGACAAATGTTCGGCTCACTCGGCCTAGCTCTGCAGGCGCTGCTGAACTCGCTCTCGCCTGGATCAGAAGCTCAGCCAAATCAGAAACTGGATCCAAAGACCGTTCAGAAGCTATCCGAAAAGCTGAATGAGCTGGTTGGAGGTCAATTGGGAGAGGGTCAAACTCAACTCCGAAATGAGCAGGGACAGGTCCGTCAGTACCCCGTCTATCGGACCAGCCCTCACACATCCCAACTCAGCTTCTCAATGAAGAGGGTCTTCCGATAATCGATATTACCGAGCCCGTAGGCGCCGTCGATCGCGCGTCCGAACCGGTCGTGAGGGAGGATATTCTACCCGTCTCCCTCTCATCGCTTTCCGCATCAGAACGCACGCGGCTTCGCCTGCAACGAGAACGCATACTCGATCTGCTGGAGGAGGAGGAACGAGCGATGCAAGAAAAGGAAGAGCTTGCTTCCAGGGACGAGGAAGAGCAAGAGAAGCGGGACAAGAGGAGGAAGGCTGAGGATGAACTCGCGAGGCTAAAAGCGAACAAGGAAATGCAGAGGAAGATGGGAAAAGCTCTTTTGAAGGATATCTCAAGCTCGAATCCAAAACAGACAACGCCTATCGGCTCATCCCAACCTACGGCTCCTCGGAAGAGTGTCAAGTTTGCTGATGAGGAGGAATCTGAGCCACAAGTCGCAGTCACCGTGGAACAAGACTGGGGTGATGTTGTACCTGCGAGGTTGCGAGCGAACAATGGACGTTCACTGCTCGCGAAGACCGATAACACCCAGACGATGAGGCTCAATGTTGTCGAACGGTTCCCGGGGAAGCCAGCTGCTACATTAGAAGACGGGCCCGATTCTGACGACGAATCAGAGCCGGACTCTGAACCGCCTCAATCGCCGACGATTGAAGACTCTGATGCAGAACCCGTCTCCGACGAAGAAGAGGAGCAGGATCTAGTGGAGGAAGTCGATCTCGACTACGCTCATGCGCAGAGGGGTGTGGCTTTGGAAAACTATGTGAAGCGAGGCAATTTGGGCACAAATGCGTTACGATTCGACGAGGATTCGCGTTCGTATTCAACGGTAGGCGCTATCCCCGCTTTTTTGTTGGCACTCGATGAACTCCGCATAGGCTGAAGACTCTCTGATTCAAGCTCCCCGCAAAAATGCGCTCTCCCAGTTTCAAGCAAATCGATTGGCCTCGTCTTACAATCTATCGTCCGGCACGAACGTCCCGACTGCGTCTTCCGCACGAACATTGCAGCAGGCCGTCCGACTAGGCAAGCTGGACTCGGACGGGAGGTTGGTTGGTGAAGAGAGTGATGGCGAAGCAGAAGCAGATTTGCAAGACATGATGGACCTGCTGCGACGAGGAGAACTGTATAACATTGGCCCTGATGCTGCAAATCCGGATGCATTGCATGTGATTCCGCCTCTGAATCAATTTGAGCCCAAGAGCTCAGGGCTTCCCATTCCGCCTGTCCCGGCCATAGCACCTTCCTCACGAAAGCATTCAGCATCCCAGTTCAAGTTGGCCCGACCGGAGCGGCGACCGGCTACTACATTGGATGCTCGGCCCGCATCCCCGATGACGTCATCTGTCATGGAATCGAGCGTTGTCGAGAAAAATGCGCCTGCTTTCTCTTCCATGATCGTGGAATCGCCCTCGTTTTTTCAATCTACCAGGCCACGCCAGCCGCCTACAATTGTGAAGGCGTCAGAGGCGGGAAAAAGTAAAAAGGTATCACGATTCCTTGCGGAACGTGAATGACGAGCTGCTTCTAGTTACGTACATGCTCCGTAGATTGACACATCATGTGATCGTGTTTTCTGCAGATTGTCCTTCGGTTTGAAATTTGATATCCCAAGAGTCAGAACCAGCACCCCATGTCTGGGGCACCACCCAGTTTGGAGAACGGAGCGCCTGCGCCCGCCCGCAACGTGCGTTCCCCTCAGCCGTCCTCCTCTACGACTTCTTCCGCTTCATCCGTCGGCGGCTTCGATGCCTTGCTTCTCTCCGCGATCAAAGCTGTACACTGGCCTGCATCGCTTCAATGGATCCCGGGCAACTTCACCTGGGCCAAAATCAAGCCTGTTATTCGATGTAGCATCACCGCATGGCTGTCTCTCGTCCTATTCTTGATACCGAGTGTTGAGGTCATGTTGGGCAACGTGCGCTTGTTTTCTCTTCCATCCATTTTCATGGACTGAAGTGGCGCCGGCGTCTGCAGGCTAGCTTTCTCGTCCTGATCAGTGGTCCTTCGTGTCGTTACGCTGCTGCCCTCATTCTGACACAAAGACCGCAGTCTCATTCCTCTCCCCGCCCAACGATCCACTCATGTCAGTCGTGGAACGCGAACTAAACATTCTGTTGTTTGTCACGGTCGCCTGGGCGTGTGTTCATCATCATCCACACTCGATTTCGTGTGACTCATGCGCGGGCTTAGCTGGAGTTGTTTGGGAATCAAACTGGCGGATTTCGCTCGGGTGAACCGCGATCCCACAGTCACGCTGAGCCAGGCAGTGACCGGCCAATATCTGGAAGTGGCGGTAGGTCGTGCCTTGCATATCGTGACCCGGAACGCTCAACTATCCTCAGCCCTCGGTCATCATCGGCGTGTTCATCTTCCTAGGGAGTGTGACTTTACTATCCATCAAAGCCCGCGCCGTGCCCAGTCAGATCTTTGCTTGTGTTCTGGGTTGTATATGTATGGCATATCTCGTCTGTATGTCTACGCCTGACTGATGCTCGCATGCAGGTCTCGGTATTGCTTCGAGTGTTCCCTCCTCCAGAGCGGTCGTTAACGAGTCACAGATATATCGTTGACCACTGCTGCCCTTTTCCCCTTTCCATTCTATCTGGCAAGTAGTGGCGATCTTTTCATCGTTTGGCACTAACACACGATGTATGCAGGTTGGAAAAAGCATTCTGATCCCGATATCGTTCCACTGCGCTATCGCGATCCTATGCTCAATCCTCGTGTTTCCCTCCAGCATCTCGCGCAATTCACGACGAGAATGGGCTTGGTAATCGCACCCTTGATCCAAGCCCTAGAGATGCACAAAAACATCCTGCAGATGGACCCCTATTCTCCAGAATTCGCCGCGACTGCAACCAAAATCTCCGCTGCAGTAAGCAAGTCCGAGGCCAGTTTAGTGCCAGTCGCAGCTTCCGCCCGACTTCTCAAAGGAGATCTCGTTTATTCTCGATACGCGCCGACAGATCTGCGTGTTCTACAGGACATGGCCCGGCGCATGGCTGTCCGAGGAAACGGCATGGGCATTTTCTTCACTCTGATCGAGCCCATGCGTGAAAAGTTTCCTATCACGCCGGTCTTATCAAGAATCCACACTCCGCTCCCAGGCAGTCCAGCGATGTCTCGGCCACCTTCTCCGCCGCAGTCGCCTCGGGAAAGCGTGAACGAGTTCGATTTCTCGGGAGAAGAGACGAGCCCGCCCTCCCCGCGGAGCATGAGCCGGAGCCGGCATCGACACTCGCACTTCCACCCACACCAACTCAGTCTCCTGCATCACACGCTACTCAATCTGCCGCTTCACCGCAAGAAGGCCGAGCATGCCGTCGGTGTGTTTGAGTCGCACCGGTACCTTGATCTGGAGGCGCACATGCACCATCCCGAGGCCGAAGCGCACACCAGGGAGATCACCGCGCTGCTCGCCCAGAGTTGCATCCCGCTGCTCGAGAGCAGTCGCGAAGCACTGACATGGACTCAAGATTGGCTTGCCCATGTCCGTCAAGGGATGCTCGGCCGACTTATGGCAGGAAAGAAGAGTCGCAGAGCGCTTCGAGATCGCTTAGAGCAGCTGCCTCACATCCAGCAGAGTCTCAAATCTGCACTGCTTCGGTTCAACACGGTCGACAGGTGCGCACTGTAATGACATTCTCTTGCAAAGCTCAACTTTCGCGTAGACACGCTGTGCTTGGTCCTTGGCGACCCTCTTTCGAATCCAACGGAGACCTGGACATCCATGACATGCCCCCACACCGGCACCTATTCAATTGTTATGTGTATCAGTACCATCTGCGTAATGAGGCGGGTAATATCCTGACGATGGTGAGCCGCATTCATTGACCGGAGGACTCCCAACCAACGCAATTCTAAGATCGACAACATCGTCGACTTGGAAAAACGTCGCACCACTAGTCAATTGTGGACACCCGTTCATTCATTCGACTTCTCTCGGAAGAACTGGATCCACTGGCACATCTCAGACCTAGAGCAAGACGAAGAGGATCCAGACAGAATCCCGGGTGTCTCGCCTGCTCTAGACGACTTTGATTTGGGCGACGCAAAACGGCGCGATCCAGATGCACTGCCTCCGCGAAATCATTTCGAATGGTTCATGAGTATGCTGTACCGGGCCGTCGCACAGCTGGGGCGAGGCAACGCGCTGTTTGCGATCAAAGGCGCTATCCTCACGAGTAAGCTAGCCAAAATATCCGCCAGCACCCTCTGACCTGTCGAGTGCAGTTCTTTTGTGTCTTCCGACCTTCCTCAAGTCGTCGGCGACGTTTGCATACGAGAACAAATTTGTGTGGGGCATCTTCATGGGCCAGGTCACGATCTCCCGATTTCGCGGCGACACGGTGTTCGGCCTCAGCAGCAGAGTGCTCAGCACCTTCTTTGGTGGTCTGCTGGGGATGGTGATGTGGTATATCTCCGCTGGTGCAGGGAGTGGCAGTGCCTACGGCCTAGGCGCCGTGTGCGCCGTCTGTTTTCCGTTCTTTTTCTATGGGAGAGTGTATTGGCCTGGCCCGCCGATGCGCGTGATCATTTTCTTCGTGACATCTGTGCTCGTGATTGGGTATAGCTACCAGGATCACATCATCGCGCTGCCCGGGAGCCCAGGCTTTGGATGGGACGTGGCCTGGCGGCGATTCCTTCTCGTGACGGCTGGCGTGCTGGCAGCGGGGATCTTCTCATTGCTGCCCCCTTCGATGACGATCCGTCAGTACGAACGGAAAACGATGGCGACCGTCGTGTCTGAGCTGGGCACGCTCTACTGCGACATCATCTCGTTTGCGAATGCGCACCATGAGGTGGATCCGCAGATGATTGTTTCTGCACTTATCGCTGTGCGGAGCAAGATCAATCGTTCGATGACGCTCAAGAGCAATGCTGTTTACGAGGCACATTTCACCCTGTCTTTGGATCTCATCTATGCTCAACCCCACCGTACAGTTCTCTATGAAGGGCCGCTGGCCAGCAGAACGGTATCAGAAGATCATGGAACTTCAACTGTGAGTGAAAACAAATGACATGCATATATGCATGTGTTAACTGGCCATCAGACAACTTGCATACTCGTTGTCACACTGTGAGCACTTGTCACGTAACTCATCTGGAAATATATCCTCATCTACGACAACAGTGATGTCGATCATGGAACATATGGAACCTTCCTGGACCCGAGCCTTTCTTCGAAGAACGCGCTTTCTCGACACCGACTTCCAGGGCGATGTCCTGGCTGTCATCAGCATGATTTCTACGGCACTACGCACTGGGAACGCCCTTCCTCAGATCACCCCGTGTCCCCTGGTCGATCGGTTCCAGACCCAATACGGACTGCAAGTCATCCACAAGGACTCGGAGGAAGACTACGGCCTGCCCCGAACACTGACACTTGAAACATTGCAGAACGAACAGTACCTCAACTTCTGTGTCGGTGTGTCCACGGCATACGGCATAATGACGCGCTTGGACAGACTCATGGTCACCGTCAAAGAGATCGTGGGAGAGCAGTATCATATCCATGGAGCGGGTCTTCCGCTGACGACACGGTTGACTAGAGGGAACGGGGTCCCTCTTGGTTCACGTACTAACACCCTACAATTTAGACCACCCGCTGATATTTAGCTGTATTTTCCATTTCGATTGTATCCGTATCGTCAATACCACGCTTGAGTCGCTCGTTTGAAATCTGCCATCTGCCGTCAGCGCACTAGAACGTTAATGTTAGGAAACAGACCGAAAACAATTGATGTATCGTCCCCCGCCAGCTCGGGATGTTTCTGGAAGAAATTATCTGTCACCTGCTTGAGGGTCATAGGCCCTCCTCCGACACGCAGATTGACTTGGGCAAGAGAGCTGAACGACGTCGAGATCAAGAGCGACACCAACTCGTCCCATTCGCCTTCTTGAAGCTCTTCGACACCCCTATGGTCAATTCGCGCAGAGGAGATTTATGGAGCTGAGGATGGGGACAAGCTCGCAGCCAAATCACCGACACTTCTCATATCAACGTTTTCAGGCCCGTGTTGGCCGAAAGCGAGAAACCCTCCCCTGCAACAGTGAGACCAGCGACAAAAGTTGGGGCGCGACACCTACAGAGATGCCACTGATCACTGAAGGAGAGGAAGAGATCCTCAAGGCTCGGACCCGTAGCTTCAATGAGGTTGACTCCAGCATTCACGTCACCCGCCTCGGCATCGAGAGTCAGACGCAGCGTTTCACACGTTTGGGCGCTGGTCGCCAACCACCTGAGAAAGGGTCCGCCGCCCGCTGTCATGTCCCCCGAGCTGTAAGTGAAGCTCGTCAAAGTTGGAGGTGGGACAGCTTTGCCGCGATATGGCTTCTGATCCTCGTTCTGCCCCTCATGGCTCGCATTGGCAATGTCTATCCCGTCAACCGACAGAGTGGAGACTTGGGGCAGAGAGGACACCAGGTCCACGAAGTGAGACAGATCCTTGAACTTGATGTCGAGGATTCCGAGGGTCTTGAGCGAAGGCACCCCTGCGGCAAGGGGGCGTGTCCACGCCTCCTTCCATCTTGACTCGCTGAAACCACGGCATCCATCGAGGATGAGCTGTTCCAAGTTGACAAAGAAGTGGAGGTGCGGCAGGAGTTTGTCGAGGAGAGGGCTCTTATCTGCCGTCGCAGCCATTCTGAACTTCGCGACGCGCAGGTTTCCCCAAAGAAACACGGTCAGAATCTTGACGTAGCGCACGACTCCGCTGGGATTCGACGCGACGTGGGCGATGAACGGAGCGCAGTTGCGCTCGTTGACACTTGTGCGCGTGAACAAGACGCGTTGAGCTGGCGGGACCCACGCGTGGCATACTAGTGCGCAGGCGCGCGCAGTCTTGCGATCGGGCTTACCATCGCGCACCAAAGCTTGAAGGATTCTTTCGACAAGCTCATTTGGGAGTGCAACGGGCATGCTGCTGGACCAAAGAAAGAGGGATGGAGACGGAGATAGCACGTTCAGGCCTGATCACTGAACAATCACGGGACTGTTTCGCGGACGGGAGTCGACATTGTTGACTGGCAAGCGGGAATCATGGATACGCGTCCACATGTCCAGTTTTGCGGACCGAAAGGCGTCGGATGAGCGCCTTTCCGTTTGCTTGCCTTCCTGCATGCTACGATCAATTTCAAGTTGAACCTGGAATGCACATCTGCGCTTTGGTGCACGTGATACGATGAAAGAGACACGTGACCATATTTGATGGATCAGTCACGTGCAAAATTCCGACGTGAACCCTCGAGGTTCTCGTGCGAGAAAAATATTTAGATCCGTAGATCTACCACTCCGGAAAAGCGTGTCATCCTTGTGCAGGGGCCATGCTAATCTTCTCTGTATCGTTCCAATTTTTCGTATGACACCCGAAGGGGTCGAACGTAGAGCCTCCAGATGCTTAGTCATCGTCAGAATGATGTGTATTGTACGGGGACATGGCCCTACTAGTATCTATACCTTTGATCTGCTCCTCAAACGTTCCTATGAAGCAAAGACACCACTCTACGCAATCGAGCGACACTGAGCCGGACACCGAAGATGAAGCATCCACATCACAGATACCGATCTATGACTCAAAGCCCGCGGCACCAACTGCGAAGAACTCTATAATTGACTGCATTGAGACGATACAGTTCTTCGACCTGGCATTACTTCAATCCGAGGCTTTATGCGAGGTCGAAATCTACCAGGCGATTTCTAGTTGGCTCCTCCACTAACGTTCACGCGAAGGAATCTGCTGCTCACACTAAGCTCGCGTCGGCTGCAAGCTCCATTCTCGAGTTTCTGGACTCCTTCAGCTCGCAAAGCAATAGCTCGATGGATATCCAAGACCAATATCCTTCGTCACTAGTTCAATTTGGGCAGCTGGGTGCGTTCCTCTTCGGTCCGTCGGCACCATCCTCTCCAGCTTCCCGCCGCTAGTGGATGTTACATTCTTCGAGACTCTGTTCGAACAGAGAAAAATCTTCCACAACATCGCCGCTCTTTCCCTTGGAGTCTCTTCTGGTCCCATCGTGTGCTGGGTGGACTCTTTTCTCTCCAAGATCTCGGATGCGCTAGGCATGGTCGCGACTGGTCTCCAGATCACCTGGTACTTTCCAGGTTCGCTGGAACTGAGAGAAGAAGAAGGACTACGGATAGCATCTCAGATTCCATGTTCGTTCAAATCTTTTCCATGCCTTCAAATTGACGAGGTGCAGTGAACTGGTCGGATGTGCCGGAGATACTTGTGTCCGAGCAAGCCTCCCCAGCTGCAAAACGACTCGCTCTTCGACTGATCTTCTCAAGCTACGTAGTTGGACCTCAATTACGTGGAGAAACGATCGCGATACCTTCTGCTTTGTCTGATACCCTGACAAATTACTTGGCATCGACAAGATCCGCAGGATTCTCTTCGAGTTTCGTCGGGGAAGATTTACAACTTCAGGAACGGCTCCACTTTTCCATGATCGTCTCTTTGTTTGCGGTGAATATCGTCTTGGACTTGGCCTTACGAGACTGAGTATATCCCAGAACGCGGAGTTTGGCACAAGCGACGCGAGAGTCCGACCTCACACACTTGGCTGTCTTTTGAACGTCTTGCAGCACGTTCTGCATCCTCAGGATACCGTGTCTTCACTCCCTTTGATATGTCCTCCTGACGAATTAGACGCGCCCCTCGTTATCCTGTTCCGGTGGGGCAACACTGTCCAATGGTGCTTCGAGACCTGGGATGATCCTCGAGTCGCTGGCTCAGAGAGCATTACATATCTAGTACATACTTGCAACTCTACTCCCAGCGCCCGGGTTTGATGTTTCACAGACCTCCATGTGGCTCCTCCATACAGAGTCCGAGCTTCACAGCTGCTCCACCGGTGTTTCCATCGCTGTTCTGGTACGACCAAGATGGCTTTTCATGCAAGTGTCTCACTATTCTCAATAGCGAGTGATCCATCAAGCTGTGTTGTCACTTTCCTCAAGCGGCAAGCTATCTCGCCAAGTCGTCAAAGCTGCCTCCACATATGCATCAACCTGTATAGATTACCTGTCTTTTCGACAGATCCAGGAGGAGCGTTGGATCACTCATGCCTTTTGTAAATACCTATGTAGCGTTTTTGTTCTGCTGGACTCTGAGTACGAGGATGACTGTGAAGGTAGGTTCCCGACTGTTGTTCGGCGCGCTCTCATGATTTCCTAGCGCACGACTACATCTTGGAAGCTTTGAGTAGGGTAGATCGCCAAACGCTAGGTGATTGCCTCAGTAATCTGAAAGGAGATTCCGAATTACGTTTCGTCGAACGGGTTATCGATCGTGAGTGAAATCTATCCGTCTCGTCATGCTTGTGTTCGACACTTTCTCAGGTCTGACGAGAATTCGTAATCTACTGTCGGTGAATGTCTCATTCAACTGCTTCTTACTCACACGACCTCAGATCAGCAGACACACTCCTTGTTGGTCAGGAGACATTGCAGCTGATACGGAGCGAGCTCAATTTTCTTGTGATTCTTTGGCACGCTGGGTTGAAGGATCTCTTTCCGACGCCACTGATTCTATCTGTTCTCTCCTCTGCATTCAAGATCGCCGATCAATGCAACGGGGCAAAGCTGGTCCTCGCGGAGTCTCTCATCACAGCCTCTTGCGCGGCCAGATGCGACGTCCTGCTATCCGATCAAGTCAACGAATCCGTCTGGCAAATCTCGCTCCAGACTGCATCGCTTGGTGTTCTCGGTATATACCATGCTGAATCTACTGTCTCCGCACTCATCTACCATGAAAGCGAGTTTCGCGCAATATGTCCTGCAATCAAAGACTTGTCTGGGTCCACTGTACTGCGCCGAAGCATGGGCCTCGCTGTCTCAAGTCTTGTTATTGATTCTCAAGCGTCATTTCGTTGGCATTCAAGAGCCGCTTGCTCTGCTTGTCTCCCTGTCATCTGCCGCGCTCTGCTTCGGTTACTGGAGGCTGATGCTGGGTCGAGTGAGTGTGATGTGTCGGGACCACCGCTTGTATTCGATCATAAATCTCCAGCGCAATTCATGATCAGCACGCCGTTCACGCTGAATCTATGTTCTGAATTGGCCAATGTCTGTCAAGGACGCAAGATTGGAGAGTACTTTGGCTTTTTGAGGCAGAGAATAGAAGAAGCTAGCTCGCAGCTGCTTAGCCATGTGGGTTTCGTTCGGCAAGTCCGCTGAGCAGACTGAATTCGTGGACTAGATTCAGATGAAGTCGAAGCTTGAAGTTTCCACAACTATCCCTGCGACGGTCCGCATCACCTCAACTACTGCAGCCTGCTCTGATTTGCTTTAGGACGTTCCTATTCGTCTCCTTTTTTATCGACATGAATCAAGCCACCTGCTACTTATTTCTGACAGGTAAACTCCTGTGCAGTAACCATTATCGTGTATGGCTGTGATCCCGAATAAATTAATTTGATACCCTTAACATCCCATTTCAAAGTACATTCCAACCCATCCTGTTAGTGACCGGGCGACCAGCTCATCTTCGCCGTGCTGGTCACCAAACCAATGAGTCCAAGGGTTCTTCTGAGTCACACCCTCCGTCAACCGCTGTATCTGGCCTGTGATTGTGGAACGAGGGGCCGATAGCTCAATCCGACCTTTGAAGTTGGACTCCCGGTAATTGAGGTAGACATTGTTTTGCATGGACGAGATGTGGAGAGCCGAGATGGGTCGGTGGATGGTTTTATCGCCTTCAACATAGAAGACATCTGTGCGTCCTACGCCGCTCAGTGTTTGCAGTGTCGCTTTCTGTCCAGGGCCAGTGGCCGGTGTTGGGTGGGCACGGACGTTGATGACACCGTTTCCGCGCTGGGTACCAAGTTTGGTGGAGCTCGAGATGGATACGTCACCGACAATCCAGCCTTGGATGACTTCGAGACTGGCAAACTCAGATCGGGGAGATGATGACGATGATGAGAGTGGACCTACGACATTCTGTCGGCCTTGAAAGAGTTGTGAGGCAGAACCATGTTGTTGGGATTGACGGTGAATAGAGTGAGGATTAAGTCTTCGATCTGGATGTCCGAGTCGGGATCGAATTGGACGTGGGTGACGGTATGAGAGGCAATGTTCAGCTTCTTCAGAGTCGGTGGAATGAACATCTTGACATCGTAACGCATGCAGGCTCCGTCTTTAGGATAGGGGGTCGAGATCCGCAGACGACTCTCGGGGGCGGTACCATCGCTATTACCTGTAGGGTAAGAGAACACTCGGCGCCCTTCTAGGTCGGTCAGGAGATCTTTGTTGTCTGTGCGGATGTTCACTTCGTAGCGGACCATGACATCCGAAGGGGCGCCTTGGAGGACCGTGATAGTGCCCTTGGCACCGCCATGGATGTCGATGCTATGATCTCGGAACTGGGAGGAGATGGGGACATGGAAGTCCGAGACACCCTTGTAGACATAATGGGCGCCCACACAACCTAGAGATGTGCTGAAGGCAGGCATCTTCTCCAAACCCGACCGCCTGGGCTATGGATCGTCAAAACATGTCCAGTGTGACTGAGACGATACTCACAGCGACAGCCCATCGGATCAGTCTGAACCCGCTCCATACTGCGAGAATGGCCAGAATCTGGAGTTGTTCTCAGATCCAGCAACAAGGACAAGGGAGAATTCGCAGTACAATTCCGAAAGCTTTCCAAAACAGGGAGCAGCTGGCGAGTTACAAGGGTCAGTTTGCAGTCGTGAAATCTGGCGAGATCACGCACTCCGTCCCATACCATACACAGATTCCGGACTTGCGCTTGTGACGGATTGGAACCGCGGCCCCTCCCATCAGACCGACTGCCTCTCCAGCGTCCTCTTGCTGCTCCTGATAACCGGAAGGTTCGGAGAACATGGCAACCTGACCATCTTCCTCGCTCGAAACTTTCTTGTCTACATTCCTCGGCATGTCAACTCCATTCCGAACAAGACTTGAAGGACTGCTCACACTCATCCCGAGAATCCCTCAAGTTGAGCGCCACCATTGCTTTCGAAAGCATATTTCCGAAGGGGAGCGTGGAGTTGGGCCGTCCCGGAGCCATGATGAATGTGAAAGAGAAAGGAAGAAGCCCGTTTGCGCAGTCGCGGCCGTGAGTTCATCAGGCAAGGATAAGAATTGTGATTGGTCCGGAGACCTAGGGCCATCTCTGAGGGAAACATTACGGCGCAAGTCTGACATTCGCCGACCTTCGCGAGAACGGTTGCTTGATGCATGCTGAAGTGCTGACGAAGACCGGCATTCCAGATCTTACAGATGACGGGTCACCGGCGATTGCATGGCGGAGTTGAAGCTAACTGAAGTAAGCCCCTATTACGCGAATGTTTCGTTGCACGCGTTTGTGCAATCAAGAGGTTGATCTACGCCGCCATGCTCATCCCGCTCATCTGGTCGCTCTTCTGCGCGGCTGTCTACCTCACTTCTGTAGTGTTTGCGAAAGACTCTGCTTGGAACGGACACACGACCCCGGGATCAACCGACCCTGCTCCATTCTACCCTTACTATGTCCCGCCTGGTACGAAAAGCTACGACTCTGACTCACCCTTGGTCCTATATTCCGGCAAATGGAAGGAGTTCTTCTCCAAAAGCTACATCAAGGGCTCGATACGACAATCGTACACGGCGGGCGCGTCCGTCTCACTCACCTTCTTTGGCACAGGTATCGAGTGGTTCGGGAACTGTAATCGGCGTCATGGAATTTCCGACGTCTTCATCGACGGGTATCTCGTCCAGAGCGTTGACGCGTGGTGCGGCTCGGATCTCCTACCTCAACAGCGCATCTTCTGGGACTTCAGCCTCGCTCGTCGGAAACATACGATCAAGATCGTCAACCGCAGTACTCGCTCGGACTCTGATCAAGCCTACGCTGCTAGTGTGGACGCCTTCGTTGTTACTCTTGGTGCTGTTCCGAAGACTCTCGAGGCTGCTGCCCCGCCCGCTGTTGCTCATGCTAATCCTTCTCCGCCACCGCTTATGCTCTCGGAAGCGGTGCCCCCGTCTTTGCCTGCTGGGAAATGGACCTTGCAGCAGAAAGGTTCAACCGGTGTTCACGCCATGCAACTCGCCATCATCTCGCGTACGCATGCGATCATCGTCGACAAGGTCGAACATAACCCGATCTCTATCGACGGGCATCCTGCTTGGGCTGCCTTGTACAACCTGGAAGATGACAGCGTGACACCGCTTGCTATGGAATCAAACTCTTTCTGCGCAGGCGGCACTTTTCTGAGCAACGGAACACTGATTGTCGTGGGCGGCAACCCGGTGGTTGAAAGCCACACCTCGTCGGCGGATTTCGGTGACGTTGATGGTCTTCAATCAATTCGTATCTTCAATCCATGCTTGTCTTCCGATGTCAAAAGCTGCAAGATGTACGAGAATCCGAACAGGATTCGGATGGCCTCTTCCCGGTGGTATAACACGGTCCTTCGGCTCTCGGACGGCAGCGCTATGATCGTTGGCGGCTCAAAGAAGGGAGGTTGGATCAACAATGCGACAGTCAACAATCCCACGGTCGAGTACTTCCCGCCCAAGTTCGATGGCATGCCCGTCCCTCTGCCGTTTTTGGAGCGAACGCTTAACTCGAACCTTTTTCGATTGCGTTCCTGCTGCCAGATGGAAGGGTCTTCATGGCTGCCAATACTGATGCTATCATCTATGACTGGAAGAATAAGAACGAATTTCGGCTGCCCTCGCTTCCAAATGGAGTTCGGGTAACCTATCCGATGTCCGGCACAGGTCTCTTGCTGCCTCTGTCTCCGACAAACAACTACGAACCGGAGGTTTTGATCTGCGGGGGTTCGGCCATCGACGATACGAAACCCAGCTACGAGATCTCTTCTCAAGACCCGGCTTCTTCTCAATGCGTCCGAATGATCTTAACACAAGCAGGGATCTCGGCTGGCTGGCAGATCGAGTCCATGCCCGAGGCTCGGCTGATGCCTGATGCAGTTCTGCTGCCTACTGGCGATATTGTCATTGTTAACGGAGCTGGGTCTGGCACTTCAGGGTACGGCAATGTCCGGGACCAAGTCGGATCCTCAAATGCAGACCATCCTGTGCTTTCGCCTGTGCTTTATTCCCCATCGCAGCCGACAGGCTCCCGATTCTCCAGCCAAGGGATTCCCGCTAGTAATATTCCCCGACTGTATCACAGCGTGGCCACTTTGACCCCGCGAGGCAATGTGATGATTGCGGGCAGCAACCCGAATCTGGATCGCAGCGAGATTGTCTATGGGACTGAATATCGGGTCGAATGGCTCAATCCACCCTACATGACCAACCCGCGGCCTGAGATAACTGGTCTTCCTGAGAAACTGGGTTATGGAGCGCAATTCAAGATCGACGTCAAGCTACCCTCGACGAGTTCAGATATCAAGAGTAAGCTCCTTCCGTCGTTTTCTTGATGCTTTCTAACGCGGTGCTAGTCGCCTTGATGGACTTTGGTTATGTTACACACACTGTGCATGCCAATTCTCGCTTGGTCTATCTCGAATTCGAGCACACTGGATCTCAATTCACGATCACCGCACCCCCGAATGGAATGATCTATCCTCCAGGTCCAGGATGGGTCTTTGTCGTTGTGGATGGGATGTGCAGCGAAGGTGCTTTGACTCTTGTTGGAAACGGAGAAGGTCCAGTTGTAGACGAAACGGCTATTCAGAAGTGCGTTTCATCGCATGGCCTGCTGTTTCCAAACTGATCTGATCGCCTTTTCCTTGGTAGCATGCTCACACACACAAGACCGGACCAATATGAACATACCAAGTTTTCTGGCGACGACGAATAGACGCACGCTCATTTCTTGCATTTGCTATCCACCACCATACCCTTGAGCTCTCATTACTATACCTCATCTGTTACTCCTATCTCTGTTCGTAGCGCAATATTACAATCAACCAGACCTAAAGAGCGCGTTGTCGCATCCGGCTACTGACAGTACGCAAACCTGCATACACCTTCCCGGGCGGAGAGCCGAGAATGAGCGAAACGATTGCGTCTCGGGCGATTTTGATGTTTTGGAACGAGCCCATGATATGGATTTTTCTGTGCCAGTGTTCAGAACGTGAGAATGCAGTGGAAGAGAGTGACGGACGTATCGGCTAGAACGATGCGAGTCCGGCTGGCGTTCTCTATCGTGAATTTGGTCTTGCCGTCTTGGCCTGCTATGCGACCTGCGGTGCGAAATGAATTACTAACGAAGAGAGTAAGGACTGAAAGCGTACCAATGGCACGAGAGAGGTGATCTCCGTGGAGAGTTTTCACATCTTTGATCTCAAAGGAGTCCAGGTATAGATCATCTAATCGTAGTAATGCGATAGCATCCTGCATTCAGCGTCAGTTGCGTGCAAATAGAGGAGCAGATTCAGCCTGATGGCATACATTGACGTCGAAACCGAGAGCAAATGCTTTTACGAAATCCGCGCCCTTTTGGAGTGCCCCGATATCTTTTGTTGCTTTGGATGTCTGGATGATGATGCTATTTAGCACTCGAACGATCGGCAATGCTATTGATCGTGCGCACCCTCGCTTCGACACATCTCCTCTGCACGTTCATCCTGACTTGAAGCCCCAGGATCTCCGTGAGAGGCCCAAATACGTTGACCCACTCTTTCTTCAGGGGTGTCATTCGGTGCGGGGGAATGGGTATCCTCCGCGTCTCAGATTTCAGGGCTGATTTCCCTGCATCGGCAGGAAGGGCGGAGAATACGGGGGCGGAGGATTCTGATGGGACCGGAAAATCGGCGTCGATCATGATTTCGTCGTCGTCTGCGTTGGAGGCGGTAATTGGGGGAGGATGGGCCGAGGTGGATGCCGTCGGGCCATCTTCCCCATCGGAGTCGATTGCGACGTCCGTGTCAGCCGGTGGAGCAGCGGGGGTCTTTTTCTTCGACTCCTTCCTCCTTGTTTTGCGTATGGTCTTGTCTGGCGACGTAGGTTGGACGGTGAGCACGACCATGGCTGGAGAGATGGAAAAAATGAAGCCTGTGACCGACGTGACGGTGATTAGGCATCTGACACTGATAAGATAAAGCGCCTATCACGAGACCGCGAGTTATCAGTTCTCGTGGCCAGTCCTGCTCTATCTCGAACCACCGCTATTCCTCCACAGTTCGGCGATCGTGATGCGTTTGGTACCTCGAGAGGAAGCTAAACTGTTGCTCCACCAGGTGCCTCCTTTGATGACTATTTGGAGTGAGAGCGTGGACTCATCCAGGCCCAGACTGGTTTCTTGGCACAGAAACGGCTTGCCCGTGGTGTGCAGCTAAATCAGACCGAAGCTGTCGCTCTTATTGCCTCTCAACTGCAGGAATTCATACGAGACGGTCGACACTCTGTGGCACAGCTGATGCAGCTCGGCAAGGACTTGCTCGGGCGCAGGCATGTCCTTCCCAGTGTGCCCAGCCTTTTGCATGAGATACAAGTCGAGGGAACATTCCCAGACGGGTGCGGAATGTTCTACGGGTCTATTTTGTGACAGGCTGACTTCCCATGACTCAGAGTGTTTCTCGTCACCGTGCACGATCCCATCTGCACGGATTCTGGCAATCTGGAGAATGCGCTGTATGGATCGTTCCTACCCGTACCTTCGAATAATCTCTTCCCGATCATCGACATATCTGAATACGCCCGTGAGAAGCTACCTGGAGCCATTGTGTCGCGCCCAGAATCCGTCGTGCTCAACAAGGGCAGAGAGCGCATTCAGTTGCGCGTGACGAACACTGGGGATCGACCTATTCAGGTGCGCTGTTCCAGCGGTCTGATCTTCTCCAGATCCTCAGATTTTTCAACAGATCGGCTCCCATTACCATTTTATCGAAACCAATTCCGCCTTGTCCTTCGACCGTGGCAAGTCGTATGGGAAGCGTCTCGACATCGCAGCAGGGACGGCTGTCCGATTCGAGCCAGGGGATGTCAAGACCGTCACGCTATGCTCGATCGCAGGTGGCAAAATCATCTCTGGTGGCAATCGCTTGGCGTCCGGCGTGTATGATCTGTCACGGACTGACCAGATCGTGAGCGCTCTGATCCAGAAAGGCTTCGGCCACACGCCAGAACCCGGCGCCTTGGAAATCACTGCGGATACAGAGATTAGTCGCGAGGCATATATCTCGATGTTTGGACCCACGATCGGGGACAGAGTTCGTTTGGGAGACACATCTTTATGGATCGAGGTCGAACATGACGAGGTGCGGTCTGAGCGCGTGAGGGCCATGCGTCTGATCTCGGTATCTAGACTGTTTATGGTGACGAGGTCAAGTTTGGTGGAGGGAAGACGATTCGTGAAGGAATGGGGCAAGCCACCAACCGCCCCTCGTCGGAGACGCTTGATCTCGTTATCACGAATGCACTGATCGTCGATTGGTCTGGGATCTACAAGGTCAGCGAAGCGGACTTGATATCCCAGCGCTGACGCCTCCTACTCCAGGCAGATATCGGTGTCAAGGACGGAGTCATTGTTGGCCTCGGAAAGGCCGGTAATCCGGATGTTATGGCCAACGTCCATCCCTCGCTGATCATCGGGTCTTCCACCGAAGTGATTGCAGGCGAGAAACTGATCGTGACTGCCGGGGCTATTGATGCCCACATCCATTTCATCTGTCCTCAGCAGGTGGAAGAAGCCCTCGCAGCAGGCACGACCACGATGGTCGGCGGCGGAACGGGGCCCAGTGCCGGGACCAATGCGACAACATGCACGTCCAGCGCTTTCTACATGCGGCACATGTTGTCGGCAACAGACGGTCTGCCGATGAACTTTGCTTTCACCGGGAAAGGCAACGACGCGGGACCTCACGCGCTGGAGGACATCGTCAAGGCAGGCGCCGCTGGACTGAAGCTGCACGAGGACTGGGGCACTACCCCTGCCACGATCACCACTGCGCTGGACATCGGGGATAAGTATGACGTGCAGGTCAACATACACACTGACACGCTGAACGAGAGCGGCTTCGTGGAAAGTGCGCCACGAGGCTTCGTCATTTGGGAAGATTCTCACGTGGTTTATAGGCACAATTGCTGCTTTCGGGGGCCGGACTATCCACACATATCACAGCGAAGGCGCCGGTCAGTGCCTGTATGTCGTACACCAATTGAACCTGATATGGCTCCAGGTGGCGGCCACGCTCCTGACATCATTGTTGTCTGCGGACTTCCAAATGTGATTCCTTCCTCGACTAACCCAACCCGGCCGTTCACTCGCAACACGCTCGATGAACATCTCGATGTCAGTCTCTTTGGCAGATTTTGGCGCATGATTCGATGCAGTTCTCTAGATGCTGATGGTCTGCCATCACCTCGACAAATCGATTCCTGAAGATCTCGCATTTGCGGAATCTCGCATCCGGGCAGAAACCGTTGCCGCCGAGGACGTATTGCACGATCGGGGTGCCATTTCGATCATCAGCTCGGATTCCCAGGCGATGGGCCGAGTGGGGGAGGTGGTCAGCCGGACGTGGCGGACTGCCAGCAAGATGCGCGATGTTCGTGGGCCCCTGTCCGAGCTTGGAGATCGGGAAGGTTGCGACAATGGACGAGTCAAACGTTATATCGCCAAATACACGGTCAACCCGTGAGTTTACTGCTGCTGGTGCCTGGCGATCTCTGAGTCTGATCGCTAGTGCGATCGCGCAAGGCATGAGTCACTTGGTCGGCCAAGTCTCCGTCGGAACTCTCGCAGACTTGGTGCTCTGGAAGCCAGAAAACTTTGGTTCCAAGCCTGAGATGGTGCTCAAATCAGGAGTTATCGCGTGGTCGCAGGTGCGAATTGGCAAGGATGGGGTCTCCTGAGCAGAACTGACACAGAATGCGCAGATGGGTGACGCTAATGCATCAATCCCGTCGGTGCAGCCTTTCTTCGGCAAGCCGATGTGGGGCTCGAAGCCGGCCTCGGCAGCAATCAACTCTGTCGCCTTTGTGTCACACATTTCGCTCGAGTCAGGCGCCATCAGATCTTACGGCCTCAAGAAACGCACGGAGGCAGTCAGGAACTGCCGCACCATTGGCAAGAAGGACATGAAGTGGAATGAGGTCACCCCCAGAATGACGGTGGACCCGGAGAGCTACGAGGTCCGTGCGGATGGAGAACTGATGGACGTCGCACCTGCAGACAAGTTACCCCTTGCGAGGGCCTATAACCTCTTCTGAGCGTAAATGAAGAATTACATGGTTGTCTGTACTGTACATATACATCAATGAATCTTGGGTATCTCCAATCGCATCTGAATCGATGCCTGTCGGCCGATGTCACAGAAAGTTCCCTGATCTCAAGGACGACTGGCCAGTAACCACCTTGTCAATCTCGCTTCCAGTGGCTCGATACCTGCACCTACGGGTGGTCATCTAAAGTCCACGCTTCTCAAATGCCGTTCCTGGAACAGAAATGAATGCTCCCCTCCAGCTGTGCATCTATATCAGATACATCACATCCAATCATCGACTGTCTGCCAGTGCCAGAGCCACTGCCTCGGCGTGTGCTCGTTTCTCTCAATCACAGTCGGCGAAAGACTTAAATAGATGTGCTGCGCCTAGGTCTGTTACCCATCCCTTGGTTCTCGTGCCTGCCTCTTGCCCCCCTCTCTCCAGTCAGCCATCCCTACACCATCCACGGGCACGACTGGAACCTCTCTCAGCAGCTGCAGCGCAGTTTACCGAGCATCCGGAAGCTACCCGGACCGATATATAAGCCGCCGCCTACCGCCTCAGTTCTATACCGGCTTCTATCATGAGCAGCCGAGCTGGAGGACGGCAAGCCATGTCGGAGCTCAAGCTCCGTCGTGTGCTCGAACACAATCAGCGCCTGCGAGAAGACCTGACGCGGCCGAGATTACGGGTCAGCGAAGCCAGCGCGAGGTGAGCTCTGCTTGCTCTGCTAGGTATGGGGGACAGTGTAGTGATGCGCGGTCTCTCAGTCTCATCCACTTCTGCAAAATGACCAAAGACCTCCTCGTACCCTCGGTCTGGGGCCCCGTTGGCAAATCCGACGACCCGTACGGAGCTCAGACGCAGACGTGCAAATGCTCCATCCAGTAATGTCTGCACTCTATACCATATCTCTCTGTAGGAACAGATCATGTACCACATGTCTATAGAACATTGTATCTCTGGGCTGTCAAGCCTTCAGCTTGTCCAAGAACGTGTTGACCCCAGTCTCGGGGAGAGCGCCGACAAACTTGTCAACGGCCTTCCCGTCACGGAAGGCAATCACTGTGGGAAGTGCCCTGATCTGGTGAAGGGGTTTGCATCAGCAGGCAGGCGCTCTCAGTCATGACTCTGAGCACGGCGAACTACGCACCTGATGGCTGGATGCGAGTCCGGGCCCGCCCTTTTCCTCGTTCTCGATGTCGATGGTAAGCAGGTCCACCTTTTCTCCTCCGGTAGTACGTTCTCCAATCAACTTCTTCAAGACGGGAGTGAGCTGATGACAGGGACCGCACCAGCTGCATGTCCAACGAATAAGCTCGGGAGTCTCAGGGATCAGAGGACAACGTACTCTGCATAGAAGTCTACGAGAACGAGTCGATCATGGGTGCCGTCTAGTGCAACGCGTTTAAAGTCCTGCGGCATTCACGCTTTAGGGCCAGGTTGCCGACATATCAGTTTGCAACTAACAGCACTGGTTGCGTTGATGATCTGTTCCCGTCTACACGCAGAAGAGCGGAACCCTGCACTCTTGACGATATTCCCCAGTCGCCCGGTCGACAGTAGTGCTACACGAGATCGAAGAGGCAAGGAGTGGCGGAACAGTAGAGTTGCCATGGAGAAGGAATACGCGGCCTCGAAGAGTGGGAGAAGAGAATGGAATAGATGACAGTGGGCCGTGGCACCAATGAGAGTCCAAAGTAGAAATGATCCATCTGCCGGTTGTCATTCAATCAAGGATGTCTCGACCATTTATATAACGGTTCATCCACATCAAACATCCACCGCTTCCCTTTCGTTCTTCCCCAGAGGTCATTTTGCAGCACCAGAGCAGCGTACGCAGGCGAATCCGTGTAGCACCCAGCTTAATGTCTCAACTGCGCTATCTAGGCTCTCCCGACTTTCGTTAACTTCTTCGATTTCACCATCCATTTTCGTCAAGTCTATCATGCGTTTCGTTCTTGCTGCCGCTGCTATCGCGCCCCTTGCCGCCTATGCCGCAGATAACCTCGTCCTCGTTGGTGCAGGTGGTCTTGCGTTCAGCCCACCGAACATCACAGTCGCGAACGGCGATACTGTTACATTCCAGTTCCAGGGCAAGAACCACGTGCGTGTCTCCCGCGTCCGCAAAGCACGGTCACTGATAGACGACTGTGATCGATGTAGTCCGTGACCCAGTCTACTTTCGCGAACCCATGCTCCATCATGACCACTCCTACTGTCGGCATCAGCTCTGGCTTCCAGGCCGTTGCTGCGACCGCGTCCCAGGTCAGCAGAATCATGGTGATCTCGACGCGAAGTGATTCTAGCCTGTGCTTGTAGCTTCCAGAATGGCAAATCACGGTCAACAACTCTACGGGTCCCATCTGGTTCTTCTGCGGTCCGTACCAAGAATATCTTCTACTGTATGAGATCTGACCACGATTTTTGTTATAGCTCAGACCAAGTACGTCTATCGATCGGGATTTTCCTTCTACCATTGTGCTCATCCTCTTATCAAGCCCTGCGAACCACTGTGAGGTATATAAATAATCAGTTGCCCAGCTGATCCTCGACTGATCGTATAATCAGGCAGGAATGGTGTTCAGCGTGAACGCCGACCCCAATAGCGCAAAGAGCTTCGCTGCTTTCCAGGCCAATGCTAAAGCGCTGGCCAATTCTGGTGGAGGTGCTGCCGCTGCTCCGGCCGCTTCTGCATCAGGTGCTAGTGCCAGTGCTCCAGCCGCCTCCGCAGGGGCCAGTGCTGGTACCGTAGCTGCCGTGAGCGCGGGTGCCAGTGCGGCCTCTGCCGCCGCCGTTGCAGTCAACAGTGCCGCTGGTCTGGTCGCTTCTGCAGCTGGCGGGTCTGCCGGCGCTGCTGCTACTGGTGCAGCCAACGCCCTGACCGCTGCGGCCAGCGCATTGACGGCTGCCGTCCCTGCATCAAGCGCGTCGGCCAATTCGACGTCGACTGGTGCCGGTGTGCGTCTCAGCAGCAGCTCGATGACGTTCCTCGCCGCTGCGGGTCTCGCTGCCGGTTTGCTTTTGTAAACGGGTGTTGGGTAGACATCGATGATGCCCCACGGACTACATACATGGACGATTCGCATTATTACAGCTCGATTGGTGTAAGAAGTTGATATCATCACGGACAATGTACTGGTTTACATACGCTGCAGTCTTTCTCTCGGGTTATGCTTGTTGGATGACTTCGCCGCCTAGTTGCCCGTGTTGCGCGAGACTGTATGCATCTCTGCACGGGGATCACCAAGACCGACGCCGTTCAGAAATACCAGCTCGTCCCAAGCGAAGCCGGATCGTTGCTTATTTATCCAGGTACCATCTCCGAGGAAGCCTATCCTGAAGATCACGGCAGAACGTATAAAGATCTACGGGCAAGGAGAACGAAGTTTCAAGTCAGGGTACTTGCCGAATATACACACAAGCGAGGCGGCGAGTCATTCGCACCGCGCAGGATTGCACCGGACTGGCAAGTGCCATTGAGATCATGCGTGAGTTTACAAGGTCATAGCAGACTTCTTAGCACATGGCGTGAACCCTTCGCACCAAGCATCCGTCGTTACGTACATCGTGTGTGATGCGCGACATGTCAGCTTCGTGCCTGCCGACTGGCACCTACATATGCAATCCGCGCGAATGTCAACGGCCCGACGCGATTTCACCCTCTCGTCGACGTGCCTGCTCATCCGCTCTCGCATTCGAGACGCCACGGAACATGCCGGATCTGTGTCTTGGACTTGGTCCTGGTCTGGGCTGGCATCTGATAGAACCCGGTCGAGACTTTCGGAGCACTAGCTGCTCTGGTTACAGCCATCAAGATAGCCCAACAAGGCAGTCAAGACATCGACCCGGCGCTTACCAAGACTGCATACAGGAACCCAGACCGGCCCATGGAATAAAATATGCTCGTTATTTTTCTACGACCCTTATAACTACTTAGTTGCGTATGATTCACCCACACTCGAGGAGAAAGGTGGGTAGGCGCACGCGCTCTATATGAAATGACACATGTCGGCAGTACCACACGATAGGATTGCCAGGAGGGAAACACGGCAAGGCCGAGGCGACGCTTGACAGAATGGAATGATGTACGAGAACAAGGGGACGGGAGTGCGGATACGATGCGGTGGCGCTCAAGGGGGACATGAAAGACGCTGGGTGAATGTATTCACATTGGCGCTCGACGAATAATGTAGCGAGAAGGGCAGGGCAGCCAAAAGAGTGTGGGATCCTGGTATACGACAGAGAACGAGGAGAGATACTACTGGAAGTTAGTAGGGAAACCTGCGAGGTTGAATGGGAAACTTGCAATTTAAGCAGCAGGCCAGACCGGGCCGTCTCCACGAGAGTAGCAGCAAGGTAGGAAGGAGTATGGTGTTGGAACAAGAAACGAGCAGCGGAGACAAGCCAAGGGAAATCTACATAACGACACAATTGCAGCCTTGCGCAGGGGGGGCGTATGGATCTTCCCCCTTGCCCACAGGACCCCAGACCGACGGTACCTAGAGGAAGTATGAGGCTCTGTAGCCGAGAAAGGAAGACACTGGATGAAACGCACGAGATGATCTTTTGTTATTTTGCAGTAACGGATCAAGCTGAGATGGCCAAAGCATTAAGTTTTGGCTAAAGAGACTGGAGGTGATCAACCCACCTCGCGCTGGCTTCGCTAACTCGGACTCTGCACGACAGACGCATCAACCGCCGTCTGAGAAAAGGACCATCGAAACGCACCGTGGCCTAGCCAAATCCTCCCGTAATCGCTGGTTGTGCTCTGTCAGACGACGGAGCTTCAGCTCAGACATAGATTGCTAAAGCTAAAAGTCAGGAGGACCTCAGAAAGACGAGTGGGAGGCTACGGACTTTGTGGGGACGGGAGTTCATGGTAGTCGATGCTAGGGGGGAAGAGTGGACGAGGAAAAAGTCCTAGACGGCAAAGATTTGTGAGCAAGGGAGTAGACGTTGAGAGTAGCAAGGAGCGGACCTGGTTTTGTGAAGGGGGTTCAAGGAAAGGGGAGATCACTGGGCGGCCTGATCACTCGGCGGAGTTTGAATGATAATCCGCCCCCTCTGATCTAGTTAGTGGCTTCACTGCTTAGAGGCCTAAGGTAGTAATGGGGGGAGAAAGAATCGTCCGGACCGTGCTGGCGAAAGTATTAATGTCGAAGGAGGCTTTGGCAGGGTGCATTCAAGGAAGGGGACCGAGAGGGGCGCCTCATGCTTTCGGCAAATACCGGCATAAGATGTCGGTTCAGAAACCGAGACGAGGAGTAGAGAAGTGCTTGGGACCCCACTTGCAGACAAACGATAACATGAACCGTTATCTACTACATTGTCAACAATTTCAGGTACTACTCGGTAGCTGCTGGAACGTTCCTGCCGCATACTTGGTATGTGCAATCAATCTGCTCTTGTTTGCTTCCATCATGACCCGCACTCCAGTTGCTCCGCGCAAAGCACCATGTTCGACGCGTTTTCTATTCGTGACACGGACTGATACATCTTAGTGCACAAGTCCTCTCATCGAAACCATGTTCTACGCGTCAAACGAGGCACTGGCAAGGAATCGACACCTAGCGTTCACCGATCTCCTCGTCGTTCAAGCAACATCTTTCACTTGCGCACTGCACGCGACTCCATCATTGGAGACTCGGACGACGATCAAGAGAATGAGCTACCTACGTACGGCTCTCCGCAAGCGAAATCGCGACCGTCGTATACATGGGACGACGAGAAGACTCTAGTCACTGCTCTCATTGACGACGAAGACGATCATGTGGCTGATCCTGACGCCAAGCTGAGTCGACTAGCAGATTCTCTTCGCGAGCCCTTTGCGCGGGCTGGAACGGCCCTCATACAAGATATGGCGCATACACTCCAACCCGCTGTTCAACGTGTCACCTCAGCCCATCGCACTCTGACCCGGCATGTCGATACTGCGTATGCGACCGGACTCCTGGCCTTCGACGACGCCTGCAAATTGTTTGAACTAGCCACCATCGAGGATCAACAAGCACTACAGCAAGCCTTTACTGCCACAGCGGTACGTAGACGTGTCACTTCTCCGACTTTACTCATCTCGATCACAGAAACGAATCAAAGGACTTTTTGAAAGGCTGGAGGAAGCATATCGCCACCGCGACAAGCTTTGGACTGACCTGGACACTTACTTGGCTGCTGAGATCGACCCTGTTATTGCCTCTCTTGCTGAAGTCCCGTCTGCGACTGAACGTACAATCAACACTCTTGAGAAACACGCTAGAAACATGGCCACCAAAGATGACGATAGCGCCAAGATTCAAAGTATGCTCGCTAAACTGACTTGACCTGCACTCCTTCTCACTCCTCGATCGCTTTCTGGTCTGTCTGTCTCGTGCTGGCCCCTCCAATGGTTCCAACCGTGTTTCAGTCGTGTCCTCATGCCCATCCTCTTTATTATTCAACTCCTGCTAGTGTAGGGAAATTACCATACTCCCAACTGTAACATTCCTGTGCGAAACGATGAGATAACTTGTGCCGGGAGTCACAGATAGCTTTACTTACCACACAATCTGTCTCTTCCATCGGCTCTGGAACTTCCCGTCCTATTTCTTGCGACGGAAGCCAAGAGACATTGAGGACTTTCTCGATGACATTGACAATCCCATGAGTTCTAATGTCGACCGCCCATGAGAGATTGGAAACGGTGTCATAGACTATGCTTTTCCCAAGATGACATCTGGGTATTCTGAGGGACGATCAGCAGCGTGCAAAAATTCGCTCACCTCGACTCCATAGCGTAGCCGGCCAGAGCACACGAGGACAAGACTCCGTTGCAAGTTCCCATGGCGATAGGGTCGGCAGTGTGATAGACATGGGTGATGTGTAGTGTGGACGGAGGAGAGGGCAAATGAAGCCGCTCCGCCGCCATCTTCTCGCCCGGGGCCTCAAATGTGACGACAGGAACTCCGAATGTCGCACCAAGCAGAGAAGCGAGAGCTCCGCCCAAACTGTGTCCGAGTATCCAGATGTCGGAGTCCGGATACATATACGTTATGTTGTTGTATAGGTTTGTCCCCACAGGGTAAAAGAGACTGTCTTCTATGAGCGCTTCTTCCACGCAATTGCTATCACACTTCCAGCCGCCGCGATGGCATCCGCATACTGTGGTCCACGTCCAGTCAACGCGCGCGCAACAGCAACTGAACAAGAGGTTGTCGTTAAGTTTGTCTTTCTTTGCAGTCGGCCCCCCACCACCGAGAAAACCGGATGACGTGCCCTTGAGCGCAAGAACGATCGTCGAGTTGTCGGGGGTCGCGAAAACATGACCTCGGAAGCCGTCTGCATCGGGCTCCCATCCGAACGGATAAGACTGCCGTACGGTGAATCGGGGATCGACCCATCGAAGCATTACAAGCATACCACAGACCAATTAGCAGCCAGTTCATACCAACCACCCTCGTCGGGATTCACATACGCGTTGTTCGACATCTTCGCGAGTCTATCTTGCTTATTAGCGGCTAATCAAGCTCCAGGGTGGACCAGCTTACTCAAGCAATGTGAGCCGGTGTTCGACGTCCGGAGCGACGATCTCTTCCTCCTCCCACGGGAATTCCTGGAGTAGAGACTGACCAAATCGCATCGACTGTTGCCGAGCTTGATCATACAGTTCATAGGACGGGGGTCGGTGGGTTTTGATAGTTCGTGTTCTGGAAACGGAGTGGGAGTTTTCGTGCAGGAGTCCAACTCGCTGAGGCACGTCGGCGAATACGACATGAGCGGAAGGCGAGACAGCATGTAGATGACGCAATTCAAACTTGAGAGCAGGAGAATGCGAGCTCGTCTGCACTGAAGGTATGGGGGATTCGGGATAAAAGTGCAGCAGAGATAGAAGCAGGCTTTTCAGCGTCTCCGGCCACATTTCGAATGTCTGGACATAAGTAAGAGGTCAAGCGATTAGCAGAGCACTTGTCGAAGTTGAAGATGAGATCAATTCTTACATCATCGATACGCCCTCGCCGCGGCGGCCGCCATCCATTCTATCCGCCACTTACTCTACCATACCCTTGCGCCCCTTTAATGGACCATTCTGAAGACAGGTAACTCGTGATATGGAGTCGAAAGCATCGAATATTTCAAGACTCAAAGGTCTGTGTATATGTCAGCAACAAAGGATCGATTGCAACCATCTCTTGGCACGGGGTCTTCGCCCTATCCATGGCTGGCCTGCCCTCGATGGCCTCACCGCGTCGCAGCCTTTGAACCAATCTCACGGGAGATCTCGCATCGACAAGACACGATGAAACTCAATAGGAGGTGGTGAGCTCAGCAACCACGAAAACTCTTGACGACTGTCAAATTGGAGAAGTTGTCGATCCATCAACTACATAACTTTAGCGCTCTTCAAAAGACGCCGGATATCAGTGCATGAATGACAGTGTCCCCACACTCAGATCCGTGTCCTCTTCTCTTTCTGTCGCTGTGACTGGCTGAGCCCCTCGCGGCATTCTCTCTCTGCGAGACTGTTCCCTTCTTTCCCCCTCTTCTATGGCACTCTTCCGATGCCGCAAGTTTCTCTTTTGCTTGTCGTTGAGAAGCGGAGTTATGGTACTGGCTCTGTTAGCCATGTTGATCAGCGGGCTGGGCGTAGGGGGTGCCGGTGTTGAACTCTCTTGGGTCATTAGTGCGTTTCCTGGACCTCATCCATCACCGCGTCCTCTGTAGACAGGCATTGAACCTTCCGCAATAGCACAGCACCAGGTCTCTCTTGCTCGGAAAATAGCTATCTTTTCTCAAGGAGCTGTGCTTACCCTTTTGTTTCTGTTGTCTTTGCTTGGGTGGGCGTCGATTTTCTCTCTGTGGGCCGTCCTACCTGACTGCCGATCCTGAGGCTTATTGCAGGAGTGCATGCAGGACGGGGTGTGGTCTACATTTATAGCAAAATGACCTTCATTCATGGCCCCTTCCTCCTTGCTGCTTTGGGCCTCACCCTTTTCACCACCTTCAAAGAACGATCTACAAACACGATCCCGTGTCTGAATGGATCATCGAGCGCGATCATCAAACAGTTCTGCGACCAAGAACAGCTGTCCCTCGTGCTCATCCTCCCAATCGCTTTGCTGGGCGCTGCGTGCTTGATCCAGTTCTGTGCGTTGTCGTCTTTGTCATGTTATATGTAACCATCTAATCTCGTGAACAGATTCGTGGGTCGTCGCGATTAGCTACGGCGAAGCATTTGGTGAGAGCGACATGTCAAGCGTCGTGATGAAATATGCTTCAAGCTCAGGGTCCGACCTCGAATCTATGAAAAACCCGAGCACGGCCCCGGAGAATCCATTTCAGCGGCTAAGATGAAGAAATTGTAGCGAAGAAACTCTGCCTGGGACATTTTCCGTTCTCCATCGACACTGGACACTTGACCGCTGTTCTGTTTGTTGTATTTCAACTCGGATTACGACCTTGATTGCTACTTGAGGACATGGGCCGTTCACTGCGGGGGGATCTTGGGCCTGATGTGTGTTTGGATATAAGATTGGGGTATCCCTTGAGCAAGCGCGTCCTTAACCCCGCTGTTCATGCGAGACACGTACTCTGACCGAGCGGAGCCTTCGACGACCCGCTCGATATCGACGTACACGAGCGCGTCGACAAGCTGGATCTCCTTCTCGTGCGAGCGTCCGAGCTGCACAGGATATCCCAACGCAGAGAGGTCCAGCGTGCCGTGGAACTCAACTGGGAGCGTGCGTTTCACATATGAGTGGGGGACGCCTTCGTAGCCATCTAAGGCCGCCTCGTCCGATGGCGCCAACGAGTACACCAGAGCCCAGACGTGGAACCCCGGAGCAGCAACTACGTTGGCATACCCCCGTGTGTTGATGACCCAGCGCCTGGCACCGAGGGTGAGCAGATGCGTCGCCGAGGATCAGGGAAGCAGGCGCTGCAGACCAATCGTTCAAACGAGCGGTTCCCAGAAACCGATTCCCCGGGCAGCGAGCGTCCATTTGTTCGATCCATAAGTTGCTTCCATAGCCAAAGTAAAGTGTGGGCAACTTTAACTCGCCCATTGACGTGAAGAAAGGGATGAGGATGTTTTGGGATACGACTGGCACGTGAAGTCAAAGCTCGATCAAATCATAGCCAAAGCGGAACACCGGCTATGTTGATGTGGGGTAGGCAGCTGAGTCGTCGGCAGTGCGGGCCCATTCGCGGGCACGGATATAAGTTGGTACATACACATAATTTACATTTGGTCCTATCGATTTCGTCTGTCCGACTCGTCCAATTCTGTAATTCCAATCTCCACGGCTGGCAGAGGTCGTTCGTCGTCCGGCCCGTCCCATGGAACCTGCGGCTCAGGCATGTTCACAAGCACAGTGATACGCAGACGAGAGGCGGTATGAGATAGATGGTCGTCGGAAGTACTGCTCTGGACATCGTCTGCCGTTGTTTTAGCGGGACTGCATTGAGAAGGCGGCAGAGCCACCAACGATATAGGCTGAGAGGATGTCATAAATGGGAGCCCGTGAAACACGGACCGCGAACCATGATTTCGTCCCAATCCCCACTCCGACTCTTCTCGTCCTTGAGATGCACATCGACTAGTAACGGCCGCGGCCCAGCGCCCGGTCCATTTATCTTGACTAAGAACGTGGTGATGTCCTGGTCCGTCCAGTCTCCGTCGCCCTGCAGCTCCCTCCTTCGTCGATTGATCGCGGAAAGACGTAAGCGGAAGTAGAGCGAAATGGCGAGGGCGGCGAAGAGGAAGATAGCAGCCGGGATGGCATATTCTGTCCAAGTGAATCAGGGAGTCGTTCGCGGGTCATGGACGGCCAGATTTACGATATAGCGGTGAGGTCGACTGAGAGTTGTCCGGCAACTGCTGCCCTGGAATAGTCGACATAATAGTACGATTTTGGGTCTCACAGTTGCCAGAATCCCAGACGACAGTTGGGACGAAGGAGCATCGACATCAGCGGCATTGATGAGATGGAGCTTACATCATCGAGACAGGAAATGTGGTAGGATACAGAACCTACTGCAGTAAAGATGGGTGTATGACGTAGGGTAAAGTAGAAATGGGATGAGACCATGTGGACATAGTTACGGACATGGCTACGCACGACGACGAACTTTTCTGAAAGCCGAGCGTCCATAAATACGAATGATCGAGAGCAATGAGCAGAGCAGAGGCTGATGGGGATGAATGTCAAGATGAATAGATGCAGGATGGGAGCAGCCGTGTGCATGGAATTGGGGTATTCATGATGGGGAAATGGTGGATATCACAAGGATATAGGAAATGGGAGGAAATGGAAAACGGAAAGGGCGACAGCGAAGTGAGCGCTTGATACGATGGCCAGCGCAGAGCAGTTCGTTTCTGTCGGTGATATTTCAACGTCGAGGTTAATCATAACCCAGCCGACGCTTCTTTCTAGGCAGCTCTTGGCTGCTTCTAGTGCTTGCCGAATGACCGGTCGACCGTTCGTTAACGGTCGCGTCAAGATTTGTCGGTATAGGTGCGCTGCTTACGGCGCACGGTCCCAGAAGCTAATCGGGAGGTGCCGAGAGCGCCCGCGATGGAGGCCGCGGGAATTGCAGCATGTCTGGGGGAGGTCCTAAGTCGACCCGCAAAAAAGAGCACCGCCTCAGCCCCGACGAGGCTGAGGAACAAGATTGGGCCCGTGCGCGAGGAGAGGCAGAGGGTGGAGTGGATGGGCGCACACGACAGCGCCGGGGTGCAGCATCGCCTTCGCCACCATCATCAGACGAGAGAGATCGAGGTCGCGGTCTTTTCGCCGTCGTTGGTATTGCTTCGAAAGATACGATCTCGGGCATAGGTAAACACGCTTGAGGAAGCAGGGCAATTTCAGCGACTTGGCCGAACATGGAGACATCATCAACAGCCTCCGGGGTGGATTGATCGACATCCCACCGCCATCGCTCAATCGCGGACGCGGTGTCGCTCGGAGGCGGAAGGGTATCTAACGAAGGGGCGTTGAGAGGGAGTTGGACCTCAGGCTCGTCACCGAGAAATTCGAAATCCCCCGGTGCGGTACCCTCAGTGAATGAGTCCATGTCCTTCACGAGCGGCGCTCCAGGCACGACGATGTCAGAATCGTCCGGGAACGCAAAAGGGCTGGCGTCCAATGAGAATAGGGGCAAGCAAAAACAGATCGGGGGGACATACACGTTGGGAGCCTCATTCGCCAACGAGGGTAGACGGCCGGCTGGGGGAGTTGGCAGGGACATGGTCGCAGACGTGGGGGACACCTCTCTGGTCACAGCAAGCACATTAGACGCGGCCAGCATGTGTAAGATGAATGCATACACGTCTGCGAACCCCTTCAATGATAAGTCTAGCTGCTCGAGCATTTCAGCGTCGGCGGGGACGACAGTGCCGTACGAGTCCCGTCGGACGTGCATGGCGTGGGTAAGGTGTGGGCGATGCGTGGGCCTTGAACGATGACGGGCTACGGCAGAGAAAAAGAGGGACGGATAGAAATACAGGGAGGACGAGAAAGCATATGTTGTGGTTAACCAGATACCAATCGTAATGGACTTGTATCGGGTGTGACTCCCGTCACACTGCGGTCACTGCGGTCACAAGTTCCCGAGCCATCAGAACGATCCCGTGGCCAAAGGACTCAAGTAGCCTACCTGGGGAATGAACTCGAACATTCTGAGAAAACGAAAACGTGGAAGCAGAAATACGCGGTTGAGCGCGCTTATTCATGCACATACTAGCTATGCTACTATACAGATTATAACATTTTTTTACTGCCCGCCAGATCCCCGAGTCTACAACCTGCCCGAGACGACTGGCATTTTAGGATATTTTGCTCTAAAAACACAGAATGATGTTGTGACAGGTCAAGGAAGGATGAACTTCCGATGCAAAGACGAAATGAGAGTGAGGTTGAGCTGAGCCAGGACCCAATGATGTGGAGGGAAGCACTTTAGAGCTTGAGGGTCTTGGGCTTCTCCCAGGTGTAGTCGGGATTGCCTGCACCAAGTTAGTAAAGAATGACAGCCAACGAAATCCAGCTCCAACTGACCGAAGTGACCGTACGAAGCGGTCCGGAGGTACTGAGGCTTCTGCAAGTCGAGTTGCTGGACTGCAGCCAGCGTGAGTCAATGTTTCAACCCTGAAGAAGACAGCTAAACATACCGATGACACCAGGTCGCAGGTCGAAGTTGTTGCGGATGATGGTCACGAGTTCCTCGTCCGACTTTTTGCCGGTTCCGTAAGTGTCAACGTAGATCGACAAGGGCTCGGCGACACCGATAGCATAAGAGAGCTGAACAAGGGCGCGGCGAGCGAGGCCAGCCTTAACGAGGGACTTGGCTGGAAAGATGGGTTGGCGAAAAGATCACGACAACATCACATGCACATACCAATCCAGCGGGCAGTGTAGGCAGCCGAACGGTCGACCTTGGAGAAGTCCTTGCCAGAGAAAGCACCTCCACCGTGGGCACCCCATCCACCGTATGTGTCGACAATGATCTTACGACCAGTCAGACCAGCATCACCCTGAGGACCGCCAATCACGAAGCGACCAGAAGGTTGCATCTGACAAGACGATCAGCATGTATCCGAGGAGGTGGATCAAAAGACTGACGTGGTAGACGGTGTGCTCGTCAAGGAGGTTGGCGGGAATGACCTGCTTGACGATCTTCTCCAGGAGCTCTTTGCGCAACTCTTCCGTCGTGATCTCCTCAGCATGCTGAGTCGAGATCACGACCGTGTCCACGCGCAGGGGAATGGTGGCACCACCCTCCTTCTTGTACTCGACGGTGACTTGGGTCTTCGAGTCAGGGCGCAACCAAGGAAGGGCTCCGGTACGGCGAGCAACCGACATGGCCGCATTCAACTTGTGGGCGAGCATGATCGTCAAGGGCATGCACTCCTCCGTCTCATCCGTCGCGTATCCGAACATAATTCCCTGGTCACCGGCACCGAGGCTCTCGAGCGAGCCGTGGTCCAGACCCTGAGCGATATCCGGGGACTGCTGCTCAATCGCGACCAGGATGTTGCAGGTCTTGTAGTCAAAGCCCTTCTCGGAATCGTCGTAGCCAATCTTCCGGATGGTCTCGCGGATGACCTTTTGGTAGTCGAGCTTGGCCTTGGTCGTGATCTCGCCAAAGACCATGATCATTCCAGTTTTAGAGGCAGTCTCGCAAGCAACCTTGGACATGGGGTCCTCGGCTAAGCAGGCATCGAGCTGTACGAATACATGAGCAATGACGCGCAAAAAAGAGTGAGCAGGAAACGTACAATCGCGTCGGAGACCTGGTCACAGATCTTGTCTGTCATACACACGTTAAGACCTCATGCAACGTGTGTGCGGTGAAAAACACGTACCAGGGTGACCCTCCCCAACAGACTCTGAAGTGAAGAGGAAGTGACCGACGGGAAGAGCACGAGGAGACATCGACGGTGAGAGAAGCGATGGAGCGGATAGGGATGTGGAGGGAGGGAAAGAGTTAGATGAGAGAAGAGACAGAAACACAACTTTATAAATTTTAGTCTGATTCGTATGATGGCGTGATAATCACAGCCGCCGGCACGTTTATCGTACCATCCAATTTCTACTCACATTCCGCGTAAAAATTCGGAGGATGGCTATCTGTTGCTAATGTACTCAAGTAAAACTGCGTGTGTGTATTGCAATCTATATATTTCTCAAGAGAACCCGACACCAAGAGGATCTATGGCCGATGTGGCTGCAGCCACTTTCGCAGGCTGAGCAACGTTGCTGGCACTCGGCAGCGGCATGTCCGGCAAGCGGTCCGGTTGTCGCTGTTGCTGGCGAGGAGCTGCAGCGACTGTCTCCAATGTCATGGCTGCTAGGCCCGACGACGGACTATCTGTAGGATGTTCCGAAACTGGAGGTGGTGTGTATGGTTTTGGCTCGTCCGACGGGCTGCTGCTTCCCCAAGGGTTCTGGAACACACTTGAGGAGCTGGCCACCGACGGCTCCGGTTTCGAACGCGACCAAGGATTCGAACTGAAGCCAGAAGAGCCGAACGAAGGCTCTTCTCCCCAAGCAGCAAGATTGTCACGTCCACGAAGTTCTTCGTGTGGGGTTTCGGAGCTGGCGGTGCTCCTCAGATCTTTGGCGACATTGTCATAAGCATCCTGCACAACAGAAAAGGCGGCGGACGCGTTTGATGACAGTCTACCCCACACAGATTTGACTCCGGAGTTGAGTATATCTGCCCTGGAGCCAGCGGTCTTCGGTGACGAAGGGGAGGATGGCAGACCAGGAGATCCAGCGGAGGATGAAGCTGGAAAGCCTCGCAGTGAAAAGGCAGAGGTGGAAGAAGATATAGGACGAAAGCTATCCACTCTCGAGGGAGCCGGCCGTGCATCGCTTGGGATTGACGGCGAAGCTGTCACGCTCGGCGACACCGGTCGTGGCGACGGGCTGGTCGGTGAAAGATGTGAAGATGAGGGGGGCGACGGAGGAAGTGCAATTGTAGGCACAGAAGGTGTTCCAATAGGCGTCCTCACATTCTCGTCTTCGGGGCTCGCTGTTGTCTCCGCAACATGTACGCGCCCGTTCATCTCTTCATCAGTCCTCCCATATAGTTCATTCCAAAATCGGACGTCCTTAGCATTTGGGAAAAGAACGCCCATATCAGCACCTGAGCTGCGGTTGCTCGGATCATCGAGTTGAGGTGAATATGTCGGATTCAGGTGCTGTTCCATCTCTGGTGGGGAGTTGAAGAAGTCCCAGACACTGATCGTACGCTCTATAGCAGGTGCCTGTCCATCCTCTCCTACCCGTCTCTCTCGCTCGCAGTTGAACAAAAACGTGCCGAATTGGCACGAGTACAAGTGGTAATGCAGCTGCCGCAGAAAGCGCTCGTTGAATTCGAATCGGGTCGGATACTGTCGCTGGATCTGCCGAACACACTCCAGGAACTGATGAAATATGGGGCTGGTCTCCTTCAGATGCCCTTGGGATGCAAATCGATTCTGCATGGACGCCAGGAAGGCTTGGGCCGCATTTGCCTCGCTGTTTCCGCCACCGTTGTCATTCGGGGAGATGAAGAACTTGTCCGATGATAGATGCCCACATCGATCCATGAACTTGTGTCCAAACGAGATCCAGTCCTTCTCGATCAGAATTTCAAAACCCCGGATAGTTCGGTAGAACGGATCCAAACAGAGTTGTGCAAGGGCAGACAGCTGGGAGGTCCGATCCCATCCATCGGAGCAGTGGATCAGGACGTGCGAGGAATTGACATGAATGTTGCGTGTGATCAAGTTCGTGCCCTCGAGTACGATTTGAATATGACGCAGCCATCCAGAGCGCCGCAACGCCTGGCGATCGAGGACAGAGATACCAGAGATCTGGTCAGGAAGGTCGCTGTTGATGCTTGCAAGTAGGACATCGGCTTCACGCAGAGCCTCGACAACTTTGTTGAGAGAGTCTCGCATGACATGAATGCTGTCGATCCCAAGGTAAGCTTTCTTGCTGTCTTTGTAATGATCCATGTTTTCCGTCCCAGCTCCTTTTGCGGTGTTCCCAACGGCATTGATGGTGGGACGGGCGTCGATGATCAAGTTTGTCGACGTCGCCCCATAGATTGCATTTCCTGAAGCACGCAGTTCGGGCGTGTGATGAGTTTGGAAAATAGATTCGATAAGTTTTTCGTCCTGCACTGAGCGGTTTTGTGTGATCCCGACCATAGGTTGGCTGGAACGAGTGATACTGCCCTGGATAACAAGCATCAGAAAGGGCTGGTAAGACTTTAGAGCGGCTTACGAAGTTGGCCCAGTGGAGATACGTGAGGGCAGGTATCCGGCATTTACTACGATACTTGGAAGCGTATTGGAGTGTCGTGTCACTGATCCGTGAAGGGACGACCAAGCGGGATGGGTACGTGGAACTAAACTAAAGTTACTGAATATCGTCGATAAATGCACCAGAGAATGAGCAGTGAGCCACCCACAGAGTAGTCTTTGTTAATGTCCGTAAATCGCCATGCTTTCGTTCTTGTTCCTACTCCCATCCGGCCGAACTCGTCTCGAGGAGAATATATCGCCCATCCGTCATGTGTGGGCAGTGCAGGGTTTGGAACGTAGAAGAAGGCGTATAGCTGTTGGACATTGGCTAGATCGCAAGGTGAATATGATGAAAGAGCTGTATATCAAGCGACGCACTGGCCACCGTCAGCTCTTTTACACTGTCAAACACGTCGGTCGCATCCGTATCCTTCTCGAATGACAAGGAGAAGGTCTCGAATGTGCGGCAATGGAGGGTCAGTGGACACTGGCCCCGCATCGTCTGCGGCAGACGCGTAACAAGCGAGATCAGGGGGTACAGAACCTGGCAAGTGATTAACGACACAGCCAAGACAAAGCAACACACTCGCACCCACAGTTCCTCCTCGTTGGAGGCATCGTATCGAAAGATGAGATGGTGAGCAGTCAGATGGATAGTTCCGGGCATGGACGTCCCATTCCGGGTACATATGACGTTCTCCACCTGCAAGTCCATGCTAAGAGATAGCGTTCCAGGAGAGAAGAAAGACAGGAAGAGACCTTGGAGACCCTGATCGCGTCCATGGCACTTGTAGGGGTGAATCGACAGCAAATTCGATCGTGCGCGCGGTGTTCTTGTCAGAGCTTGGGTCGACGGTGGCGGTGCTGATCAGCGCGTTCATCTGCTTGTCCACGCTTGGTCGCCTCGGCAAGTTTTCTCTTCAGTTCTTTCGACCAAGGATCACGACGTGAGGTCAACCACCTGCCCATTCAACTACTTAAAATCCGACGACCACTATGGATGAGCCTCAATCGAAAGCTTGGCCTCTTGCCGAAGACGAACTCACCAATGCTGTGTGTCTTGATGGATTTCACATGCGCGCGCTCGAAACTGAGTTTGCCGTAGATCTTGGAGCTCGTGCAACAAGCCAGCCAATACAAGCAGCTGAAGAAGGGTGCCAACGAAGGTGCATCGTCTTCTGCCATGCACATTTACAGGATTTGAACAACAAATAGCCACTAAAACCCTCAATCGTGGTATTGCCGAATTCATCGTGCTCACCGCTGACACAGAGCCATTGGAAATTCTGTTGCATCTTCCCTTGCTCTGTGAAGAGAAGGTACGGGGTCATCGCTACTTGTGTTCACCACAACTTATGCCCATGCACAGAACGTGCCCTACGTCTTCGTGCCCTCCAAGGCTGCCCTCGGCCGCGCTTGTGGTGTAACCCGGCCTGTCATCTCCGCCAGTGTCATCACCAGCGAGTCGAGCGAGCTATCCAGCCAGATCACGACCATCAAAAATGCGATCGAGAAATTGCTTGTATGATTCTGCGACTTCTCCCATGTCAGGCTGCCGAAATCGGGCTTGCATGTCATGTATGCAGTCAAACAAAAACAATGAATATTGTGACGAAGTCGTCTTCAAATGTTCTCCATCATCGCAAGCGCCCAGTAGCTCCAACCCCAACTGAGCCAGTCAAGCTCACGTGTATTCCATCTGATAGTCGATGGGGCCCAGAGCATCAAGAGAAAGAAGCCTACCGTGCGTCGCCAGTTGAGTAGCTGCTTTACTCGACAGTCCTCGCAAACGATTCGTCCACGATCAGCGTCCATGTCTTCGAAGGTGGTCGTTCCACGATCACACTGAACTGCTTTCTTACGACGAGTAGCCAGCACAAGGAGCATCTAGCCGTGCGACATACGCTGAACACATGTGCTTTGCCAAACAGTTGTGATCCCGGTCTTTTTGGACGGTGACCAAAGTGGTCAGCTAATGGTGAAATAGGCTGGATACAGCAGGGGGGCTACTCCACAGAGCCGAGTCGCGAACTTTTTCTTTGTCCTCTCCGAGTCTGTCGAGAGCAAATGACTGGTTCCCTTTGCCAAGAAACGATCGGCACGGAGAGATTGCCCTCAGGTTCTTGAACGACCTTGAAGCCACGGGAAAATCTTCCGCCGCTTGTTCGTATGAGACTCGGTGCTGTTTTGGCTGCGCCGGCTAACCAGGCTAGCCATACGATGTGTCAACCTCGGGTCTACCCTGGTGTACAATCTATCGCTGAGAAACGAGAAACGATCCATCCTGGTCAGACAAGCTTCCTACTCAGCAAATTGACAGGTTGTGCATCACCGCGCGAAATTCCCACCGGATGGCATCCCCGTCCTTGCGATTCCAAAGCGTTGTCAGGCAGATCTACGCCACGTAAATGAAGATGAGAGGGAAACAAAATAATGATAGGGTACATCGTCCGCGTCAGAAGAATCAGGTCTCTCGCAGAGAGCAGATAGTATATCTGCGACGCGCACGCGCTAACAGGAATACGACGCCCCAGCTCTCTTCTTCGAGTGAATGCAAGTTGCAGAGAGTTGTTGAAGATCTTGCTGTCACAACCACACTTTTCGTGACATCCCGCGTCAGTGCCAGGGTCACACCACGTGTCGTGAATACACAAACGTCTCCGCGTCTTGATAACTTTCGGCGCGTATGTATAGATTTCAGATCATGTAGCAACCCCTGCACGATCCCATATGTCTATGTAAAGTTTATCCGAGTTTTGAAGAGCGGATTTGGCTGCCATTGAAGCATACAGTCCATCAGATCCACTCAAGAGAGCGCCAGCTTGGACCAACAAGTCCACAATTTCTCCGAAACCCTTTCGTGCGGCCTACCAATAGACTTCAGCGGGGCAGAGAGCGGGAGACAAGATGGGCTTACATAATACAGAGCGGTGTGACCTAGCGAGTCGCGTAGATGAACGAGAGCCCCGGAATTGAGGAGCAGTTGGACACAGGCAGTACTGCCGTTTAAAGCAGCGGCGTGCAAGGGAGATCCACCAGTCGCCGAATCAAGGCTGTTTACAAATCCACTGGCTATATTGGATGGCCCTGGCGTGGCAACCAAATCATTCGACTGTTCGACTTGAGGCAGAACTGGATGCCTTCCACATCATTTCGAGCGGCCGCAGAATGGATGAGGAAAGGAAGGAGAGCGGCTTCCGTTGACGCAGCCTCGGCTGCCGTCGATGTCCAAGAAGCCGCAGCATCTTGGGCATTCCCATCCGGTAGAGAAATCGTGATTTGGGGCGCCTGGGTCAACGGCACCGACATGCGCACGAACTCGGAGAGCAATCCCTGGATGTTCTCCATATTTTGGACCAATGTTGCCTGGCTCAGAGCCGTGGCGGAGTGGCGAGTCAACTCTCCCCGAAGCGGGGTGCTCATGAGCTTGCGAATCTGATCCACTGAGAACTCGGGTTTCGAGAGCAGGTAGCTGAGCTTGGTGAGAGCGCACTGGTGCAGCAGGTCAATCGTCCGATCCGTTGTGCAACAGCAATCTTACCTCTGGGGTCATATCACTTCCCGGGACGACCCCGCCGACGCAAGTTCCCGCCCGGCCTCATAAGCATCCGACACCGATCCCTTACTACATTGAGTGATCGCAACCACAATCACGCCCCGATCACAGGCCTCTTCAAAGAGACGCTTTGTCAAAAGTGCTGGAAGAGAGTATAGACTAGACGGTACCCTTGAACGCTTGGATAAGATCCTGGCGCTGGGGAGCATTTCCCGACCCAAATGTTTCCAGAACAACGCCTCTGACTGGCGGAGCGAGGAAGGCTCGTATCGTGGGAGTCGTAATGCCGGGGAAGAGCCGCAGCGTAGCTGGCAGGGTGAGATCATGAATGAACCAGGAAGCATGCCCAGTAAATAACTCACCCACGTGCGGACTCATTTCCTTGTGGGCACGGAAACGCCGGAGGCTAGTCTGCCGAAGAACATCATTCCAATTGACAACAATGTCAATTCCGACTGCTCTTTGCGTTGAGATGGGCTAACATGACTTTGAACGTACTTGCCATTGACTAGAGGAGCAAAGTTCGGACTGTGAAAAGCGCCGAGATCGTACGAGGAGACCTTGGAGACTCGATTTCCACGGAACAACGCTGTCGGCTGTCGGCTTCATCTCGAAGGGGACGAGAAACTTTGCTGGCTCACTGTGATTGAAATACAGACAGCATTCTTGTGCCAAAGTTTAGTCAACATATCTTCCCCGGAGATTGCCCAGTTACCTGGAATGATATAGTTCCCAGCAATCATAAGAGCCCCCATAAGATTGTCCACCGCGTCATTCCGCAATTGAGAGAGCGGGATTTGGGCTCCAGTCAAGATAACCGTCTTGCCCAGATCCTCCAGCAGGAAGCTCAGCGCGCTCGATGTGTAAGACATCGTGTCCGTTCCATGCAAAATCACGAAAGCATCGAAGTAATGGTAGTTCAATCTGTTCGCCGTTCGAACGCGAAACGATGCAGATGACCCAGCTCTCACTCACTCGATCTCCGATGCCAACCGAATCCAGTCTGAACGAGCGTGTGAGATAAACCCAATTTATCGAGAAGAACAGCGCACCTTCGTTTTCGATGTTACTGCTGTCCAGTAATGGATTCCACTGATCGACGATCAGATTCCCAAGCACAGATCCTGCTAACTCGACGCGCACCTCCAGAATAGCATAACGGATGGCTTTACTGTCACTGCTTCCCGACACGGAACTTCGAGGCATTATGAGGCTAGGGATTCGCGCTTCAAATAGTCTTCGGATAATTGGGTGCATATCGAAGCTGCCGGCGGGTCTTTTGTCGGACTGGAAGTAAGGGTTGTGGTGAGATCGCCGATCGGTCGGGAGGAGCGGACAAGTAGTGTCGGTTGCTCGAACTGAGGGTTCACAGGCGTATTTCCACTTTGAGGACTAGAGCGACCACTAGTGCTGCTCAAGAACTGCCGAAACCCTTGCACGCTCCCCGAGTTCGAAAACAGAGAGTCTTGGAAAGGGTCATGGAACCTTGTCTGACTGCATACATGCATCCGTGAGAAGATCAAATGCGCTGTGCGATACATCGCATACCTCTTCAAAGTCTCCGTCAGAAAAAAAGGCTCGGGGACGTAACCGCGGTTGCCGATGAGCATCCCGATAGTGCCACCTTCAAGGCATCAGAACATATACCCTCACTATTAAGCTCTGACTGCGAAACCTGTGTAGATCACAAGTACCCTCGATTCATTGCCAGAGGGCCGTGAAGCCGAGTCCATTTCGGTCGATGTGGCAGAAGCCGCAACTTGCAGGCGCGTCGGCTTGAATTTTGACTCCTATCTCCAGGCTCACGTGCTAGCGATAATCTTGCACTTGAACGCGCATCTGACTCGATCGAGTCAAGTGAAGGTTCTCTCATGGACGCGCTCAAGAAAGTCTTTGCGGACAAAAAAGCTCAGGTATCGCACTTTCTCTGTCTCTGTATTCTGAATTAACAGACTCAGGGCACCCCGGCATTCGTCACATTCGTTACTGCTGGGTACCCCACTCGAGATGACACAGTGCCCATCCTGCTCGCCATGCAGAAGGGAGGGGCGGACGTAATCGAAATTGGCGTCCCCTTCTCCGATCCGATTGCTGACGGCCCGGTCATCCAAGAAACGAACACTGTGCGTGGCTCACCGGCGCTGTACCTGGCTCTCACTCATCCCATCCTCCGCTTCAGATCGCATTAACAAATGACATGGACTATGCAACTGTTCTGGGGATGGTCCGCGAAGCAAGGAGCAAGGGCCTCACAGCACCGGTGGTGCTAATGGGTTCGTCTACCGTGCCGCGCTGCACCGTCGTCTGACAAGCTACGCAGGGTACTACAACCCCCTCCTTGCTTACGGAGAAGACAAATCCATTCAGGATGCCGCGGAAGCTGGTGCGAATGGATTCATCATGGTCGATCTCCCTCCGGAGGAGGCCGTCGCCTTCAGAGACAAATGCGTCAAATCTAGGTGCGTGCGAGCGTTGGACCACTCATATGTTTCCTGAGGACTCCAGTCTATCCTACATTCCTCTAGTGGCGCCCTCGACGACAATCGGCCGAGTCCAATTCCTCTCCTCGATAGCCGACACCTTCATCTACATTGTTTCAAAGGTCAACACTGCTACTGGTTTATCCTGAAATCTCACTCTGACTCCGTCTACTAGATGGGCACCACGGGCTCGTCCGACAATGTTGGAATGAACGCGGCGCTTCCGGACATTATCGCACGCGTCCGCCAATTCGCGACCGTTCCGCTCGCCGTCGGTTTCGGTGTCGCGAACCGAAGCCACTTTGATACCGTGGCTGACGCAGGGGCCGACGGTGTCGTCATCGGGAGTCGCGTTGTGAACATCATCAAGGGTGCACCTGCCGGCCAAGTGGCGTCAGCGGTTGAAGCGTATTGCCGCGAGATCAGTCAGCCCGGAGCACCTGCCCGTGTCCGTTCTCCACCTGTGACGACGCCGTCAGCTGCTGCTGCTGCCCAGCCTGCTGAAGTCAAGGCCGCGACGCAATTGAAAGAGCTGCCGGCGCGGTTCGGGCAATTTGGTGGCCAATATGTGCCCGAAGCGCTTGTGGACTGCCTTATCGAGTTGGAGGAGGCCCACAAAACTGCAGTGGCCGACCCAGAGTTCTGGAAAGAATTCCAAAGCCATTTCGGCTACATGAACCGCCCCTCGCAGCTGTATCTGGCGGAAAATCTGACGAAGGACGCTGGTGGAGCCAAGGTCTGGCTCAAGCGGGAAGACTTGTAGGTCGCCCATCACTCTCCATTCTCCTTGGCGCCAACCGTTTCGACGCAGGAACCACACTGGCTCGCACAAGATCAACAACGCCATTGGCCAGGTGCGTGTTATCAGACGCTCTGGCGTGCTTCGCCTCACGGTGCACAGATCTTGCTAGCACGCAGGATAGGTAAAACACGGATCATCGCCGAGACTGGTGCCGGGCAACACGGCGTCGCGACTGCGACGGTCTGTGCCAAATTCGGCATGGAGTGTGTGATCTACATGGGTGCAGAGGATGTGCGAAGGCAGGCGCTGAACGTCTTCCGTATCGAGATGCTGGGTGCCAAGGTCGTGCCGGTGCATTCTGGATCGTGCACACTGAAGGATGCTGTCAATGAGGCATTCAGAGACTGGGTCACCAATCTGTCCAACACATACTATCTCGTCGGATCCTGCATCGGACCTCATCCATTCCCAACAATCGTCCGCGACTACCAGAAGGTCATTGGCGAAGAGATCAAGCAGCAGATGAAGGCTTTGCGGGGAAAGCTTCCAGATGCCGTCGTCGCCTGCGTCGGTGGCGGAAGCAATGCCATCGGGACATTCTACGATTTTATCGAAGACAAGTCCGTGAGGATGCTTGGTGTCGAGGCCGGTGGCGAAGGTCAGCCATGTTGGGCTTTTATTTCGATCCCCGAATCAATTCGATTGTCCAGGTATCGATGGTGTCCGCCACAGCGCCACCCTTTCTGCTGGACAGCCCGGTGTCCTGCACGGCGTGCGGACCTACGTGCTGCAGTCGCCCACCGGTCAGATCATCGAGACCCACTCCATCAGTGCTGGCCTTGACTATCCCGGTGTCGGACCTGAACATGCTTGGCTGAAGGACTCCGGCCGGGCTGAGTATGTTGCGGCCACAGACGAGGAGGCTCTACGTGGCTTCAGAATGCTGACGCAGCGGGAGGGCATCATTCCCGGTAAATTCGTTTGAGTCTGTCCCAATCTTTTCTAACATCTGGACAGCCCTCGAGTCGTCGCATGCCATCTGGGCTGGCGTGCAACTGGCTAAAACACTTTCGGCGGACAAGGACATCGTCATCGTAAGTTTTCTACTGCTGCGTGCCTGCACTCGTCTGATTGCTTGAAAAGTGTCTGTCGGGCCGTGGGGACAAGGATGTCGAGCAGATCTCAGAGCTGCTTCCCAAGTGGGCAGACAAACTCGACTGGCACGTTGCCAGAGGACACGCGTAGTTACTATTGTAGTGGCTGTACAATTAGATAACCTCAATCGATCACTGAGCGTGACTCAAACAGTCCATTGAGCCATATAGATCGCTTGTCCCTCACACCCACCATGTCATCCGAAGGCTCTCATTCTCCAACACAACGCGTAGTCGAAAACCTAGCTTGGAAGCTGCGGCGGCGGTCAGTCCGGTCGCGTGAACGCACGCGTTTTTAGGCCATTTACCATCCACCCGCGCGCAGGCAGATCGTAGGCTCCCGTGCCACCGCTCTCGAGACCCTGCTCGTGCTGCGCCAAGTGATCTCGAAGTCGCGGTTCTCAAATATGGAGCAGCTGGTCGCGATCGTGCGGGGCGTGGGTCGTAGGCTGGTGGAGGCGCAACCGAAGGGTGCGGCGATCGACCGTCCCTCCTTTGCGCTGCCGTGGTTCTCATCTTCAGTCCCCCAGAGCATTCCGTCGGAAACACCGTCAGGAAAGTCCTGCATCACATCCGCGAGGAGTATCAGACAGCAGCAAAAAGCACCGCGACGACGGACACCTCTGGAAGTTTCTCCATCTCTCGATTCGTGCTGCAGGGCCAGCCTCGAAAACAACACACCGCGCTGCCGAAGACAGAGAGCAAAGGAACCCTGAAAGAGAACGATCCCGATGATCCGGATTCGTTTGCGCGCATCCTGAAGCCGGTCTTGATGGAGGCGATCCAGGATGTGTTGGATGAGTTGGAGACGGTGTATGACAACATCTCCAAGAACGCACAAAACCATATTCATTCCGAGTGCGTTTATGCATCTATGCTCTTGTTGTGCACGTCTAAAACCAAGCCTAGTGAGATCATTCTGACGATGGGGTTGTCGAAGACCGTCCAGTCGTTCCTGATCTCTGCAGCACATCATCGGAAATATACAGTCATGGTCCTCGAGACAGCACCCTCGTATGTTCAATCTATTGTCTCAGCGCCGAGCCTCCGATCACGGGATGATCAGATACGGTGGTCGCGACATGGCACAAGCGCTCTCAGCAGCGGGCATCTCAACATTCCTCGTCCCGGACTCATCGATGTATGGGCTGATGTCCCGCGTGAACAAGGTGATCCTCGGGGCGCACGCAATCCTCGCCAACGGGGGGATGTTCGCTGTCACAGGGTCTCTGTTGGCGGCGACGGCGGCGCAGGCACACAGCACCCCCGTGGTCGTGTGTGCAGGACAGTTCAAGATGACCCCACTCTGGAATCTGTATCATGAGTATGGGGCGCTTGATTTCGGGGACCCCAGTCAGGTCCTTGGGTTCGAGGAGGGCGATCTGGTGGACAAAGTCGATGTTGTGAACCCCTTCTACGATTATGTGCAGCCTAATCTCATCGACGCGTTTATCACCAACGAGTGTGTCCTCTTGTTGATTGATTGGCCTGTTTACTGAAATTCACGACAGCGGAGACCACCCCCCTCCATCAATATTCAGGTGAGTCGATGTGGCTGGTTTTGTATGAGCATTAAAGTCGTGCCAGATTAATCAAGGAGACGTACGATGATGAAGACAACGAACTGTAGAAATAATGTATATGTACATACTAGTCTCGCTTCTTCGAGCTCATGATCTCGAAGAACGCTTCCTGCGGCATATCGACTGTGCCCATCCGCTTCATCTTCCGCTTGCCCTCCTTCTGTCGCTCGAGCACCTTCATTTTGCGCTCGACATGCCCACCGTACAGCCCGGCAGTCACGTCAGCCCGGTAGGCAGAAAGGGTCTCCCGGGCGATGATCTTTTTGCCCACAGCGGCTTGAATGGGGACCTCGAACTGCTGTCGGGGAATCACTTTTACTGGGGGCAGTTAGTTGGATAGCATATGGCGACCAAAGCCACCGACCCAGTTTCTTGACCCATTGCCTGCCGATGGCATCTTCTTGAGACCGATGCACAACCAGCGCAAGCGCGTCCACCGGCTTCCCGTTCAGAAGAAAGGCCATCTAATCTGCAGGTCAGATGAGCTATATTGCGCATGAGAAACTTGCCTTGGCCAGATTGCTCGCCTTGTACCCAGCCTCCTCATAACTACAATAACACTCAGTTGACGCGGCTGGAATGTCGGTCGAGCACGTACTCGAAACTGGCGAAGCCCGAGCTGCGACTCTTCAGCTGGTCGAAAAAGTCGGTGACAATCTCGCTCAGCGGCAGAGTGCAGGTCAAGATGATCCGAGACGAACTGCCGGTCCCGGCATCCAGATATCGGTGCTCCAAATCTTCTGCTCTGTGCGTGAAGCACAGGTCCATCATGTCGCCGAAATACTCTGCCAATGAAGTGAGCTGGTGTTCACAGCCAGAGGGCTATACACTGACCCTCGGGAACGATGATCGATGCCTTGACTATTGGTTCTTGGACTTCCTGGACTTTAGAGGTCCATTCGACAGAATCCGGGAATTCCGTCGGGTTGCTGATGAACACTTCATGATCTCTGTAAACCACTGCATTTATGTGAGAAAGTGAGAGCAGCAAGGAGAGTCACGCTGACCCTTGTAGGGCACAGTGGGTGCGGTCACAATGATGTTGGCGTCATATTCATCCTCAAGTCTCTGTCGGAACACGTCCATGTGCAACGTGCCAAGAAACCCGAGTCGGGAGCCCTGGCCAAGCGCTGTGGAGGACTCCCGTTGCACCGTGACGCTGCGGTCCGTCAATGCCAGCTGCGGTTGAATCAATTGGCGGCAACTCAGACTGAAGATGTGTCTGACATACCCGTTTGATAGACTCTTCGAGCTTGGGGAAATCACTTGTGTCGATGGGGAAGATTCCCGCGTAGACCTTTTGCCAGGATTAGAAAGAACAGCGCGGAGTATGGGCCCAACCCTAACCATAGCTTTGGCAGGCTTGAAGCCCGGCATAGGTTCAACGGAAGTTCCAACGCGATGGAGCGTATCTCCAATGTGTGCTGGTAGACACGTGAGCTAATTGTTGAAGCGCCAATGCTCAACAACCTGCCTTCAGTTGACTCCTTCATGTTGCATGCGATGAAACCGACTTGGCCAGGGAAAAGACTGGTGGCCGGAATTTCCTCCGGGTTCATGATACCCAGGTCGGTGACTTCATACTTTTTCCGCGTATAAGACGATGCGATCCGGTCACCTAATAGCTGTGAGCACTGATGCTGGCATGCTAAATCTGGGATAGCAGGCACCTTTTTTGAGCACCCCGTCCTGTATGGCGAGCAAGGACACCACACCCCGGTATCGGTCGTACATGGAATCAAATAAGAAAGCTTTCAGAGGCCGGTCTATCGATCCACTTGGAGGGGGTATCCTGTCTATGATGGCCTGCAGAACCTGGTCGACGCCTTTGCCGGTTTTGGCGGAAATTTGAATGATGTCGGCCGGGTCTGTTCCGAATGTGGCTTCCATTTGGGCCGCGATTCGTTCAGGTTGAGCTGCAGGTAAGTCGATCTGAATGACGCTGTCAGCGGCATCTCGGGCATTCGAGGCGACCAAATACTTTGTTTAGAACGGGGATGATTTTCAATCCACGCTCTTGAGCAATGTGGAACACGGATATTGTTTGCGCCTGCACTCCTTGACTCGCATCGACCTTCAAAGGTGATTGAACATATCCAAAGCGCGATCAGGCAGGCTTACACACCAGTAGAAGAGCACCTTGGCATGCCGCCAATGACCTCGAGACTTCCCAAGAAAAGTCGACATGGCCCTATAGTTCGTTCAACACATTTGCAGGAATGAACTGCCAAATGCACCCGCCGGTGTGTCGATGAGGTTCAGAATGTGGTTCCGCCCGTTCACCATGTGCATCATGCTGAGGGCGTCGTCAATGCCGACGAGCACATAGCTCGATGCAATAGTATCATACCTAGCAGTCTGTGCCTTAACTGACAGAAAGCCTTCAGTATCGACTTTCAATGCCAACAGCATACGTACCAGTGATACCCCTCTCCCTTTCCACCTTCAGCTTATCCAAAACTTGCTCATTCTTCCCGACTTCCTTTCTCTTGATTGTCCCTGTCAGCTGGAGGGAGTTCAGTTGCTGTTGTGCAAGCTCAAGCCGGTGAGCGTGACCTCTAGTAGCCTGAAACGGAGTCCCTATCAATATGCAGACATCAATGGCGTTCGATAGCCACTGACCGATCCGCGAGAGTAGATTTACCGTGGTCTTGAGCCCAGCATGAGTTTCGAAAGCCCACGGAGACAGCGAGGAAACGACGCACCGATGTGTGCAATTATCGAGAAGTTCCTGCAACAACACCCTGAGCACTCGACGTAGAGGCATCAAATTCGAGCGCACCGTATCAGCTCACAGCTGAACTCCTCCATGGACACGGGTTTGGGCGCACTCCGCCGGAACGACGTGCTGAAGCATCGTTGTGGTACATGGGGTCGGAGAACACTGATGCACGCGAGGTGCCAGCGATTCAAGAAACACGTGGTCATCGTCCTCAGGCGTTTGTCTTTGAGTCTCGCGTTTTGTCTATCGGCGCATTGGGGGTCAGGTCGCGGTCGCGTCGATGAAAAAGGGAATCAAGCAGTGATGATGTGCATCATTGATGTGATCGGCATTCTTGACGAGACCTCCGCCATGAACCAGCCAACAAGTCTAGCAGCTGCGTCTGAAGCACGGAAGGCGAGGTTGGTAGCTTTGAAGAGAAGGAAGGACGGGGCTCCTGATGAACCGTGCGTCTCGCTTCTTCGCCTCTTGCCAGGCTGATTGGAGGTATTGCTCAGTGTTGTAAAAAACCGAAACTTCGATCCCGAGACACGTACATTAAAGAAACGCGTACCGCTAACCGATGATGTGGACATGGAGGACACCGTGGAGCGAAATGTTACGGGTTTGGCCGAAAAGATCATTGCAGAGGACGAAGAGCGACGTGCGCAGGAGCTGGTGCGTGCTGGCTGAGCTAATAGCTCTCTCGGCTTCACTGAAACTGCTGCAGGACATCTTCAATATTGCACCAAAGCGACCGAATTGGGACCTAAAACGCGAAACGGACAAGAAGCTAGCGAAACTACAAAGACGAACGCAAGAAGCTATTCATACTCTCATCCGTTGGTACAACTTCGTTCTATTCTGCGACACGACTGACACGATATCCCTTACGTCCAGGCCAGCGACTTGCAGCACAGAAGGGTGATGCAGACGATATCGCTGGTGCTATGCGTGCTCAGGAACAGGCGCGAGACGGCGATGATTCGGACGACGAATAGATGCTTTGCGTGTCACCAAATTGTTGTATTATTAGTGCACACATGTGTCTTCCCCGCGCTGTACAGCTGTCTAGAGCTGTCTGACATGAGGATCTCTTTCAGAGATAAACGGGATGGACGCTCAGAAGAATGGCAGGTATGGTTCCAGACCGTGTGCGTAATTGACCGCAAAGGACGCGCAGACGCGTCGGCAAACCGATCCCTGGACGCGTTGGTGTGTAGATGCGTATTTAGATCAATCAACCACATGCTTCACTTTTGCCAGACGGCGCCAAGTTGGTGCGCCACGGAATCTATCGGTTGACCTTATCTCAGCTGTGTGCCCGACTCGCGTGGTTGCTCAGGCCGTGTACCAATTGTGGCTCGAACCACCACGCATTTAATATCGCGATCAGAGAGCAAACGAGTCGACTTCGCTTGGACCGAGGCATTCCCTATTCCGAATCCATATCTTCTGCAGAAAGTCGAACGTGCCCAGTCGAAGTTACTCGAACGTTTGGCAAGGGAATGATGGCAGAGCGAGAAGACACGCGTGCCGCGATGCTCGCATGTGACAATTGCTGCCCTGTGCTCCGCCACTCCCCAATGTACTTAAGCCGACCGCTTCTTCTCCCGAGAAGCCTGTCTGCATATGCTCATGAAGATCCCGACCGTCCTTGCGCTCGCTGCCTTGGCCGCTGCCTGCGGCGATGATCACGAGCATGCCTCCCGCGACGATGGCCACACCCATACCCATGCGAAACGCGAGTATCCCGTCGCACCCCTCACTCCGCCCTCGCAGCCCCTGACCTGGGGTACGCTGAACGTGATACACACGACGGACAGCCACGGCTGGCTGCTGGGCCACCAGAAAACCTCCTTCCCCGAGCCGAACTATTCCGGTGACTTGGGCGAATTCTCGTCTTTCGTAGATCACATGAAGCAGATCGCGCACCACAAAGATGTGGATCTCCTGTTGGTGGACTCTGGGGACTTGCATGATGGAACTGGGTTGTCGGACGGCTATCCGCCTGGTGGTGTGGACGCTCACGAGTCGAACAAGTTTCTGATGGAGCTCCCTTACGATGTCATGGCTATCGGAAACCACGAGCTGTACATCTACAACGTGAGATTCTGACATTATCTCTCGACGTTACTGACACTTCTCGATGTACGCAGAACACGCTCGACATGTGGGTAGTATCTCTCACGGTCGCTTGTCAGCTGCTGACCCTGCTCAGGTACAACAACTTTGCGCCCCAGTTCAAAGGGCGGTATCTCAGTTCGAACGTCAATATCACCATCAACGGCGTCAGCCGTCCTGTTGGCAGCCGCTTTGCCAAGTTCAAGACCAAGAAGTAAGTGCTCTGGAATCCGAAATCTTTTTCAAGTCTCAAGTTATCAGGGGCCGGGAGGTTACATCGCTTGGTGTCTTGTACGACTTCACTGGCAACGACAAGAGCACCACTGTCCAGCGTGTGCAGGATATGGTCAAGGAAGCATGGGTACGGGCAGCGGTTCTAGGCTCAAGTGTGCAACGGATCTAACCCTTTACAGTTTGCGGAAGCCATCGCAGACGAGCCCGACCTTTTCTTGTTGGTGGGACACATGCCAGTCTCGAATGACAACTGTGAGAACTTGTGGTTCCGTCTTCTGTTTCGCTCATGCATCCCTCAGGGCCCTCTGTCTTCAATGCTATCCGGGCGGTTCACCCCCACACCCCGATCATGATCTTCGGTGGACATAGCCATATTCGCGACTGCAGTATGTTGTCCGAAACTTTTCACTGCTCTTTGTGTCTTAAACGATCCAGACCAACCTGATGGCCGTAGCATGGCACTCGAGAGTGGACGTTATATGGAGACCGTCGGCTGGATGAGCGCAGATCTGCCTCCAGCCAAGTCCAAAGCAAGAGCAAGAACAACAGCACTGAGAACATCCAGTTCACCCGCCGATATCTTGATCCCAACCGAGTTACCTATGAGGTCTGAATCTTCGGCCGGCCTGTCGCGCACGTGACTGACGCGGCGTAGTACCACAGTGGCAAAAGCAACACAACCTTCGACACCGGAAAGGGACACAAGATCACCAAGGGCCTGAAGAATCTCGCAGTCGACTTCGACCTCAGTTTCCAGTACGGTGTTGCTCCACACGATTACACGCTCTTCACGTGAGGTCGATTGTTTCTGAACAAGTTTACACGCTGACCGACTTGTAGCGTGCCTTACCCGTCGAACAATTCTGTCTTATCCCTTGTGGGCGAGGTGCTCCCTGTTGCGTTGGGGGTCAACAACACCCGGGCTAGCATTCCCAATATCATCATCACCAACAGTGGATCGTTGCGATTCGATCTGTACGCGGGTTCGTTCACCAAGAACGACCAGTTGACCGTGTCTCCGTTTGCGGATTCGTTCTTGTACATCCCCAACGTTCCTTTCTCTGTCGCCAACTCTGTCTTGCCTGCTCTCAATCATGCTGGTGCCAGCGGCCGGCGTGATGTCGAGCTGTGGTCACGTGGCTACGTCGACGAGCGCTACCATGAGTGGCTGCAAGCCATGTCCGACCGCGACGTTGAACAGAGGAGTGAAGAAGTCCGTAGGGCAGCGAATTTGACGTTGGGATATGTAACCAAGGATGCAAGTTCCCTTCTGTTACCAGTTAGTGCCGCTTCTGACTTTTGAACAGTCTTGCCCGGGAATTGGTGATGACACCCCTCACGCAGCGCTCCCCTCATTCTCGGTACCAGCATTCATCGGCTCTGCACCGCCATCTGTTGCTGCCGACGCTCCCGTCGACTTAGTGTTCGTGGATTTCATTGAGACGCAGCTGCTCCAGATCCTCAACAGCGTCCAAAACACTACTGCCTTTACCACGGCGAGCGTATCCACTTACACGCCCACGCTGGCAACCCAGATCCTGGGCATTTACGCACAAAAAATGTGGAACTAGCTGTTCTAGACTGTAACTTTGCAAATTCATAGCAGAACTTGCTAGCGTGTAGCAGACTGTTCTTTGTGTGATGCACCCGCTATTTCTATCGCGAGTGCATCTTGCGTCGTGTTTATGACGCAAAAGTTATCCTGAAGAGTTCCGGGGACCGGTTTCGCGCTCCGATTTGAAGCTGCGAGGCGTATACACAGAGATTCCATGACATCTCCACTTGAAAATCAAGGCTAGATTTTCAATCCGAGAATGGGCTACTTGCAGGCGGTCACTCATCCATGGGCGCGCTTTAAGGAAAAGAACGCGTGCACGTGATCTTCCTACACAATCGCCATTTTGGGCTGCTTACTCAGCATTCATTGCTTTTCCTCTTCGTCCATCCCTAAACAACTTATGTCTGGTATCTGTAGACCGCGCCTCGCCGAGGAGAGGAAGCAGTGGAGGAAAGACCATCCGTTTGTGAGCACCTATCGTCTTGTAAACGCGATAAACACGCCTAAACAACGGGATTGACTCTCGACGCGTTCCGTCCATCTTTTGCCACGGACGTGGCTTCATCGCCTGGGGATTTGCTTATATCTCTATTCTGACACTCAGATCTAGGGATTCTATGCCAAGCCGTCGAAAGCGGCCGACGGCTCGATGAACCTAATGGAATGGGAGGTAGGGATTCCAGGCAAGGCAGATGTGAGCCTCGAAGTCGCGGTTATATTGGGTGCGATCAGCTTAATTCGATGCAGACCCCTTGGGACGGCGGTCTTTATAAACTGGTCATGATCTTCCCTGAAGGTGCTTCTTGCTCTTACTTTGTGGCATCCATGTTCTGATCGTCCAAAGACTATCCGTCTAAACCTCCGAAATGTGTGTTATCCTGCGTGTTTGGCTGCTGGCCACCGAATTGAGGGTCTCCCTAGGCAAATTCTCACCACCCTTGTTCCATCCTAACGTTTATCCCTCTGGAACTGTCTGCCTTTCTATCTTGGATGAGGAGAAGTCATGGAAGCCCGCTATCACCATCAAGCAGGTTCGTCGGAGGCTTCCTCGCTGTCTATCTCGACTCTCACGTTCTGATCGTTCAGATATTGCTTGGAATTCAAGATCTACTCAATGACCCTAACGTCAACGATCCCGCCCAAAGTGAGGCATATACGATGTTCAAGTGAGGTTTCTCATCAAGAAAGTTCCTCGTCCATACTGACGTTTTCCCAGGAACGACAAAGTTGCGTACGAGTAAGTCCCACACGCCGGATGTTCTATTTACCTCCTGAACATCACGCAGGAAGCGCATTCGACAACAGGCTCGAGAGAACATCCCCAAGTAATGTCTCATTCTCGTTCGGTAGCTTTCCACATCCTCCTTGTATCTCATCTGTTGAATATTCATCCATTTAAACCTGTATGTGCTCTTTATCATACTGCACTGTATCTGGACAAAGTTGCGATGGAGACAAATGGCCTCATCCGTACTTCCTTTCGAACCCCAGTTCCGTAACTGCGCAACCCCCTTTTCATTTCTTTCTCCGAACCATGACGTCCAACACAACATTCATCAACGTCCATACTCCCTCGTCGTCGTTTGCGATCGTGCACTCGTGCAAGTCAATAGTTACCTCTGGTCGTGCGTCGCTGATTCCCGGCGGCAGTGACGCAAGAGAGTCTGCCTGATCTTTTTGACAAGCTTAGTCGCAAGGCGGGTACTGGGTATACTGGGGAGCGCATCGGACAAGGGTGGCTCAAATACGAGTTTGCGGACGCTGTCTGGAATCTGGATGACGGTACGCATGCAATCTCGGATATGAAGCACACCCCTCTGAAGTCATCAAACTTCTGCTCCAGACGCCGACTACACGATCTTCATATGGCGCCAACAGCAGCGCCAGCATTCCTCTTCCGAAGTCGCCTCGACTTCCACGGCAACTACAGACCAAGCAGAGGCGGGGCCGACTCTGCACTTGCACGACCCGACGGCACCTCTCCCCTCGCCGCCTGCATACCTCAACCCATCGTACTACGTCTTCCGTCCTTCCCGCGCGAGCCATCCGTCCGGGACAGAGTCTGAGCGCTCTTCGCCCCGCCCTCGGAGCTCCAAGTCGCGCAAGAGCAAAGCGAGCAAACGCACCGTGCACGCGCCGCCGGCCGACGGCACGCCCGCGTTCAGGAAGGAGTTCGAGAAGTTCCACGGCGAGAACGGTGTGAGGACGGTCCTTGGAAGCATAGGGCCCGTCAAAGACGGTGCGTCACCCACATGCACTTGCGTGGTCGCTGTTAGGTTCAAGCATGCATGGCAGTGCGGATGCTACTTAAAGCGGGGTATCGGCATGTTTACATCTCCCGCAAATTCGCGGTGGAGCATGGCTTCATCCCTGCAGATGCCGCTCCGGGGCATTATGGATATGGCGGATTGGTGAACATCGGAACTTGGCCGATCACTTGGTGTCCTCCTCGCAGCCTTCGACGCATCCAAACGCACCGCCTGCTCATCAGGACTCTGGCCGCAACCCCAATGGCAAGAAACACAAACCCACACTCGTCCAGGTGTATCTTTCAGGTTCGTCTCATCTGGGTTCCACATGCGACGCACTGATTCTTTCGGACAGAGGAACCGCACTTCGATGTCGTTCTCGGCCGATCATTCTGGGAAAAACGCCAAATACAGATAAGTTCCGTCGATCCGACCGATGTGGTCTGTTTGGATACCGGTGAGAAATTAGAGTGCGAGTTGGTGATTCTGAAAGATGGTCGCGGCGAGATTGTTACGGTAACATAGCCGCCTTTGCATGATGGGTGGTACGATTCAATGTGGACAAATAGCGGTATTGTACGAGTATGTGGAAAATATGGTGATTACTTCAACTTGAGTCGAGAAGCACGAGTCAACTGGAGGACAGATGAGAACATTCAGGGATAAAACGGGATGCCGCACCTTTCTCCGCTTCCGCAACTTGTGCTTCTTCATCTTCTTCCTCCGCTTTCGCTTCGTGCTTTCGGCCATGATATCGTCCCATTGGCGGTGCCATGCTCCAGATGGAGCATTGACTGAGGACTCGGGGCGCACACCCAGCTTATCCAGAGTTTGGTCCCATGAGATCGAGGGCCCCACGCGTGACATAGTGATGGCGCGCGTCAGTTGTCGAGCTGCCTCAGCGTCGGGGTCAATCGGCCTATTTGGTATCTCGAAAGGAAAGCCGGTGATTTCATCCGGGAGGAGCGAGTTCCACCGAAAGCCCTGCTGAGGTACAAGGGGTGCGGATGGTGGTGGAGAATTCATGATAAGGGCGGGATCGGAGACAAAGAAGAGAGGTCGGTGTAAAGAAAAGAATCGATGCAGTTGTAAGTCGTCTCGTTTCATTCTGGGGTGAGAGGGGACGGATTCGGTGGGTGTGGAGCGGGGGATGACACGTTGTGCGGTCGGGGACGCGGAAGCCGGCGCATCCTCGACCTTTGGCAACGCTGTAGGAAGGTGTTGACTCGTCACACCGGAAGCATCCGCGTCCGTTTGAGTGCTTGTCGGGTCCTGTGCACTATTCACAGCGACCACCGGCTTCGGAGCTTTGAAGGTGCGACCTCCACCCGCCTTGGAGAAGAATGAGGAATATGATCGACGAGTGGCGGGAACAGGATGTAGAAAACGCGTGAATGCAGACATTTCTGTCCCCAAGGCCGGGCGCCCTGGTAGTAGGTGGATAACCAGAGCGACTGGAAAAGTAACACGTTCAAATAGGGATGCACCGCCACTGATAAGAATATTAAATGAAAACTTGGAACGAAATGACTTCATCCTGTCTAAACATACGGGTTATGTACGGATAAACTTGCGCCAACTAGAAGCTGTCTATTAAATCCCGGAATGTTATCTTAATCCTGCTCAAGTCTATTCCTGTCTCCGAACGCTCTCTGCTCAATGTGTTAGCGTGCACGTGACGATTCGGCATCGACCCGAATCATTGCCGGTCAGTCTAAATCCCTTATTTCCGCTTCTGACGACTGCGGCTCAACGACGGTTCCTGCTTTATGTCATTTGGAACTTCGTCTGGATGCCCGAAACTCATTGGAGCGTCGTACAAGGCGTGCTCCGTAGTGTGGTTCGCTTTCTGCTTTGCCCAATCCACCGATGACAATTTCTGTCTTGAAAGGGCAAGTCTTCGAGCATGCACGACGATCAGCACGGCACATGGAGCTGTATGGGTTTGAGATGAACAGTATGATTTCACTGCTGACCGGGACAACGGCTTGTGCTGATTTCATGTTTGAACCTTGGATCCAATCCGTGGCTAGTGCATCCAACCGTTCCGGAATCTGCGAGTCACGTGCTGAAACCGCGCGTTGGTTGGCCTGATAATGGTAAAAACATAGTGCAAGCTTTCAGCACTTCTGACCATTGAAGCCGTCGTCGATATAGATCCAGCACCAATGCGCAGCACTCCAAGAACTAGAAGCCGGAGCCATTGGGACGTCCGGATCGTAGTGGCAAGAAACCGGACCAGGCAAGTTACTGGTCCGAGCGAACTGAGTGCCTTCCCTTCAATTTGTGGCTTCCGTGCTGAGAAGTCGGGACTGAAGATGCAACCTCTGATGGTTGTCGAGCCTTTCCAGAATTCGAAAGCGAGTAGACGGCGACCGGCGAACTTCCTAGCAGTCGGCTTAGTTATACATTGCATTGCAGGACAGCTTGATCCAGGGTTTTGCGACTCAGAGGCTGAAGAGAGAAGCACGAATCCATCAGTTGTTGTGTGGATACCTGACCAATTCGTGCTTGAAGGACCGATGTTTGCTTGTCGAAATGAGATCTTGTCGAAGCCGAGAGTCCTAGCCTAGGAGTGGTTCCCTGAGATGGTCGTATCCTAGTTTACCGAGCCGCAATGAAGAACCCTCCCCAGAAACGGTCGTCGGAGAGCAAAACGACGTTTGGAATTTCCAGCTCCGCTCTCGGTCGATGCCGATCCGAAATCGTCAACAAGGCAACCGCCCTCTCTCAATCACCTTCCAGCACTGTGAGATTCAAAGACCGCGAATCGTAAACCACACCTCCAGCCTCTTCTTCGACAGGCAGCATTCATTTCGAAAGGACTTTCTCACCTGGACGAAGCACAACGGTGTCGTCAGATCCGCGCTTGCATTCGCGTCTGGTTCAGACCAGGCCATTCAGCGCTTTTGTTGGTTCCATCCTGGTGGACTCAAGCAACTTAGAGCCCTGTCAAAGCGGTCGGTCTTGTACTTTCTGGATGACGCAGGTGTCCTACACCAGCTCGGAGCCCTTCATAACGAGCCCTGGGCCTAGGCTCCCTCCCTCCCTCTACAATACTTTCAGCCGGGTCTCCTCTAAGAATGTAGAACCACCCACCTTCGACCAGAATCTGCCCTTATTCTCGATGCTTGGAACAGTCAGGGAGCACGAGTGGGTGAACGCGCTCGCGTTGGGAATCTCGAGAAGCTCAACTCCCTGCTGCAAATGATCCCTCTGGCTGCGCTGCAACTGCCATTCCCCCTTCTTGTGTCCGGCTCAATGTCTTGACATCTGTGCCATCTTCTCCACTGTCCGCATCGGCGTCTTGCAAAGCAACCGTTGTTTCTTGCATCCTCCAGGACACACGGCTCCCAAGATTTCCTCGAATTTCGAGAGACTTTGGGCAAAAGCAATAAGGGCCATCAGTTTCCAGATCCCAATCCAAAACCGGCAAGGTTCTTCAAGTTTGATGTCTCAGACTCCATGACCTGCACTCTGAGCAAGAGTCACATGATCGACGGTCTGGAACTTTATGGGATGATGAATCAACTGTCGACTGGGTCTGAAAGCGGCGAAGTCATTGATTGAAACAAGGCATTCAGAGTCAAGTCTTTTTCTGCACTCCCTGCGGTATACTTGATGGCATTCGACAGATGGAGGTGCGTGGCACGACGGCCTCCGGGTGACTTTCAAGCGGTTCCATACTCACGATTTGTCTGGTGAGCGTCGCCATCCATTTAGCTGGCTTCGGACGAAAAAAACTCGATCAGCTTGTTGACCAGTGCTCTGGTTGAGAAGAGGAAGCGCTTTGACATTGTTATGTATAGTCTCCATCATCGAATTGCCAGTCTTCGTTTCGCACGACATGGGCGCTCCGTTCTGCCTTCTTCGCACTCTCAATACCTTACCGTTAATCTCGTAGGAGTCATGGGTGCTTTCCCGGAGTCTTCCGGGATCGTCCTTCTCACAGGCTTTGCTGCATCGTCTATTTCCACTGTGATTACAGTGCCTCGTGCCGAACCTGCTTTTGAGCTCTCATCTGCACTGATGCCTCCAGCCTCAAAGTCGTCCAAAGACCATGTGCATGTTTGTCGTCTTTTTAATGGAGAGACCACGAGTCTCATCTTGGCGACAGAAGGGGGAGAGTCGGTCTGGCGCGCCTACTCCCCAGCCGCGTTGCAGACGCCAGGCATTCTCTGAAGTGGGCACTATTTTTGTCAGCCAGTTCCCCGGCTGATCCATGAATGACAACAGAACGATGTGTTCGACCCTGGACATCGCCGGCGCTATGCGTGCAAATGGCTCGTGGTGAGACGTTTGCTCTGTTTCTTTTTCGCTCACTCTGGCGCGCAGCGTGGGACAGATGCTCTCAAGACATTAGCCGAGCGTGGCCAGATTGAAGATGCACTTTCGGACACGGAAGAATAACCGCCTACATATAATCCACCTCATGTACTGATAATGTTGTATTTCCATACTCTGACCCCGCCCTTTCTCGTGTCGCTGTCCCCTTCCCAGGATCTCCCAGCAGTCCATATTTCTTCGTAGCCCCTTTGAGACAGCAACTCTCGGGCCGCGCTTTGCTCTAGCAAGGCACCGAAAAACACTAGATACTGGGGCCATTCGTGAAGCCAAGCATACTCGACGATGTCCGGACGACCGGGTATCGAGACTGGAAAGGGAGAAACGGGGAAGGAGGGGTCAACCGACCCGGGGAAGCGTTCCCTCAGATAGGTCGTCGGCGAGGAAAAGAACACCGTCGTCTGATCGCGATAGGTAGTCAGATCTTGGTGTCTAGATGAAACTGTGTGAATGACATTCATCGACATGCACAGACGAGCTCACTGCAAAGGCGGTTCACATCCCAGGGCCCACATCTTCCCGTTGGCCAGCCCTGGTCGATGGAGAAAGGCGTGACCCGGAGTCGAGTGGCACGGCATGAGAAATCCAACCCCGCCGCTTTCGATGTCTGGCAGACTCCGAAGGAAGGCCATGACCTGGATCGGTGCACTGCAGTAGGACAGCGCAACAAAACAAGAAACAGGAACGTTGAGCCACAGCAAGAATCCCGGCGAGAAGAAAAATCGCTTCGAAAGGCTATTGAAGCCTTTAGCAGCATGGACCGCCGTCATGTCATACAACGACTTTGCGGCAAATACATGGAGCAGTGGAAGAATGGGATGAATGAACCGCCATTCCTTGTGACCAGCCAGAGAATAGACAGAGATTGTCCAAACTACGCATCCAAGCGCCGTCTTCAACGGGCTTGGTGCGCTGCTCTGCACTGTGCACCGTATTTCCCGGAGCACAAAGACCAGCGACGTGGTACACAATATAGGAACGGCTTGCGAAAGATAGTAATGCCATGGGCTGCCCCCGTAAAACAGCGACACGTTCGAAAGATTCGTCGCCAGGAAATTGAAGGGTGTGAACGTGGGTTCTCCATAGAACCACGAGTCAAGTATGAATATCCCCAAAAGCGTGGCGATGCTGAGAGGATCAGACTTGTTTCACACGTCGAAAAGCTAAATCCACTCACCCAACGACGAGGCCAGTCGAAACCACGGTCACGACTGAACGCGTGCTATGCCTAACCCGCCAGAGAAGAGTGCCAATGAGATACACCCAGATGATTGCATTGGTAGGGCGGACAGCACATGCAAGCGCGGCAAAGAGGAATAGTCGCAGGAGCGCAGTCCTAAAGTCCGTCTAGCGGCCTCTTTGTAAAGCAGATGGAAACCGCACCTGTCAAAAGCTATGTGATCTGCGGGCAACCACGGATAGTACGAGAACGCTATCGTCGCAAGAGAAGTCTCCAAGGAGTTCGAGAAGGACCGGGAAAGTGCCAGAACGTGGAAGAAAGAAGTCAAGGACACGAACAACTTGAACTCAATGTGAGTGAAGAGTGATGAGGGAAAGACGTGTGACAGACTGCGCTTGATACATAACGGTCACCCAATACTTTACTGGTTAGGCGGCAGAGGAAGATGTCGGTGAGGGCTGCGAAACATCCGTGTAGTACGCGAGGACCAGCGATCTGAACAACATTTGTTCGATGAAAAACTCGAGTGGATAACAACGGACCACTAGCTGGGTACCCAACGAATCGAGTTGATCGAGTCCAGTCCATTTGAGTGCCCAATAGATTGGGATGTTCAGAGCTGGATACAATATGCTGCGAATAGGCTTGGAAGTCCGCCATTCCCAGGTCAGATGCCCATAGCCGAAGACAAGATAATGGGCGGGCTCCAGAGCCTGGAAGTATTCGTCAGGTTGGAATACCGTCCAGGTTAGGATAGCGACGAGAATTCGGATGCAAAGCGCGCTCAGAACGACATGTCTTGTCTCTTTCATACAATGTTCTTGCCAGACTGGCGGGCCGGTGGCTATACATACACAACGCGTACACAACTGTACACAGATACAGACGCATCTTGGTGACATTCACCCACCTACGAGATCTCGGATGTCCTCTTTAAGCTGATCTAGAATTCAAGGAGAACAATTCGACAGTCAAATTTCCAAATGATGCAGTTCCATAACAGTGCTTACCGCGTCACCGATTTCGCCGACGAAGAGTCACATCTCGGGGCTACCCACACTGTCCATCAGACTGGAGATTGAATGTCTGGCTTCACCTTCATCGTCGTTCTTTGTCCGTCTCTAGTGTCTTGAGCGCTCTCATCAGTCACAGTGTAACCTCAGTCATGATCACGAACGATTGAAAGTGGATTTCAAGTTTCTAGATCACTGATCCTGCGTCCCGTTCACCATCCGACGCACAATCGACGCCCTACAATATTTGCTGATCTCGCAGTCCGTCAAATGCAGACGTTCCCAACGAGTTGGCGTAGGGGTTAACTTGTGACAGGACAGCGGCGTTAATCTCATCGCCCCAGAAAGCCAAATGCACTCCTCAGCCACCCTACAACGGTCGGTGGTCTGTCCAATTTCAGCAGGACCAGCAGTGTCTTCTCTGGTCAAAGGAATGGGAGTAGATAGGATTCAGCTTCTCAGGCTAACTCGATGAGCTCAAAGGGTGTCCTCCCAGCTGGACCGGTCTACAAGCGCTAAAATCTATCTTAGCGAGAGAAGCCTCCGGCGTTCCTAATGGATATCTAATTCAATCCCGCCGCCGAAATCCTCATCTAGGTTCGGATTTTTGCGTTACGTCTCTGATGAGCTCCTCCCATTGCGTTTTCTGCGTTCGTTTTTGGAATTTCCTAAGCCCGATCTCCAACCGACTATTTCACAACGGACGCCAATCGTCGGATATTTCTCAAGGTGAAGCGAACGTATTTTGGAGCTTGATCCCACGCGCCGTGAGAGTAGATGAAAAATTCTGTGTTTCCACTCATTCGAGGACCGATTGCAATTTGTCGTTTGAGTAAACATCGTCGAGCAGTTCAGAGGCTAGACCTAGATCGTTCAACGGGAATTCATCAGATTGTCGATTGATGCATGGTGGCTGTGTGTTGTGCTTGCCTGGCTTTGTCGCCACTCTGTGCACTTCGAGTTGTGGCCATCCAGGCTCTCGTTCGTCGAACGGAGGTATAACTCAGGTATGTATCCCCTGTACGAGCTCTTCCCCCCTCCTCTCCCCTCACCCCCTCCGCCCATGCCCTGCCAGAAACATTCATATCCAATATCCCAACGGCCTCAACCAGCCCAAATAACCCTACCTCATACACGCAATGGCTGATTCCAACCGCAAGCGGTCGCGCTCTCCCTCGGACAGCGAGAATCAGAAGCAGTACAAACGGGCAAACACTGGTGCAGCCCCCTCCTCGAATGACTTGCCCAGCACTCCAGGGCCGCCCGCGACGACGGAAATGAACACAGCGGACGAAGGGTCATCATCTCCTCCCCAGAAGGCCAGCGAAGAAGCGAAGAGCTCGACGAACGAGGGTGCCGCAACCAGCACCGCTGCTTCTGCAGACGCCTCCACTGCCCCATCCCCCATGATCCATATGCGCTGCCTGATCGTGACCCAGGACGCTTCCATCATCATCGGCAAAGGTGGAAGTCACGTCAACGAAATACGAGAGAAGAGCGGGGCTCGTGTCATGGTGTCGGAGAGCATTCCAGGCAACCCAGAGCGTATCTTGAACGTCAGCGGACCTCTGGACGCAGTCTCCAAGGTATGTTTCTTGCTAGAACGGTACTCCAGTGTTCTGACGTACATATAACACAGGCCTTTGGGCTAATTGTCCGTCGTATAAATGACGAGCCCTTCGATGTGCCCTCTGTCCCGGGGAGTCGCGCTGTGACCATCAAGTTCATGATTCCCAACTCGCGCATGGGCTCGGTGATTGGGAGGCAGGGCTCAAAAATCAAGGAGATTCAAGATGCCAGCGGCGCAAGACTGAACGCAAGTGAAGGCATGCTGCCCGGCTCAACAGAGGTCCGTCTTTCCGTACTGTTCTGCGGGTCTCCATTGAAAAGTCGATAGCGTGTTCTTAGTGTGGCAGGTGTTGCTGATGCCATCCACATCGCAACGTACTATATCGGCACCATTCTCATCGAAGCGCAAGAGCGCATGCCTTCGTCCACCAATTCCAGCTATCGTCCCTCCACCAACCGTCGGCCACCGTCGTCAGCCGGCTCCTATTCCGGTTCTTCATACGTCCCGGGGTACTCTAACCCTTACGCCCCTCCCCCTCCCAGTCAGCAAACATCTCAGGGACCACTCCAAACTCAGCAGATCTACATACCGAATGATCTGGTTGGCTGCATCATCGGGAAGGGGGGCAGTAAGATCAACGAAATCAGGGTAGCCAGTGCCAGTCAAATCAAGATCATGGAACCTGGAGCTGTCCCCCCTGGGACGACTGCTGCACCGGGAGGCGAGAACGAGCGTCTAGTGGTCATCACTGGCCAACCTACAAATATCCAGATGGCCGTGCAGCTATTGTATCACGTGCGTGGCTATAATTCCTCTATGCGACAAACAACTAAGCTTATTCTAGCGGCTGGAACAAGAGAAACAAAAACAACTGCGTGGTCCATGAGTTACTGAATATTTCATTGCATATCTCCGTGTACAGTACAAAGCATGTACTTGCCTCTTGCGTTTGCTTTCTTGCACCCATTCTCAGAACCACCCCTTCCATCTCCTGATCAGAGGGAGGCCGCTCGCTGAGCCGACAAAACACCCCGATATCTCATCTTTCCCGCTCTTAATTTGTCCATGCCAGCTTGTACGCCGGCCTTTGTCATAGGAAAGACTTCGATAATGGGTTGGATCTGGTGCCGGGCAGCGAAATCTAGCATTCTTCGGTGAACAGCACGCGAGGCTACGCTTGAGCCTTGGATCGTAAAGCCAAAGTTGACGAGGGGATAGAGAGATATTCCGATCGGTCCAGTGTCAACCGTGAGCGGGAAAATGGTGGCTTTGGGCTTCAGGATTGCAAGAAATCTACATGAGTTATTCAGAGGGTGAACCAGGTTGAATCGACAACACTCACGGCTTCCATTTAGGCTGGGAACTAGTGGTCACGATCAAATGGTCCAAAGGCTGCACACCTTCAAACCGAGTCACGCCTTCCGTGTGGTGGAATTCCGTTGCACCCAGCCGAAACGCCTCCTCTTCTTTCGATCGTGTGCTCGAGAAAACGACCACAGTAGCCCCCATTTTGGCTAGGAATTGGATCGCCAGATGTCCCAGCCCTCCGATTCCGATAACGCCGATTCGCTGTGTCGGACGCAGTTGATAAGTCTCCATGACCTCGAAGACAGTCGCGCCCCCACACATGAGAGGTGCTGCGTGTTCTGATGAGATTCCTGCTGGGATCTTGAACAGAAACGCCGCGTCTTGGAGCGCATAGAAACCGAAGGAGCCTTGATTCAAGTTGGCTTTTCCATATCTGGATGATGGTTCAGATATACGGAATGAACGAGCAGCGAGGGGGGTACTTTTGACGTTTGGGGCAATACTGATCTTGACCTGGACACCATAGTTAGGGCTCAAGAAAGGCTCAAAACTATCGGATGACACACCAAGTTCGCACTGCTCACACCGACCACACGTTTTGTGTGTGTATCCCCACCCAACAACATCTCCGACCGTTAAACCCTGCACGTCTTGCCCGAGTTCCAACACAATGCCGACTCCTTCATGTCCCAGCACCATATCAGAGTGTCTGAAGTGTTCGTCCGTTCCACATATACCAGAGTGGGTGATCTTGACCAGCACCTGGTTGCCGAAAGGCTTGGAGATGACAGTCGAGCTTTGCACAATCTCGCCGCTCTTGGAGCCTTTGAAGACAGTAGATTCCAAGTAGGGCATGGGGTAGACATAGGAAAGAGAAGGTCGTATTCTCGGCAGTGAGGTACGCTGTTGTTTCTGTGCAGTGTGCTAGTTCGAGAGGAGTTGAATGAAGGACCGGGTTCGGTTGGAGCAGTTGCCGGGTTCATATGCAGTGTGCGCGTTCGACCTCGCTTGTCCAGTCTCATACGACATGAGCATTGCGTCTTTGAGAAGCCCAAAGAGCTAGCACCACAGTTCGGGATCCCGGTCCTAGCGGTGAGAATCGAGGACTGGAAACAAGCTGATAGTGTGCGCAGTGCGCACTGCTGGGCTAAGCATGGCCACGCCACAGAATCGGGACGGTGGAAGATGATCCGGATCGGATCACATTGCGAGCAAACACGATAATACAGATCACCAGTTTTTCGTTCTCAATCCTTCATGTCTTCAGTTCTCAAGGCCCAAAAGGCCAACGCGTCTTCGAAGGAGACGAGGAAGAGCAAGGGAAAGAGGAAGGCAGATGAGATGGATGTGGACGATGGGGTGACTGTGGAACCCAAGAAGAAGAAAAACAAGCAGCGAGTGCTTTGCTCTCCTCCCGCGGGATTACGCACCGAATGCGGCATTTTATGAATGACCTGGAGGTTCTACTTCCCCATGTTAAAAAAGGTGATTCGTCTGTCCTCAAAGTTATGGCTTCTTGCTCACAGAAGGCAGACTCGAAGCTCGACTCCAAGTCCCAGCTCCATTTGATTCCTGAACTTGCCGATCTGAACAACTGTAACAACACGCTCTATTTCGAAGCTCGGAGACACGAGGATCTCTACCTTTGGGCTGCGAAGACGCCCAATGGACCAAGCATCAAAATGCATGTGCAGAATGTACACACCATGGACGAATTGAAGATGACCGGCAACTGTTTGAAAGGAAGCAGGGGGCTACTCAGCTTTGACAAGGCTTTCGACGACACCGAATGGGGGAGATTGACGAAAGAGCTCTTCACTCATGTCTGTTCAAATGCTTTCCTGCGCGACCCGGGGTTGAAGTTGACCTGTTTCCCAGATCTTCGGAGTTCCGCCTACAGCGCGGAAAGCCAAGCCGTTCATCGACCACATCCTCACGTTCTCCATACTGGACTCGAAGATCTGGTTCCGCAACTTCCAAGTGTGTCTGCTGTGGCCCATTTGAATCTTACTCCAACTAAACCATCTTTAGATCCTAGAAAAAGATCCCCTGCAACCTAATGGGCCACCCCAAACTTCGCTGATTGAAATTGGTCCCCGTTTTGTGTTGACACCGATCCGGATATTCGAGGGCGCGTTCAACGGGGCCACAGTTTATTCGAATCCCGGTGAGTAATCTGATATATGATGATCGGGGGGTACAACCTGACCCTTTGCAGAATTCGTCTCTCCATCTGCCGTTCGGTCTGCGATCCGCCGGGAGCAGGGGTCCAAGTATGGGCGACGCAAACAGGCAGAAGAGGAGGAGCTCGCCAGGAAAGAGCTCCGCAAGAGGGACGAGGACGAACTGGCTGTTTCCAAAGTCTTTGTTTGATTTCGTGGTAAATAACGTGACGTTCATCTGGCTATTTTACCGGCAACGATATCCGCTGATCGCTGCTTATCCTGATGGTGGGCAAGCAGATCTGCTTGAAGCGATTCCATCAACCCGGGCGCGGTGGGCTTCCAATCCAAATACTTGGTGGCTCGGTCGGCCCTGCTGCGGCCGTTGCTGCCATATAGGTACAATGAGAGCAAACGGGAGCCCGGCAACTTCTCCACATCTTCGATTGAGCATTCGGTGCTCTCTTCGGACTTGATCAAACCCATAGAAGTCATGATTTTCCCCGTCGCCGCCGCCATATCTTTCCATCGCACCTCGGAGCTGGAGTTGAAGTAAAATCCCTGTCGCCTGTCTCAGCGGATGCATTTCGGAGAATACAAAGCACTTGCGTTGTCACCCCAGTACTCGCTCTGGACTGTGCCGGTTTCTAGACTCTTGATCGCTTCGCCGACGACCTTGACGTAGAGGCTCGTGACGTCGTCTATATGGACCGTGCTGCGGACGTTTTCTCCCTGTCCAATATAGAACGCGGATCCGTGCGCCAGAATCGCATCGTAGAAGAAGGGGACCATGAAGCTCTGAGTGATCCCTGGCCCTCGGCCCTCGCCGTAGATGTCTGGAGGACACATGATTGCGGTGTGGATGTGTGCGCCGTGAGTCTTTGCAGCCTCGAAGACCAGCTTGTCGACATCCCGATGCATGCGGTCCTCCGGCAGAGACGCCAATTCGGTGATGTCGTCGATGTCCGACCAGATCTTGGGATTGAGAGTGCCGAGATTGCCAGTGTAGACATCGGAGATGCAACCTGTCCCGCTCAAATGAATTAGGAATGTGGTCGACGTGCGTCGCTTAAGACCAGTGAGGATGGCCTCCATAGCTCCCCTGTGGTCCGAATCGCCGGCATCTGTACGTGGTACATGAGAGTGAGGTCCAAGATCTGTCTGAAGTCGCATGTGGCACGCACGAATGACGATGTCGCTTTCAGCTGCAGCCGTGGCGATGATTTCCGCGCTGTCGTAGTCGCCTTGCACGATCTTAACATTAGGATATGCATCCGTATAGCGCGTGGTGATCTTGCGTAACATCGCGCTGATCGTGCATTCTGGGTATGTGGCATGGATTGCAGCCAGGACGCTGCCTCCAATGTAGCCTGTCGACCCAGTTCTAATTCAGACGTGTTCGTGAGCGGCGCATCCCGGTCAACAGCGCAAATTAGTCGCACGTTAAGATACGAGGCATGCGAGCTTGATGGGCTGAGGAATCAAATCGTATCGTAGAATTCAGCAAGTGGTTGTGGCTAGCTATATAATAGTATCTCCCGGTCTCGGTGATTTCAAAGCAGCTTGCGCTGACTAAGTTTTTTGGAGTATCACCAAGCACCTACACCGAATCCACGACGTGTGAATAGCAGTTAGAAGTCCAACACTGGCTGTTTTAGGCGTTCCAGGCCAGCGAGAACGATCCACGTGACAACAGACTCGAGATGAAATATTGCCTAAAATGGATACAGGCCGCCAAGTCGCGACCCGCGACTGCCTCGCTACAGCGATCGTGTAACACGTCTAAATTTTTCACAGATCCGTAAAGGATAGCCAGGATCCAGCAAACTCTTACCGAAGGACAATGGGGCCTCGTGGCCACTACTCGAGTGTGGGCTTTATCTATCGGGCTCTGTTGCGCTGCCTTGTATTTTGTCATTGTACTAGCCGGTGATCAACTTGATATGTCTTCTCTTCATGCTTGACAAGCCGAAACAAAAGGGCAAAAGGGAAGTCCAAACGTGAAATAAGAGTTGACAGGAAGTGATCATACCGCTTGATCAAACCCATTTGGGAAAACGCTTGTTGTTACAGAACCTATTGTTCTGCTTTTATCTCTACGCCCACGACCTGCCACGACCACACTATATAATCCTTAATCCTTGTTCGCCATTACCCGTTCCGCCATTATTCACGACCGTCCTCTATTATGTCTGTCTCCGTAGACATTGTTCCCCTGGGGTCTTCTTTGGACATGTATGGGGAGCCCCGCAGCTCGTGCGTGCCACCCCTCCCCCCTCACCACCGCTCTGACGTGTCATTCACAGCTCCGCGTTCTCTCTTTCCGGCCACGTCAGCATATCGCTTTCATCCCCGTATTACGTCTTTGAACGTCGCCGCGCGGCTCGCATCCTCCTACAGTCCATTTCCCTCACATTCGATGGCCAAACCGAGGTCGTCACTAATGGGATGGGATACTCTTCCATTCGCCTATGCTCCATAACACGCGAACTGCTGCCTTCCGGCCCGATCGAGTTGTCCAACGAGGGCGAAGAGGAGGACGAGGAGCCTTGTATGATGTCATTCCTTGATGATCTCTGTCCACGTTCTGATCACTTGGTAGGTCGTTGGAATGTCATTTTCGACTTGCCTATCCCTGGCTGGCTCCCGGTGTCGAGTAACTTTTGCCCGGGCGAAGTCGGCGCGTCTACCCGATACTTTCTGCACGCCTCGGTCAAATACACGGTTTTGGAAGATGCTAAACCCTCTGCGTGGTCGATCGCGTCTCTATATACGCCCTTTCGCTCGCGTTGTCGCACTCTCGAGACTGCGAAGAGCATAATCTTGCGCCGATTCGTGACGCCACCGACTGATGAACCTGTTCCCGCACCTACATTAATCAACTATCTGCTCAATTCACCGTCCGCACCATCTAATAATCAGGAACTTACCATTCCCGCCTCCGTCTTATCTAAAATACAACTACTCGCGTCTGTCCCCAAATATGTCGATCTCTCCACCAACCGTCTTCCGTTCACTCTGCGTTTGCGCACGAAGGATCTCGAAGACGAGCATTGTCGCCGATTGAGGCTGACGAAATTCACGGTGAATGTCGTGCAGGAGGAGCGTTGCCGGTGAGTTGTTGTACACTTGCGCGTTTCTCCGTATCTTATCTCTTGCAGTCGTGTCAACAGCCCGTCTCAGTTCCAGTCTGCATATCCCGTGCCGTCAGCGGAGATGCAGCCTCCAACGGTGCCTTTGTTGGACGCGAGTCCGATGTGCGACATGTACAAGCTTGGGCTGTACACTTCGCCTCCCGGGGACGTCACAAGCATGACTTGCCTCACCTCGCTCCTGCCCGCTAGCGAGTCGGGTGTGTTCCAGCTGACGAGCGACCCGCGCGTGTTCGCTGAAGATGCTGTGAAAGACACCGCCACGTGGTACACACTCGAGACCAGCATTCCCTTCGTTCGCTATGTGGAATCCACTGCCACCACATCCGAATGGGACGGCTCCCACAAACTGCGGCCTTCATCCAGCAGCCCGCTGTACGACGTGACGCATTCGCTCAAGCTGCAGCTCCATCTCGAGTATGACACGGCGCAGGGCCAGGTCGCATCGGCGGACATCAAGTTCAACATTCCCGTCACATTTGGACGGGTGGCACCGCCCCTCCCTCCTCGAGACCTGCTGCCGATGCTCATCAACTCGATCCGGATCGTCGAAGGCACCTACCCTGAGATCCCTGCGCTTCTTCCGTCCATGAACCTGCCGGTGTATTCACAACTGTTCGACACGCACGGCAATCGCAAGATGGACGACACGCCCCTTCCTCTCTACTCGCCCCGATCTCTCGAACAGCCGGCTGTGGAGATCTGCCTTTCCGACATTGGCTCCGACAAAAAGCATGTCACGACAATCTAATTTCTCACAACACTAATATGTTACCTACACTTTTGCCACACTCGCTGTATTTTTACATGTCTTTTCGATTTTGTATCTACCTGTAGCAACACCACCATTTGGTACATCCAATACACTTCTACTTCGCCATTCCCACATTCTCCTTGGCAGCTTCGGGCGATCTCAGCACGATCGGAGGTGAGCCTGCCCGCGGCTTCCAGAACGTCGGCGGCTGGTTAGCCGTCGTAGGAAACAGCGGCTGCTTGAAAAACACAGTCTGCTGGCGAAGCGGAGGCCGCTTCGCCGAGCGCTCTCTCGGGGTGGGGCTGCCACCGTGCTTTTCCTGCAACTGTGTCCGCAGACAGAGCCGCAGCAGATTCACGTTCGCCGGGGCCGGTGCGACTCGGCTCCTCCGACTCGGCGTCGACGAGAACGGGTCGTCGAGCGGGGTGACATGTACTGGGGAGCCAGGGCGAGGAGGAGTGACGAGAACGGCAGTGCGGGCGGGTGGGGGCACCGACGCGTCCTTCCGCCGGGCAAGGCGGGCTGAAGTGAAAAACCGAACTTGCCGAATGATATCTAGACGTTGATCGTGTTCTGGCGAGAGAGATGGCTGAGTCAGCTGGATGGGAGAGGATTCACGAGGAGAAGGCGCTGGTGGCCCGAGAGCTATGGTTGCGGGTACTTCCGAAGTGTGGGCATTCAGTTTCGCGTCTGGTGGATTGTTGGGAGATGCAACGCTCGACGGAGACAGGGAAGATGGTGTAGCGTGATGACAAGAACCAAGACTTGTTGCAATTGGCATTGACGCAGTAGACTCTCTGCAAGGGGACGCAGCGTGCGCGGAAGTATCCGCAGCTGAAAATAGTACATTCGCCTTTGCCGTTGATCTTTCGGAGTCCGTAGCCTTCTCCGAGTCATCGTTGTCCATGGATGATTCATAGTCTGTAATGGTTCCCAACGAAAACTCCGCCCCGTCGCAATCAGGCTCAGCGTGCTTAGATCTGGTCGAGAATCGTTGCAGTGAGCTTGATTCAGCCGCGTCGACAGGCATTGTCGTTGAAATAGCAGCTTGTTCTTGCTTCCTCTCTTCAGCACGTTTGTGCCCTCTGGGCCCGGGAACGCATCCAAGAAATGCAAACGCAAACGCGGAGACTTGGCGCGAGAAATTGAGGAGGCTCACTGTTATGAGACCGGCTTGAGGAGTCGCCAAGAGAGGCGGGTGCGATGGTGTAACTTGAGGTGTATTGATAGCGCGTCGCGCGAGTTCGGTCGAGACGGAGATAGGTATATTGTGTGCGAGCGACACTTGCGGACTGAGATAGAAGCTGCGTCGCCGCGCCCGCGAAGGCATCGCCATGAGCGAGGGCGAGAGAAGGGAATGATTAGGATGTGCTTGAAAAGAGGTTGAGGAAGACAGCTGAGACAACACTGCCACTCAGACGTCATGTATGATAAGATGAGATCTATATTATCTTGCCGACCCCAGGTATACAGAGAACTGCGTACGACACGTACCAACTCAACGGAATCCCTATAACAGCAACCATGATCGCTTTGAGGACCTCGGTGCGCCGCCCCAAACGACATCGACCAGAATCTGGAGAGCAATGACGACCAGCATGTGTAGCAGGTAGACACCATAAGAATACCGGGCGATGTTTTTCCATTTGTCCTTGGTGGTGTTCGAGTTACGGAAAAGCGTGTAGAGATTTGTGGTGATAAAATAGAAACACAATTCGTTCCACACGACATAGAAGATGGACGGGAAATTGACCCCGCCAATGTAAAGCCTTGGGTCTCCTCCGAAGACCCGCGCAACAGAGCAGAGAGATGCGATCGCTGCGACCAAGAACAGGATGAGATTCGCCCAGGGTGTGCGTGATCGATGAATTTCTCGATGGTGGGCAAGAACGCCCCGGCGATGTATGCAACGATGTACTGCGGCGCATAGGCTGGCTGAATGATAGGCAACTTTGGCGAGATGGTTCCGACGGGAGACCGCAGTCGGATGACGAACGAGGATATCATCACTGAGAGCATCGAAAAGATGCCCAAACTCGGTATCCCAATGCGGTCTTCGGTGGCCGGATTCTGGAGAACAGACGGGGGAACGACTTCCGGAGAGTGATCGATACAAGATCGAAGAGCAAGAGCGAAGAAATATACCTGAGGTATCGTGAGAATCTGATGCAGGAATGTTTGCAGAATGTGCCCACCACACAGGGCCGCGGCCCGGGGAACCTGCAATGGTCCGGAAGTACTTCTGTAACATGGTTGGAATCTCCGCTTCGTCCCCCGACCCCAGCTTTCCGAGCATCATTCCCAACGGTCCAAGCAGCAAACAATGGACGAGGATAGGAATGCCCAATCGTCGCAACTTATCGAGACAGAAGGCGGGCCAAGTTTTGCGATCGGCAGTAACGGCAGACATATGTCCAGAGATGAGGAAAAGGGCCCCCATAAAGAAGGACTGATTGAGAAGACAGAAGATTGTAAGCAGTCCATTCTGTCCCCATTTTCGAAAGGGAGACATGTAGACCCAAGTGCCGATTCCAGTGTATGGGACCGCGGCATGATGGGCAACAACAAGAGCGACCAGACTGGTCCGTAGATTGTCCAGAAAGTAGACGCGACTGGGGCCAGGCAGGAGAGGCGCGCTCTCAGTGTGGTCGCCGTTCATCTCCAAGAGATTCGACGCGCTGCGGACCCGGTAGCGTCCCGCATTGAATGGGTATCACTGTCAATTGCGTGCGATTGATCATCTGAGGACTTGTTCGATTCGCGTGTCACACCGTCTTTGCTCCCATGTATGAACTCGTGTTTTGTTTTTGCGCAATATTGACCATAGTCAGACACATTCCAGATGTGTCTTGTCTTTCCAGCTCTCGGAATGGTTGACACCAGGAGATTGGCGCATTAGTAGCAGTGTGACACTGTGACAGCACGCGAGTACTAGTAGTACGACTCATGCACTTGCATCCATGAATTCCTCGTGTACAGTAAAGAGAGACAGAAGTCCTTGAATATGCGGGACCTGAACTATTCCAAGGACTCGGAAGGAGAAGTCACCTAAATGGCATGATTAAGTATCATCAGTTTTGGACGAGCAAGAATTGGGACGCGCCTGGGTCTGCTCTTTAACAAGGGCAAAAAACACTTTGGTCACATCCAACAAAACTGTTGCATCATCCTCGCGCGTCCCAATGGTCCGGATATCTACTGCAGCTTTCTTCAGACGGGCGTAGCCGCGCTCCCCATCGCCCGCGTGCCAAGCTATGCACTTCATGATTGCCTCCGGGGCCGAATAACAGGCCATACACACAGCGTTCAGGTGCTCGACGAGAACAGAGACAGGGATAGAGCGGGGATCGAGGTCGTCTGAGGGGTTATCGAGCGCGACTGCAAGTTCAGGCGGAGTAGCTTCGATAATCGCGACCAGCTTCGCGTGGCGACTCCTCAGCATCTTCCCGTAGATGTAATGTCCAGCTTTGTTCAGCGACGAGGATCAATGCCGTGCGCATGCAAGAGCCAGGGATACTGTACTACTCACAAGCAAACACCAGAGAGGTGACAACGAAGGCGTATATCCCGCCGGCCTTTTTCGGAACCTCGGCCGCAGAAGGGGTCTCCCCTGGAGGCGATGGTTGCTCGGGCTCTTCGCCCGTTACTCTGTGTCCATCTCTGAGCGGAGTCGTGGCACCCGCGATCGTGCGGGGAGCCCGTGGCGGGATGTTGGATACCCTCGACCGGTCATCGCGTGCCATTCCGCCACGCACTGTCGTACGCTTTCCAATTTATTTATCGGCCGTTCTGGTGGTGATGCAGCAGTTCCATCGAGTTCAGGGGAGTCCCCTTCTGATCCCGATCGCGCAAGAGGTTTGTCCATTTGAGGCGGGGAGGGCCAGACAGCAATGAAGTCTCCCCATTCAACCAAGGTTTTGGATTGCGACAAGCTGGTGCCGGTGTGGGCAGCGCGTCGCCATATGCAGCGTGTGTGAGTGGCGGGGGATATAGCGAGTGTCAACATCAGGGTGGCATGATGGCATCTTAGCCACCGCGGAGCCAAACAGGGAACCCGGTCAGCACCCGCAAGATTCCGCAGATATACGTTCTTATCCTGCATACATATTTGAAAGTTACGTGTTACAATTAGGTCACCAAAATATATCGCGTGCCGATGGTGATCTCTCCCAATGAGAGAAGCACCTACCATGGATCCCATGCCCAAGTGGACGACACTATCAATCAGAGCCTTGCACTAGGCACCATGATCTTCCTCCATCTAACCACCTTATCCAGTGCGCCGGAGATTTCAGCAGCTGTTTAGAGAGGAATTGAAACATCGCATAGCTTCCAGAACGTGCCAACAGACCAAGTTCACGAGGCGCCTCTTGCACTATCTATCTTCGATTCAGCGCGTCGTAGAAAAAGAGCACAACGAATAAACGCACCAAATGCCCTACTTTGGGAACCCTGACGTTGGAGGAGTTTTCTGGCCTGAGCCAGACCCGTTCTCGAGTCGACATAGGACCGCCAATCCTGAAGTGGGAGAGAAAGTTTCAGCAACGAAAGGGAACCAATCTAGGGAAACCAACTCTAGTTCGTTAGCTCGACCAGGCACAACCCAGTGTATGTAAATACAGGGATCAAGATAACGGATCAAGTCCCAGACGACCCCGCTGTGCACTCGACCCTCCATGATGAGCGCCTCTTGTTCTGGCGGCATAACAAGCCGAACCGAGCCGTCTGGGCAGTCAACCAGGGCATACCGCACGTATCTATGTATCGCTCGGGCATCCCAAGTCGCGAAGAAAGGGCTGGTGGCGAAAGAGACCAAGGCTTCTTCGCTGCGGTGCACAGTCAGATCACACGCCCCTTCTCTCGGTCGCAGCAGAGCTCACCGGGATTTCCACGTCTGTCGCCGCGCCAAAGCGATCCGAGTGAAAGGGGTGTCATCAAACGGTGTCCCGAAGCGGATGAGCACAGGGTCGACGAGTATCAGCGCCGCGAAAAGACGAGGTTCCGTGAAAGCAACACGACCACTGACACGCAAGCATGTCAGACGTTGCAACCAGGAGGCAAGACGATTATACCAGAGACAACCGCCAAAGGAATGGCCGACAGCAATCAATTTGCGTTGATTAAACCCATTTGCTTGTCGATGGGCCGTTTCTCTGATCGGGATCAGCGGGAGCGAGGTCGCAAGTTTTCCGACCCCGGCGACTTTGGAGGGGAGAAAGTGCAGCAGAAAGTTGAGAATGTCACGCGCATCATCGACTCCGTCGCCTTGAGAATCGTTAGACATGCATGGCGCGGCCCGCGACTATTCACCGACAAGCCACGAGAGTCGGACCCAGTGTCGCGTTGACTGAAGCAGAGGCGCCGTGATGTACGGCTTCCCAAGCCCATATCTCGTCAATGGGATGACCATCGGGAAGCGACAGGAGATCCAGCAGTGTGGGTTCCCAGATCTGCGAACGCCATGTCAGTGTCGGGACCTTGGAAAGAAGAGAAGACGCACTTCTTTTGGGAACCCATTGCCGCCCGCGAGGAAAAGTGTGATCCCGGCCTCACTGACGTCCCGCCTGACATATCTCTTGACGACATTCCACATCACGCGCTCATATCGCCCGGGCTCCTGAGCCGTCTCCACACAGGCCCAGTGGTTCCGCGCAGTCGCCGCGGCGGCTCTCTCGGCCCTGGAAGCGTCCGATCGAGCGGGAGGAGGCGGCGGAGACGATATTCGCATCGTGCGAACATGGGTCGCCGGCGCGATGTGCGTGCTGACGGCATAGCGGCCGTCCAGGAACGACTTGTCGGGAAAAGCAATGCGCGGAGCGCAGGAGGTAATGCCTCCAGCGGGGGCGGGAAAACGGCTGGCAAGGGCGGGTACGAGGCGCGTGTCGGCGGACGCACGCCAGCCTCGGGACGGGGGTAGCTGGTTGAATTCATGACATTTCTCAGGGTGGAAATAAGGCTCGCTTACCTTGGCCCTGAAGAGACTGGGCATCATGATGACGGCGTCCACATGTTGCTGCAAATGGGGGAAACAGAGATATAGAAAGCGCCCACAAATATCATATCTATATCGGGAGATGCTCAAAGCACACGATATGAGTCTCAGGGGTCACAAAGAATCTTGCGAGCAAAAGATGGGTAATTTTCGGATTTTGTCGCACGATTACGAGGAGAGGATACGAGAGGACTGCATGGTTGAATGTATGCTTCAGCAGAAGCCAGTCGAGTCCGTGGTGATCGAATTCTTGTCGAGACTGATGCTTACGTGTTGATGGCTGATTGACATACATGGACAGCAGTAGAGTTCGAATACACCAAAAATGAAGCGCAAGACTACAGCTTTGAACGCGAAATCGAGATGTGTTTTTCCAGAAAAAGAGCAATCTCTTTGGCTGAGGGATAAGATGAGAGGAATGTTCCGTGACAATTATTAATCTCACCCAGTTCGGTCGGAGCTTCCTGGACAATCTAAGACTGAACTCAGTATCAAAGCATCGGGATATGCCAGAGACTGACTAACCAGATGTCCCACCCCAGGGATCTTGATGTTGGAGGAATTTTCGGGTCGCAACCACGCTCGTTCCTGGTCTGACTGCGGACCGCCAATTCTGCCAAAAAGAAAAATCATCTGATGAGACAGCCGCGAGGTCAATTGTTGCATGCTAATCACACCGGCTCTTGTTTCCCAGGGAAGACAAATCGAAGCGGAATGCGAGGGTCTATTTCGGAAAACAGGTCCCACACCTGAGCGGAACGGTGGGCACCTTCATAAACCAAAGCCTCTTGTAGCACCGGCATAGCAAGCGTGACCGGGGTGTCCTCTGTTTCGTCCACGTTTTCGGGATTTGAGCTGGATGCGGATAACGGAACAAGTCCGAACGCAACATAGGCATCGAGCACGCGTTGATCCCATCGGCCGAAGAACGCACTGGCCGCAAGAGATGCAGCTGCCGCCGACCTAAATTGAAATTTCGAATTCAGGATCTAGGATGCAATGATACGCAAGAGAAAGGACCTGGAGCTCCAGAAATCTCTTCTGGAAAGGGCAGTGGTGGCAAGTGGAGGGTTGTGGGTGCGGGTCGGGTCGAACGGACTGGTCGGATCACCTTCTCGAATGATTGTGGGATCCACAAGCATCAAACCAGAAAACAGATTAGGACATTGGTGTGCAGCCCAGGACCTTCAAGTTGATATTGATCAATCAAGGCTACATGAGACGAGACCAGCATTCATAAGGAACAAGCCGTACCATCCACATGCACCAAAGGAATGAGCAGCGACGAAAAGCTTCCGATCTTGGAATCCGAATTGCTGACGAGCTGCGCTCTCTTCTTGCGGAATGCTAGGAAGATGGAGCGGCAACCCTTCCGAGACGACGGCCTGCCGGGGAGAAAATGCAGAACGAAATTCACCATGTCGCGAGCATCATCCGTCCAGTGACCTTTCTCGAATGGATCCTCTTGAGAAGGGGGGTATATCGGATATCCACTTACAACCAGTGATTGATGCACCCAGACTTCTATTCAAAACTGAAGACGCTCCCGTGTCTGGGTATTCCCATAACCAGATTTCGTCCACCAGGCAGTCGGCATTTTGCGCCAAAAGATCCTGAATTGTGGGTTCCCATGTCTATGCTCACGGTCAGATCAAAAAAGCGGTGTTACGACTTGTACGAGGCTTCGATTCACCTCCTTTGGGAACCCACACGCGTGTGATGCGATGAGCGTCACTCCTCGTCCGCTTTCTTCCACATCGTTGCGGACATAACGATCGACCACACTCCACAGGACGCGCTCGTGTTTGCCGATCTGAAAGCTGTCGTTTTCCTTCACCCAGCGCACCCGCGCTTCTGTCAGAGACTGCCTTGCTTCACGGGTTTCCGTCCCGCACGGTGTCAGTGGCGATGGGGGAGGAGAAGCAGGCGGTGCCGAGCGCAGATAGCAATGGGGGACCAGATGGGTGCTGCGTGTATATCTGGAGTCAGAGAATCCCGGTCGGTGGGTCAGGTGTGACGGGAGAGCAGGTGGTGGATGGAGCTTGTCCTGAGGAGGTGGATATATGGGCAAGTGCGTGAGAGGCAGGTAATGAGAAGGATCACGGGAAGGTGCGCGGACAGAAATGCGAGAATGAGCAAGAGTATTGTTCATGCGCGTAGAAAACAACTGGACCAGTGGGCGGCAAGGCTCTAAGTTTAGGTCGCCTCGTGGGCCTCGAGTATAAGTATTAGTCTTGAATATTGGACGGAGTCTATTTGATAGCATTCGAATAGGCCAAGCTTCGGCGACAGATTGAGTACTATGTGTTCCGATGCAACAGACTCGTCGTGAGAGTCAGGTAAGTAACTCGGTTCGAATAATGAATTCCGAATAACCGAACACGTGATTCCGACACTTGATTGAGATTCGCGTGACGCGCTCCGGCTTCAGGCCCTGACTTCCCGGTTAGACACTCGTTGCTTTACTACCCCATGTCAGTCTCATACCCGCTGCAGACCGCTCGCCCCCCGGTGCACCCTCCCTCAAAATATGCCTCACTTATCCTGCCAATCTTCCCACCTCCGTCCCGCGCACTTGATCCTCTTCCTGTCCTAACGGAAGCGCAACGCACTGCTGAATTCAAAACTGGCTGGATCCGGACTACTCACTTAGTTCCGTCAGCATACTTGAGAAGCACTTCACCAGCTCACTCCGGGCCTCCTCCCCCCGCAACAGAGTCAGATAGCAAAGAAGAAAGGAAAGCTGCGAATAGTGCCCGGGCTAAGTGGGTCCAAACCGTTGCCGAAAGCCCGAGGGGAAGGCACGAACGCGTTCTTTGGAACGTCGTCAACCGATATGCTCGCAAAGAACTTAGCGAGGAGGACCAAGGTATCACTCTCGTCGTCGGCCATGCAAACGGATTCCCGAAGGAGGTGTGTCCGGCCCTGTCGGCTACAGAGCGGTGGCTGAGCTGCACTGCCGCGGATTCTAGATCTGGGAACCGGCTCTTCTCGACCTCTTGTCTCTACCGAGTGGACAGATCATCAGTGAGATATGGGCTTGGGAGGCTGCACACCATGGAGCATCCTACCAATTGAACTTGTCCCGAGGAGTGCCATGGGCTGCTTGTGCGTATATTCCTGATGATGCAGTCTAGAAATACTGAAGGCACTAAAGGTGAATGGGCTGACGACACTCGCGACTTCCTCAACTTCTTTTTGCACTTTCTCCCCTCGGAACCAGCGTCCGCTGAACTTCCTGTACACCTTCCGGTGGTCGCACCAACTGAGAGCGCCCTTCGAAAAGTACGCGGATTTTCCAGCCGAAAGATATTTTTGGCCGGGCATTCTGTGAACGGATGTTGTTCGTAAGCATACGATCATTGATTGACGGAAATCTCCCTTACCCAGAACAGCGCTTGGGCAGCTATAATACATCCCCGGCTTTTTACTTCGATCGTGCTAATCGATCCAGTGATTGTAAGGCAACTCGAGCCGGTGGAACTTGCGGAAGCGGAGAAAAATCCCGAGCCCAGTCTTGCTGAAGGAGCTGTGGCTCGACGAGATCTCTGGCCGTCCAGGTATCCTTACTGTCCCAACCGAGTTTTCAGTATTTGTTTTGACGACGCTTAGGGATGCCGCGCTTAAATCATTCTCTGCCAATCCTTTCTTCGCTGGATGGGATCCACGTGTCCTGTCTGCATACGTGACTTACGGCCTGGTCGCGACTAAACCTGGCGGGCCAGTCACTCTGGCGATGCCAGCATTACAAGAAGCACTCGTGTTTGAGGGTACCCGAACGAGTGCACCTGCGTGGGATCTGCTCCACACATTGGATCCTCGGCTGCCTATTCGATTCTTGATCCCAGGCGAAGATAAGTCCGGGGGGTAAGTCTGAGTCAGAGCGAGTCGGTGTTTTTTAAATATGTTTTTCAAGGATCGGGGGCGAGGCTGCTACAAGAGAGCGTGTGTGGTTGCGCCCAGTCAATGCATCGAACATTCGAATCAAGACTGCAGGCCATTTGGTGAAAATTGTTCTTTGGATATTGTAGACTCCCCGTTGACAGCTCCCAGATTGTTCAAGAAGCACCCGCCGATGTCGCCCGTGAACTGAACGCAGTTATCGCACAGGAAGTATCGGGGACAAGAGCCAAATTGTGACCAGTCTAAAACTGTCGTCTGTCACCCAAGTATTGAGCCCACCATGGTCACAGAGGAGTTATGTTCCGTTTACATACAGGGTACAAGAGGTGTAGATATTAGAAGAGTGTAATTTACACTACAAAGACTTGCCGTCAAACCTCAGTGCCTTGAATCAACGCTTCGCGGAATTGATAAACTTCCTGCACAAGCGAATTCACCAGTCCGACAAAATCCGGAACGCCTAATAGGGGCGCTTGATTGGGTGGAATGGAGCGAGCGATATCCTCGACCTGGCGGGCACGTTCTACCACATGACTGTATTGCTGAGATAAAGCGTCTACATGGCAGAGTCAGGTACGTAAGACAACGAGATCCGGGAGACGCACCAATGCTCGACGTGCTGAAAGCATCGAACGACGTGCCGGGGGCGGATAGCGGGGGCGGATAGGGATCCAAGGAGGAGCCGGAAGGCGGAAACTCCGGAGCAGGGTAAGGTCCATCGACCTTATCAGCTGCCGCCGCACGGGTGTGCTCCTTTTGCGCATTCAGCATCCTTCCGCCTAGAATTCCGGTCGGTACAACTGCCTCCAGGAAGTTCGGTACGCACGGCGAGTACTGAGTGTATCCAAGGAGCGAGGGCTGTATCGGAAAGACGCCTCTGCTTGCTTTAATTTGCGCAGTTGACCAGGCTTGCGATCATTATAGACATGTAAGAAGAGAGCGTATTCGGGGAAGAAGTCGTCCTTAGTGAGATCATAGATGAATTTGCATTTGCGATCGCATGAAATTTTCGCGTCTCGACAAGGACGGCAGCTGGGTTGATCCTCGTCGATAATGCATTGCCGTTCCACCCGGCTGCGCAGACACTTATCGCAGGCCTGGAGGGGACTTAGCGGGTATATGAAGCATTATTTAAACGCACCGTCGGGTTGGAGTGGTTCCAGTCGCGGACTTCCTTCGTGCCTGTCCATCCCGTTTCGACGTTGTGATACCGCGAGGTTATCTCGGCGACTCGCTTCCAGAAACGGCTTTTGACCTCATCACTAGGAGTAACCGCGGGCGAGGACATTGTCCCATCGTCTTCGATTCCCGTCTGGGCGTCACCTCGCGGCCCCCCTCGGGGTGCCATTTAATCACGTTTGTGATCGTGAGTGTACGAGACAAGTGGCAGCAAGTGCGAAGTGACCGTGAGAATATTTTGCTGATGATAAAGGAAAAATCACATTACCGACGTAGATCAAGTCCGGATTGGGAAATGTTGGCGGGCAATGCATCTTGAGTGCAACCCGGCTCCCCTTTTCGAATATTTGTTCAAAGGTCACCATCTGGCGCTGAATGTCTTGAATAGAGGATGGCCTTTCGCTCGATACAACCCAGATACTACTTATCTCCTACTCGCTTTCTGCCCAAGAGGCTGTAGGACAAGTGACTCATAGTACAGGTCGACTATCTTGAGCGCCCTTGGAGAAGCGTTGGTGATGGGTAGGTATTTCGAGCACATCAGTTGGCGACGACAGCCACCATCTAGGCAGGTACAAGATTAACCTAAGTTATACTATCAGCTGTGGGCTGGGATAGACGTGGGAATCTTGGCTCGCGTGCACGTGAGCGCGATCCCAGACGCGAACCATTCCCCTTTCCTCTCCCTCATCCACCGAAATTGAACATGGCGCCTTCCGCAAAGCAAGGTGCATCCCAACCTAAATTGAATTATCCAGCAAAGGCTTAATTGCGTCTTACAGTTGGGGGGAGAGCAGCATCGTCCAAACCTGCCTCACGATCTCGAAGAAAACCGCCTACACCACCGATAGACGCAGAGTCTGACGATTTCGAAGAGGCTCATCCGGCAGGAAACTCTCAAGATGACGATGAGGTTGAGGAGATTTCCGCTCCTGCCAATCCAACACCCGCTCCGCGCACGAATGGAAAACAAGTGAAGCGGAAGGGAAAGGCTGCAGCGGAAACGGGTCCGGGGAAGAAGCGAGCGGCGCTCGGCGAGACGCATGATATTGACGATGAAGAAGACGAAGAATCACGTAGCGCAGCTGCCGGAGCCGCGAGCGCGATTAACGAGGCGGTCGCTCGAAATACCAACCCCACTGCAGGCACGGCCCAGAGAGTTATTGATCGCCTCAGACGTCAGTTGGAAACTGTAACCCCCGTCATCTCCCTTTCCACCTGCTCACTCTCACATATGGCATAGGCGAAGAAGGCTGTGGACGACCTTGGAAAACAGTTGGAAGAAACACTACGAGTCCGAGAGACGGAGGCTGAGAATCTGATGCGGCAGCAGCAGGACAAGTACGACGATATTATCAAGGGTGATGTCCCCAATTGTCATTTGGCCCTGTTTCTCATCTTCACCTAGAGAAGGATTCACACATTGAGCAACTGGAAGCCATGTTAGCTGCAAGGGAGCCGCTGTCGAGACACGGCAAGACATCCGTGTTGCACTTGATCACTAGAGAACATGCCGACGCAGAAAAGCGTTCTGCAGAGGAGCAGGTTCATACCTGGAAGAAACTGTGTGACGCCAAAGACGAGGACTTGCAGAGCAAAGAGGCCGAGCTTAGGGAACTGAAATTGACTCGTGCGTGTCATGCTTCGCTCGAACCTGCTTGATGACTTTTGACCAGTGAAAGACTTGCAATACGAGCTCAAAGTGGAGCGCGAAAACTCACAGAAATCACGACAAAACACAGTGGCATCAACACCGCGAGGGTTGGCCAAGGGCGTGCTTGGATCAGACGAACCTAAGAACGCCCGACTCATTACGTTCTACGAAGATATCACCAATCTTCTCGTCACGGATGTAAAGCTGGCACATACGCCACAGACAGGCCCAAAGCAGTGGAATTTAATGTGCATCTACACGTACAGCTATCAGGGCGTCGACAGAAGTGAGTCACTCGAGCCATCGCACACATGTCCTCATTTGATTGGCAAGGCCTCGCATTTTCCTTGAAGTTCACATGGCAGCGAATGGATGATGAACCCAAGGACAGTCCGTTGGAGCCGGACATGCATCTGGGTGTTGACTATGTGCCGGTCGATCTGGACAAAGAGCCGATTGAATTCGTCGACGCTCTGGATTTCCTCAACTCGCCCTTCACCTTTCCCCGAAGACAGGTCTGTCTTCTTTGGCTCTCTCTCACGGCTTGAGCTGACGTCGGTAGCTGCCCGTGTTTTACACGCGTTTAAGTCAGGCCATGAAGACAGCCTGCGAAGAAAATGATGAGGAAGATGATGACGAGATGGATCTCGAGGAGAACTGAGCTCCTTCAACTGTACTTGTGCTAATCTAGGGCAACTAGGGTATTCCTCTGAAAGACTCGGACGGTTTTAGGCGTGGAAGACGGAAGATCGTGAGACCCTGGCCTTCGAGAGCGTCGGCTTGAAAAGGAACGTCATGTAGCACAAGCTGTTCCAGAGCTGCACAGCCATCGATGGGATGCATTCGTGAGCGGACCAAATCGAGGAGAGAAGTCGGCTGAGCAGCAGCTTGGATCTCCAACATGCGCAGATTGGGCAAAATGGAAACCGCGGATTGGTGCAGCCCAAGAAGGATGCCTTCCACACACTGGAATGCTTCTAGGCCCCATGCGACGATCACGAACTGTGTCACAGAGGGCAGGGTGCACAGCGTCCTCAACAACTGGGGGACCAGAATTTTTGCTTTGAAGGTTATGTGTAGCTCGGCTAGCCGGGTGGAGGAGCGTTCGAGGAATGCCGCAATCGCGGACGTCGGAATCTGGAACTCCCGGCGACAGACAAACTCCAGCGTCGTGAGCGAGGGGGCAGTGAGCAAGTTCAGGACTTCAACTATGGGATTACGACTGAATCCCCGCATGACCAGCACCAGTCTGCGCAGCTCGGGGAAGACGGGGACTTGTGCAACCTGATAAGGCTTTTTGGCGGGATGATAAGGATTCAGAACAAGGGTTCTCAATCGCGGGGAACAGCCTCGGGACAGGAAGTACATCAGATCCCAAGTGACCGCGGCACCCAAGTGCAGCTCCGTGAGCTGATGTAGCGGAACAGGCACATCCTGCGGGAGGTAGTTTCCGATGACTAAGCGTTCGAGTTTGGGCGCCGTTTCGAGGAAATCAGGTTCAGAGCTTTGGTACGCCGTAAAGCCAAACGGATAGAACTCCAGGCTTGTCAAATGAGGCAGTCTGCCGCGGAGAGTGCTGTACACAGGCTCCAGGGCAGGAGAGATCGCCAGCTTGACCCGCTCCCACCGCTGAGAATGGCAGACTAACAAGCTCAACAAATTTAGAGCAACAGCGTCAGCATGCATGGAGGAGCTCGTAATCGAGAAGTCCGCCTCGAACGAAAGCAAGCAAGACTGGGATCTCTCGAGATGCAGACGCAGAAGCCGGGTGATCACTTCCTCTGCAACGGCAGAGAAACCCTGCTTCGAAAGCTTTTTGGGACCCAAGGAAAAGGAGGTCCATAGGAGGGGAGAGGATAGCGCCAACGACCTCCAGAGTGCACATACGTGTGAGATGCATACGGCGTTGCTGGAGAGGATCGAGGACTGCTCAGTACAACAGACGCCGAATATTTCGATGAGTAGTTCAGGAGGGAAGCGCCCGAAAGCGCCCATCTGAGTCTGAGGGTCGGGAACCAGGTCGGTAGGTTCCATATCCATGGGAGCAACTTGAAGAATTCGAGACCACAGACATGGGTGAGATGATGATTGTTCTACATCAGTGATCGGTCCGGGACTTCGTTGCCATTTTCGGATGACATTATTTGTTGCGAACACACAACGCGAACGCTTGCGCGGCCATTGATTCTGAACACGACCATGAATTCTCTTGCACAACGATATTCTACGACAGGCGCCCTCAATGGACTGCGCAAGGCTCAAGCCATTGCTGCAGATGAGGAGGACTTCTCCGATGCGACTTGGGGATCTGAAGCTGGCTTTGGCAACATCGCTAAAGGTGTCCCTACTTTCTCGATGCCTGCCGTTCCGGATGTGAGTTTGCACCGCGCGATGTTAGGAAAGGCGGTCTCATATGTATCATCCTCAGCCATCCTCATTCTTGAGGCTCCACACCGATGACCACGCCGATCCCAGCTGCAGGATCAAGATACAGCATGGAACTACGACCTTGGCTTTCCGCTACAAGGGCGGTGTCATCGTGTCCGTCGACTCTCGTGCCACTGCTGGGAGTTATGTTGGTATGCGCCTTGCTTGTTGGTCACTTTGTGACAACCATGGCTAATCACGGTCCAGCCTCCGGGACTGTGAAGAAGGTCATCGAGATTAACCCATATCTGCTTGGAACGATGGCTGGTGGCGCGGGTACATTCGGTCATACTGCACGCTAGCACGTTTCTGACTACCTCTTTGGTTAGCCGATTGTCAATACTGGGAGACGTACCTGGGCATTCACTGTCGCCTGCACGAGTTGCGCAACCGAGAACGAATTTCTGTGTCCGCGGCCAGCAAGTACCTCAGCAATCTGGTGTACAGCTACAAAGGAATGGGCTTGAGCATGGTGCGTATCCAAGGCCCATTACGTTCTGTTCTTGGATTGACCCTGTATTGAAGGGCACCATGATCTGTGGGTGGGACAAGACGGGCCCAGCCATTTTCTACGTCGATTCTGACGGAACGAGACTGAAAGGAGATCTTTTCTCCGTTGGATCAGGTAGCACATTCGCGTATGGTGTGCTCGACCAGGGCTACCATTGGGATCTTACCGATGAGGAGGCTCAAGAGCTCGGACGAAGGAGTATCTATGCTGCTGGACATCGTGATGCATTCTCTGGCAACACTTGCAACCTGTATCATATCAAAGAAGATGGCTGGCATTTCATCGGTGCGTTGAGGGTCTCTGTCTTTTGGATGCGGAGGCTCATGGTGCGCAGGCAACTACGATTTGTCCAAACTTCACTACGATGGACCCGCCGATGTGCCTGGAAGCAAAGGTTATGCGTACGAAGTTCGCGTGGAAGGACGTAGTTCAGTCAACGCTCCCATTGCTGTCGCTGCTTAACATTGTAAAATCAAGCTCTGATATCGCTGCAGTCCGGCAGTTCGTGGGTGATTATCTAAGCAACAATGGCCTTCTCTGAATCTGCTTCGAACTTGACCATGCATGACTTCTGACAACGGCCCTGTGGCCCGGTCTATCTTGCGTTTCACTACGTACATGGAGACCACACGATCGGGCTTGCTCCTCGGTAACACGCTGGGCTTCGAATGGAGCGGGGAAATGGGTGCAATAAATAGCTGCCAACTTAGCTTGTCGTGCCTCACCCGCTCCCCTCATGCTCTTGTTGTTCCTCTTCGTTGCTCTGACCTCGCATTTTCGCGTCGTCCACTCTCAATTCTTTCTGGATGGGAAACCGCTGCCTCCGCACTTTGTCTACGGCTGCGCTACCTCCGCATATCAGGTCCACCCGCTGTCACGCGACCAGATCGTCGACTGCTGACCCCACATCGTGCGCTAGATCGAAGGTGCCTGGAACGCCGATGGCAAGTCGCCGTCGATCTGGGACCACTACCTCCATCGTAAAGCCTCGCACGCCGTGACTTACGGCGCGACGGGCGACGTCGCCAACGATTTCTATCATAAGTACAACTCTGATCTGCCGCTCTTCCGGAGCGCGCTGGGCGTGGGGACCTTCGACTTCACCATCGCGTGGACACGAATCATGCCGGCGGGGAGAGGTGAACTGAATCCGGCGGGACTGGCGTTCTACAAGAATGTGATCAAGACGAGCAACGAGTTGGGCATGGACAATATATGTGTGCGTTTCGATGTTTGCAACGCGCGTGCTTACATCTAAGCGATCATGATCGATGATTCAGACGTTGTACCATTGGGATCTGCCTCAATCCTTGCAGGTAGGGAAGTTCAGCAAATCAAATCCGCTTTTCCTGATCCTTCCAGGATGAGTATGGCGGGTGAGCGACGGCGGAGCGAAGGGTTCAAGGTTGTCCACGGGCTGACACGATTCATAGTTGGCTCAGCCCCAAGATTGTTGTCGACTTTCGGGCATATGCGCGTTCAGTATTTGAGGAATTGGGCAATGAATGCTCACATTGGGTGGGTCAGCCCCATCTATCCTGTGAACACTCGTGAAAGACAAGTCAGGTGACCATGAACGAGGTGGGTCTTGATTATACTTCTGGAAAGTACTCATCGGGAGCTACCGGCGCGTAGCCACGCACCTTGTACGTGTCCCATCTGCTTACGATTAACCTCAACGACCAACTTCGATTTAGCTGCACAGAGGGTTTCGGACCGAGCCCCGACTCTGCACCTGCGGTGACTTCGACGTACAAAGATCAGTACATCTGCATGCACTACGCCTTGTTGGCGCATGCAGCGGCGGTGGACGAGTTCAGGAAAGGTGGCTACTCTGGGAAAATCGGCATCAAGGTCGATGGAGGAGTATCGCTGCCTCTAGACCCGAATAGTTCGGCTGATCAAACGGCGGCAGCACGAGCTATGGACTTCGTGAGTGTGTCCGCTAGCTTGAGTTCGACATCTGCTAGATGTTTCGGCAGGAAGTCGGCTGGGATGTTTCGCCCATATACACCGGGGACTACCCCGCATCCATGATCAACAGTGGCGCCTTGCCGCTGCGTTTCTCGCCCGCCGACAAACAACTGCTCAAAGGCTCATTGGACTTCATCGGTCTTGATTTCTACACATCGCAGTGGGTCACGCCTTCGTCACATTGCGGCCACGGAAGCGACAGCTATCCCGAATGCACGGACGTGTACCAGCAGGATCCCCGCACCGGCATCGACATTGGCCGGCCGACCGCCAGCGACTGGAACTTTGATGCGCCGCACTCGACGATTTACGGAGGAATCAAGTATCTCGCCGAGACATACAACGCCACCAACATCATGATCTCTGAGACTGGGATGGGAGTGCTGAACGAAACCAACCTCCCGATGGATCAAGTACTCGAAGACGTGGATCGCATTGCGTGGTATCGTGGGGTGTTGGTGGCAATGAAGCAGGCTTTGAACGAAGGCCTTCCGGTGACGGGATTCATTCCCTGGAGCTGCATCGATGTGAGTGTGGTTTCGTCGACTGAATCGCGGCTGATGAAACTCCTCAATGAGAATTTCGAGTGGTCCAACGGATACAACGTCAGATTCGGCCTAATTAACGTTGCGTACAACGTAAGTGCCTCGACGCTTGTCGGATCAGTGCTCACAGTCATGCAGGCCTCGGGCCAAGGATCCCAACAACGCACGCCCAAATTGTCTGCATCTTATCTGAGAGGTGTGCTAACGAAAGCGAATTCTATAAATCCATACAACTTTGTGTAAAGCGGATCCGTCTATGAGAAAAGGAAATCCATGATACGGTTGAACGTTCCGCTTGTGATTGGCGCTACGTATGCTTCCTCGTAAGCATCCACTTGCTCGCGCTCCTTGTCCAGGAATGTGATATCCTGAGATCGTTGCCACTGCGTCCGCGGTCAATCAACAGCCGTGGTCCCTCACCGCTTGTCCTTGTCACGCACCTTTGTCCGCCGAAACACTTTCCAGAAGAGGAAGAGGATCGGCGCGAGACCTGAGAACAGTGGATGCTATTAGGAACCAGCCAGGCGATCAGAAATGGATGCCCACCAAGCATGCAATAAGAGAACAGGAATGTTGGAACGTCCCAGTTTCCGGGCAAAAACACGGTGTAACCGCCGACGAAAGCCATCACGGAGGTACCGACAAGAGCGTAGTACCCGCAGAAGGGCTGCCAGAACGACTTGTGTGGAAGCTCAGACCGTGTGAAACCCTGCGCCCTCAAAGCCTGGTCTCTGATATCAGAACCATATACTCACGTAGAAAGAGAGCGAACATAGTAGAATTTGAGGTAGGTGAAGGATATGATGGCGTAGTTCAGCAGCTGCGAAGCGGTGACGAGATTGACAAACCACTGCAGCACGACAGCGGAATTGTTGGACACCTGCAAAAACGCTGGAATGACCAGTCAGGCGGAAACTCGAAAGAGCACAAAGGCCAACTTGCAAAGCAGTGATATAGCGAAAGTGGCACCCACGCTGTAGATGGGAACTCCACGTCTCGTGCAACGAGAAAACAGCTTGGGCATCTTCCCCTGCAGAGATAATCCGAACAACGTCCGGCTGGCGCAGTACACATAACTATTACCGGCGGAGAAGATCGAAGTCAGGATCATGGCATTCACGATGTGAGGCAGCACCGGGATCTGCATCCGCTGCATCGCAATCACGTAGGGGGACGAACCAGCCCCGGGAAGTGCATTCGAGAGTGCATCCAGCAGAGTTGGATCGTTGTAGGGAACTACGATCCCAACACAGAGCGTGCCAACCACGAAGAACGTCGTCAGCCGATAGAAGACCCCATTGAACGCGCGCGGCAATGTCTTCCGCGGCAGTTCAGTTTCCCCTGCCGTCATCGACACATAGTCTGGTCCCGCGATGGTAAACGAGGCTTGGATGAGGCAGGTAAGAAAGCCGAGAAAACGGCCCAGCGATCCTGTCTTGATGTTCTCAGCAAATGGGGCACCGGGGACCTTTGACGCTAAAAGCAGTCAGCGGCCACCAAGCTCGCTGATTTCCACTCACGATCCCACGAGCGGAATCCGTACGTATCATGCAAGGGATTACCGCCAATCTATTAGTGCTTCGTGATCACCCGCAGCCCTGCGATCTGTGGTAAAGGCGACCAACCATGGTTATAAACGTAAAGGCAATCAGTCCGACAGCCAGGATGACCTTGCCAACGGAGAGCCAGAACTCAGCCTCTGTCAAGAATTTATTAGAATCTTTGACTTGAAGCCGAATGTAGAATAGTATCACCTCCATAGTACCCAACGGCAAAGACGTTCAAAAGTCTAGTGGCCATGATGAGAATTTACCGGTCGCGCTAGTCTCGTACTGACACATAGCAGACGAGAACAAACTGCGCGTTCCAGAGTTTATCAAATCACACCGCCAGAAACTCGCAGATGCCACTTACAACGATAACGGCTGTGACCGGAATCTTGTCCGTCCAGAATTGGAGCACAAGGTTGAATGCGACGACTTCGAAAGGCACCAATGCAGCCTCAAACACGAAAAAGTTGATGCCGGACGTGAATCCAAGAGCTGGATCCACAAAGTTGTCTGCGAACCTGACCTGGACTCGGTGAGTCGGACATATGCGCCAAATTCGACGATCTACTAACGAAGGGCGAAGAGATCGGGATCCATGTTACCATCTCGGCTGCAGCCATGTCAGCCGTGGGTGACTCTCAATTCAATCCAAACCCATGATGCGTACACAGACAGTTGTTGATGGCGAGGATGAATGTAGACCATATCGCAAACGCAAGAAACAGGCTCGCTAAGCAATATCACAGCAATCCCATAGAACATCGAAGGAGTACTTACCGGGACCCCCTTGGGTCAATGCCGATCCGATCTGAACGAACAAAGCGGTCCCAACTGTTCCTCCAATTCCTATCAGTTGGACATGCCGGCTCTGCCGAGAAAAAGTCTCATCTCCCATCTGAACAAAAGTTGTGCGACTTGCCTTGAGCTTGCGATGTGTCTGGTCGCGTGGAGCTGAGCTTTGGGATGCTTGAGACGCGATCTCCGCATCATCAAGCTCTTTCTTATCCAGGAACTTATCGTTCATAGTGGTGGAGGAGGAAAAAGATGGGATGCATGAATCCGCGCTCGTTCGCTCAGAAGCTACCGAATGATGGTGTCCCGAGCAGTTGATTGCTGCCAACAGGGATCAATGGGCCGCAAATAACCGGAGCCTAGCGTCAGCAGCAGAATCTGAAGAGAGAAAGGTCATGCGGCCATCTAAGTTAATGTGGCGTCTATGCAGCCAAACGAGAAAAAATGCGGCAACTTCCGAGATTGCTGATTTGAAACTCTCAATGGATGTACTTGAGAGATAGTTATGGTTGGAAGGAAGTCCACACTCGGCATCTTTCTATATCTGCCCAAGGTAGATCACAGAAGGAACAGGAATATTACAGCGTCAATATATGCGAAGACACCCACGCCGCCCCAAAGATACCTGTGACTGCAGTCCAACGCTCCAGCACTAGCTCCGTCGTTCAACTCTGTTGAGCTTGCGAGCTGTCTTCGCATTGTTCTGTGTGTTCTGCCCTCTGACGGGAAGTCCCATAGCGTGCCTCCGTCCAACATAACTGCCGATCATCTTCTGGTGCGCGATGTTTTCCCGAACTTCCTGGCGCAGCTCTGCCTCCAGCTTCAGTTCCTTCAGTTGGTCGGGCCGTACACGCGCGTCTCGCAGTCTCCGCAATACAAACCCGGGTTTCTTGTTTTCCTCTTCGCGTTGCGCCCGCGCTGCACGAAATTCGGCAACGAGTTCGGAATGTGTTTTTGGAGAAGGAACGAAGTCGGGCATGGCTACTGGGTAGCGAACAGGAGAGATGGAGTCTTTGGGTGATGATAGGAATGATGCCAGCGCAGTCACTTGCAACGGTGTGAGGTCGCGAACTCGACAGGTTCGATGCATTTGGAAACGCGCGCAGATGCGCCCCGCTGTCTCGTGGCCGACGCCATAGAATTGTGTTAAGGCAAACTGAGAGCTGTTGTCAATATGACGTTCCGAGCCTGCTACAAGTACAGAATACCTTGACCAAATGGCGGTCTGGTAGATTTACGCCCAAGACATAGACCATGGAAGAAGCCGAAGAAGAGGATTGATGCTAGCCAAACAAGCCTATACCTGCCTATAGTACTTGCGGCTTGTTCTGCTCAATCATGTCGTCCAGCAAAGCCGAAGGCCGGCGCGAGGATGCTCTCATCAAGCAGAGGACTCAAATGCACGAAGAATTCCTCCGCAAAAAGACAGCCTTGATCAACGAAACAGAGAAAGCGCGACCCTCCGCCAACCGTTTCATCGGGCAGCATGATTCTATGGAGGACTCGCTCAAGAACAGTACAGTTGGTCTGGTGCATCTCGAAGACTTCCAGAAACGTCGAGCCAAGCTTGAGGAAGATAAAGCGCGTGAGGCGGCACGCAGCAACCAACTCAAGTAGGTTCTTGTTTCCTTCCATCCACTTCAAACTCTCCGTGCCATATATGGGTTGCTCATAGGAAGTCGAGGGAACCTTTAGAGATGATGCAAAGAAGTCGAAGAAAAGGAAGAAATCAGCTAAAGCCACGCTCTCGTTCGCCATGGATGACGAAGGAGAGGAACCAGACATCGAACCTACTGCGAAGTCTGTGAGAACCCCGGCCAATGTAGATGCGGAAGAAGAGGAAGAGGAAGATGGGCGCTCCGCCAAACGAAGCAAATTCCCCAAGAACCCTACTGTCGACACTTCTTTCTTACCTGACCGGGAGCGGGAAGACGAGGAACGGCGAGAGCGGGAGCGGCTGAGGCTAGAATGGCTCAACAAGCAGGAGGATCTCAAGAACGAAGACATCGAAATCTCTTACTCGTATTGGGACGGCAGTGGACACCGGAGAACTGCAACGGTGAGTCGTGGTCTGTAGTGTGCCCTGCCAACTTCAATTGGCTCTTGCTCGTTGTAGTGCAAGAAAGGCGACGAGATTAGCACTTTCCTCGAAAAATGCCGCTCTCAATGCCCCGAACTTCGTGGGGTCAGTGTGGACAACCTCATGTACATCAAGGTACGACGATTTCTATGTGGCATGACAATAGATTTGAATTCTCTCGATAGGAGGACCTGATCATTCCTCATGTGAGACTATCTCCCTGGGGTCAAAACATTTGTTCACTTATCATTAGCACTACACCTTCTACGACTTCATCATTAACAAAGCTCGAGGAAAGTCGGGCCCGCTCTTCAATTTCGATGTCCACGACGATGTGCGGTTGCTTTCCGATGCGACCAAGGAGAAGGACGAATCCCACGCGGGCAAGGTTGTCGAGCGAAGCTTTTACAATCGAACGAAGCATATATTCCCTGCTTCCAGATGGGAGGTCTGTCAGCAAAGCTGCCGTTCCAGCTGAATACTTATAAAGCTCCCAGGTATTTGATCCCGAGAGGAACTACGGGAAGTATACAATCGCCTGATATCTACCGACGATTGACTGCTAAATTGTAACGTCGTTGAGTACAAATGGAATATGATACAGGATTAGTCGTCTCCGACAGGAACTTCCTCCTCGAGATACTTCAGTAACTCTACGCGTATCTCTGTCGTCTCGTCTCCTCTCAGCACGTCTGAAATGAAGTCTGCTGACACCTGCATTTGGACCTGGTTGGAACTATGAGTCTTGCAAAGAGTAGATGAGTGACAACATAGTAACCATCTCTAGTGCACCGCGTATTACGCCGCAGTAGACATTGCTGAACCACAATCCACCCTCTAGCACTTCTTCAGGGAGCTCGACAAATTCTGCCAGAGGATTCTCGTCGAAGCTCAGCGTAAATGTCGAACCGGATGTAGATTGAGACGCAGGGCCTGAGCTTGCGTGCTGAGGGGAGGAGGGTGGTAATGGAGCACCGTGGGTGACAGAGGGTGTGATATTCAAGAATGATTTGAACCCGACCTGTCCTTGCTCATGAAGGCATGCCGACGATGAGAGGGAACCGATTGACCTTCGCAACAACCTCTCCGACCTCTCTGAAATCAGAACATCGCCCGATATTGCTCTTCGCGAGAAAGTCTTCGATGAGACGCGTTCCGATGTTGTATCCCATCTTCTCAAGCTGCTTGTTCACCTCCGCGTAATCCTCGTAATCCTGAATGAGCTGTACGACCAAGGCGCCGTATGTCAACGCGAATAGCTCCGCGTTCTAGCAAATTGGTTCGGAATGGCTTGATGTCGATAGATTCTGCAGCTACTGACCACTTTCTCCGGCCTGCTCTTCCATAGGTCTTCACCGATTCCCTTGTACTGCTTTGACATGAGCGTTAGAGTTGATGGGAGTGATGATCGACCGCATCCCCATTCGATAAATCAAATTTTGGCATCCACCATGTCTCGACCAGAACACATTGCGCCTCCGGAAATCGTGGGTTACACTCAAAATCAGATATCAATCATCTCAGACCCTCTCCTCCTCTAGTATTATGGCGATATCGAAGCCAAAAAGTACACCCAAAAGTACGATAACTACCGTGTCCTCCGCCTCCAATAACACACATGCAGCACCCGTAATCAGCAGATCCAGGCAGACATGACATACCGCGCACTCGAACTATTGAATCTTCCGCCCGATGAACCTGCTTTTCTGCTCGACATAGGCTGTGGGTCGGGACTTTCGGGGGAGATTCTGGACGAGGAAGGATATGTCTGGGCGGGCGTTGATATCGCCCCGAGCATGCTCGGTGCGTCAACACACGTCTCACGGGATGAATCATCTGATGCCTTTTAAGAGGTCGCGTTGGAACGCGAAGTGGAAGGGGATCTGTTTCTACAAGATATCGGGCAAGGGTTTGGCTTCCGCCCCGGCAGCTTCGATGGTGCCATCAGCATCTCTGTGCTGCAGTGGCTATTGAACGCAGAAACATCTCATCCAACCTCCTCTCCTCCCCACCGCCTGGCTCGGTTCTTCCAGACTTTGCATTCCTCGCTACGGAATCCGTCCCGAGCCGTCTTCCAATTCTATCCGACCTCCGACGACCAAATCCAATTGATAACATCTATCGCGCAAAAGGCAGGATTCGGTGGAGGAATAGTGGTGGATTACCCGAACTCAAACAGGGCACGCAAAGTGTTCTTGTGTCTGTATGTTGGAGGAGGAGGTTCGCAGCAGTTACCTGAAGGGCTTGATGGAGAGGATGTCGATGTGGGGAGAGCCAGGTTTGAGCAGCGAAGAGAGCGCGAACGGAACAAGCGATCGAGCAAAAGGAAAAACCTCAAGGACCGAGATTGGATTTTGAAGAAGAAAGAGGTGGGCGTTGGGATCCCCGCTCGCGATTTAATCCTCAAATGGTTTTCCAGTTGTACCGAAAACGAGGGAAAGAAGGAGTGCCTCTTGATTCCAAATTCACAGGTCGCAAGCGTAAACCAGTCTTCTAAGCTCTGCAGATATCATACTTTTGTTAAAATAGGTCGCTGCATCCATCCACAGCATTCTTCGGCCCGTGTCTGATGAAATGGCCTTGTAATGCCGCCATGCTGACTCGTTCGCCTTGATCCATCTTCTCCTGTATGATGGAACGCAAAGAATGACCGAGTTCATCGAGTTCATCGTTGCTCACTTCTCCCCGGTAGAACTGCTGGAACAGATGCATCGCTTGGTCGGGCGAGGCATTGTCCACGAAGGCCGAAAAGTCGACTCTACCTGGGCGGATGAGTGCTGGGTCCAGGTTCTCTACATGATTGGTTGTCATGAAAACGATTCGCTCCTCGCCAGATGCCACGCCATCAAGAGCATTCAGGAAACCGGAGAATGTTACTGACGACTGGTATCTGCGCACACCCATCAGTCTCGCTCTGTGTTTGGCGCGTGCACCAATGATAAACGCACCCGTCAGCAGTCGTCTGAACACGTTTGTTGAAGGCAGCGTCCACGTCTTCTATGAGCACAAAACTGCGCTCGGGGATGTTAGAAAGTAAATGGTTGAGTTTGTCATCAGCCAATCCGCGCTCGGAGAGGTTGAGTATGCAGATGTCATAGATAGAGAGCCCGCCAGGGCCTGGATAAACGATGTTTTCCCCGACCCGGGCGGCCCGTGTAATAGATATCCGCGACGATAAGGAATGCCTGCGAGTTAAATTAGATAGGCTCGGTGAACGAGTGCGAATTCCACCTCGATCGGCATACCACTTCCTTCGTTGCAAAAACGATTTGACGTCGCCCTCAATCCGATCGGCCAAACCGGCCTCTAGAACGACACTTTGGACAGGCCGTTTACGTCGAGGTTTTCCAAATGGTCGCCACTCAATCCCCCACGCCGTGTGGATCACTAGTTTGCCCTCTTGACCCTGCATCCCCAAGTCTCGCGCCTCAGCCAATAGTCGAGGGAACAATCTTCGATCTCTCGAGAGCGTGGTGAGTGTAACGGTCTCCCATGGTACAGAAACTCCAGGTTGTTGGCCACCCATCATCGATCGTGTTTCCCTTTGCCTTTTTACCTGAGGACGCCTCAGTTCTCGTCAGAGCAGTTGAGACGTGTAGAACCTGCATCCACGCCCCCTGGTACCGAAACCAATGGGTTCCTGGGCCAGCGACAAGTTGAAAGAACACTGACGAACTTCCGTTGGCACGGCGTTCAATCATCGTCTCGACACTCAATTCATGACTGCGCAACCACGCAGAAGATTTCTCCTGAACTGCGTTACTCCTGTGAGCCATCCAGCCCAGAAACCAGTCGTATGCACGATCCCGATTATTGAGTTCCAGGGATACAAGCATCCGTCGCCGAAGCATGGTTGCAGCCCAGATGGAGCCCGTTCTGGCCAGAGTCATCACAGCGCCAACCCCCTGGAATTAGATAGGAATGAGATCGAATGCGTCAAGGGCTACATCGTAACGCACCAAGAGACCGAAACCCGCCTGGAACAGAGGGCTACAGTCAGTCTGTACGAGAGTCAAGGGACTTCCACGATTGACTCACTTGTCTCCGGCCATTCCTATCAAGTCTAGTGTTCGGTTGCTTCCGGACGCGCCAACAGGCGCGTTTTTGACGCTCTCGACGACTTCAACCGACATGGCGGATGTCACCGAGTTGGATTTCCTTTCTTCCAGGAGCCGATCAAATTAGACGACGGCGATCAAGCATCAATGATATCGTCATTCTTTCAGACTTACTCTTTTGGCCCACAATTACAAGCACATTTGCCACACAGACCCTTCACCTCCGACCCAGACCTGGGAGATCTTGCAGTCCTTTCTTTGAACGATAAGACGCGTCGAGCTTGCATTTTTAACTCTGTGCATGAAGCAGTCCATCGTTGAAGCGTATCGGACCTTGGGTCTGGAGAATGCGCGTCTCCTTTGTTCAGGTCCCTCCTTCGTGCTCAAGTTCAGTCTAGGATGCTTCTCTGGATCTTATAAAGAGCACGTATAAACAGGTTTGCTAATTACTCATCCGTTTTGTGGTATGAAATACTTGGCATAGGTTGCCCTTCGAACCCATCCCGACAAGAATCCAGATGATCCGGATGCCACTGAGCAGTTTCAGAGGGTTTCGGAAAGTTACAACGTACTTTTGAAGCACCTGGATACTATTCGTCGCCCTACGCATGGATTCCAAGACTACGACTCTGAGTCTGACGAAGATTACTTGGACGAGTATGACGACTACGATTCCGATTTAGACTTGGGCGATCTCGATTTTTACATGCGAGCTCGGCTTCTCTGTCCTTCCTCGTCAAGCTAATATCATCTGTCAAAGGTTCCTGTACGAGGAGATGTTGAGAGGTCGTTCCAGCAAGTTTGCCGAAATGCGTGCGTGGTATGATCTGCTGGGTTCCTTTCAAGCTCATGTTTGCGTAGGATACCAACACAGATACGCCTTTCATCACTCATCTGAAGAGTATCAATCCCGTTCACGGCGTTCGAGGGAAGAGCAGGTCGAAGCCGAAGGACGCAGGAAGAAAGAGGCTGTTCTGCGTAAGGCGCAAGCTGAGGTGGATCGCGAAAATGGTCAATTGTCCAAGCATCTTATTCCTAATTTTCTCACCAACCCTTGGACAGAGCGTATCGAAGCTACCAAGCGTAAACAGAACAAGTCCAAAGTGAAGAGAAGCCAAGCAGAAGCCAAGCGAAATAAAGCTGAAGCGACTGCTCAGAGAGCACGACAGCAGGCTCAGGAAAGGCGCAGTGCGATTTTCGAAGCAGCGAGATCCGGTGATATGGAGAAGGTGAAGATCGGAATCTGGGAGCAGGGTGTCGATGCTACTGGAGGTGAATTTCAAGGCGGATGTCAGCCACATCCGGAACGGCAACCCGGCGACCCTCTTGAGACGCTTTCACACATCGTCGCTCGTAAGAGCGATAGGGAACTTGTTGAATGGCTGGATAGACACGGTGAGACCACTCTGCCGTGTTTGTGCGCTCTGATTAACGAGGCTTATCTCCAGGCGCGGACCCTGAAGAACGTGATTCCCAGGGAATGGCTGCTTTCCATGTAGCCCTGCAATCCGGTCACAAGAACATTGTTGACTATTTCTTCGAAACGTACGACCGGAAGGACGATGATTCTAACGCGATATACCATATGGCTGACCCTGAGTCTCTACTGTCGCTGGCCGTGACCACGGGGGAACCTGAGCTCGTGTGGATGATTCTCGAGAGGGACTTAGCAAGCCAAGAGCATATCAACAGCTCATGGTTATGGATTGCCTCTGCTCAAGGCCGTTCTGCTGTCAAGATCACCTGTAACGACGACGAGAAATTTGAGGATGTGATGAAACTCTTGATGCGCTTTGGAGGATTCACACCGCCTACATCACCTCGTTCAGACGACGACACAATGGACGATCGAGCCCATTCTATCCCCTCTACGGCTCAAGGTCAGGCGCGAGGCGAAGCTCGTGGAAGTGGTCGTGGAAGGGACAGAGGCCCGGGAAAGATCTGAAGTCTATTTGTATTGAATTTCTTGGAAACTTGCGCCGAGCGGCGCATTCACTTATCCTATCATCTATGTAGTATATCTCATTGTCTTCCATGTTCATACCTCACTGTACTTACATATATTACGCATACATCTATCCCCACATTCTTGTCACCATCGTCAAACATGGCCAAACACATTTCACCGACACGACACCTTCACACACGACTTCGCGCTCGGAAAGGTCCTTTTCAAACATGGGTCGTTTAGCGGAGATGCAGCGTAAGCTTCTGGAGGTACAGCGACTGCTAACGGGAATACACGTTCCAGTAACTAATCATTCGCCAGCAAATGATGGGCCCAGAGGCAATGGGTGTCGCCAATGCCAACTTGGTCTGGAGTGACGAGAAGGTTTGCCGCAATTTTCTTTGCGGTACCTGTCCCCACACGCTCTTCACAAACACTGTGCGCATCCTCACACACCCTTCATCAGTTCACCACGCTGAACCGTCTTGTTTTGCAGAAAATGGATCTTGGAGCGTGTCCCAAATCACACACTGAACGGCTGAAAACTGAGTTCAATGCGGCTAAAGAAGCCAACCCTTCAGACCCCATATTCTCTCGCTTTCAATTGGAATACGAGTCGAACATATTCTCATTCGTTGACGAGTGTGACCGCCGAATTCGTGCGGCGCATCGTAGACTGGAGAAGACCCCCGAGGAAAATGCGAAAACAACGAATTTGGTGTGTTCCATTCTCTGTGTGCGCTTCTGCTCGCTGATGTGTTGTTGTGTAGATGAGAGAAATTGGCGAAATTGAGTTGGCTATTCAGGGAGGGACAGAGAAGATCGAATCTCTCGGTGAGGCAGATCGTCATGATGAGATGGCCTCGTTTTGTTCTGATGTGACTCAGGCGAACAAGGCAAGGTCGAGGAGTCGATGAACGAAATGGCTGCGATCGAGGCATTGAAGACTGAAAAGTCTGAGAAGGAGGTGCCTAAGCCCCAGTTGCCCGTTAGACTGCATTTAACGATCCTTCCAGCGTGAATTGCAGCAATTGACGGACACCTCCGGCGCCTCTGGTCATCAAAAGCTTCGCGTCTGCGATGTCTGCGGCGCGTATCTCTCCGTTTTGGACTCGGATCGTCGACTGGCTGACCACTTCGGAGGCAAGGTGAAGTTGAGGTTCCAAATATGGAAAGATCTGGTCTAACAGAGCCCTCAGATGCATCTGGGTTATCACGAACTGCGTAACATGCTTGCCAAGTTTAGAGAAGAGCGGGAAAAAGCGAAGCAGGCAGCGCCCAGTTCCGCTCCAGCTGGCGCCCCGCCGTCTGGGCCGCCCCGAGACGCTCGGCCGTCAGAGCGGGACGATCACCGTGACCGGGACCGTGATCGGGACCGAGACCGAGATCGGTTTCATTCATCCTCGCGCTATGAGTGAGTGCATTACGCGTTTTGCGAGATCAACACATTGCTAACATGCGGACTGTCCTTCAGTGACCGTCGTCGAGACCGAGATCGCTCCCGAAGTCCAAGACGGCGGTACTGAATCTGATTGCCGAGTGTACTATTTCATGACGACTCATTTCATATGTTCTTGTCTGTCACCACCAACGATGTCATTTTGTTGGAAAGAGGACAGCCTCGCTGTCAACCGCCCTGTGCTGCATTGTTACCGCGAAGACGATCCTGAGTTTGCAGTGCAAATGAGTTGCAAAGGTCACAGTTGCTGCCCGGGGTGACAGCATGTGGATGGCATCCGATTAGAATACTTAGTTGGTGGCGGTCGCCAGGTCTAAGCTAAATCTTGCTGCATGTGACGCATTCGATCGTTCGCCTTCGTTATCACGAACTGTGACGCAGCCCGCAACTCTTCTGTCTTGCCACTCTCTCTCTACTTCTGTCTACCCCCAGTATTCTTCCTCTCGTCTCATTGGCTTCACCATCGTTATCCGTCTTTCTTCCCATCTCAGATTCACGCTTCCGTCGTGCGTCCCTCTTCGCTGAGCCGTCCAACGCCCTCGTTGTCGGCTCTAGTCTCCTCAACGTAATTGCTTCCCAGGTCACGCGTGCTGGTAGCGGATCTCAATAGATCTTGCTCTTAAAAGGCTTGAGGTCCCAGGCGGTCCCCAGTCCCATCTACCGGCGGAAACCTTGTGCAGGATGGAATCTACGAGTTACAATCCAATAAATTTGATGATGGATACGACACCCATGTCCCCCGACGCGCCCTCATTTATGACCGGTCCAGGCGAAGTCTCCCTCCCTGTTCTTGACCCTTTGACTCCGATATCGGATGCACCTATGTCCATGCCAATCCACGCATCATTATCCTATCTGCAGGCTCCAGCGCTCACCAAGTTCACCGAGTTCGCACCCCCGCAGTATTCGATGATGGAACAGGCTCCGGTTGACGTCCTGGCCTGCGCCATGCCGCCTGCGCCGCCCATCGTTCCATCTATGGTTCCTGCCATTGCATCACCGGCAGCCTATGGTATGAACACTGCGTCCTCTCTGGCGACTGCGCTTGACCCAGGAGCTATGATGCCCACAGTTCGCAGCCGTGCAAACACGCTCTCCTCTCTGCCGTCTTTCGTTCCCCCTTCCATGACACCAACCTTTGAGGCTCCGCCCAAGGATCACGTCGTGGGAAGCATGCTCAAAAGGTCAGGCGCGCTGTTCTCTCGCCACACAGGCGACACTAACACTCCTTTACAGCATTGCGGGTGTCATCAACAGCGCAGGAGACGCATGTCATCAGCACCAGACAGCACACCCATTGACCCCAGGGGACGAACACAAAACGCGACAAGTGATTGCCCAGATTAACGATCTCATTCATGGCATGGGTTTGCCGACGTCGCAAGAGCAGTCCCGAAAGCGTCAGGCACCGGAGAGCGCTCCCAGCGAGCAACCGCTGAAGAAGATCCTCAAGCCTGAGCCCGAGGATGTCCCGCTGCCCCCTGTTCTGCCGACGCCTGCTCCATTCTTGCGTACACAGGTGCTGTCCCGCTCGCAGCCGCCGTCCCGACCGCACAGCCCCCCGAACGTCAAGCCTGCAGTGTCCAATTTTCGACCCTCACTACCTGCGGCCTTCCCTGCATTCGGTCATGAGACGGCACCCCGCTTCGGACACACGTTCAGACACAGACACTCGCAGTCGATGGGTTCCATTCCTCGCGAGGCACATGGGTTCCATTCGACACCGACTCCTGCTGGGCGGATGACTCGGACCGGACACTATATGCCCGAGTATGGTTGGCCGCCGAATCTTGTCTCGCCAAAATCAGCCCCGCCGCTGACGACTTTACCGACTTTGGCCAAGTTCTCTTATCCGGCACCGGCTGAATCCGTTTCTCCGACTGCGATCGCTGAAAAGATCTTTGAAGAAGATGAGGAGGAAAATGATGGCGATCTGGATGATAATGACACAGCGAGTCCTTCAGGAAGCTCGATTCTGCCTGCGGTGAGACTGGACGGTCGGTCTGTTCCCGTGAAGATGCTGATGCTGATGCATACGTAGCATTCCACGACGGGTTCTTCGGACATCCCAGCGGAATACCGCAGTGACGTGGAAAGGCTGTTTCTGCAATATCTCAATCGTGTCTGTTCTGATCGTGCGTTCTGGCTGTAGCCTCGCTTGGCATGTGGCTGATGTCGTCCTAGTGGAGGCTACTGACAGCAAGGGCGATCTGATCCATCAACCCTTGATGCCCAAGAAAATGCAAAAGCTGGACGAATCCACCGATTTCCGGCCCTTCAAATTTCGCATTCAAGCATTCACGACAGGATTCTTGGACGAGGTCAGTTTTTTCCGTATACCGGCGAGCTTGGCTGACGTGAAAGAAGCTCGCGGAGAATGGATTTCCGGAAGAGAAGATTCCGATGAAACGCATCCGGGGCTATCTTTGGCGTCAGCCGTTCATTCTGCGCTACAACGAAGAGGGGAAAAAGGCCAAGTCCAAGGTGCGTCCTGGATCTCCCGATCTTTGCCTCCCGATCTCGGTCGTCCGGTTTTGGACTTGTCTGTGTTATGTCTACTCACTTTGCCTCAGGGCAACCACGTCTGGAATATCGAAGCCAAGAAGCTAGGAGATGGACAATGGGATTTCCGACCATTCCATCGCAAGATCACGGGTGACGCTCAGAGCATCGCCTACTGCGGACTATTGTGGTCATGGCAGCCCCGGATCTCAGACCCGCATGCGTGTTGGAAAAACGTGCCTGTGCAATACAGTTCGCCATCCCTTCCACCGTGGCTTTCCTGGAAGGACGATGTGCTTTCCGGCACTCCGCCGGCCAATGCCGAGAGCTGTGAGGTCATCACGCACGCCAAGGTACGTCCGCGCCGCACCATCCGCTTTCAACGCTCAGCGGTCATGACAGTACACCCTGGACGGACAAGAGGGTGTGTTGTCTCGGACGTTCCTCTTGACGATCGCGCCACTAGTTTCTACGGAGAATTCGTTTGTTCCGCAGCGTCCGATGCTCACCCCGAGGACCGTCAGCGACTCGGCGGTTCCTACCTGGTGTGTTTGCCTGCGTTTGCATGAGCGCGTGTTCTGAATGACCGGCTCGTTACAGGACCTGCGCCACGCCTCGAACGGTCCCGCTTGTGACTGATGGGGAAGACGGCGCTCGAGTGAAAATGGTGCTCGAGCATGTGGCCCAGCGACTGACGTTTGAGACACAACTTCCCGGCCAGTCCAGCATCCAGGACCGGCTTGCAGAGCAGACGGTCAACGCATGCTTAGACGACTACGAGTACTCGAGCGAGGAGCCGCAAAAGACGCACGAACTTGCCGTGGCCGGGCAAAACGTGGTCGCCCAGGCCGCCGAGTACATCGTGCGGAACAAGCCTGAGGCTGTGCTGAACACGGCGTCCGCGGTGCAGAACAATGTGTCTGCGGTGCAGAATGTGACGACGGAAGAGTTGGTCACGACCACCCAGCAGGCCATCGCGGAAGCTGTGAAAAGCACACACAACCCGTACAACGTTGACGAGCTGTCGATTCTGCTGCTTGCTTGCCGCATGCTGGATCCGTCGCCACCGGTGGTGGAATACTACCACCAGTACGACCTGGCCATGCCCACTCAGGGCCCCGAGTGGTATAGCAGGCCTGCCGCGGCTTACGTGTAAATCTCTCTCTCTTTGGGACTGTTTGTCAAGGGACTGTGTTTCTTCCTGGGACTGTAGGGTAGAATCAATGTATTCATCGTACCGCGCCAAGCGATTGTATCTGTAACATGTATACTATCAATTATGATGCGTTAAACACCGTATTCTCACACATCTCGCATTGGCTCAGATCGACTCGGTTCGAGTAGGTGCAGGTGGCACAGATCTTGCCGGTCTCGGGTTCTGCTTGCGACGGACTGGGCGCTCTCGCCGGACTGCTCGCTCTCAGCGGACTCGACCTCCCGAGGATGGTTCCCCCGAATCCACCGCCCTCCTCTCTCCGCCTCTTCCGTTTTGGAGCCTCGTCAGAATCCGAGATCTCGTGCACCTCGGTCTCTTGTTCCAATTCGAGCACCGCATGCGCCGACACCCGCAGAGATTCCAGTGTGGCGGTGTTGTCGTCCAGCTCGCGCTTGCCGAGGAACAGGCGCTGGCATATCGTTGGGATTTTGAGCTCGTGTTGCAGCTTAACAACGAGTTGAGACGATCTGCATCGTTGCACAAGGTGGAGCGCACTGACCTGTACTTTGATTTCTTTGACGGTAGTCGACTTGGTGACGGTCAGTTTCTGACGCACACCCCTGTCTTTCGCTCGGAGCCGCCTGGATTGTCGCGTCCCGGTTGACTGATTGTGCTCCACGTCGGGATCTTTCCCTCGGCGCACCGTGATCTCAGTCGACGTCCAATTAGTTAACCTAGGTACTGTGGTCAGAGACTCGCAGACGACAGACCCCCGGTGCGGATCGGTACCTTCGCTCGCGACAATCTGCGCAGATGGGAATGAGAGACTCCCAATCCCTCCCGTCGGTTGTGTCTACCCCTATCAGCGGGCCGCCGAGATATCGCTCGTGAAAATCGGTCCACTCCGACCGCATAATCAAGACCAGCGAGCCGTCGATGTCGGTCCTGCAGTTCGGGTCGATGGCAAGCATGTCGTGCTCGCAGAAGAACGCGCTGTTGTCGATCCGGTCTGGTCGCAGGCACTTTGTCGGTCGGTTGATCCACTGGCGCCACGAGCGGAGAAAACCTTCTGGGATGTAGGCGCACCGGGAATACTGGACATCAATGACGTCGTCGTCGTACACCCGCTTGAGCAGCTCCTGGATGGGATGATGAGTCAGGCAGGGCCGTGGTCAGAAGCCTCGACAAACCTTCTCAGCATCAGCTAAGCGACGGATTTGGACCTGGTCTTCGACTGCCATGTTCTCCAGCCCTTCACACACGGCGCAGATCTCCATCTCAGAGCTCATGGCCTGCAGTGATGGATAGAGTTTCTGCAGTAGCTCGAATGCCGAAGACGATATCAGCTGTCGATTCGTGCTGTCCTTGCACAAGCCTCCATGTTCGCAGCGAACGTGACTTGCGTATTCTGAAGAATCAGGAGCGGGATCGCCCGCCTCCGTGTGCATCTTCGGATGAAGCGTCCTCCAGTCTTTGATCCAGGCTTTCGAGGTCCAGAATCCACGTGATCCTGGAACGAACTTGCATGTCTGGTCGAATGCGAGAATATTGGCCCGGTGAGTTGCGGTATAGAGGTGATCTAGGAGTAATCATTCGTCTCGGGTTAGAATTATGGAATGAACTGCAGACCTCGAAAGGTTTCTTCCACGCAGGTCCGGCAAATATCGTCCACCCTTTCGATTGCGCACTTGGTCTCATCCAGGATCCTCTCGAAAGCCGTGAGCGAAATCCGCTTCATGTTCTCCGCTTTCTTGTGATCGAGCAGCTGATGAGTACACAGCACATCCGCGATCGATATCGTCTCAGGCTCAGAGCCGACCGCTGCTTTGATAGCAGCCTTCTCAAGCCAACTTTCCAGAGCCTGCTGACTGACAAGAACCCAGGGCTGAGTGAAATAAGTCTGCTGGATGAGGAAAGAGTGCGCAGATGCCTACCTTGTCAGCAGCACCATCGACTGTCCACATCCGGTAAATATCCCGCACTTGGCGTCGAGTTTCTCGGAACCGCGACCTCAGCTCGGTTTCCTTCTGGGAGAACGCCGCGCATTTAGCTTCATGCGTCCTGTTCATTTGCTCGACCACATCAAGCGCGGCCTCTGGGGGACTGGGCTGTTCTGATAGGGAGGTATTGAGAATGGAAGTAGCCTCGCGTGACGACGCACTGACCTTGTGAGGTACATAGCTCTTTACGGGCATATATTAACATATATGCATCCTTGGATGAAATTCGACTGGCGGAGATAAGTGAGCGCATCTGGTGAACCATGCGGCTGACCGACCTTTCTGCTTCTGACCTTGCAGCAAGATGAGCAGTCTGTACTATTATGTCAAGGATAAAACGTACTCTTCGTCACTATCATCTATCCTCCTTCGCTTTCTCACTCTCGATCTGGCGAATAGTCAGTGGATGGCAAAGTGAGCCTGGGATCGCCGCACGTTGCCGCAGGTTTCTTGTCGCCCTCCTCGGCTTCAAGATCAATCACAACAGTTTTGGTCGCCTTGCCCAGGTTGGCGATTTTGGTCACATCTTCGTCGTTGAATTGAAACCAAGACTTGGTGCTGATGAACATCAGAATCAGCCGCAGATCCCCCAAGAGTAAATCATTCAATACGCACTGTTCGTCGAAAACCTGAGCCTCGTAATGCCCATGATACGCCGACTTGCCCTTGTGCAGCAAAACTCCGCGCAGCTCGTACATCGCCTGCTGCGGCTTGAACCCTCCGTGTATAAAACGGGACATGTCCAGGTTCGTGGGAAACTGGATCGTGTTCTTCGATTTCCGACGTTCCTCGCTCGAAACGTCGTACTGGAACCGAAGCAGAGAGAAGTGGAGAACGGGCGGGAGCTGACGGAGCTCGACCCTCCGGATCGCGTCCTGGAGGCTGTCGCATTTGGAACAATGGTATCTGCAAATCGATGAGATGTAGTACGATTGACCCTGATGACACTCGCGCACTTATTATCGTCCGTCAGGGACTCTTCTCGGAGAAGATCTGCGATGCTATCCTCCAGTTTCGCATTGTTCTATGAAATGGAATCCCTGCAGTCAAAGATAGAGCGAATCCGTACCTTGAAGTTGATCTCCAGCTCGAGAAAGTCCGACTCTCGGGCGGAGATGGTTTGGCAGTTGGAACAAACCGTGGAATAAGCCTGAGTTCCTTGGAACTAAGCGCGGGTCAGTGCCTGCAAAACATTCCATCCAATGGCACACATACACACCTGATCGGTCAGCAGAGATTGTAGAGCCGGATCAGACTGTTTCTTGAACTCGGCGTCGAGGTGTGACATGAACAGTTTCGAAAACCTAACCTAGTCAGTCAGCGATAGCAGACTAAGAGGAGCCGAACGAACTCTTGTGCATCCTGCTGTTCGGTTGTTACAAGCTGCAGGCTCTCAACGAGGCTCGTTGGGTTGAAACAGCTCTGCGTACTTGCTTGCAGGGCCGCAAAAGTAACTTGCAGTTGGAATATGGGCGATGTCTGCGGAGAAGTATGCGACGATGTCGTACTCGACCACCCAGATCATCGCACCTTGAACTTGTCGTCTACCGACAGACAGGCGTAGACACCTCGGCGAAACGTGCTGTCTCGGAACCAAACCTACAGGTTTGTTAGACACGTTCCAGAACCCGACAGTGGGAGGATAGTTACTTGTAGAGAGGCATTCGCATAGCATGTGGCGCCAAGATTCTATTACGAGCATTCGTTGGTTCTCGACGCATGACATAGCGAGAGAGGAAGTAAACCTTCAGTCCCACAGGAACAGCTTTCTTGCGTTGATTGTCGGAAGGATCCTCCCCGAGCGCCGCCACTTTCATGAACAGCTCCTCGGCATCATCTGAGACAGAGTCAATTTCTGTCCCGCCTGCGGATGGATAGATGGATGTTCAGAGTGTTCTGACCTTCATCCTCCCAGAGTCTTTGACCCAGGTAGTTGAGACAGTTGGGATTGGATTTGCATTTCTTCTTCGTACATGGATAGACCTCGTCGTCTTCGTCAGATACGAGCACTATCACATCATCCGCCTTCCCGCTCTCAGGAGGAGCGGCTTTCGCAGGCGGTGTTCTCTCCGACTGCGCTCGGTTTCGTCCCCGTTTAACAAAGGAGTTCCGGCAGAATGGATACCGGTTCCGCACAGAAGAGAGTCCGCAAGTCGCAAGAAGATGCTCCGGAGTGATCGCGGACGTGTCGTGGACTTCAGTCCCCACCCAGCCCCAGAAAGACGACTTGTGAGCGTCGGTCGGAGTGCGGCGTGGCGCAGCCGGAGTGTCTGACCCGTCTCGCTTTCGCTTGACCATGGTACGAGGTGCTTCTGCACCAGAAGACGCGTAAAGAGGCGCGTTGTAGCGGTGAACGAGACAAGTGAAACGCCGACTGCTGTTTGGTCGATCATTTGGTGGTACACAGCACTTGATCTCTCTCTGCCGCCACCGTCTATGGACCGCATACGCGCCCGCCTGCGCGCGTTGTTGAATCCTGGAGATGACCGAAGCTTGGCTCTGGTGCGACGACGGAGGCTATGGTGTCCGCGTTGACGAGTCGGATACATCTCATTAGGTCTGTTTCGTAGCCATCAGTTATCCAGCACAGAAGGCACTGACTGTCCCAGGCTTGCGCTGTTCGTCGCAGGATACCTATGGATGCTCGTGCTTCCATCTCCACGACTAGGCCGATATACATACATAGACGAAAATGCCCTCCAACCCAATTCCGTTCGTCCACACGTTCGTCCATAGTCTGCGCTCATACCAAGGTCAGGTCAACACACACTGGAACTGGGGCGATGTTGCAACTGCAGATCGCTATTTGGAGCAGCTTGAACGGTTGAGGGATGGCAATGCGACGAGTGAGCAGTGAGACTCAAATACTGTCGCTAAGAGTCAGACTGACCAGCACGAAGACGCGCCGCCTTCCTCAGGGATGAGTTCATCAAGCTCGGCATTCCTGCATCTACACAGAACTACGCGTTTCACAGTCACTCTGGGGTGTGTATGGTGCATGCAAGTCGGGCTCCTGAAGTCTCAAGAGTGCTCTTAGGTCGTGAACGGAACCAATGCCTACGCAGTCCTGTCCGCCCCTCGTACATCGGGGACCGAAGCTATGGTCGTCAGCGCATCTTGGATCAGTCGTGTAGGAGAGGAGACAGGGACATTGAATCTTCGTGGCGTGGCTACTGTCCTGGCCCTGGCTCATTTCTTGAAGCGTGCGTCTGTGTCTCACTTCCGTGACGGCAGGGCTCATCCAATGGTGTGCAGAATACTCTCTATGGGCCAAAGACTTTGTCTTCATCATTAACGACGGATATCTTGACGGGATGCAGGCTTGGTTGAATGCATACCATGGATCGAGCCAGTCAAGTGCGCCGTCTCATCTGAAAGCACCCATCCTCCTGTCTCATTCGCGATAGATCTCCAATCAGACAATCTCGAACTGACGTCCGGTGTCATCTGGACTGCGCTCAACATCGACTACCCTGGTCATTCATTCTCTCACTTGGGAATTTTCCACGGTGAGACCGTTATCTTGCGCTGAGAGCTTCGTTTCTCATCTGGCAAGTAGAAGGGATCAACGGACGTCTGCCAAACCAAGATCTGCTGAACTCATTCCAGCAAATAGCCCGGTGGACCGGCGGGGTGCCCGTTGTTGTGTACGACCAAGTCGACACACCGGTGAGCTTCCCGGCTGGGTCCCGCAAGCGATACAGGGTGAACTTGGCACGTATCTGCAGAGAGCCAAGACAGTGGGCAGGCACATCGTCCACCAAGCAAATGGCCGGGGCAGCGGTGTCCACGGGCTCTTCCATCAGTATGTTATCTTGACAAAATCGCAGGCGTCAATCTCACATCCCAGATTCCGAATCGATGCCTTGACCATCTTTGGAGTGCCGGCGCAAGGTCCGCATGGGTTTCATGCTATCGGGAGGTCAGCGCATGTCTCATTCGTTGATCATTAACCGAAGCTTGACGTGTCACAGAGTCCTGGAGTCCACGCTGCGCACGACGAACAACTTGCTCGAGCGCTTGCATGCATCGTTCTTCTTCTACATTCTCACCACTTCGGACTGGTTCCTCAAGATCGGCAGCTTCCTCCGAGTGCCGTGTTGATCAGTGTCTCGATGATGTTTGGCGGTCTGAAAATCTGGTCTGATGCTGGGTGGATCCGTGATCGAGGAGACGAGAAAAGCGACCCTCAATGGCTGGAACGAAGCCGACCGGTCTTGCCTGTGTTGGCAATTATGCTCTGCACCCACCTTCTAGGAGCCGGGCTCTCTTCTTGGGTGTAACCAACATTGAGTACAAAGTGCTTTCCTCTCATTTCTTTGTTGGCCTTCCAGCTGAATCAACTTGTTAGCCGGTCCTATTCGCTGTCTTCTCCGCGATTCCTCTCTTGGCACTGACTATGGACACACGGAAAGAGGGGGATGATACGGCGTCTGTGTCCTCGATACTCAAAGCGCTCAATTTGTGTTTTGCGTCGACTGTGATCTCCATTACAACGGTCGTCAATTTCTCCCTTGCGATGTCGCTTGCTATCTTACTGGGCGTCCCGTTGTCTCTCTCATCCCCCACTCGATCAGTGCCTACAAAGCTACTCCGCTTTGCGCCATATACTGTGCTCGGACTGGGATGGTTGTTCGCCCGCCACGAAGTAGCCAAAACGGTGTGGGCGTGGGATGTGCTGGGTGTATGGTTACTGCCGTTTGCGTGTATTGTATATACCCCGTTGGTGCTTCAGGCAGGACTTGTGTGTCTGTTGCCCTCGTGAGATGGAAATCCAAACTATTTTACAAGTACTAGGACATCTCCGTGTCTGAGCCAAAGAGATCGTCTCCGACCTCTTCGGCTTCAGAATTGATATTGACTTGGGGTGTGCTGTCTTCCACGATCCCTGCGTCCTCAAGTCGTTTTCGTTCGCGCAGCTCGTCTCGCTGGGCCAGTTTCATCTCCAGGTCAGCAGTCAATTTCTTGAGCGCATCTTCGAAACGTTTCTGTCCGGGTCTGGTAAGTAACGGTAGACGGTATCTTGGTGAAAGCCATGCCTTGATTAAAGGATTAGCAGAGTTGGCTATCTCGTTGCCCTTCTTAGCAACTGCAGCCTCCAGGTCACGGATTTCCTCGTTGAGCAACTTCCTCGCTTGGCTGTCTTCCTCGTCATCATCTTCGTCGTCGTCCTCGTCGCTATCGTCATCGTCATCATCTTCGTCGTCCGCTTCCTCGTCTCCGAGAGCAAGATCCAGCTCAGCGGCCAGCTCTTCATCGATGTCTCCCTCGGGTTCATCCGATTCATCGTCATCTTCGTCGTCCTCGTCTGCGTCTCCGCCCATCGCTACATCCCCGCCGTCTGATATAGCTGGTGTGGGAACATCGATTGGCTCGTCCCGTTCTATGAATTCGGAGTCTGATAAGTCTGGATTGACGTTTCAAGGATATCTGCACCAATTGAGAACATGGAATAACTAGCAGGGACGCCCGCACCATATTTGACTTCCGTGGCCAGAGAATCATCGTCCAACAGACGTTCCACAGCCTGTTCTACACTCTCGATAGTCTACACACTGTTAGAAGGTCGACGTAAATGTTCCTGAATAACGCACTCTGCGATTGACCCGCTTCCTGAACCTGCGTTTCCGTACATGGTGTAATGGTGGCGTCAGGCCATGTGGCCAGATGAAATCCTCAATGTTGAACGACTTCTGCTGTAGCGGTTCGTCTGTGTCAATGAGGGTCTCGACTACCAGCATCTGAGATATAGTCAGAGACGATTGGTTAGTTCGCCCGTGAACCTTGAGACCTGACATATATCCGCCACTTTAAACATCTGTTTGTTATCCAGTGTCTTCTGAGATTCAATGATGCAGGGAAGATCGACAAGTTTGGCAGAATATGTGTTGCTCCCAATCTTGAAGGTGGCGCGCCGGGAATCTAAGTTCCATAAGTTCGTCGTGCCAAGGCGGAGAATACACCACGCACCTTTGAATTTGAACCACAAGTCATTCCTTACCTCTCTCGATGCGATGATCTTCCTCAACTTCTCACAATCCTCGCCCGGCGGCATGCGCAAGATGAAGTGTTCCTCAAAAGAGAGGTCTTCGTCGTCGGAATCCAACTCTCGGTCGTACTGGCCGAGGAAGCTCATTCCCGGCGCTTGTGCCGCCGCTTTGTCACTGAGCTTCAGTTTCAGCTTCGGCTGGGGTTTGGACTTGGCTGCCGCTGCAGAGCGGGTTGTGCGTTCGGAGTTGTCTTGCGTGACATTCAGAGGCCGACTTGCGCTACGCAGACGAACAGATGCAGCAGGAGAGGGAGCATCAACTGCAGACGAGCCCCAGCCATAGGAGACGCCATGTTTTGGATATCTTCCATCATATCATCTGCAGACATTGTGTGCGTGGGGGAGAGGTATGTGGTCACGCAGCCGTCAAGCTCACGATGTGTGACGGGTCGCGTCACCGGTACTTTGAACCCCGTGATCGGATCAATCCTCGCCTGATCGTCTGCTACACCCCAGTTGAAGTGGTCATTATGCATCCGTTGAATCGTAAGGTACTTTATTTAATTGGGAATCTCGCGCAGTGGGATGCCCTGCGTCATAATAAACAACGCCACACTGCCAACCGCCATTGAAATCCATCCCCAGGTCAAGCGTTCCTGGAGAATATCCTCTGGGCTCTGTGGGGGAGTGGCCCTCCAAAGTGGTCTTGGCAGCAAAGAGACGAGTGATTGTCTAATACTGGAAGCCTTGACAGGAGGGGGAGGAGATGCTTGAGACAATTCTAGTAGTCTCTCTGCGTGTGCCACTAGAGACGGATAGGATGTTCGCAACAAATCGGAGATCACGGGTTCAGGAAATGGCGGTTTGAGCAGAATGAGAATATAGGCCGCAAATTGCACATCCAAAAGGGTGAGCCTAGCTAGAAGTCAAGCGGAATTACAGCGCAAGGGGACTGGACGAACCGATTGCGGATGAAGTACTCATTGTATGCATTGGTGCCCAGCAGACGCGCATATGTATCGAGACAATCTTTGGCCATTTGTGTGGCCTAGAAATGCATGTCGGAACATAGACCTGGGAAAACAGAGAGTAGAAGCCGACCTTGTCGCGTTGGATTGTCTGCGCGAATTTTTCGGCCAACGCTTCCTTGGGCAAGCCGATGCTACGCATAGGAGACGACGATGCTTCGGCAGATTGCTCGCTCCATAAACCAGCAGCTTCAAGCCTGGGACGCGTCATGTTGCGCATGCGGATAGGTACATAGTAGCGCTGGGGCACAGGTAACGTGGAGGCGAGTGTCCGGTGCGTGAGTTGCGTCCAGTTTGACGTAGCTGAGTATAAAACATATGCCTGCATCCGGCGCGAAGAATGAGTCGCACGATATAGAGGACACAGGCCGACGCACGACTAGTGTTCCCAAATTTGACTCCACATGTGAGCACCACGCAATCTTCTTAGAGTTTTCGATCGCACTCAGCCCTGCATCAACGTCCACTGCCTTGAAGTTGCCGCCCTCCAGGAGTGTCAGGTAGTTGATGATAGAAGGCAGAGAAGAGATATAGGTATTCTCATGAGAGAGGTAGGGCAGCGAGCCCGAGGGAGAGAGATCCGGGTTCGTGCAGTATTCAATGGCAAACTTTCCCGGAATAGTCAACTGCAAAAGCAGGGCGGCGGCGAGACAGGACGGGTCAGAGGAGATTAGACCGAAATGGGCCGGCCATATGTGGAGGACGGGTTGACTCATTCAACAGAACGAAAACGACTTTCAAGCGTTGTGAATGTTGCTGCCGTGTCCCGACGCATTTGATCTTAGTGATGGCCAGGTGACAAGCTTAGAAGCAGTGATGTAATACGCGACGAGTCTTCTTCGAATCCACCATATCCACATTCCGTCCCCTACCCATCTCTCGTCCCCGTCCCAGGTCTCAATCAAAGATAGCCAGAACGAGGCTACTCCCCATCATTCTCTCTCAAGACGAGGCACTGAGCGACGAAGATGAAACACCTCTCCATTAAAGATGCCATACTGCCTCAACCGCCTTCATTCTACAAGAAGAAGCATTACGAGGTTCACGAGGTCCTTGGGAACGGTACATTCGGGAAAGTAGTCGTGCGTCTTAGTGTCCACTCCACCTACCACGCGATCTCATCCGCGCCGCGTGACGCGTAGCACGCGACCTGGCATGTCCCCCTCGAGCAAGCTGCAATCGCAGAGGGTGGTGCTGCACTTACGGATGAATCGCTGGACTTATCAAGGAGTCGCTCATTCACTGGCAAGATTACCGCTTCGCGATCGCCATCTCCTTTGGCGACCCCGAGCGATATCAAGAAGGAAGTCGCGCTCAAGTTGATTCCGAAGAAGAAGGTCAAGGGCAATGAGGAAAGCGTCTGGGGAGAAATGGAGGTATTGAAAGGACTGAATCATCCCAATGTCGTGAGTGGAGCTCCCTTCTTTCGATGCATTCCATGGACATTGCTCCAGGTCAAATTCTACGAGTGGTTCGAATCGAGAACGAAGTATTATCTATCCTTCGAGTTGGCTGTGGGCGGAGAACTCTTCTACCGCATTCAAGAGAAAGGGAAATTTACGGAAAAGGATGCCGTATCTGTGGTCACGTATGTTCCGATTCCCGTTCGTCGCCTAACAAGCTCATCGCCTGTTATTCAGATCCATCTTGTCCGGTGTGCAGTACCTGCACTCGCACGACATCGTCCACCGAGATCTCAAGTACGCTCTATCGGCTCCTGGTTCCTTGATAGACAGCTCATATTGGGGCGCAGACCTGAGAACATTCTCTATCGCACTAAGGAACCTGACAGTGACATCGTGATTGCGGACTTCGGAATGTTCGTTCTCGATTGTGTTGAATCGCATTGTCTGATCGGTCCGATATCTCCAGTGCTAAACACCTACATGCTGAGGATGAGCAATTGACCTCACTGGCCGGAAGTCCAGGATACGTCGCTCCGGAAGTACTGAAGAAGACCGGACATGGTAAGGCGGTCGACATCTGGGGAGCTGGGTGAGTCAATGTGCCGGTCGTTCAGCTTCCCTTGACTTGCTGCAGTGTTATCACCTACGTCCTTTTATGTGGCTACTCGCCTTTCCGTGGCGAGGATCCCAACACTCTCATGAAGGAAACGATGGAAGGACGAATCGAGTTTCATGCCAAATATTGGAAGAAAATATCTGAGGAAGGTGCGTCAGAGACATTGTGAATCGACGCTCAAGCTCAGCTCCTTGTCAGCTAAAGCATTTGTTCGTCGTTTGCTGATTGTTGATCCTGGTGCCCGACCGACGGCAGCAGAGGCCCTGGAGGATCCTGTGCGTGGCTTTGGTTACCATTCAGCGTAGTCTCATATTGGACTGCCGTAGTGGCTGACGACCCACGACGCATCGACTGAACACGATCTTGCAGCTGGTCTGCGGGAGAACTTCGATGCACGTGCTCGGTGGCGAACTGCGATCGGGGGTGTTCGGGCATTGGGGCGGCTGAAGCGCGGCGGCTCTTCCGCCAGCAGTAGCGTCACCACAGGGGGGTGGGCAGGAATCAGCGATGACGACGAAGATGAGCATGAGGACGGACAAGACCAGACACTGCGCTCTGGGGAACCTGGCAAGAACGCCAATGTCCAGGTCACACCAGCACCTACAGATGGTCACCCGGAACCATCACCCGGGTAGAAACGAAGGAATCGGAATCCAACCTTCGCGAGACTGCCGTCGAGACGAAGAAGGCTCCTGGCGGCGACGATGAACTTCAGATGCCGGGATCCTTTGACCTTTCCGGCCCAGTCACCACCGGTGGCAGCTGGGCAGAAGCTTTGAGAAAGCTGGTGTTGTCGCCACCTGCTGCCCCGAGTTGAAGATGTGACTGGCCGCTATGTATCTGTATTATATGTAACTTCAGTTATTAGTTGACATCTGGGATGTCGTGATCGCGTGATAGCCGCCGCGCTCAACTTCAAGTTCAAAGAGCGCATTGTTCTTAATTCCCATAATAGGCTCATATTAAACAACCCAACTGCTTTCCTCCTTTCCTCAAAGCGACCGCGAAGACAACAACCCGCATCCTGCACGAACGCACGCGGAGAAAAGCTTGGAAAACGCCCTGGGAAAACAGCTGATGGTACAGATAGGAGGTAAGTAATAAAGTTTACGCCGCAGATCTCCTTCAAGTTCATTCCTCTTCCTCGACGCGTTCGAATCCAGATAGCGACGAACCACTGGGGATCGGAGCTCCGTGACTCGCTGTTCTTCGTGCTTGCGGTTGCCCAGGTCGGCGAGTCTAGAACATGCAGTTTGGTCAGATTTCCCGCCGGTTTCATTCGTGAATGAGATAATCACCGCAGACAACGTTGGCTTCAGCTTTTTCTTCGGTGGATCGGGTGGACTAAGACTCGGCGCAGGTGTTATGAGCGAGGGACGCCTCTGCGATTCCCCCGGCTTCAAGGTCGCTGCAGACGGAGCGCTCGAGACTCGTCGCATGGGCCCGCGCGCCTTTGCTGCTCGTGCCGGTGACACGGCGGGTGTAATTGCCGGCGTCGCCTCCGGTGCTTCTGTCATGATGCCCTGCGCCTCCAACCAGTCGGCAGTGCGATAGCGGAACACGAACGAGACGTAGGTGGGATATTTGTTGGAGCCGTTGTGTGCATCCGCTGCGTGAGGCTTGGTGACCCATGTCGTCCCGTACTGTTGGAATGTTTCTTGCTCGTCTCCGAATCTAGTTCTCCATGAGCCAAGCGCAGACTGGACAAACCAGCCAACTAACGCACCCAACGCACAGTTCTCCCGCCTTTCTTTTACCCAGCACAGTCGGCGGCAGCGATTGAATCGGGTTAGCAGGCTGCTGGGCGAACACCCGGTCGACCCGCTTGATGCGCACGACGATCATCCCGGCATCTTTGTTGTTTGGTTGGTCGGCACCAGTGTCTAGGTTCGCGCGCGTTGAGTCATTGAACCGCGCGGCAGACGACGATCTACGCACCTTGTGCGATTGTGCTGAAAGTGAAAGGCCTTTCCGACGCCGGTCCAGACCGCACTCCGCCTCTCGAGGCCTCGCCTTGTCCAAACAGGAACCGTCCGGGGACAACCAATCCGTCGAGGGTGACTTGATTTGCCTTGTAAGAATCGGCTGGCTAGGGAGTCAAGGGGGGAGCACGAACTGAAGGCGCAGCTGTCCACCTTCCCACCATGGTCCTTCCAATGCACCGTGAACTTCTGCCCAGGGAACAGCCCTGCGTGAGTTGAGCGTAGCAGAGATCGTGCGACGCACCTGTCCAGAATCCCCCGCAATCCAGCACGACACTTTTGAGTTGACTATATCCGTGGCTTCCAGGAACTGGTGTGCCGGCTCTCCGTCCACCTCGATCCAGGCAGAAAACCCACGCAGCGTGAGGGGCATTCTCAGTAATAAATGAGTTCGATGGATGGCCTGGACGAAATATGAGATAAGAAGCCAAGGAACGGTCCAGGGGCGGAAGAAGTGAAAGGTTAACACGAGGCTCAAGGGTAAATTCTGTAGGTCCTTGTTACAACAATGTTCAAGGCACGTGACTTGCGCGTGATGTCGCCTCTAATCTTTGGCCTCCGCCAACTCGCACGCACCGTACACTGGCCCAGAGGGACGATGCCACCAAGACGCGCAGCGGCCAGCAGCAGTAGCAGAAGCAAAAGAAGGCGGAAGAATCGGCTGACTCGGCTGACGAATCGCTCAAAACATCGAAGAAAGCAAGGGTAGCCGAAGCCGTTCCGTCTGCCTCGGCCGGAAGCTCTCAGCCGACGAACAAAGTAGTGCCTGACACCATCGTCTTCCCAGGTATGTGAGCGTGGCAGGGTGGGACATCTCATGAACCACGCGTACGGTGATGGCAGAACGCATCCCGGGCACTCTTAGACTGGCGACATGGAACGTATGTGGACTGGCAGCGAGTCGGAAGAAGGGGTTCCAGAGATACATCGACGCGGAGGACCCGGATGTCTTGGTGCTCACGGAGACGAAGGTGCGGCGGCCCCTGCTCGCAGCGCGCGCTGGGCATTGTGTGACATCCGACAGGTCAATGACGAACCGAGCATGGATCTAGCGCTCAAAGCGCGTTTCCCTTATTGGCATTGGTCTATCTCTGCCAAGAAAACCTACTGTGAGCCATTGCAGACGCGTGCGACGCGTTTTAATCCCCTTCATGCTACATAGCTGGGACCGCGATTTTGTCCAAGCACAAGCCTCTGAGCGTGACTTCCACGCTGCCGGGGCACCCCGACCCCACCCTTGTCAAGGGAAGGATCGTGACGATGGAGTTTGAGAACTGTTTCGTGGTCGGCACGTATACGGTGAACGCAGGTTCTGATTTGAAGGCGCGTGTGTCCCGCTAAGGATTGGTCGGTTCTCTCCAAGCTTACGATGGATACCCCAGACCTTGGACCAGAAGAAAGAGTGGAATACTCATTTTGAGACCTACGTGCGGGATCTCGACAAGCGGAAGCCTGTCATCTGGACGGGAGACCTGAACGTTGCTCCGACAGAACTAGGCATGTACTTCAGAATGCGCTTCCGTCTATGTACTGGACTTTCCGGATGACATCTTACGCAGATCTCACGAATGCTAAATCCAACTGGAACAAGACAGCTGGGTATACGGAAGCGGAGACGACTGCGTTCAAACGATTCATTGAACCGCCCGAAGACGTCGCAGATGCTGCCACGTTCGTCGATGTGTGGAGGCAGTTGCACCCCACGGAAAGACAGTACACATACTTCTCGTATCGGTTCAACTGCCGACTCAAAGGGATCGGATGGAGGCTGGACATGTGTGAGTGGGTTCCACCCAAGTTTCGGCACCGAGCCCATGCATGGTCTTCCCCCAGTTGTCTTGAGCGAGCGCATCGCAAGTAAGGTCAAGATGGTATGGTATCGCATTTATCCTTAACGAGCCATGGCCTGATGTCTACTGGCAGTGTGAAATCCGAGGCGAAATCTACGGGGCTTCCGACCACTGTCCGCTCGTCATGGAGATCGAAGGCGCGCTGTGAAGAGCTTATGCGGACAACTCAGGCTTGGTATTCACCGAAACGAGTGTGACCTGTTTCCGATGCATGGGCTTGAGCGCCTTTCTCGCCTTTGAGGCCTTTGTCACAGATCTAAGCGTAGAAATATTGGTCGGCTCGTTTGGTATTCCATGTGGCACTCACCAGACACTTGAGATCAAACGTTGCTGTGTTCGTGTACTTGTGTTTGTCTTTCAGAATCTTGGCGAGCTTTTTGGCTGCATCCATGATGTCCGCATTTCGCTGCGGCGATAATTTAATCGAGAAGGAATGCTGCGGCAGCAAAGCTTGCGACGTACTGCTGGGAACACTGTCTGGTGCCAGTCGCTCGGCGCATCGACCATCGGCGCCAGACTTGCGGCGTCGTAATGGATTCCGGAGTAGATCACCAGACACCGGTTCTCGGGATGCTCGTTCCCGCTGGGTGTAAAGTGGTCGATCCGACCCGTCTCGACGTCGATGCTCGCGATCTCAGTTCCGTAATGCGACGCCAGGATGGCCAGTTCGATGGCGCCGCCCCACGTGTTGGGCTGCAGGATCTTGGCGATGTACCGGTCGGGCGGCATTCTGGGCCATGTGTCTCAGCGATGAGAGACATTGCGGGAACCTGGCGCACCCAAGAATAGCCTCGCTGTAGGTCATGGGGTCGTTCCGGATGCCGTTGGCGACCACTGGGCTGTGTGTCAGGGATGCGTGGACGCATGGCGGCGGCGGTTGAGCGCACCCTCGCGCAGCTTGGGCGCCTTCTTGATGTCCTGCTCGAAGACGAGCGCGACGGAAGAGAAGAGACACGAGTTGTCGTCGGGGACCACCCGATGCACCAGGTACGACCCGTCGGTCTCGACAGCATCAGGAGCGTCGGATGCGGCTGCCTTGGGTGCCGATGGTCGGCGCACAGCAGGTGGTGGAGGGACAGCCGAAGATGGGTTCGTAGTGGTCGGGTTCAAGAACGGAGAAGTTGTAGGACGGGAAGGCACAGAAGCCGGGCCAGAACCAGCATCTTCGCTGACAATGAGTTGCTCGCCAGAGGCGAGACCCAGACTGGTCACAGGAAGCTCGGGTATGAGTGTCAATGTTCTCGGAGGATACCCGCCCTTGACTGAGACGAGGGCGTGAGGGGGCGCCGAGATCAAGCAGGAACAAGTGTACCTAGTTGCCTGCTGGGGAGAATGTCGGACACTTTCAATATTTCTTGTTGCAGATCTGTAGATCGGGCCAGAGCGCGGGTGTTAGGGGGACTGCAGGGATTTGGATCGGAGACTTGAGACCTGCCTTGAACCGTGAAATCATCTCGATCGAGAGGAACCTGGATGGTAGATACTCCCTTGGGATGTCGAACTCGTAGAGGTGCCATCTAAGAGAATGACGATAGCACACAGTCAATGTACAGATGACGAGACGAAGATGCGCGACGCTTGTCGGGACTTACCATATGGAGTAATCTCATACTGATTGGTCCACGTGATCTTGATGAAGTCTTGAATGCACGGATCTAGCTTGGCTCGAAAGCACTGGTGGTAAAGGAATTACGTGTGGAGAGAGCAGATCTAGGGAACTGGTTGGCGAGTCCGAGGCGCCCATTGAGGATCCGTAGTGGACTGCCATCCCTGAATATGCAGGGTCAACACATGGTAGAGCCTTCCTGAGATCGCAATAAATTTCTATGAGCAGTCTCTTGGTTTTTGCATCTGCACGAACCAGACACTCGAGCGCTTGGCAAGTGCTCTCGACTTCATATGATGGCATCAACAGTGAGAAACACATGCCATCAATATCTGCGGCAATCAGGATCTCCTTAAATGAATGACGTCATGCGGCCCAGGATGTGCTCATGGCCGTTATGGAAGTTGCCCTCTTTGGTTTCTGGAGGAGTCGGGTGATATCCCCAGCGGATGGTGACGCGGGTTGACGTCAAGTATGAGGGCATCGTAAGCATTCCAAACCGTATATAAGGTTGAAGGCTTGCAGAATCAATCTTCACTCACCTCTCATCCAAACCACTCATCCAACCAAACCAGTCAGTGGCTTTCGAGAAAGTCTCTCGGTCTCCTGACGCGCCTTCACAGATTTCAACTCAATATGTCTGACACTGGACGTCAATCTTTCACCGACAAGGCCGGCGCCGCCCTGAAGGTTCGTTGAGCCTGCGCCTGGTCCGATTCCACAGCGCCTAACTTCATTCCTCAGCCCGACAGCCAGAAGTCGACGACCGAGCAACTCGGAGACCACCTTAAGGGCACCGGAGACTCTCTCGGGTCGACACTCCAGCCCCAGTCGGAGAAGAGCACCGCGCAGAAGGCCGGTGATGCGCTCTCTGGCAACCAGAACAACAACAACGAGTCGCTCATGAACAAGGCAAAGAACGCGATGGGTCTCGGCGAGAAGTAGATCTGAAGATTTATCTCATCTGGGCAAACTGTAACAATGTACTCTATTCGTGATCCACAATGAATATCTGTATCATCTTGACTATTGCGTGGACCACTCCTGCAACACCTCCACATGCGCCCAGTGCCTTCCTCGATGAGTCCACCATATTAGGCAAGTATGACTCTGCGCTCTCCGGATATATCATGACATACGCGAGATGCGATTCCACCCCGAATAGGTCGAGCAATCGCTGCCGCTCAGGTGTTCTAGCGCCGCCCTTGATCATCAAGTCTTCAGATTTTTGGCGTCGAGTGCATCCGGATCTATCTCTGCCTCAATGATCTTTTCCAAAAGTTGTCCCGTAGTAGCATGCTGAGACAAATGTTCTCGGATGTTGAAGATCGTGTCTCCTCGAGCCCATATTGCAGATTACAGGGGCGACGAGTCCACCTCTTTTCATCACCTCCAGGAGAAACCCTCGCTCGTTGAATATATGAATGACGCTGAGATAAGCATTCAGTTCGCGACCTGTGAAGAGGAGCCCTCGAATCAATCGTTTCTGGCCCCCGCGAAACAAAGCTGGGCCAAAGCGATGCCAAGGCAATAGCGCCAGTATCACATACTGGGTTCCAGTCGGAAGCAGCCATGTCTAATACAAATTATTTTGGACGATCAGGGGACAACATGGCCCGTTCCACCACAAGATCGAAGGAACCGAGATCCGGGTTCAGGCCCGGAGCCCGGGTGCATGTTCATGGCATTCTCCGTCGTGAGCGTTCATAGTTTGGAAGATGCGAGTTGTTGGGCGTTAGCCCGAGCGTGTCAACCGTCAGTTCGAGCATTCCAGAGTCACCCGCGCTTCGGGAACAGACGATCCAGATGGGAGATGTCCCCTCATGACGCGACTGTCGCCGATAGAGAGGGAGTCATGCTGATCTGTCCGTGCCTCGCGCCGGTTGCCCTGTGACCTGGATGATGATGGCATTGAATACAACTTGGTACATACTTGGTTTTACACAGAGGTCCGTAGGATCTTGTCCGAGAATCAACAAGCGAAATATGTATATCGGGAACTCGAGACGTTTCAAGGTGTTCAACGGAGCGAGAGTCGGGCTGATTGACTTCCGGTGTCGAAAATCACAAAGGCTGGGCATCCGTCTGTTACAGCGTTCATGAAAAGTCACTAAAATATGCGCTTGCCTCCTTACCGAAGTTCTGGGCGAGTCCTCGAAGGGATCCGCACTCGTCATGACATGGTGGTAGTTCGGGGTTCCAGCGCGCAGCGCGGCCTTGTATACAGCGGAAGGAGCCATGCGTGATCGCTTCCGCCGTCGATAGACAACCCAGAAAACGACACCAGTCACCAGTACGAACAGCATAGCACCAATGACCCCGCCTGCGATGGCTCCAGCGTTGATGCCGGACGGGACAGATGCCCCCTTGAGCGGAGTCAGATTGGTCGGCGAGGATGATGCTTCAGTTGAGGACATGGCCGAGAAAGTGGATGAGGCGGATGAGGCTGAACTTGACGTGGATGACATGCCCGGAGCAGATGGTGGAGTTCCTGATGTTGCAATACAAAAACTGGCCAGGTTTTGGGCTGCTTGAATGTCAAAAGTGGTAGGCTAGCATCAAACGTTGAATGATCCGAAAATGCAAGAGACCTAGGCGCTGCTTACGAAAGGCGTCGCCGCAGCCATAGCCAATGCCCACGATGGAACAACGTTGGATTGAGCTTTGAATATCTCCACTCAGCTACGCACTGACGTGCAGGAGGAGGCTCACATGCGGATGGAAGGTCGGTGCGAATGCTAAGGACTCATTCGATTGGCCGAGCAAAAGCATTATTCAAACGCTCACGGTGAAGGTGTTGAAGGATCGCAATGGTATTCCAGTGCATATTCCTGCCAACTGAGCGGAAACTTGTGTGATAACTCCATTGAACAAGTCTGACATGGGACGCACGTTAAAGGTGGGGATTCGGGATTCATGCAGTAGTCGCAAGCGTCCCGGAGAAAGAAGACCAGATTGCTGCAGGCATAAGAGTGATCGAGGCCGCAAAACTTCACGGCACAGGGCTCATTGGAGTTGCTGTTGGCTGCCTGCACACACGTAAGGATTGCGATTGTGGCAAGTTGTAAGTCTGACCCATCCGCAATTATCCGTGGGTGCTCTGTTGAGCTGCCGTGCGACCACGGCTCGCAACTACAACTGGATGATTAATCACTGAGCGAGAAGTTTGAGCTGCTGCTGTACCGCTTTTGAATCCATTATGAGGGAGGGTGGCAAGTGGAAAATCTTGCGAGGCAGCTGAAGGTTTAGCTGGATGTGCTGGCGGGGAAAGCTAGAAGGACGTACATACAGGCATCCCGAACAGCCTCTCACGAGATGGTTTCAAAAGCATCATTGTCGTAAATCTGTTGATGTTGCGGATGTGTTCGAAGATGGCTCGATACGAGGCCGGAAGTGTCGACCTTTAATGAACAACATCGGGGTCCAATGGACCGGACTGGAAGCGAGGTTGTTACATGATCATCCAGACCGACCCCGGCTAATTGCCATGAGCTCAGTCGTGTGCGAACCCAATCAATGGCCTGTCAGGCGACTGTCAAACGGGATATGATCATGACCTATCATGACAGAGAAGCAGTGCTGCAGAGCAGCCACGTGACTCATAGCACAAGAGTCATCACGTGCCTTCTTTTCAAGCTCAGCAACTATCCAGCACACACGTGCCGGCCGCTCCCAACTTTCTTCAAGACGAACAACAAGATGTCGGCGCCCTCGACGACCGTCCCCTCCGCCTCGGTCAGTCTCCTACGCCATTCAATGAAGCCCTAACACCGACCCGTGTACTGTAGACTATCGAGGTTCCGGAAACTCTCCTCAAGAAGCGCAAGCAAAATGAAAAGGCCCGTGAGGAGCGCCTCACCGCTGCCGCTGCCGCCCGCAAGGTGAGCTTTGTTCTCTTATCTCCCTTTGAATTCCATTTCTTCAAAGTGTATGATGTATACGTTCATTCGATGATCGGCTAGCCAACGCAATGCTGCCTTTCAGTTAACCATCTTTCGGGACTGACTCTTCGCATCGTGTATCCTGCTTCCGATTCAGAGCTAATACGCAATCTTGCAGGCATCGAAGGCTAAGCGTAAGGTCATCTTCAAGCGTGCCGAGTCGTATGTGAAGGAGTACCTGTCGAAGGAGAAGGAGGAGATCCGTCTGAAGCGTGCTGCCCGAACTGCCGGAGACTTCTACGTGCCCGCCCAACCGAAGGTCTACTTCGTGATCCGTATCCGTGGGTGAGTCTACGCCTTTTTGTAACTGGCCATGTCTGGACCTCCGGTAGTATCAACGAGATCGCCCCGAAACCCCGCAAAATTTTGCAACTCCTCCGTCTCCTCCAGATCAACAACGGCGTGTTCGTGAAGGTCACCAAGGCGACCCAGCAGATGCTCCGTCTCGTCGAGCCCTACATCACATACGGGTGCGTCTCCAAGTAGTCCATATCGCCATCTTTTTTGACCATCTATGCAGCGAGGCCAACATCAAATCTGTGCGGGAGCTGATCTACAAGCGTGGATACGGCAAGGTCGACAAGCAGCGCATCCCTCTCTCCAACAACGCTGTCATTGAGGAGGCTCTCGGCAAGTACAACATCCTCTGCATGGAGGATCTTGTCCACGAGATCGCCACCGTCGGCCCCAACTTCAAACAGGTGTGCATCTTTGAATCCTGTCCGTCGTTCTTGTCGCTGACATTTTCCAGGCTGCCAACTTCCTGTGGCCGTTCAAGCTGTCCAACCCTAACGGTGGCTGGCGGACACGCAAGTTCAAGCACTTCGTGCAGGGTGGAGACTTTGGTGACCGGGAGACCAACATCAACAAGCTGATCAGGCAGATGAACTAGATGTTGATTTGTCTCTGTCGCTGTTGGATATGCTTGAGGGGGAGGGGACGTCGACGAAAACATTCCATGTTTAGCTGTAAACTTTTCATGCCTACTATGCCCATTATGAAAAAGTTGCATCGAACGCCAATTCAACACTATTATCATTATTATTCGTTTATCAGCACAGTAGTTGACAAGTTGTGTCTTAGTTTGTGAGCAGTTTAGAGTCCACGACCTCCTTGGTGAGACCCTCTGGCCCGTCCCGAATCTCTATGACCTTGCTTACATCCACCTGAACGAGGGTCGATGAGGCGTTCGTGGGGTAGGAATGAGTACTCACGGTGGCCTGGAAATCCAGCAGGGCACTGGCGTGGAGCGTAAGCATCCCTGTCTCCGATGAAGTGGGCGCCCAGTTGAGCAGGACGAGCGGGAATGATTTTCGGCCATCGGGGTGGTCCAATTGGTAGCTGTAACGCGACACGCGTCAGACGGGCACTGTTCCATGTGCATGCGGCCTTGATAGAACTGCTCACCTGAGAACAACGTATCGCGGCGAGTTCTCAGGGAGCTCTATGCTGTGGTCAGCGCGGATTTCGTGGCCGTACTTCAGGTGCGCACGCACCCTCCGCCAGCTCCTCGATACTGATGTTGTCGAACTGCTCCACCTCCTCCATGACGAGCTTCGCCTTGTTGATCTTGATGACGAGGGCCGCGCTCCCTTCGCTGCGTCGCGCGAAGCGGAATTTGCGGAGGGAGGCGCGGATGTCCTGCGGGATGTCGACGGTGTGGGACTAGGTTCTGTGTCGACACTTCCCAGCGACTGTAGTATCCGATGGACGAACCATGATGGAAGTCGGAAGCAAGAGATCGATGATGAATCTTTGTACTATCTTGGGACCGCAGCGCCGATTGCGGTAGGATATCGAGAGACGAGTGTTCTCCGCCTAATGGTAGCATATGAATCAACTAGATATTTTTACTGCTGAGCACAAGCAAGTACCGCAGTGGATCGAAGTCCGGACTTACTGGGATGCTCAAGGTCGAATGCTCGGTGCCATTCACGATCTAATCTTATCTGTCGCACGACACAACAGAATTACATCATGATTTTCACGATTGATCATCCACGAGGTCGGCAAACTTCGCCGGGGCGGTTGTCGACATGTACATGTACGTAGATAAACTGTGCCGGGGGGTCGTGCCTTCCCCTCATGTACTCCCACTCGCGCTCCCGGTCGAGGACCGTCTCCCCCTCCCGCCACCAGGCCACGCAATCGGTGTCCTACGTCGCGTCCGGGCTCCCAGACGGGCTCGTCGACGACGAGACTGTCGAGCTGCTGCAGGAGCTAGTGCACCCCCACGGACATGACCAGGACGCGACTCTGGTCGACGATAGCGGCAGTGTCGATGCACTTCCCGTGGACCCTCGACCCTGGTGGAAGCGGCCATCTCCGTGGTGGTGTGTCCCCCATCGGCGCTCGCTCCGATAACCGTGTTCAAAGCTCTATTCTAATCTAGGCTCATGGCATTCACGCCGTTCTCTGTGATCGCGATGTCCGCGACCCTGGTGCCGAAGGTCGAGATATACACACTGCTCGCATGCAGCGTGCACAAACCTGAGATCTTCGCACCCTCGGCGTCCCTCCCGCAGTACACGCTAGCAGGATTTGTCGATGCCGCCTCCGCTCGCCCGGGCCATCCGCCCGCGTTCGATATCGCACTGGCGACCACCGAGGGTGGCGCCGCAGACCGCGCGCGGGAGACGCCGATCGCTGCGTGTGCCGCGGATCCAGTCGTGCAGGCGGCCGTGGCAAAGCTCAACACGGCGATCACGACCACTATGGGAGCGCTGGGGTGTCTCACGACTGGCTGGTGGGGCTCCTACTCCGACAGGCGTGGAAGAACGAGGGTTCTTGGTCTCACCGGTCTGTCTCCCCCCCCCCAAATGAGTGGATGGATCTCGCTGATACGTCCTAGTCTTCGGCCTGTTGATGAATGACTTCGTTTTCCTGGCTGTGACCAAGCATTTCCGGACTATTCCCGGCGGCTACTGGTTCTTGATGGTCGGGCCCGTCCTCGAAGGCTTGCTCGGCGGCTTCACGACCGGCAGCGCGGCCAGCCACGCCTACATCGCAGACATCACGCCCCCCAGCGAGCGATCGCGCGTCTTCTCCACGTTCCTTGGACTCGTTTTCACCGGGCTCAGTGCGGGCCCCACGGCCGGCGGCCTGCTCATCAAATACACACACAACACCTTATCGGTCTTCTATCTGACCGCGGCGATCCACGCGCTGTACGCGTTTATGACGTGGTTCCTCCTTCCTGAATCCCTGTCTGCCGCGCAAATGCAGGCATCCGCGCTCCAGAAGAAAGAGCGGGAAGCGGCGCTCGCTCGGCGGGAGCGGACGCTCCTGTTCCGCGTGGAGCGCATGTTTGCTTTCCTCCAGCCCCTGGCCGTCTTTTTCCCCGAACGCGTTGCGGGAAAACGAGGCAGAGACTGGAATTTGATGCTTTTGGCGGCAGGATACGGGCTGGCGATATCTATCATGGTTTGTGGACCTTGGTGTCAAGTCGTCCCCATGATATCCTTGCTGACTGGGTTGCAGGGGTCCATGTCTTTCAAGACACAATATTTGATCGCCACGTTCCATTGGACGAGCGAGAACATTGGATATCTGTTGACTATTACCGGAGCGTCCCGGGCATTTTTCCTTGCCATTCTCTTGCCACGTGAGCCAAGGCGACTCTGATTCTCTTCCTGACGCTTATTCAAATTGCTAGTGTTGATCAAAGCCCTGAAGCGGACCTTTTACAGACAAACCGAGACGCACTCGGAAACCGAACCTCTCCTGCGCAAAGAGGAAAGGAAACCAGAGCACTCTCCGCGGTTTGACCTGTCGCTTGCAAGAGTGTCCATGTGCATTGAGATGGCGGGCTACATCGGCCTCCCGTTTGCGACGACTGGGACGATGTACACCGTGTTCATGGTCGTGTCCAGCTTCGGCGGAGGGTTCGGGCCCGCTGTCCAAAGCACCGCCATGGAGCTGTATGCGCGGAAACGGGGTCTGCAGGGCACGCCGGGGCACGGCGAGGGAACGGGCCGGCTGTTTGGGGCGATGAGTGTCCTGCAGGCGCTGTGCGCATCGATCCTTAGCCCGGCCATCTACGGCCTAGTGTATATGAAGACTGTGGCGACGTTCCCCAAAGCCATCTTCTTCGTCTCGATTGCGTCGCTCCTGCTGGCTCTGCTCTGCGTCTGCTGTGTGCGCTTGCCGCCCGATGATTCGCCTGATCGTGACATCGAGCACCACCTGGCCAGGGACGGGACATTGGTGGATGTCGATTCTTCGCCGAAGAATGTTCCAGACCTGGTGGTCACTGCGCCCAACTGAGTCAAATGTATATGTACTATAGTATAGTCTTCCGCGTTCGTTTCGATTACATAGGATTAGAAATAATATTATACTGTAAGTATTCAGGTGAGGACATCAGACCGCGTACTTGCTACATCTCAAACTTGAGCGATCGCAGCTGCTGTGCGACCGTCCGCATCTCAGTGTTCCACTCCCCGCTCCACTCCCGCTCCTTCCGCCGTCGACCCGTCTGCAGCTCGCAGTGCAGCCGCCGTGCGTCCCCGCGCGCCAGAAGATCCACGGCGCGGATGGGCGGATCGTGCATCGGGGGCAGAGGAACCGTGACACGGCCGACGAACGACCGCGACCGGGCCAGTTTCAGGAGTGGCTTCTCGCTGTCCTCTGCACGACTCCGGGCCAGCCCGCGTTGTGTTTCAGGAGCGCACTGCGCGAGCGGCGGAGACTCGGTGTGGCGTCGAGCTCCGGGCCCGGTGCCACCGCCGGTGCGACGTTCTCGCCCAGCGTGCGCGCCAGCTTCTGCGCGTGCCGTCTGCGTGCCGTCGCGGCCGCGTTCCCGGGGTGGCAGGTGGGGCAGGTGAAAGAATGTTCAGCGTGATGGTGAGGGTGGGCGACACAGGCGTCAGTGGGGGCGATGGAGCAGACAGATGGGTGGTAGAGCTGGCTGGTGCTGCATCAAGGTGCAGGTAGAGCCTCGGACGACCAGCCGTGGCGTTCAGCCGCTTCGAGCTGCTGGAAGAGGTCGAAGAAAGGATGTCAGGCGAGACGATTGGGATTCGCGGAGAAGAGGACCCGGCCTCGGAAGAAGTGGGACTGAGATGGTGCTGCGTGCTGTTGTTCTCAGACATCGCAGCGGTGATGACCTCAGGCGTCACCCCCAGCAGAGCTTGCAGTTTCCGAGCGGACCGCACCAGGCGGCTTCGCTCAGTGGGTAAAAGCACGTCCGCGTGTAACATGGAGAAGGCGAAGAACGAGGGTGGCAAAAGTGGGGAGGATCGGCGTGTACGTGCGGTTTAATAGGGTTGCGTTTCAATCAACGACCGGAGGCATAATTATTTCAACTCGTGGTGCGTTTCCGATGCACAACGACGATGACAGGATGTTGCCATTATTAGTCGCAAGCGCCATTCACAAAGTCGCAGTCGTATAGAGAGAAACGTGCTCTCGACTAGCTAGCAGCGCTCGGCCCCGGGAAGATGAAGAGGCAAAGACCAGAGCTGAAAGCGAATCGCAGCTCTCAAGATGTTGATCGCCGATCCCCATGTCATCCCACTGACGTCATCGTTGCGCATCGTGTCGCAGTACTTGTGTGGATGATAGGAGTGTGGGTGCATGTAGCCATCTCGAATTTGCCATTCCAAAGAACAAAAGAAACAACCAGCATCGTACACGATCATCCCACCAACATCTAGGCTTGCTCTCTGATACCCGCATCGCTGCCGTACTCGCTGTCGCTGTCGTCCTCTCCGCGTCCCGACCGGCGCCATTTCTCCGTCACGCTGTTGCGGCTGTGGTTCCGCTGCAGCACGTGCGCATTCGGGATCGACACCGCGATCTCCTCGATGTCGTCCGCCTCGGCGTTGCGCGGTGCGAAGCTGAGCGGCCCAGAGTTCGTCGACGACAGCGGCGCCCGGGAGGAGGCGCGAGGCGCAATCGTTGAGACGTCCGAGGTGAGGAGGGTCGTCGAGCGGTTGTTGAGCGCGACCAGTAGGGTGTTGGCGTAGCTGAGGCGTGGTGCAATCAGATAGAATATTAGCAGAACAGACGCCAACATACATTCCAGGAAGGATCATCACCGGGCACACGAAGTAGGTCGTGTTCTTAAAGGGCGCATTCATGTTCTGGTCGTACAATGATCTGGGATTCACTCACCGGAGCGCAGACAAAGAGCAAAAGCCCCAACAACGCTACAACACTTGCCACGGCATTCGTTTCGACAGAGAGCCGAGCGACGGTAGTGATGGTGCCGCCGACAGTGCGCTTGCCCTTGGCCTCCGTAGAAACCGAGAGGGGAATCATCACAACGGTGACGAGGAGGGCGGCAGCAGCGCCACCAGCGAGCCACAAGTAGACGAGGATGGTGCGCTCATGGTCGTGCTTGGGGCTGACCGCCATATAAGACACAGCCGCACCGCCGATCCCACCGGCGCATTGGGCCATACCGGCCTGAAGCTGGGGTCAGCAACGAGCAGGCGAGCAGACGCAGCAGCGCTCACAAGACCGACGAGCACAGCCAGCGGCCACATGATCTTCCGCATGACCACGATCCGGTACGCAAAGAAGAACTGGACCAGCATGGCGATGAGAGATCCCGCGAGCGGAGTGTAGAAGCGCGAGTTGCGCGAATCTGCGAAGCGTGCGATCTTGCCGAACCCGGACCCGTACCAGAACTCGACGTCGGCGGCATTGAGGCAGATCGAAACGAGGATCAGGAGCGAAACAAAGTGGACTGGGGGGAGGCGTGAGAACGATCCGGTCGCTGAGCCGGTGAAACATACCGAGGCCTTTAGTCAAGATCGAGTCCAGAGGGAAACAGATCCGGTAGACGTCTCCAATAGGGCTTCAGATAAATTCAACAACACGGAATGAGCGGGTACTCACAGACTTGTATCAAAAGCGTTCCGACGAAGAAAAAGTTAAGCAAGGATCCAATCAGCTGCGGCGTCACTCTGCTCCCTCGTCAGACTCGTCAGCGAGACAGGAGAAGGAGGAGCACACACATAGGTGCATAGTCGGGGAGCTGGTAGACCACCGCAGTCGGGACGGTCGTGGGCATCTGGAGCTGGGCTGCCGACGGCGGGGTACCCAGAATCGTGGGTAGCAACGTCGAAGCAGACGCGGACGAGGCGGAGGCAAGTTTTTGGATCGTGGTCATGATGGGAGTGCGGGACGAAGTGGGAATGCAGGTGCTAGGTCCGATTTATAGCTCGCAAGGTCTCAGACACGCCGGATAGGATGGGCGAGTGGGGGGGAAGACTCAGACGCATTATCCGCTCCGCTTGCAAGACATGTCGCATTAGAATCGGTAGGTCGTATAAAATGCCCTCAGGTACGAGATAGCGTCGCAATTGCTCTGTTTCAGAATGATGCGATACCGGGGGGCTGGCTGACGAATGTACACATCATAACGTGGTTGCACGAGTAAGAGAGAGAAGACAAAGACTGAATCTTGCGGCACTAGACAACAAAAAGATACGAGGTTTGAGAACTGGGGGTTCAGCTCTAAGCGTAAATGGATGTGTGCTGGTCTGCTAGACAATATGATGAGACTAAGCAGGAAAGTAAGTTACGGTTGTCACATGCGAGAAAATCTTAATCAACCGATTAGATAAGGTCCGATCGTGCGGTCTGAAGAGCGCGATTGGGGGATAGACATAGTGGTTTCTGACAAATTGACATGAAGATGTTCTCGTTTGAATACACGTATGAGCTTTGGTTGCCCGAGTCCAGTTGTCAGTGGTCCATATACTTAGGATTCTATCTCATCACGGAGATCGTCGTGACAGGATCTCTCTCCCAACCATGATCACACCGCGTTTTGAATGCAGTCAAACACCCAACACAGTCGTAATAAACATCTACTGTCCCTCTGTCCGGGTACAAGACCGTCTCCCACCCCCTAAAATCCGCTGAATCACATCAAGTAGGCTGCAGACGTTGAAATTCACGTCGACGACACGCTCTTCTCACTGCACCTGAATCCGTACTTTCTCCGCCTCACACTACCCCATCCGGTCCTCGAGGACGACGATTCGTCCGCCAAATATGATGCTGGGACAGGATATCTCAATGTCACGCTCGCCAAGGCGAACCCGGGACAGGACTTTCCTGATCTGGACTTGCTCTCAAAATTGCTGGCTCCTCGGCCTGCGACGCAGACCCAGCCGCCGCAAATTGAGGTCTTAGGCGACGAAGATGGAGGCGAGGAAGTGGAACGACATCTAGATGAGGTCGAGGATCTCACCGCTCGCACGGACGCGCTTTCTCTGGAACGAGAGGAGATTCTCCGAGGTGCGCTCTGTCTTCCCCTTCCGTAACGGTCATCCGTTCTGACGGTGACAGCTGCGGAAAATGACTGGCAACTGCCCCAACAAGTCCCATCTGACGACCCTCCGATCTCCATAACGCTCACCCATCCGTACGGATTCTTGAGCCGGTATGCCGGGTACTTCAAACACGCTCAGCACACCGAGAACGAGATCAACGAACTTGGTGGACAAGCCGAGACTTTGTCGTTGCGCGAACGCAGATCGCGTCGGGTTCAGCATGAAAATGCAAAGTGGGATGAGGAGCATTATATGTACGGTGAAATTCGCTTGTTTTCAGCAGGGTGACTGAATCCGGCGTCATTCAGGGCAGACTATGCGGACGATGAATACATCCAGGAACTCATGCACTGGGTCAACCCCCGCACACAAGGCTCTGAATCTTTCGAGTTCTCAGATCAAGAGAAAGCGGCGTTGCTGAATCTGCCGCGGAGAGAATGTTCGCGTGTTCGGGTTTGATCTAAACATTGTTACTGACGTGGGCGAGCAGATCTATCAGATGAAGCACAGACGAGGAATCTCTATCTGTCGCTGACGACAATCCTCTTCGCCGCGGCCTATGAAGCGCGCACGACCCAAGGCGATCCGACCCCAGAAAGCGCTTGGACGATCTGCATCCTCACACCCATCTTCTCCGCGCTCGATGGCCCCCCGTACTCCACCGACCCACCGTCGTCTGATCTAATCGCCACCTTGGTGCAATCATACCGTCGATCCCTCTCGTTCCCATTGTTCCGGTCCTTTGCCTTGGCCGAAAAGTGCCGCTCTGACGTCGCTGCGCTGTTTAAACAGGGAAAACGCGCGATTCTACGCTGTTTGCTCGAAACAAAACACATTCTCGAGCACCATGAGGTGTATTACGTGTACAGCAAGATCTGGGTCGAGGACTTTTGTGTTTGGGTGCAATCGTGTGCAGAGTGAATAATGCGCTTTCTCTCTCGAAATTCCAGTGGAACTGACAAATGGTAGCGAGGCTACATTGCAGGACCTGGGACGGGAACTGCAGTCGTCGCAAATCTCAAAAGCTTTGATCGGATGGGATCTAGAGGAACTGGAAAGCGCAGCACTGGAAGTCCAAGAGCGAGAGCCTGACAGCGATGACGAATGAGGACGAAGGTGATGAAGTTTCTGCACTGATATTTAACAAACTGTTGATGTTAAACGGGTACTAGCATATTGTGATAATGTACAATGCAGTCAGGAACGAGTGCTGCTGTGTACAGATAGTAGTAGTAGTAGTGATAGAAACCAAACCCAAGGAAAAGGAAAGCAGCTGTGTCCATAAGGGGGTAGATCGTCTAGAATGGCGGTTATTATCAGGTTCACCTCCCATTCGCAAGTTCAATGTAGCGGGTCTTCCTCTTCATCGCACGGGAGCTCGATTTCTCGTCGTCGTCCCCTCCCCTTCTCGAGTGCCGTTCGCACAACATGCGGCCGTCAACCTCCCAGTAATCATCCAGTCGTTCCCTGCAGCCTGCAGCATATTCACACAGCATGTGGTCAGGGTGGTAACGGTCTCCAGCATGCGAAACCGCGCACGGGCCCTCGATGGGCTGTCCACAGCTTGATGCCGCGCACAAAGACTCGTTGGCCTCGTGATAGTGATACTTGCACATAGGCTTGTGCTCGTGAACGTAAAACGTCTTGTCCGGGAACGGTTTCTGTGCAAGCTTAGTGGAGGCACTCGGCCTGACAGAGTGAGAAACTCACATGGCAAACATGGCAATTAAAACATTCACGGTGGTATTTGCCTTTAAGCTGTCCGTCGGAGGATGATACGGCCTGTTTCTCGATTGGCAGATTGCACCTCCGGCACTGATTACAGGGTCAACAAACCAGCTTCTCCAGTGTATGGCACTCACCTTGGGCAGATACATGTTCTTCCAACATCTCTCACACAGAACCCCGCCCTCGTCCATTTGCACCCATTTACCGTCCTCAATCTTCTTCTCGCAGCGCACACAGATCTTGGGTTTGCGTGCAGTCCGTTGTGGTTTCTCAGTGGACTGTTCGGGAGATCGAGATCGCTGCGAGGCCCCGTTATCGCTCGTTGGCTTTGAGCGCACACTGGCCAATTCCTCAGGACGTCGCCACAGCGAAGAAGAACTATCAGCGCTCTCCCTGCTGTCGGCACGACTATGAATACTGCGCGACGAGGGCTTTTCAGGACCGCCTCGTGCGCTGTCATTCGAAGATCGAGGGAGATCAAACGAGTCCCCTGCACGCGCAGATTTGACTGGGCTGTCTTCTCCACCATAATCCGATCCGCTGTCGGAGAGAGAATCTTTCCGCGGTCGAGTATTCCCGCGTGCAGAGGACTGCACAGATCGTATCGAGGGCGCAGGCGGGCTCTTCACTCGCGCTGGCGCTACGCGTTCGTTGGCTCGCCTCAGGTCCGCCGCGTCGTCGTCGTCGTCACCGTCTTCATAATCCGTCGAATCTGCATAGGCCAAGCCATACGCAGACCCAGAGCTCTCCGAACGGAAGTGTTCCTTTTTCGAATACCTGCTGCTTCGTGATGAGACGGACGCCGAAGACTGATGAACACGGGCGCCAGTTCGTGATGGTGGGGAGGGCGAACGACGTCTGCTGAACAACTCTGGGGACTGTGGCGATTCCGGGTATGACGCTATTCCCGGCGAGCCAGAAGATCCCGTGGAGGTCGAGAGTGGTGGCGTAGATGTGGCTGATAAAGAAACAGTCAGAGAGAGTATGGATCGGTTGTTGCGACACTCACAGCTTGCAGCACCGGTGTCGATGTTCCTAGGCGGACTCGCGCGTACAGTGGATCCTCCGGTCCCTGACGGCGAAACGGTGAACATCGCAGCCCTCGCAGCAGCAGCGAATCCTCTGCGGCCCACCCCGGCCATTCCCGCTTCCCCGCCGGATTGCGTATTGATTAACGAGGGCTTGGCTACCCCCGCGGGCGGCTGTTGCTGCACCGCCGGCGTTTCACGTGTAGATGAGAAGGAAGGTCGGGCCGTGACGGGGAAACGGGGGAAACGCCAACACTCGATGATCCCGATCTCGCACGCGTAACGCCGGCCGACAGACCGGACACAGGCGATGCAGGCTGGTCCATGCGCGATAACGGGCTCGAGCGCGGAGGAGCGACAAACGACGACGGTGCACCTCCCGTGTTGACTCTGGAAGGGATTGGGCGTTGGGACAGTGCCGGAGATGCTGCCCGTATGGAGGGCTGGGGAGACGCTGTCCTTATCGTGGGCTGGGGAGACGCTGTCCTTAACGTGGGCTGGGGAGACGCTGTTCGAGCCGGGGGGATGGCCGCGGAACTGCGAGGGGGGAGGGATCCTCGGGGAGCACCGGGCGCGTTATTGTTATTGTTGTTAACAAGACCTTGCAACCGTTGCGGTAGGAGCGACGCTGCTGCTGCGGGAGAGATGGAGGGCTTGGGTATATTGAGACCAGACGTTTTTGAGGCATTGGGAGTGGGGAGCGGGGGGACAGGAGCACAGATGTGATCTCCGAGCTCGGCGAGAGGGACAGGCTGATTGCAATTGGAGCATTTGACGCTGGGGAGGACCTGCGATATGCGCCCAGCGGGTTGGGAGGGGGTTGACATGAGCATTGGAATGAGAAAAGAGCGTTAGAGAAAGAAGAGGTAGATATGGTACGTCCAGCGCGACTGCCTAGTGGTGGGGGTGCATGAGAGAAACAATGGTCACGCCAACCGAACGTCTGCATGTGGTCACGACCAAGCGATTTGATGGTTCATCACCGGTGATTATTGGAGATTTGCAGAAGCCTGGCAACGAGGACAGCAGACAATGCATGTAGGATGATATGTACATGAAGCTCCCCAGAGTCCTCGGAGACGATGAGTATTACAAAATGTTGGTCGCACGACCCCGGTCCGAACGTTCGGCTAACGTTATAGAATCAACCACCCAACCAAAGCAGTCTCTTCACTCCATATTCCATCTTTGCGTACATGCTGGTCATCCGCTGAGCCTCGGACAAGCTGGGGCACATGCATCAGTCAATCATTTGGAGCGGACATGTGCTGTGTCGTACCTGACCACGTCTTGGTCAACGACCAGGTCGGCATCGTTGCCGATATCCTCGCAGGCTCGTCGTATGCCGTCAACCATCAAATCTGCAGCCTCTCGACAACAGCTGGCGTTGCCCAGCTCGTCAATCGAGTCCAGATAAGCACTCCCGCCCAGCGAACTGATGCTGCTGTCTC